GACCAGCCTTCTTCCTTTGTATGTCTATCTGCTCTTGGACCTCATGGTAGTATCGCTAGCACTGCCACTCTGTCTACCCTGCCTGTTCTCGTGGGTTTATGGCCCTTCGACAAGAGCATCTACTTCGTGTTTATAAAGCCGCCAGCCCATTGAGACTTCCAGTGAAAGTGAAAGATTAGGATGATGACGTTGATTTTACTCATGATGCCAACCAGGAACGGCTACCACCAAAGGCATTTATGGTATTACAAACTCAGACTGTAATATTTCCTTCGGAGATCCAGAGCACACCCATCAGTGGCATTCAAGCTTGCTTGCATGTTCTTCGTCCATGCGCGAGTATCTCCATTCCCAGTCTGGTCTTTCTCTGCAGGCAGGGGACAGGGTCTGGGACTACGAAAATCGCCATGTTGGGTTTCAGATTTAGGATCTTCCAAAATTAGGCAGAGTTTCATCTCAATCTACTGGGCCAATCAGCAGCCTGAGGAGCTCTACCTGTAAGCGATATGCACAAACCTACCATGGCCCCTTGATTGGCACCCTGCCGAAAATCCTTTTCCGTCTCTGTTCGTATGGTGGACCTATGAACCTGACCAGTGCCAAAGCCGGTCGTGCGGACCCTTCTTTGCTCAAAAGGACGATGCGATGGTGATGGCGATAGACAAGAAAGGTAATGGGATCCGTGATAGCTTTACACCCCCTCCGAAGATCTACCTCAAAGGTGGCTGGCCTGGCCTGCCGACGAACATATCCTTTAACCGCCAGCCGCAGGCCACAGGCTTGCTCAGGATCGGACAATCCCTCGCCTTCCACCTTTCAGAGAGGACAAAGTTGAGAGCGAGACCGGGAGGAGTCCCACAGACTACGAGACAGAAGGCTATTCTGACTCAGGACAGACTTCAAGGAATTGCGCCTTTTTACCCAAACATGCCAGTGAAACTTTGAATAGGCCCAAGGATTAAGTTTACCCATCACGAGTTCTCGCCACTGCCAAAGTGTAGACCGCAACTCTCCCGCCAATCCTTATCGGGATGGGAGAGAGTGCGACATGAAACATGCGCCTCTCCCGGTGGAAAAGTGGCGGGAGGGAATAATAGCTGAGAGAGCTAGCCCGAGGAGTCGGACGGAGGCTGGAGGCTAGAGAACATCCATCACCCGGGTTGAAAATCCATACTTCGTTCCCACGGCTCAACTGCGCATTTCGGTAAGTCACCGTAGCATGGGCTAGTCCGACCTTTGCCCGATTCGATGACGGAAATCTTCGCAGATGGCAACGAAGCGGTGCCTCTCCCGCAAACACGAAACTTGACATCCAAGATGGGGACGGACACTTGAAACAAGCATGGTCATTGCGCAGGTCGCATATCCTTCCAGAATAGCTCGCTTTGCAGGGTGCAGTCATTGTGCCGGACACGCAGGGCACAGTAACCCGTCTTTGCGGAGTCTTAATGACCCCGATATCGTTCTTTCCCAGGTCTCTCCCAGCAACACTTCATAGACCACGATGTTAGAAGACGGTTAGAAATTAATTGACCTACGCTTCCAGTCTAGCGTCCGGCCATGATAAGTTGACCAGTTCGAACAGAACGGCGCGGCTCGGCTGATAAAGTGACTGAACAACCACAGCCCGTGCGAGAAGCCAAGGCAGTTAGGCGCTGGGTCTATTATTACTCCATCTGCCGGATAAGGACCACTTGTCAGCGTAGTCTTACCTATAATGAGTGCGTCGTAAGAGAAGTACGCAGGCTCCCTGGGGCGTCTCTAGCGAGGCTGGTGGCTGGGAAGCCGGTTATGACCACCGCTGCAGTTCCCGGAGGGGAAGGCGACCTGAGAGACGAGTTGAGGATGGACGACGCCGCATGTCCAGGCATGTTATCTCAGTTATCGCAGACCAAGCTATGAGACTTACAAGTAGGCAAGTGCTAGCAAGTGCTGAATGTTAACCATGGAGAGCTGGGTATGGTCACGACATCCGTGACTCGTAACACACTCGTTGATTTCCCTCGTCTTTCGCAAAACTCGATCGTCAGCCTTATATGCGTCTCTTCTTTGGGTGAACATGATATACATCACAATGATTTCCCCTTGCACTCTCATCCAGAAGATTCGCCTGAAGAGGGAAACCTTTTGGAGGTTCATTGATAATGTGACACCTCCAATGGCAGACTTACATTGTGGGCGTGGGGGTCGCGTACCTACCCTAACCTAGCTCCCATAGTGCCAACTCCTAACTGTCACATCGGGGCTTATACACGTCGTGGGCCGACATTAGGTCGCATTACTCTCTGACGGCTCACATATACGGCTGAGATGGTCGACGACAGACCCAGAGATTGCCGAGACCCGAGAGGAGAAATAGGGAAGACTTCGATAAGGCTTGATGTGCTTCGGAGGTATTGGCTTCTATGGGATTTGTCTGCTCTCAAAAAGGCCCTGCCTCCAATCCTTGGAAAACCGAGCCTTAGGGCTGGGAGAGACAGGACCCTTTCCTCTCAAAGCCGGGAATCTGGTCACTGGCAAGGAGAAGAGATCCCCCATCTTGCTTTCGACGTGATATCCTTCTGCCGAGCTGTGACGGTTAGAACGAGGACGTCCCACTTGGTAACCTCTGCCCTCCTGTCAAAGTGATCCAAATGTCTCTTGACATCTCGCCCTTTCCCAAAATATAAGGTTGCGTTTTCTGCTTAGCACCTCGTCTAAACGAGTGATGTTGGCATTTTGGGTAGTGTTCGTCAGAACATGGAGAAAGCCAAACCTGGGATTGAATGGTCTTCACACACCGTCTATATCCCTCTTTTCGGCCTTACTTCCGCCGAGGGCAGGACCAAGAAGGGAGACGAGAGTCCCACGAGAGAGTGGGTAGGGAGCTGTAACCTCTAGACCTATCTGCCCCGTAGCAGTGCGATGAGATCCATCGGAAGGATACCTCTAGCTGAACCAGAAATATTGGGCAGCCCATACTTGGTGTAGCCTTCACAGGTGATCAGTATGGCAGGAATTTCATTGGTGTTAGCAGGCGTCGAGTTAAATAGACAACCATGGCATGCCTCGCCAGAATAGATGTTTGCGAAACCACGAGCCATGAATGGACTCTGTTACTTGTATGTTAGCCGCCGCAATCGCTAAAGGGAGGGCATGGTCTCGCAGCACAGGTCTTTCCATGAGCCTATTTAAGAAGACAACGAAATAGCCGCTCAGATGGGGCAAGACGAGGACATGCGCTCAAACCGTCTATTATCCCGAGCGATGATAGTAGAATTGTCATAACTCTGCATTCGTGCGAAGATGTTGAATTGTAGGACGTTGGTGTGCGGGATCTACCTGCGATTAGCAGGCCGATCCTTCTATTCAACCATTAATGTCGTCTTGCACATCCTCGTCCACATCAATTGAGCATCTGTCACAATCCATCCGGATCATGACGGAATTGGCAAGCACAATTGGCAGCAGAGTACATACATGATGTACCATGCAGCTGGGACTGACATGTGAAGATGATCGGACAGGGGTCGCACATCCACATCTTGCACTAACACAAATCGATTGATCCCACCACGACTGCAACCGCATCAATGGGCAGCTATCACGGCGACGGAATCACGGCGACGGTTTCAATTGTTGTTGCCACTCGTCGAGAAAAGGAAGAAAAAAAAAACGCCAGCACAAGCCAGCCGTCTTTTCATGCAGACGCCGAAAGAATCGAGGCAAAACATTAACCTCGGGTTCAAATGCGGTTGGGGAGGTCAATATCGAAGCGAGAGAAAAAAAGTAAAAAGTCCTACTGGAGCACCTGCAGCGAGGCACGCTCTACCGAGTCCACGATGTGGCTATCGTACCTGACTTGGCGTCATGGACAAAATTTGATTGTAATCTAGGATACGAAGCAGGTGAATTTCGCCACTCACACCCGGTGCCATCGCCCGAGGAGAACGGCATCAGCTCCGAGTCTTGATCGTGAGCCGACGGGACACAACGTTGCCTTCGCGGGAAGTAGAGGCGAGGAAATCGAGCCGAAAAATATCAATTGATTGCGACATTCGAGATTAAAAGAGCGGCATGTCGACGTACAAAGTAAGACGGGGGGTTTCATTTTTGGTTTGCTTTTTTTTTGTGTTTGCATCGGTGGCCTGTCAGGTCAGTCGTTGTAGGTTCAGCGTTAGGCGGGGGTGGCTCGATTCAAAGCATAGACACAGGTAGATGGGGGCAGACTTTCACATGTCAAAAATTGACAGAGCGAACGCGAGGAGAAACAGCTAATCTCGAGAGAACCGCGTATGGATTTACCCCCGCCCCCACCACTGGCAAGAGATATCATTCGCTGCAGACCCATTGGATTTGGATAGGAACCACCCTGTTGACGTTTAGTCCTGCCACACTTGCACATGTTACGATACGTCACAGCGAATGAGAATGCAGGAAGGAGGCATCGAAGCATGTGCTTTGCTTTATCAACAAGCATCGAGTTTGGCTGTACCACTACCTGGGTCCCGGCACCCTCATCCGGTGTATTAGTTGGGTTTTACACGTGTTGCTCATCAAGTACGAAGTAGTGGTACAGCCCGATAAGAATGTCGACACAATCATCCATGCATGAGGCTCTACGAAGGAGGTACCATGGACCAGACCATGGACCAGATGTCTTTGAATAGCAGTTGCTCCCGCTCCCAGTTCGAACATTTTCACCTTGAAAGTTGATACATAAGCTCATTCGCTCCGCCGGGGTAGTTCACTCTCTGCTCTCCTCTCTTTCTTTTTCATCTGGCATCGAGCTCTTGCACACATCAATACACATTGTGTGATAAACAACGCCCATCATCCACATATTAATCGCGTAGCAGCTAGCTACATCGTTCTACCTACCCCCTTGATAATTCACACCTGGTTACTTTCCCCAAAGACCTATTGATTCGCGACGGGACTTATCCGCGTCATCATTCATTTTCCACCATCGTCCATCCCGACCTTTAGTACCGGCAACGGTAAATATATAGTCTTCGACAATGACACAAGTGAACGGGGATGTCCCCACCCACCCGCTTAACTCCCTGTTCGTCGAGGTATGGATCTGGTGCTCCCTCTTTATCACCAATCAGTCTATACCCAAGAAGCTAACGTTCGGAATCTAGCATCTTCTCACCTACCCCGTCGTCAAGGATGGTGTGAGCACTTTCCAGAACAACCAACTCGGACAGAAGTCGATCCAGCTCGGCGACACCGCATACCGCCGCCTTGCCGAACCCGTTCTCCCTTACCTCTCCAAACCGTATCAATACGTCTCGCCTTACCTCGAGAAGGTGGACCAATTGGGTGACCAGACCTTGTCGAAGGTTGACGAGAGGTTCCCCGTCATCAAGAAGCCGACCGAGGAGCTCTACACGGACGCCAAGAACCTTGTCCTACTTCCTTATAATAAGAGCCTGGAAGGAAAGGACCATGTACTAGGCGTTTATTCTGCCGAGTGCAAGCGTCTCGGGGGTGAGAACTTGGTGACATATAGCAGGGCGCTTGTCGGCACTGTTTTTACTGTCGGCGGTGAGACAATCGACTGGGTCGGCAGCTTCCTGGGTAGCAAGCGAGCCGAAGTGAAAGAACGGATCAACGAAAAGGGCAACAACTAAAGGATCTAGACGGCCCCATTCGTTAAAGAAAGAAATCAGGTGGTGAAGAAGCGAAGAGCACACGCCCCTGGCTTTCCCCTTCCCAACTCCCATGCCACGTTGCGTCATATTTGACTTCGTTGGGGTCTTTGTCTTGCGAAGCTTGAAGCTTTTGTTTCTCGTCCGAGAGCCCATCCTCGTTTGGATTTCTTCTACGCTCTAATTTCCTTGGTATTCACAACCATCTTTAGCAATTTTTTTCCTTTTGATTTAATTTCTCTGTTAGACTGCTCAGGGTTGGATGGGTTTTTATTATACAGGGTTCTGCACTATGCTATACGGGTATTATCTCCTTTTTCTAAAAAGCTGTTAGACTTCTTTTCTGCAATCGCGAGTTTCGTTTTGGTTCGTTCATTTTCCACCTTAGCTATGTGAGCGCCGTGAGATTCAATGATCTGGAACTGCAAGAGAAACATGTTTCTTAACAATAAAATGTTATGTTGACAGGGTGTAGCAACAGTGAGGACCTGACCGACCCCTCGTCCTTCATAAATAACAACTTAGAAAGACAAAGCCGAGGATGGTGGTCTCCATCAATGCTTGCCACGGATGTCGACAGTTGGTTAGTGCCGGGTCAGACATCATGAAAGTGTACTTCGGTACTCCAAGCACTGACTGAAAGATAATTCTGCGACTCTCTTTTCGGATTCTTTCTCAATTATTGTGTTGCTTTCTATTATTTTCTCTCTCTTTCTCTATGCCCAGACTCTTTTTTTTTTTTTTTTTTTTTTTTTTTTTTTCGGACAATTTTTATGATTTTTCCCTCCAGTAAACTCGCAAAACAAGTCGCCGCTCATTTACTTTCTTGTCCTGAGGTAATGCCCCGCGCTTTCTGACTTCGATGTTTGCAATCAACATGGCTGACACAACAGTGACTAAGAGTTATCAATTTGTTTTGCCAGCCAATGCACCCTCCGAACACTTCAAAGCATTGGTTGATGCTGATATAAAAGCCTGCTTCCCTGTATCATAGTTAGAGAGAAATGTTTCAATTATTTCTTATAGCTTCGGAAGACTCTGTTTTGCGTGGCCATTGGTAATTGACATCCCGTGAACTCGATCTTGATCTGTCAGCGAAGACCAACAACGTCTAGACTTCCGCGATCTATAAGAGCGCTTCTCTCCGACCCTCGGACTCTACGTAAGCTAATGAAGAACCTCCCTTTCATAATTCCCGCCATCATCATAGCCGCTTTATCGATCATCTTCCCCGCAGTTAAGGTCCTAGATCTCCTCAGCTATACCTTCGAACCAATCATCAAATCTATAAACTCAGTTCTGTCGACCCCACCACTCGGCACCCTCTTCGAAGACCCCACCTCCACAGCTCAGCTTCGAACTAACGACGACACCACGAACGAACCACTTTCTGTCCTCGAGAATAAAGTAGACACGGACGGCGCACTTCCAGTGGATAATATGTCTGTTTCGCGTGCGATCCGGAAGGTTTTCCTTGCCTCCCAGCAGGCCGAGGGTGCTGGCGCAAAGGTGCGCCGATCCATTGGCACCCCGCAGCTTCGAAACTTCTCGCCCTTCTTGATGCTCGATCACTTTTCTGTAAATCCCGGCGCCGGTTTCCCTGACCAGTAAGTGTGTTTCTATTGTCATCTACCTCCAAACTCCACCCCGCTCACCCCCCCACACCCGACTTCCCCTATCTCACGGGGATCACACCTGCGAAAATAAAGAAGTAGATCGTTATGAAGAGAATTGTGACTAACAGCTCATTTCTTTTTGAACCAGCCCTCATCGTGGACAGGAGACCATCACGTATCTTCTCGAAGGTGGCATCGACCATGAAGATTTTGCCGGCAACTCGGGCAGTCTCAACCCCGGCGACTTGCAATTCATGACGGCCGGCCGCGGGATCGTGCACGCCGAGATGCCGCGCCAAAACGCGGACGGATCCGCCAACGTTGGCCTCCAGCTCTGGGTTGATCTTCCGAAGAATCTCAAGTCATGTGAGCCGCGATACCGTGACCTGCGCGCATCGGAGATACCCCAGGTCACAGTCGATGATGACAAGGTGACGATCAAGGTCATATCGGGCCAAAGCCACGGCGTCGACTCAGTGAAGGACCTTGCGTACACACCCGTTTGGATATTAGATGTGACGATGAAGCCGGGTGGTAAGATAACACAACCACTTCCGGAGGGATGGAACGCGTTTGCGTACACTCTCGAGGGAGATGCCCTGTTCGGAGAAGGGGATGCCAAGCGAAAAGTCGAACAATACCACAATGTTGTCTTTGAGCCGGAAGGCCAGGTAGTTCATGTCGAGGTTGAACCGACCGCGGCGAAAGAAGCTAGGTTCGGTGAGTAGTTCACGTCCTTTCTTTCCTACTCCCTCTTTCTAGGTCACTGCCACTAACACTTCATTTTTCAAGTTATCGTTGCCGGAACTCCGCTGGATCAGCCCGTCGTTCAATATGGACCCTTCGTCCTCACTACAAAGGATGAGGTTTACAAGGCGATTATGGACTATCAGGGCTTCACCAACGGGTTTGAGAGGGCCCGGGACTGGGAGAGTGAGATCGGTAAATCAATGAAACACTAGGTCGAGCTCGGCCTGGCGCTTTTGGTATTGGAAAATTGGATAATCGAAACCAAAGACGGGGAAGGGCTTCGCTCCTATAAAGGGGCTTCCTGTGTATAAATAGGAGAGGGCGTTCTGATATAGCTCTTGAAATATCACTTTTGTATGAACAATAAACATATCGTCGCCGGCGATGTCTTGATTCAATTTCAGACTTGGGCACGTAATGTTCCGAGTGCATTTAGCCATCTCGCAATAGTTCAACAGGTAAGTTTTCCAGGCCTCATTATTATTGTATTGATAACGAACTTTACACCTCCGAATGACTACTTGCTAGTCCCCAGGTCCACCCAATTATATCATCGAGGAAGTGGATGGATGCAGATCCTCTTGCACCCATGCGAAGCATCGTTATCGAAGGGGATGGAAAGAAAGTGACACAATTTGGCTGAGGTTTGGCATCACGCAGATTCACAATTTCAGTGCTCCTCGTAGACTCAGACAAGTAGAGCGAGGATGCCCGCGGCAACCAAGAGACCAGCGGGAGCAGAACTTTGTTGGGCCTTTTATCTCGATCGTTAGCAGCATGTCATTGCAGGACGCGACCTGCTGGGCAATTCAAGCCGCAGTTTGGGAACAAAGAAGATGGGATGGTAAACAACTTACCCCGCCAGTGTTGCCGGGTCCCTGGGTAGCGGTAGCGCCGCCGCCCTCGGTAGTAGTTCCTTCCGTAGCGGTAGCCGTTTCCGTGGCTTCGCCGGTGGTGGTGGGCGTAGTGGCAGTTTCGGTGGCAGTTTCGGTGGCCGGCGAAGGGGTAGTAGTTTCGGTGGCCGGTGTTTCAGTAGTGGTGCCAGCGGTATCGGTGCCAGCAGTATTGGTGGCAGCAGTATCGGTAGGAGATGCATTCGTCTACATCCCAGTTAGTATCACACAGAAACAAGACCGGAATACACCCATGTTACGTACAGCACCGCCCTCACCATCAGTAGAAACCTCGATTCCCTGGCCTAAGGACTTGTAAGCAATTGCATTCATGAGAGTACATCTTCGGTATAGTAAGACCTACTGCGGCAGAAATCAACGCCATACTGGATAACCTGTTCGGCGGAGCTGGAGCAAGACTCGACGGAACAATCTCGAATTCCGTAGACAAAGTCTCGCGACCGGCAGAGACAGGCTACATCAGTGGACTGGCAGCCGAACTCGCCAGCCTTGCCAATCATGTTCTGAATGCACACTTGCTGCACATTTCAAATATAATTAGCTGGCCAAAGCTCTCCCAACACACCATACACTCTGGAGGTAATTGACGTACACCGCAGGGTGGAAGACTGCTAACGTCTTGAGCGTGGATACCGACGGCACCAGCTGCCAAGATGAGAGCTGTGGTAAGCTTCATGATGATTGCTTATACCTAGGGGCCGTACGGCACAGCATTAGTTTTCATATGTCAGACACGGATGGTGGTGTTAAAGAGGGATTCGGGATGGTAATTCTGGCTCAGAACTTACAAGGATACTTCACAGGGGGGATATTGGTGAGAAAGGCGTCGCTGTTGCTGCAAGGGGAGGACTCGACAATGAGCGGGATATGGGTTGACAGATCGAGTAGACAGTAGTGGATTGGGGGTTAATGATGGGAAAGTAGGGGCAGTGAGATGGAAGATGGGGATAGAATGGGAGAAGGTGTGAGGAACTAGAGAAGTTTTTAAAAGCAAAGCAGGAAAGGTAGAGTTGAGAGGCTAGAGCACTTGAGGCAACCGACCGAGGTGGTACAGATCGGGGAGCAACGATTTGGGGGGACGCGAGTGAAAGAGCGATCTAGCCCTCGCACACCAAAAGTACCCTTGTATGTATCGATTCAGTTCATTTCGGTTTGATTTGAACCTGAGGAATGGCGCAGACCGCGGTGGCAGGTGCGATGCATCCGGAGGAAGCTAAGTCCGCTTGAAAGCTAAGTCTGCTTGATTGCTTCTTGATGTCATTATGTGGTCAGGAATAGCGAGCGGGAACTTGCGCGATATCCAGTCACGACACAACAGGGAAAAAACGTGTTTGGCAACATATTGCTTCCATTCGTCGGCCTTCCGATGCGGGAAAGCTGTGGAATGTGTAGCCTGCGTTTAAAGTGTAGTATAATACACAGGTACGTTGGTTTGACTTTCCCATGAACAACGCACTAAACGATGACGAGACATTCGACGATCTTCCAAAGCCGCAACATACCTCGAAGAGGGCTGCGACAACGCAAGACTAGGGAGGGATCGAATGGATATGTGCTGTTCTCGCCTTCTTGCCCTTTGCACCACCAAGATCTCTCGCTCGGAGCACGAGGCAATGCGGCTTTCCTATCCTAGCTGTCAGGCCTGTACTCATAGTTCGTTGTTCTCCATGCACCTCACGCAGCCAGGTTCTCCGGACCCCTGTCCGTCGTAGAGGGAGATGTGAGCTGAGCCGCGCGAGCCACCTAATACCTGCTCATCTGCCAATGCCACGAACACCATGACGTCGCAAACCCTTACTTTATCGTGTGGACGGGCAAAATGAGAAGTGATGTCACTACTAATCTTTCTTCAGCCACCGCAATACTGCATTGGGGAATGAGAGACGCTGTTTGCTGTACAAAGGAAGTCATGGCTGGCTCGGGCTTCCTGTCTGAGCTGGGTTCTGGCGATACAGCGACTAAGAGCCGCCTTTCCCGTGAGACGCCAGCTGAATGCTGCCTTGTTGTCGGCAAATGTGGATTCTTGTCTGAGCTAATCTCAGCAACCTGCATTTTTCAGGTTGCTTGACCCTTCCCTTACGTCGTATTTTCGCCAAAACGGCTAGATCCGCTCCAGTTTTACGTGGCTACTAGTCCTGATAAGATCAGTGGATCTCGGCTACTACGCCTAGCATGGATCGCGTTCACTGCGGTGGCATGAGCTGGACACGTTAATCACTCATAGGATTTGGTATTCCCGAAGCGGAGTCCTTCGTAAACTAATCTTATTACAAAGTGTTGGCGTTCACTTGTTTTGTCCATCACAACCAAAGCTCCATTGTCAGGTAAGGACATCTACATAGTACAATGCAGCCATGCCCACCAATCACTCGAGCGATAAGAGACAAACTATGGCGAGATGGCCGAGCAAGGCAAGTCTCTGAGGCAGTAAAAATCATGAAATGACTGATCCCAGCACCTCGGTTGACGGAACATAGGCTTCTCCACCATTTCGTACGAAGTACACAGGTGTGGGCTACACCGGCAAGCGATTTTAAGGTTAGTTCTGGAGGGTAAGATTAGGGATTTGATCACACTTATTCAGCTTTCTAATCTAAAATTCTGAAGTCGAGCATGATGTATCACTTGGTGGCTTGATCTTGATCTTGATCTTGGTCCTACCCTAGATCGGGGAAGGACTGGGCTCAGTTTTGTACTCCCCTCCTTCTCACTCTTAAGATTCCTCTTCGAACGCGCTCTGGAAAAGACAATGAAGAGGGTTGCCGGGCACGCGAGCTAGCGATAGTAACAAACTACTTTCTGTCTAAAGGTTTGATCCAATATTGATTCAACTGGTGTAGATTGATGAGACTGCAGGGAATAAAGAGTGGTCCACTCTCCACGACTTGATGCACCTCCTAAGCAGAGACGTCATACAATATTAAGCGCGCCGGCTTGTGAATCTGCGTTCCATCTAATTTCTCCCCCTCTATAATTTGCATCATCCCCAGCTAGCTTTTCATCGTGACGCCAAGTTCCAGGTTCTGGCTTGCCTTACGTCAACGGCAACATTAATAAGATATTTGAAAAAGCAATTGAGGATAAATAAAAACGAACATCATGTAAATAACAGAAAACTATATTACTTCGCGTTATTGTTCAATAGGTACTCGCGTACTGGTACATCATGGGCTAATACAAGACGGGGTTGGTGAGACACGGCGAAACGAGGAGAGCCTTCCTCTGTGAGAGGGGATTTGGGAGGCCACCAATCACTGGCGGGAGCTGAAGAGCATCATGACGATGGCGAGACCCGTGGCTGCTTCTTCCATCGCTCCCAATAATCTCACCGGCAAACGCATCAAAATCATAAAATTACCTGACCTTAATCCCTGGCACGCCGTGTCCCAAATTACATAGAAGGATTTAGAAAAGAAGACTCTGAATGGGGGGACAAGGAACCTAACCGCTGCACATAACGCAAGCTTCGGGGTTCTCGATGCTGCCTACATTTTGGAATTATCGTTAGCAAATTCGATGCAACTCCGTCAAGGGTGGATTGGGTGGGTGCGCTTACAGGCAAGGACTGCCTCTGAGTAGATGTCCATTTCACGCTCTTTACTGTCCTCGTCTTGGTCTTCGTCCTGAGGGTCATTCTTCTTGCCCAGGGAAGGACTGGGAAGCTCTTCCGCCTGGAAGCCACCACTCGGCTCCGTTGCTAGAGTCTTGGGGCTGCCACCTTCGGCAACATCTGCCTTGATCATCGCCGGCCTGCTCGATGAAGCTACGGATCGCTGGGCGGTCGATGGAGGAGTTGTATCGGGCGTCGGAAGACCGTTTGAATTTCCGTTCAAACCGCCCGCCAACTCGGTTTTCCTCCCTAGTGCGGACCGAGGGGTGGCAGATGCAGACGATGAGTAGCCGCTGGGTGGGGGGGCACGCTTCTTCAACTGAGAGCGGTCCTTTGCGGTATTAACATCAGCAACACGCAATGCCTCTTGATCGACAGTGAACTGAATAGGTGCCGCTGCGGCCTGGGTTCGCAAATAGTACATGCCAGTCTTCAGACCAAGCTTCCAGCCAGTGAAGTGCATGCTCGTGATCTTCCCCATAGAAGGCTCTCGCATATGGATATTCAGAGACTGTGACTGATCGATGAAGGCACCCCGATCGGCAGCCATCTGGACAACGGTACGCTGGGAGATTTCCCAGACGGTCTTGTAGAGCGCCTTGATATCCTCGGGAATGCTTGGGATATTCTGAATAGAGCCACCTTCGGCGATGATGCGATTCTTCATCGAGTCCGACCAAAGGCCAAGGTCAACAAGATCGCGGAGAAGCCAGGGGTTGACGACCTGGAATTCACCTGCCAAGACACGTCGTTGGTAAATGTTCGAGGTGTATGGTTCAAAGCATTCGTTGTTCCCGAGAATTTGAGAGGTGCTTGCAGTGGGCATGGGGGCCAACAAAAGGCTGTTACGGACGCCATGCTGCTTGATCTGCTCCTTCAGAGCATCCCAGTTCCACAAGTCCGAGGGCTTGACATTCCACATGTCGTACTGGAGAATTCCTTGAGAGACGGGAGAACCCTCGTACGTCGAATAGGGGCCCTGCTCCTTGGCGATCTCCATTGACGCTTCCAGAGCGGCGTGGTAGATTGTCTCGAAGATTTGAATATTGAGCTGCCGGGCCTCGGGGGATTCGAAGGGCATACGCAGGGCAAGGAAGGCATCCGCCAATCCTTGCACACCCACACCAATGGGCCGGTGGCGCATATTGCTGTTGCGGGCCTCCTGCACCGGGTAGTAATTGACATCAATGATCTTATTGAGATTTCGAACGACGACCTTGGTTACTTCGTGGAGTTTCTCAAAGTCGTACTCGCCCTTGTTGTAGTCGACGAACGAGGGCAAGGCAAGCGATGCCAAGTTGCAAACCGCCACTTCATCCGGAGCCGAGTACTCGATGATCTCGGTGCAGAGATTGGAGCTGCGGATAGTGCCAAGGTTCTTTTGGTTGCTCTTGCGGTTGCAGTGGTCCTTGTAAAGCATGAAAGGATTTCCTGTTTCGGTCTGAGCCTCCAAGATGGCGTACCAGAGCTTTTGAGCCTTGAGAGTCTTGCGACCGCGGCCTTCCTTCTCATACTTTTCATACAAGGCCTCGAACTCCTCACCATAGCAATCGGCAAGGCCGGGGCATTCGTTGGGGCACATCAGGGTCCAGTCGCCGTTCTTTTCAACTCGCTTCATGAAAAGATCGGGAATCCAGAGCGCGAGGAAGAGATCCCGGGCTCGAACCTCTTCTTTGCCGTGGTTCTTGCGAAGGTCCAAGAACTCGAATACATCTGCGTGCCATGGTTCAAGGTAGATGGCAAAGGCTCCCGGGCGCTTATTACCACCTTGGTCAACGTACCTGGCGGTGTTGTTGAAGACACGAAGCATGGGAATAATGCCGTTGGACGTTCCATTTGTCCCCGCAATATATGAGCCTGTGGCGCGAATGCGATGGATGTTGAGGCCGATGCCACCGGCCATTTTTGAGATCATTGCGCATGTCTTCAACGTGTCATAAATTCCCTCAATACTATCATCCTTCATGTCGACGAGGAAGCATGAAGACAGCTGGGCTTGGGGGGTGCCGGCGTTAAAGAGAGTGGGTGAAGCATGAGTGAAGAATTTGGACGACATTAGATTGTACGTCTCAATCACACGCTCAACGTCATCGCCCCAAATACCGACGGCGACACGCATAATCATGTGCTGAGGTCGCTCGACAATCTTCCCATCGAGTTTCAGGAGGTACGACCGTTCGAGGGTCTTGAAGCCGAAGTATTGGTAATTGAAATCCCTGTCGTAGACAATGGCAGAATCAAGCTCCTCCTTGTGTCGCATTACACATTCGTATGTCTCCTTGGCTATCATCGGCGACGGGCGGCCATTCTTGGGATTCACATAATGATAGAGGTCCGAAACGACGGAGGACCACTGCTTCTTCGTTTGCTTATGTAGATTGGAAACCGCGATGCGAGCTGCTAAGATGGCGTAGTCGGGATGGGTAACGGTCATGTATGCGGCGGTTTCTGCAGCCTAATATTCACCAGACTTGTTAGAATGTGGCGGGTCTGTGAATATGTCCAAGTAGTCTAGGTCGCACTTACAAGGTCATCAAGCTGAACAGTCGTGACGCCACCGTAGACGCCTGAGATGACTTTTTGAGTGATGGCTACAGGATCAATGTGATCCGTGTCAAGACCGTAGCAGAGCCGGGAGACTCGTGCTGTGATCTTGTCAAACTGGACACGCTCTTGGCGTCCGTCTGTTGATGGTGTCAGTAGGAATGGTATCGTAAACGAACCGCTGCACTTGAGGGGGAAAGGGGAGGGGGGATAACGCACCTCGCTTCCTGACAAACATCTTGGATGTGAGGGTCTGGTTTGGGGCCGAGGCTGGCGGGCAGGCTGGCCGGAATGATTACTGCTGGGGATGCGTTTTATCGTTAGATGGAGGCAAAACACAAAACTATTGAGCGGAATAACATGGGCAGCTGTGGGAAACGAGATTGGGGGTTGTGGAGGGAGGAGATGAAGATAATGTGAGAAGACGAAAAAGCTAAGAGAGGGGCACAGGTTTTATGAGTTGCGCGTCGGAGACGCGACATTTCACTGTTAGCGTGCCAACACGGTTGGATGTGGGTTAATTGGGATCAATCCATGATTACTCAGCCCCCGCCAGGTACCAATGCCAGTTGCACCGAAACCAACATTGAAGTCTCGTCATTCTCAGGGATCGACTTGTGCTTGATTGATAACTCCAGACGAAGAAAGGCTATCTAGGAGGCTCACAATTCTCTGTTATGTCTTAGATTCAACCTCCCTCTTCATCAGGTTCGAAGGAACCACGACCGGATTGTTCGTTCCACGGATTGTACTTCGTACCATTGTATTCCTTTTGAAGTGTTTTGAAGTGTCATGGTTGTTTATCATGGGAAAAAAAATCCATTCGTACTGTGTGGTCTGGATATCATTGTTTTTTTGTTTTCCTTCTAGTGTCGGCCCAAGAGCGACGCGTTGGACAAAAGTGGAAACGAGAACCATCATTTTCAATGGATCTCGCGAATTAGTGAGAATGAGATAATGATTCGAAAAAAACTGGTCAACTCAATCACGGTATCACGTGATACCCCCGTTTTCGTGTAAACGACAATTCACTGAGGTAAACTACTCCGTAAATGTTTACCTTTGTAATAATCTCCGCTCTCTGGTTCCTCATCTCCGAGACTGCTACGAAGTACAAGTTCAGGCCGCAAGAAGAGCTAGTTTACAACTCAAAGGACGAGGGAGGCTAGAGTATATTGGAAAGCGTCTCTTTATGGTGAATCGGGGCCTGCGACCTCTAGGCAGCCTTCGCCTGTATTCTAGGAATTTTCGCCGATTTCCCAGTACTTCGTTCCGCACTTTGACATTCACTTCTCGTGAAATGACTTCTGGAGATGCGCCCAGTACTGAGGCAAAGGCGGGTCATACCGTCTCCTCGCCACAACCTCTCAGGTTCATCGATGTAGGTAGACTCGCACGTATACCTTCTCTTCTCGGCTGGTTCAAATGAAGCAGATCCTAACCACAAGCAATGAATGAAGTAGATCGGCATCAATCTGACTGATCCTATATTTCGTGGAATATATCACGGGAAACCTCGGCATGAAGATGATCTTGACGATGTCATTAGCCGTGCCCATGAAGTGGGATGCCAGAAACTCATCGTCACCGGGTCTGACCTTCATTGTTCTTCCAATGCTTTGAAGCTGACCCACGCATATCGTAAGTCATGAGACTTGGGCGATTGTGTAGCATCCCCGCAACTTGCCCTAACGCTTACTTGTTCTAAGCCGGTGCTGTCTATTCCACGGCCGGAATCCATCCTTGCAGCAGCCAAATCTTCAGTGTTAACCACACTGGAACTGAAGATGGGCTGAACCACTCATGCGATCCCGACCCGGCTAAACCCCTTTCCGAAGATCACGAGCCCTGTCCAACGAAGACGGACGAGATTATTTCCCAACTGGGAGAGTTTTTGCAAAAAGCGAGGTCTGATAGATCAGCCGACCACACAGGGCTTATCGCTTTTGGCGAGTTTGGGTTGGATTATGACAGACTTCATTACTGCTCCAAGAAGATCCAGCTCCACTCTTTCGCAGCTCAGCTGAAGCTTGCCGCCTCACTAAGACCCCAGTTACCGCTATTCCTGCACTCCCGTGCGGCACATCAGGACTTCGTGTCACTTCTGAAGGCTACTTTCGGAGAGAAGTTGGAGCGTCTGGAGCGTGGTGCAGTTGTTCACAGTTTCACGGGCACTCCGGAGGAGATGACGGAGCTGGCGGATCTTGGGCTCTACATAGGGGTCAATGGATGCAGCCTCAAAACTGCCGCGAACTGTGAAGTAGTGAGGGCAATCCCGCTAGATCGCATCATGCTTGAGACCGATGGGCCGTGGTGTGAAGTGCGGCCAAGCCACGAAGGGTGGAAATACCTCAAGGCTAGTCCTCAACATCAAGGAGGCAGCACTGGGCCTCCGTCTAACACGATGGTAATGGAGCGATACAAGACTGTCAAGAAGGAGAGATGGCAGCGGGGCTCAATGGTCAAGGGGCGTAATGAACCTTGCACGATAGAGAAAGTGGCCAATATTGTTGCCGCGATTAAGGGCGTCGACGTCAGTGTGGTATCTGAGGCTGCGTGGGCGAACACTGTCGCAGTTTTTGGTCTTTAACCCGTCCCCATCCATAAGCAATAAAGAATTTTGTAGCCACATTAGGTCTTTTCGTTGGATATTTTACTCGGTATTTACTCCTCCTTTGTGACGGCGCAGGGCTAGGAGGGTGTTGTCTGGAGGCCATGAGCGCCTTTTTCTCGGACTCTTCCATCCCGAACAACACCAAATGTCACATTGTCTTCGCCTGTAAGCCAGCCAGGCATCCTCTCCCCATCAATAATACCGGCCTCTACAAGTTGCCGAATACCGGCGAAAACATGAGGGCCGCGAAGTGCAAGCCGTATATTGGGCGACCATGAGTCGTCCTGAGATAGAAGCTGGGAATCATTGCGCGGCCCCAAAAGCTCCCCCGCATTCCTTTTCTCGTGATTGGTCTGGCGTGCACTGGAAAACCACCTTTTTTCCCTAGCAAGGGACGCAGCATTACTATCCGATGGTTCTGCTGCATCCTCTGTGCTTAGCCCCTGCCCGTTGAGAGTTGGGTATGGATCCTGAATCCACATGTCTGCTCGCTCGACCCCGGTTCCATCATCGATCCTGGCCGAATGACCGAACCTGGCTTGTGCCGCTAATTTCGAACGCTTGGCTGCCTGAAGGTCGTTGACAAGAAGCGAATCCTTTCTCTTTCTAAGTCTGGAACCCTCGTGTTTAGGAATGGACCAATGTAAAGGGTCAGGAGGTGCCGTTCTATCTAACGGGGTATCCAAGCTCGCCTCATCTGTATATACCGTCCAACCGCCCCCTGCTGCATTAGACCGTCCGGAACCTCTATACCGTAGGAGGGCGGCAAGGTTCCTAGTTGCCATGTTGGTTGCCGTAAGTGCGTATCGTTCTGTTGGCTTCGCAAGGGCCCTGCGGATGGCCTCAAAGAGGGCATACCGAAAACCCCTGGTCTCCATGGCGTTGGATTCTCCGACCGTTAGAAGACTCGAGACGTAGACAAAAGGGGCGCCATCTGGAAAAGCGACGTAAATGGTCCGCGCAGTATCGACGTTGAATGGAAGTGTGCCGTTGTTGGACTGTGAGATTGCAAGGCTCGTGTTGTATGGAGAATCGATTATGAAGATGCGAAGTATGACCAGTCGAAGGTTATGGGGTCGGTCAAATTGAAAGTGCATCTTAATATCTGGCAGTATTTGGCTTTGCATGTGTTCTAGAAAGGTCGATGGATGAATGCGAGGGATGCAAGTACCGAGGGAATTGGTTCTTGCTAAGTTCTCGCCGATATTCTCAGATAAAGGTTTGGCGGGAACTATGCCGTAAGCTACCCATTTTTGAGATGTCGGGTGATCGTACAGATACTGAAGGTCTGCCATTGATAACTGGTAGAGCGTGAGACCGTGTCGCCAATCCCCCTCCAAGATTCGGTCGAGGACCTCGCGCTTCGAACCCTTCCGCTGCTGAAACCCGAGATAAACTTCCCTTAGTCTCGCTATGGACGTGGCCGGGGTGTAGAATTCGAGAGAATCGGTGCCATCATCGGAACCATCTGAGGGTGCCAGGTATGGCTGTGATACGGCGGAATTTCTATCGTCGAGCCAATCTAGGGCGAGCGTTATTAGGGAGGCGCGGGACAGTTTGACAAGTGCTTTATAAAGTATGGGATTGTCGGAAGGAACCTTTAGGGAAGAGAGAAGCCTGGCCTTCGTTGGAATTGACAAAGGCGGCATTTTCGATCTATACTGTGGCAACGGTAGGCGACAGTACGAGGGGGTTCCTGTGATCCTGCGATGATATCACTTCGACCTTCTTGTGTTGTCTGGTCGTCGCTCTCTCGCGTCGCGGTTCAATTGTTATAACGCGTACTCGCTCATTGCACCGGTTATCACCTGAGGACAGCTGTCTTTTGAATCTTTGGCAGAGGCGACTCATGTGACTTCGCCGTTGCTGGAAAGTAAACTAATCCTACGGATGTATTAATAATTAAGACTTCATCATATACCCTTGGTTCGAGATCGAGAAGTATTGCTTGGTATTGCTTGGTACTGGGTGGGGACCCTGGATAAATGACATGAGGGCAAGGTCAAGTGCTTCGGAGTACAGGCAGCGTGGGGGTGAGGGGTTTCTCCTCATGGCCGGCACGGGTGTCAACCCCCAAGTCCTATGGTCGGAGGGCTCGCATTACGAGGAACGAAGTAATTCCGAAGGACTAGAGGAGGGTGGGTCACCACTATTAAAGTTTTTCTTGCTTTAAGCGTGCCGAACACGGACTGTAGTAATCTAATACTACTACTCGAAGTTGTGAACCGATGCAATTAAAATCGGGAATGGGATCACATTCATGAAGTATTAAATTGGTACATACTGACAAATAATAACATATGTAGAGTTAAGGTTGGTAACTTCATCTGTCCTCGACTGCAGGAAGAAACTTGGCTGGCAGGGGTGGACCCTTTCAATATTCCCAGCAGCTTCTTTACTTCGTAAAGAAATATTCCGAGAGGTCGGCAGGAGTCATCACAAAGCCCAGTCACTAGTGTAGTTAACGCGTAACAGTATAGATCGAGCACAGGTTGGAACACTGAACGAGTAGTTTAATATCATGGTGCACACCTCGGTCCAGGGCAAATTCCGGTTCTGGACGCTAATAGTATCGGCACAATGATGGCACCAGTGGGCTTGGGTACTGATAAAGTCCACCTGTGCTTGCACCTGCGATCTGAGAGTTTGTACTCCATCGTTGGGCAGACAAGAAGTACATCCTTAAATGTACTATTTTGTACCATTGCCTCTCCACTCTCTCTCCTCTGCCTTTCGGCCTCGCCACAGTTTGATTCCTTTGTTAGCGTCGTAAACTAGTTCATTGCATTTCGAAGACTACACAAAACCGAGGAAAAAAATGCGTAAACTCACCCCACCACACCAGCGCCTTAGATAACCTTGACCCCCTCGTTTTTCTCTCCACCATCGTGTCTGTTTCTTTCCTCCATCACTCGAACACAATTGAATTGACGGTTTTGACGAGCCTCTCTCTCTCGCCCAAGCATTCACCCTATTCTCCGCCCGTGTTACTGCCTCTTCGATCTCGACCGAAACAAATATGTCGACTTACGGTGGCCGTCGGGGGCCGAATGTCTCCCAGTATCTCCGACATCTAAACACCATTCCTACCGAGAGTCCAACCGACGACGCGTTCATTGATGACGATCTCAGCCTCTTCACGAACACTCGATTCTTTGATATTGAGTCGGGTCAGACAACAGACTTCCAGGCTCCCCCGGTCAAGCCGGAAAGCGAGCAGGTCTCTGCTCCTACTGAAAACTTGAATTCCGCGTCTCCAGTTGGTGATTTGACGGGCATCGATTTCATATCAGGTTCGTGACGAAACTCTTAATTCATCGATTTTCGGCTTTCCGACAGCCGTTTTTCATATTGTTTTTATGTTGGAAAGATGGCTTTTATTTCCCTGGGAGAGAACATCCACATTTGCAAGTCGCCTGGCTTTTAGCTCTTGATTCTCTTGCCATCTGTTCCGACGGCGCCCTTCAAAGGGCGGGGTGTGTTCACTCCGTTGCGATTTGCCCCCCGCCCCAAAATTTCACTTCCACGTTCATCTCTCGATGCTTGCACTGGGCTTTATAGTACCCCACGCACCTATCGGCGTTAATTGGAGCAAGTGTTCCCTCAATATAACGCTGGCTTCGCGCCTCCCCGCCTCCCCGGTTGGGGTGTAACAGCCGAAACCTGCGCTTACAAATTGGGTTCTGCGCTGATGGTGCAATAACCCGTGATCTCCACCCCCACTCTCAAAACCTCTCAACACTGAATCACGAAGCCGCGGAAGATGTCGTTGAGCAGCGTCTATCTTAGCACCTCCCTGTCCGGAGGATATCTTTCTACCTTTGTGTGTGGGATACCGGAGCTCGACGAACAAATGGTTGCAACATATCGATGCCAACTTAGTTGCGGCTAACTCAATGTCATGGCTCCAGATTTCAACTTTCCCGATTTCTCTTCGTATCAAGCGTCAACACTCAATCCTGGTTTTGCAGATGCGCTCCCTATGCAGCCTCTCCAGCCTTCGGCTCAGGTATTCTCGACGCCCGTTCCACAACAGCAGCAGCAGCAACAGCAACAGCCTACCACCTTCGTTCAAACCCAGTCGCGCATCGGTGACAAGAGGAAATCGGAATCTTTAGACAACTCGGGTCAGTTGAGTTTTGAAGAGGCCTCCAGACTCGCAGCTGAGGAGGATAAGCGGAGGCGCAACACGGCAGCTAGCGCGAGATTCCGTATCAAGAAGAAGCAACGCGAGCAGGCCCTGGAACGGACAGCGAAGGAAATGTCGGAGAAGGTTACGGTTCTCGAAGGCAGGATCCAACAACTAGAAACAGAGAACAAGTGGCTGAAGAACATGATTCTCGAGAAGAATGGTGGGAGCGAGCAAATAGCTTCGCTGTTAGAAAAGGGCCTCAGCGCCAAAGATAAGACGGAAACGTCGAAGGCCGCGGAGCCTGTGAAGGCGGAGCTGTAACTTGCTTGATAGAGGGATGCAACTGGGGTCTCCCATATGTCCGAAGACGCTCGGTGATGGCGACGCATATCATGATGAGAAGAAATGCTGATTTGGGACCGGTTTCGGTTTGGAGTGGGGCGTTACGAGATACTGGCGGTCTGGAGGGAGGCTTCGTTGAATTGCTGCATATAGGGGACGGGATATTGGGAAGGGCCGTGCCAAATCTCTTGAGGAGAATCCTGTTTGTATTGGCACTATATCGGGCTTTGCTTTTTTAGTTTTCTTTTTCTCCCTTTATTTTTTTTTTTCCCCTCCATGTGGTCTCTGAGCTTCTAGTTATACATGTTACATGAATGTATTATCTATCGATTGTAAACTTCCTCCCGTAGTAGGCTACTTGGACGGTTTGTCCTCATCATTTACCCCATCCTTCCTTCGTAGTGCTTCCAGGCGAAGCTGATTTCTCTTTCCAAGAATTCTGAGAGTATTCTTCTTTTCGATCTCAGCCATCTCGGCCCAATTCGCAATACGTGACATGGTTCCGTCCTGATTAACTACGAGAGGGCCGAGATGGTCGAGCTTCATGGTTGTGCCTCCCCCGCTCACATCCAGCGTCTTGTTTACTCCGTCAACATCATGGGGTGGCTCGGGAAGTGGGAGGGGCTTCTTCGCTACGGCGGGTTGAGAAGGTCGATCGCCAGGGCTTGGGCCAGTTATCTTTCCGTTGACGGTCGAGGACATGGTCCGTTGTGTAGTGGTGTTTAACCTCGTAATTTGGGCACGGCGTATTAACAGGAGAACTTGTCCGCGTCGCGAGAGAGCGGGTCGAAGGGTGTTCATTTGTCGAGCCTTCCCTAGCAAATTGGGCAACCCTGGCACTGTAATGAAGTCGAACGGAAATGCCGTGTGCAGGAGTGAAAAAGGATGAGAACAGTTTGGCGTATTGTATGTTGAGAGGAAAAGTAAAAGAATTTGGATTCGGGATCATTCTTCTGGTTTCCTTCACCTCCCACTTTGCTAAACTACGATGGCACATCCATTATTCCCCGATAATTGTATATCCCCGATAATCTGTCTCACAACGGAATGCTTTCTCTCCAATCATTAACGTGCCCTTTGCCTTGAGATCCGGGGAGAGCTCTTCGCCACTTTCTTCTTTGCAGCGATGACGGGTATCGCTTGAAGTGTGAGCGCGACTTGTTTCCTTTCGTGTTCGAATATATAATGTTCTGTCTATCTGCGTGCGCCGAGGGTGACCGAGGCATCCCTTCCCGGAAGAACGGCCCAGCAAACGAAACGGGCCATTGCAGCTTTCTCGTGGAAAAGAAAAGGCTCGAGCTCCATCCTTTCAGGGCATTTGTTACAGCTCTACGAAGTAACGGACTGAACTTTGCGAGGGGAGGAACAGTGTTAGACCTGGACTACTTCGTACATCATCTTTACAATCTCTGTTCCATGGATAGATCCTGGTAGTATTTGGCATTAGCTTCAGTGGCTTAATCTCCAAGGCACAGGGGAATCAATAAATCATCAAATCAAGATTCCTCTAAAGTTAGATTAATCTACTGAGCAGATGTATATCTCAATGCAGAGAAGGCTGAATTAGGTGGTCCAAAGTGGCCCAATTTGAGCCTTCAAATTAGGGGTCCAGTACTTCGTACCTGTGTACCCACATTGTCATTGCCTGCTTGTGGAACTGAGTAAATCAGTCCGTTTGAACATTGAACATTGTCTGTGCTATCAAGAAACAGCACAGCCCTCCTAGAGCTGCTTGACAAAGAAGAGGACAAAAAAAATAAAATAAAAATAAAAGAAAATTTATCTGATGCTGCTTCTAGTAAAGACCTGACCATTTCGAAGTTCTCAAAGAAGGATTCATGACAGAGGTAGCACTAGGCAAATCAAGGAAGCAGCATAGCATTGGTATACTGTCAATATTACAATTGTACCCAATCTCTAGAACCACCTTTAACTCCATTACCTAACCCAAGTTGGCAGTCACCCCTGGACAGCGATTGTGTTCCTGTCCACTATTGTCCTCTCACCCAAGCCCATCACCAATGCCACCGCTCCCTAACCGGAAGGCCAAGGAGCATCACCACAACCCCGACTGTGCTGTTGCTGGCACAGTCTCTTTATCTCTTCTCAAATACGATGAGTGGTGACCTGAGCCTATCGAGGGCATTGGGAGGCTTACGAATCGCGAACCCCGATGACGCCCCGCCCCCCAGCTCCCCAGATCATGCGTCGGCTAGCCAGTATACCAAGCCGGCAGAACGTCACGATAATGGACGTCCTGTCTCGGTCGGAAACGAGCCTCGAATGATCTTCGAGATTCCAAGAGAATTATCTAATGTTCACCCCGACCAGCTAGACCCGCCTCCGCCGCCGTCTTCAGACCGAAGAGAACATCCCCCAGAAACCAGATCCCATCATGCGAACCCCCTTTCCCGTTCAGCCAACGACACCCATCCCGATACCCAGCCAACGCCGCATCAGCCCCAAATATTCTCCCATTCGAGCCGTGACATACCCGCCGCCTGGGGTTCCCAGACGCCAGCAAGAGCCGAGTCGTCGGCGGCCGGTCAGGCAGGCTACCAGCATCGACCCGCAGCCAATGCTTTAGCACGGTATCCAAGTCAGAGCGACTCCTCGCATGGCCTCAATCACCGTGGCCATGTATCTTCGCCAGGCGGCCCGCTGCCTCCCCGCCGAAGCTCTCGAGGAATGGGTGGGGGATATCTTTCTGGTACCCAACCCAGCCATGTTCCCCAGAGCCAGAGTTCTGAGGCCCATCTCCCGATTAGCAGCCAGGAGTGGCAAGAACGAGGTGCTGCTGTTGGTGTTAGAAGAGAGATCGATGCGAACGGACAGACAGTCCTCCGCCATGTAAAGAAAGGGGTGAGAGATTTCACCTTTGGTCGAATTTTGGGTGAAGGGTCATACAGCACTGTCTACCTAGCCACAGATCGGCAAACCCTGAAGGAGTACGCCATCAAAGTCCTGGAGAAAAAGCATATTATAAAGGAGAAGAAGATAAAGTATGTCAACATCGAGAAGAATACGCTGAATCGGCTGACCGAACACCCCGGTATCGTACGGCTCTATTATACATTCCAAGATGAAACCTGCCTCTACTACGCTCTGGATTTCTGCAGTGGTGGAGAGCTCCTGGGCGCTCTGAAGAGAACCGGCACATTCGACGTCGAATGCACGAGGTTCTATGGAGCTCAAATTCTGGATGCTATCGAGTACATGCATTCTCGCGGGGTATTGCATCGCGACCTCAAACCCGAGAATGTTCTACTGGATGACCACATGCATATTAAGATAACCGATTTTGGGACTGCGAAGATGCTCCCAGATCCCCGAGGACCCAGACCCCAGGATGGTAGAGATCGCGGCATTCCCGAAGGCACCCAGGCTGGGAAGGACGACGATAATAGAGCTCCCTCATTTGTCGGCACGGCGGAATATGTTAGCCCGGAGCTCCTAACCAACAAGAATTCCTGCAAGGCTAGCGACCTGTGGGCGTTTGGATGCATCATCTACCAGCTCCTTGCTGGTCGACCACCCTTTAAGGCTGCATCGGAGTATCTGACATTCCAGAAGATCGTCGGCCTTGACTATGAGTTTCCTCCGGGGTTCCCACCCGCTGCAAGGGACCTCGTGGAGCGTCTCTTGGTCTTGGATCCTGCACATCGTCTCACTATCGAACACATCAAGAACCACGAATTCTTTGATGGCCAGCAGTTTGGAAAGGGGCTCTGGAGAAGCAAGGCCCCTCGCCTGCGACCATATGTCCCCCCGGCGCAAGAGCCTCACATCATTCAGCTTAATGGATTGTCAAGCACACCAAAACCTACTTCTGGAGCGCGACAGCTACCACAGGGTCATCAAGGCCCTTCTTCAACGCCCAACGGGGCTACTCGTCCAACATTACCTATTGCCGAGTTGCCTCCTCCCACACAACTAGATTTCGAGTGGTCTTCGGTCCTTACTCGAACAAATGAAAGAATTCTCAAACTTGGAGACTTGATGGTAATATCTACACCCCTACCAAATAACTCGCAGGGGAAGAATGGCGAGCATAGCGACGGGCATAAGAAGCTGGCCAGGTTCTTTGGCGGAAGCACAACGAAGAAACGCCAAAGGCTGGTCATGATAACATCCAGTGGGCGCATCATCTTAGCTCCAGCTGGAGGTGAGGAGAAGAGGGCTAAGCAGGACATATCTCTTCTGGCACCTGATTGCGTTTGGAGAAGTCAGATCGATGCCAAGGGTCAGCCCGTGTGGTGTGTGGATACTGTAAGTTGCCACTACTCTACCGTCAACCGGCACAAATGAGTACACGAGTTGGGTGCCTAACAATGCCTTTTTGCAGGGCGGAATTCATTACACGTTTGAAGAGCCTCGGTCGTCTTCGAGTTCAAGTAACCTGGCCAGCACTACGGCCGTTGACGAGTGGATAGATTCCTTACAACGAGCAAAGGAGCTCGCCCTCTCCCAGAATGGTATGGGTTCGTCTGGGAGTGACAACGGCTTCGGCGACATGTCTTCAAAAATGTCAAGCCCCGCTAGTACTCTAGGCGGAAGAAACACATACTCGGCGGCGGAAGGTTTTGCTGTGAATGACAAGGCTGGTCGAAGTCATCTGAGCAAGACACCTACAACGGACGAATCCACCCCAAGACGGAACCGATTTAGTAAGCGACACTCGAGAAGCGGACTCGGCGCAGCATTCTAAGTTTATATACTAAGTTAGTTTAATATTAACCACTTTTCTAAGTCTTTCTAAGTTCGCTCCTTCGTATAACGGAAAATGTAAATGCAGAACTGGGAGATCGACCTCGTCAAGTTGGGAAAAAGGTTCGATGTTGATTTGATTCCATCACGTGATGCCCGTTCGTCGGCAGGCGAAACACTGCAAAGTCAGCTCCACAGGTGGGCAGCCTTTGAGGACGTACTTTTTTAGGCGTTGCCCGCAGACCCTGTTCTCATCCACTTTTTTTCCGAGTCTCTAGCGAATTGGTCCCCAGTTGCCCGTTGCCCCCGCCGTAGGCCCCATGCCCCAGCCCCAGTAAAAATTGGTTGTCACGGAGTGCCATCTGCGCGTGTCATTCATCGTCGCGTCCTCGAAATTGATTCTGGGATGAACCCATCACTCCCCGTTGATCACACCGCCGCCATCCCCGCCGAGCCAGTTTCAACACACGACAGCCTGGCAGAAGTTTGTTTCTGCCTGACTTGCAGCAATAATCGGCTTTTTGAAAGGCTAAGTTCCCCACAAAACAGAATGCAGGGTCAATACCGTCAATACCCCCAGACACCCCAGAGACAGGGTCAAGCCTCTGGACAACGGAGAGGAGGCATTGGTAAGATAAAGAACAGCAGCTCATTTTATCCCTACCCATATCTACAATCCACGATGCACCTTTCACTAACATATCTCCCTCTCCTTTCCTCATTGACTAGGTCCCATGATGTCAGCTGGCCCTCACCCGTCTGTGCCTCTGACCCAGGCGCAGATTGCTCAGCAGCAACAGGCGCAAGCCCAAGCCAATGAGCTGGCGAAGAGAAGGAGTCGCAAGCCTACCGATAAAGCCATGCCTGAAGGAGTTGAGGATTCGACGATTGACCCCGAACTTGTGGCTTTGTATAGCAACCTCCGAGCATACGAGCGACGACTCGACGCGACCTTGGCCCGCAAGAGACTCGACATTATTGATAATGCTAGTCGGTACCTGAAGGTAGGCACCAGATCGCCATCTCCATATTTCTGAGATCTAGACGAGCTCATCAAACTGGCACTATAGCACGATAGAACCCTTCGTATCTGGATCTCTAACTCCGTGGAAGACCAACCATGGCAAAACAACGATCTCAATGTGGACAGTTTTGACTTCAGCAACAACTTGGAACCCACCTACCGTGTACGCATGGAGGGTCGCCTCCTTGACGATGAGTTTGAGGCCATGAAACAGGGCGATGCGGGTGCTGGCGGCCCTGCTCCTGCAGCTGGTCCTGTTTACAAGCTTTCCCATTTCTTCAAGTCTATAAGCGTAGATTTCCACATCCCCGGAAGGCGACCCGATCAAAATGTCGAGTGGAAGAAGCCTGACCGCAACCCACCTGCCAGTAGTCAACAAGCTGCCGAATTCGATGAATTTTGCTTCAAGCGGAATGGAGATGAGAATGTCAATATCACCATCAATCTTGTGCGCCACGAAGAACCCGAACGGTTTCTATTAACACCGGAACTCGCAGCGGTCGTGGACATGGAGGAAGCTACGCGCCAAGAAACGATGATGGGGATATGGGAATATATCAGATATCACGGTCTCCAGGAAGATGAGGAAAAGCGCAACTTTCGCTGCGATGATCTGCTGAAAAGGGTAGGGCTTCCTTATCCTCTAACCAGACCACCTTTCATAGGCCACCCTAGCTAATCCCCGCGTCAACCAGGTCATCAATCGCGGAGACGTCGGACACATTCCCCATTTGGGTGAATACATTGCGCCCCATCTGCGGCCCCTACCGCCAGTGTCTCTGTCCTACACTATTCGAGTCGATGAGGAGTTCCACAAGAACCCAGAGCCAACTATTTACGATATCCAGGTAACTGTTGAGAACCCGTTACGGGCCAAAATGATAGCATTTATCACGGACCCTGGCTACGCTGGCATGCTCAAAGAGGTTGCGGGTCTGGATGAACAACTCGCTAGGCTTATCCAAGCCGTTTCCATGTCCAAATCGAAGCATACATTCTTTTCCTCCCTGAGCGAGGACCCAGTCAACTTCTTCAAGAATTGGCTAAGCTCGCAGAAGAGAGATCTAGAGGTTCTGGACGGAGAAGCCCCGAGAGGTGGAGGTGAACATGCTGGTGGCGATGAGTGGCGAAAGGGTGGGAACGGTAGCGTCTGGGCTACAGAAAACGCTCGGGAAACAGTGAATGTTATCCTCTCGCGTCCTAGGCCGCAAGTTCAGCATCGACCAGCTTAAGTGGATTTCGGCTGCGCGGCGGCGGCTCATCTGTTATCACGACATGGGTTTTAGGAAGGGCGTTTGGGGCCGGTCTTGTAACACTAGTGAAGGTATTTCTTCTTTTTCTCCGGCGTAATATTTGCCCGCCCGGATCGACAGTCCAGTTTCATTTCTTCACCGCATTTTCTCTCATCATCAAAGTGGCAAAACATGATTGTATTGGTGCCTAGAGATGCGACTATTCACAAGGCTCATTGCCCTCTGAGCAGAGCCTCCCTTCAGAGTCGAAATCGCCCGTCTAGACCTGATTTCCACAAGAGGTGGCTCCGAAATACAGCTGTTCCAGTTTTGAATCCGCCATGTCATACTATCGCCTTCGGGCTTGCTGTGTTGTCACACAATTACCAGGACCTGGAGGGGTAGTGAAGTGGTGGGGGGCGATCTGTATAGAGGAGTTGTAGCATGGGGTGGGGAGATATCCTCATTCCCCGCTTCCATATTATCGATCTTCTGCTCGACTGAGCAACTGATTCAACCTAGAAAGTAACCTTTGCAGCTAAGTTACCTCTGAGGTGGAATGGGCTGGGGGGGCAAGTTCTTGATTTGTTTTATCAAAAACTCTCGCTCATCAATAAACTGCTCATCATCAGTCCTATCACTGAGAAAGTTGGATAGGAAGGTGAGAAGTTTGTCTCGGTTCATGATAAGGATCTTTTGTACAGCAACAGATTTGTGGGGGTTGGCGACAAAGACCTTGAAGACATGAAAACCCTCATACTGAACCATCTTGCGGTCGTCTCTAAGGAGATTCATGCAGATCTTCAGATGCTCACCACTGTCGACGTATGCTGTCATCACACTGTAGTTTGAGCGGTCGAGTAAAATCTCTCCCAACAGCTTGATCGACTGACGCTTTGTGACATAGCTGTTGGACTGCACCAAGGTAGTATTGTATTTGGAGAAGAACATTTCAAAGTTCACAGTGAGATACCGCGGTACGAGCTCCTTGTGTTTCGTCAAGAGTTCCTAGAGCCAACAGAAAATGAATCATCAGTACGGTGGCCAAACGAGTTCACTGATGCTGGCGATAGTTGATGGATAGAGCGGTAGTGTATAGTCAAGTGGGATGTTCGGGGTATATAGACCTACTCTAAAGGTAGTGAAGGCATCTGCAGCAACTTCAAAGGAGCTTTTATCGATCCACTCGAAAAACTTCCAGAACACTCCATTTCCGCTCTGCGGCTTATCTCGCTCGATACCGGCAAGGCCGTACGTGCTAGAGCCCTCCTTCTCTCCATCATCATACAAAATAACCGCCGCAGCAGCCTCGACTTTTAATACCTCCCGCAGAACGGCGCCCGCGGCCGTAGCGCTCTCCTTATAGTCGTACCCACGACATAGTTCAACAAGCACCTGAGGTCGTTGATTGACAACGTACGACAAGGCTACTGGATCGGATTTCGGGGATGCGCCGGCCGGTCGGAATCGGAATATATAGGAGAAGATGACTTGCGTATCCTTCCGAGACTCGAACGGCAGTTTGTGTAGGTGTACGGCAAGCTGGTAGAGGAGATCCTCCTCTATGACGGTCGTGACAAGGTGGTAAATCTGATCTGGGCTGGTGTCGGGGTCTCCCTGAAGGACGAGCTTCATTTGTGACAAGACCTTGGCGAGATCATCTGTTTTGGTGGTGCCGTTTCTCAGGAACTCCTTTGCTTGCTTCGCCAGGTCTACCCCAGGCCTAGACCTGGCGCGTCCAAAGAGAAAGGACATGTTGGACTTGGAATTATTATGGACGACAAGTCGGATCGACGAGGAGCGTGATTGCAACGGTTATTAAGGGATTAAAGGAGATGGCAAGGGAGTGGACGGTGGGCGCAGACGCAGGCGCGTGCGTGGACGTGGGTGTATCTAATCCTATTGTTCCTTGTCACAGAGAGAGAGAGCGTTAGCAGTGCATGGACACGGGCGGTTTGATGCCTCTCCTAAAATGGAAGTCACCTCTAACAAAACTCCTTCGCAATGCATCAATCAATGGAGGAGGGGCCTTGAGGGTCCAGAAAATATCAAGGCGAGGCGTAGCCGAGAGAAAGGGTAAACACCAGAGAAAGTTGGCAAGGCTTAAGCTGGGTATTATCGATCCCCTTGTGGCTTACTTCGTAGACGACTCTACGAATAGCAATTACATCCAGATCCGGGCCGTGAACATAAACTCAAGGGCATCCGCGAAGTGCTGGATTTTATTGATCAATGCAATGTTCCATTAACAGATCAATCCATCAATCGATCAACACGGCGGGGTAATAACTAACAGAAGCCTGTCGGGCTGTCTCCGACTTGTTATGGCTTTCCCGAGATTCCGACTGGGCCAGGATCCATTTAACTGCAAGTCTAAGGAGGAAATAACATCAAGAGGGGTCAAACTTCAATGTTAGAGGTGGGATCTAAACTACACAGGTAGAAAGTAAACAATAGTTGACTAAGCTCCTCGTTCCTCTCCTCGGGCAACCACAATCTCGAAGTACAACACAGAAGTATGCTTTACTTCAAATTTCGTCCAATGTGTTTACTAAACTTCAGAGTGGTAACACATCAATGTCAATATTAATCAACCAATCGTCGGCACAGCGATTGGAAAATGTGAGCCAGAAGATTGATTGCCTTGGCAGCTGACACCATCCGGTCAAGTCCGTCTCCCTCGTCCACGAGAAGCGGCCTATATTGATGCTGTCAGCAACAGGAAAACCATGGCGACTGCTTGGACAGGCCAGCGATACATACTAAATAGCAGTCTTTCAACGACATAAATTCTTTAAGGCATTTGTCTTTGTGTACGGAATTGAAGTCGGCGACAACACATCGACCATAGACAACAGCCTATTCAGGCGAGTTTTAGCGAACATGAATATTTTTGTCATCCACTGAGGTCGACCTAGTCAAGGATGCAGAACTCAGAGGGGGTCCTCCTCACCTGTGGAGAGCATTGCGAAACAGCCGTTGCTAGCGTTTGTATAGGTCGAGGAGTTGGTCGCGTCATACTGAGAAGCAAAGACTCTCAATGGTATTGTGCCTTCATTCAGAAACTGCGAAGTAAGTAGCAATAATAGACGGCGAGCCAAGTCATTTCTTGGAAGCTGGAGCAACAAGGTTGGCAGGCGTATGTATCTAAACGGCAATGCGATAAATGGAATATTATTGTATCTGTAATTATCCCGGCTACCGGGTTTACGCTTTGCTCATGCCGGGTACCTTCGTACCTTCGTACACCGTACATTGGCTACATGAAAAGAGATGGCTGGCGACGCGACTGAGAGATTCTCCACCAAGTACCTTTTGTATCAACCTCCAATCCGCGTTGCTGTGTCGGTCCAAATGCCCATTCCTAAGACTCGCGCGACTCAACAATGACGGTGTGGAAACGAGATTCTTGAAAACCAAGCTCTTATTCACAGCAGTCTTGGGCACACTGCCAGGTTCTATCGTCCCTAACGCGCCCAATGCGCACATCCCACTCGCGAGCCGCCCTTGACAACACGCGAATTTCGAGAACCCAACACCGCTTCTTCGGCGCCAGTCTCCCCCAACCCGGCAGCTCGTGTCGCATTACTTGTTGAACCGCTCCCAGCCTGAAATGCACTTCCACCTAGCATGCGATCCATACAGCAAGGCCTCACATGCCGTCTTTGCTGCCTTATCCAGCGCTGGCCCAGTATGACGGCAAACCTGGGTCCGAAATATCAACTAACTCGTCGGAAATATTCTACACAAATGAAGGTATTTAGTGTTCTGCCAACCTCGCGCTCTTCAGCTCCACTTCCAGGGGGCAGCGGCTAACGGACACATCCTCCCTCTTAGACATTAGCGTCATCCACGAGATTGTCGTGGCCGCCCAGGAGCACCTGGACGGTCTCCCAGAACAGGACAGAGTCCCTACCAATTCTCTCTTTCAAGCCTATGATGCAGTCCTCCCCGCGCATGGGATTGACCCGGAGAATGACCAGCATCTCTCGAGGCTCGTTTTTAGGATTGGAGGCGAGCGAGGCGAGGGAACGCTATTGGAGAAGTTCGGTTCGGTTTTGTCGCGGATGGGGATTGAGCTCGAGTTCGATACTAGCTCAATACCCGCGGAACCGGAGCTCTCCGAGGTTTCCCAGACCGAAATCACATCGCCCCGGTTCAGACCGACCCTTGTTAGCCGCGCCAAGTTCGCTGAGAAGGATCTTGCCGGAGGCGCCGCTCTACCTTCCGCGGACTCTGAGACAGAGTCGCCGTCCTCGTCCAAGTCTGCCGGCACGACGGCGACCGAAACTGCTCATACGACCCGGCTAATCTCGCACGGGCATCCGGCTCACATTCCGTGTGCTGGTAGTATCCCCCAACACAATCTCCCCGCTCAGCCACCGCGCAGGAAAGAGCCAGCACGGCATACCCCTGTTGACTTGCCTATGGCCCTCAGAGCTAGCGGTACCAATACCCTAAATCCGGTCAGCCCCACTGCCTCAGAGGACAAGCAAGCCCTTCTTGATGATCTTGAAGATGCGTCAGCAGACGAGCGAACCAGTCAACTTGCGGAGCTCGAGCTGGCGTTTCTCGGACAGAGGCTGTTTAACTCTTGGCTGAATTTGACTACCCCTCCCGAAAACACCGAGGAATATCGCAGGATATTGGCTGAAACGGTGTACGAACGTAATGTGACTGAGGCACTTCTCACCCAGTGGAAAGACCTAGCATATTGGAAGAGATCAGCAGCACAAGAGGCAGCGTGTCTCGAGTCCTATGCTGTACGTTGCGACAGAGTAGCGGGAAGGGCTCGCCAAATTTACGTTTTAACGACTGGATTCGTTCTTTGGCATCAGCTCTCCGCGTTGAAAACCGAGAGGACTGCGGTTGCTCGAAGACACATACTGCGATTAAGACACTTCGATTCGTGGAAGGAGGTTGCCCTAGGGGATTACCGTGCTATCCGCACCTTTGTTCACAGAGTCTACCTCCCGAGATGGAACGAGCAGCTGGAAGTTTTAAAACAAAAAGAGGAGACTGCCCATCAAGCTCGGCGCCAAACCCTTTTATCAAACACCTTCACGGAGTGGCAGAGGCTCACCTTTGAAAGCACGGTCCAATCTCGAAGATCTCGGCGTCTCAAAGAATCTGCTTTCCATTTGTGGCTGCAGGCGAGCCAACTTCGGGTTCGGGCCACCGCTGATTCAGACAAGCACCACAAGGCCATTGTGGTTGTTAAAACGCTCCGGGACTGGCTTTCTCGTTCAAAACACCTCGGAAACCATATTTCTTCTAGTGCCCACCATTTTCAAGGCCGCATGTTATCTACCCTCTTCTCACGATGGCTTGCGCTTCCTCGTGGGGATGCGAAGGCCACGAACCTATACGCTAAAGACACGCTATCAAAGTACTTTCATTTATGGAACCTAGATACGAAGGTCAAGATATTCAAAGTCGACCAGGACCTTCGCTTAGCATCGCAGTATTTCCTGCTGTGGGTAACTCTCCAGAAGATTGAGACATTCCGATTGGAACGCGACGACCGCTTCAGAGCAGGAATCTTTAAATTATTTCTACGTCGATCAGGCGCGCTTGAGAGCATGGCTCAAACGAACCATATGCTCCCCGCCGCCGTACATGTTTCCCAACCTGTCATCACGTCTCTGTTCGAGTTATGGCACCAGCTAGCCGAAGATTCCGCAAGCCTGAATGCAATGGTGCTTGATAGATCTCACGCGGCCACCAAGGTAAATAACCTTAACGACTGGTTTGAAGCGACCACTCACGACACCGAAATGGAGAGATGGGCACAGCGCGGCGCGTTCTATCTCTCTGTTCATGGCAGGTTTGGGGACTGGAAAACTTGGGCGAAGCGTGAAAGAGAGCGAAAACTGAGGGTTACCTACACCATGGCCAAGAACGAAATTAATGAGCGCCTCGTCCTTGGCTGCTGGGAGAAATGGAGAGCCGCATGTGTCTCCACGGTCGCCTTGAACCGAACCTGGACGCACGTAGTCCGCACTCATGACCAAGAATTACTGGCTTCGGTGATGAAGAGTTGGATGCGGGGTGTACGACATGCTCTAGTCCTTGACCAGCACAGCCAGCACTTATTGAAACATTCCCTACTAGATAACTGGCGCGCGATGGCCGAAGCATGCATCTACGGCGATGCAGAAGCGTCACAACTCTGGGTTGAACGTATCTTAGACTCGTGCTGGACTCGATGGAACATTGCCTTTCAATGGGCAGAAGGCCAGTCCTACAATGCGGCGAATACGATCGAAAGGCGCCGCAGAGAGGCCCTCATCAAGAATTTCCTGCTTTGGGGTGGAGTTAACTCTGGCAATGAACCTGAAGAGGACGTTGGTCAAGGAAGTGTCAACGCAGTCAACGCAGTCCTTAGCCAAAGCGATGCGGCGTGGCGTGAGGTTCCAAAACGGCACCGCTTTACACCAGGGAATATGCAGCTATGGTCGAGATCGAATTTCTTAGACCCTAGGCGGAAGTCTACCCGTTTACGTTTGGACAACGATGATGGTGATCTTGATAGTCTCGTCGGGACGATAAACACCCCGACAAGACGGACTGGCCCGGCGAGATCTCTGGCGGGGTTGCCATCTACCACGCCAGCTGGCCCACTGCCCACGCCATATGAGCGCGAACTACGTGAGAGATACATGACCAGGACAAAGGCGAAAGGTGAATATGAGGGCGAGAGCTAGAGGCAGAGTGGGGAGGTCGGACTAGTAGCACTTTCAAATACATCCTGCCGACTGCAGTAACGGAGATGTCTTCCGGCCTCATCGTCTTGATGGGCCACTCATGAACGCACCGAAGACCAACATGATATCGTGATACCAAGTAACGGGGGAACTGGCGCCAGACTGAAGCGGCCGACTTGCAGAGGTTGGTAAATCGCTTTTATCAACAGACGACAGGATATTGCTCGCCATTGAAGAGCTGAGGATCTGGTCTTGCAACAGTGTATTAATAGCAGCAATATGAGCCAATATTGAACTTGCATAAACTAGTGTTATTCCCAAGTTTACTTAAGTTTACAATTGGAGAAGTGCCGTTGTGAGCGTCCAATTGAGCATCAAATCAATAGATTTGGCGTGATGTTGCCCCACCACCGCAGCTCCTGATCATTATGGTATTACTTGTGCCGGACCTAAGTTTACCTCAACAAGCTCGCGAGCTATGAGGTCACCTGGAACATGCAGTTACCTGTGTACATACAGTGCAGTGCTTCGCAGCAAACTTAAACTATTATACTCCAATATTGCCCACCGAATGTGACCAGCCGACGACTCGATATCGACAAACAATCGACGCATCAAGCCAAGCTGTCAATTCCAACCGCGACCGCCGCCGGACAGCCCTGTAATAGTGAATCCTGCGCAGGGACCAAACGATCGAATCTCCCAGCTTCCACACACCCGCTGTGCTCTTCGGGCATGCCAGAGGGATGGACCCCAGGGACCAGCAGTCTATCTTGTCTTGAACAACGTCCATCATCCTCGCGATCCGGCCGTCCTCCTGCAGGTTTCTCTAGAATATGTGCTTTCGAAACCCGCAACATACAGCATGACAGCCGTTCTTCCTGGACGTCCTAATTGCCGGCGTCAGGCTCTCGCGACTGGCTGCTGGAAGCAGCAACATTTCACCGTGAGTTGTTTCCGAAGGTCACCAGCTGCGTAGCTGCGCAGCTGCGCATATGTAACAAGAGCTTATCATTCCGGGACAGGCCTACATCACAGGAAATGCCTTTACCATCCTAAGCGGGCCGCAGAACCTTGTCCAGACTATTTACGAAAATGGAGACCATCCGCTAGAATCCATCGCCCTGGACGAGACCTCGGGCCTCATAGCCGTATCCACACGAAGTTCTGTACAACTTTACCGGCCCTGTGCTCGTACTTCCAATGGGTCTCACAAGGTGTGCATATTCCGCTGCCATTACTACTACCGCCATCCTTCGTCGACCTATGCTAACAGCCCACAATCACTAGTGGATTCCCAGCTCGACGATCACCCTTAGTGGGGCGCTTCCTTGCCCTATCTCTCCTTCCCTCTCCTGGGGCGCATCCAGCGATCTTCTCGTCGGAACACATGAGCTGGTGCTATACTCGGTACGAGGCGAGCCGAGCCGCGTGTGGGTGGCATCTCTCCCTGGCCCCGTCTCTGTTGCCTCCCTATCCTACGACTCGACCTACATTGCCTCCACCGGCTACGGCGACTGCATTGTCCAAATCTGGCGACGATTAGCCTTTGGTTCCGAAGAGACACATTTCGACCTTTCCTACCTTATCCATCCCACCGAGGTTACGGCAGCCCAGTGGCGCAAGCCGTTTCATCCTGAACAGACCATCGAAAATGTACTGTATACCTTCTGCGCCGATGGTATCATCCGAGTCTGGGCTGGAGCAGACAGCCAGGCCAGTTCCCAGTTGCATTTGTGCGGCAAGATAGACATCGCATCCTCTATACAAGAAAGCCCGAAGAGCTCCCGCGTGATCCGCTGGGCCGGAATTATAGACGGAAGGGACTTTTCTTTGGCAGTTGAGAAGGCTGTCCAACTTCAAGGAGAAGACGGGGAAAAACAAAGCCAACCGATAGATCACATCATATCGATCGCCACGAAGAACCCCGAGATCTGTCTCATCTTTAATGGCTCAGGAATAATGTCTGCTTGGGCTCTTGAATACCTTACTCCAGGCGTACAGAAGCATCCATCCACCGCGATATTTAATATCGCATACGTCAACTCGAGGGAATTCTCATTCCCTAATCTCAGCTTGGGCGCGTCCAGCTCGGACAGTCATGTGCAAATGCATAGCTACTGTGACAGATCAACTGGCCAGCTAGTCCTACTTTTCCAAAGTCTTGATGGCAGGATTGAGGTTTACAATGCCAGTGTAGTTGATCTATTCAGTCCCTCAACAAACCAGCAGCGATTGTCTCTCTCAGCAGTTTGGTCTGGCCACTCCGCCCCCATAACCAAAATGGTTCGAAACTATAGCGGAAGCGCCGTTGTCTCGAGGACCGCTGGCGGCGAGAGTTTTGTGTGGAAGCAAGATGCTGGTCGAGCCGGCCCTCACCACTTTAGTCTCCAAGGTACTATACCTGGGGAGGGCCATATTCACCGCATATCCGTTCTGAGAAAGGGTCGGTTTGTCATCTTTCTTCGTCACAAAACCATATCTCTCTGGGATTGTCGGCAACAGACAGCCGAGCTTCTTGACAGCCAGGAGTATACCATTTCTGGTAAGCCTTTATGCCTCTTGATTCTTCCCCGGCAGCGAGTCGAGGAGAACTTGGTGGCCCATATCGCCACGGTGACTTCCGAACAAAAAGGACTGGTCTGGGAGGTTCAGCTTCCACAATATTCCTCATCACCAAGGTCCGATTCTCAGGCGGCCCGGGTACCCGGCGATGAACGTGATGGGAGAGCTCAATCACCGCTGGGTTCGGTGCGCGAGTTTTGTAGATTTGACCTGCATGGTGCAGACGGCCTTGCGTATGTGCTGCCCGTGGACCCTGCGGGCTCAACCCCGGTCGTCACAGGCTTCCTGGACGTGTTTGCGCGGGATGTGGCCATCTCGTATACAAACTCGGGCAGGGTTGACTTCTGGACGGCAAGGGTTGACATCAAGAATAATAGTGTCGGGTGGCTTTCTACATCCTCGACAGAGACGGGAATACCAAACCCCGCCCGAGTGAGCGGCAGCACGCTGAAAAAGGCCGCCTTGGTCAACGAAACCCGGTCTCAGTTCACCATATGGGACATTGGCGGCTATCGTTTAGAATATTCGCAAGACTTCAAAACTGAAAACGTAATCAAAGACCTTGATTGGACGTCAACGCCGGACTCCCAGTCGATCCTTGCTGTCGGCTACCAATCTCGAGTCGTACTTATCTCTCAGATGCGGTTTGACTACCTCAACAAGGGCCCTGCGTGGGCGCCGATACGGGAGATCTCTATACAAGATTTGACACCCCATCCTATTGGAGATTCAACCTGGCTCGGTGATGGTCACCTTGTTGTCGGCGCCGGGAATCAGATTTTCACATTCAGTAGGCGCTATGATATGACCACGTCACTCATCCCGAAACTTAAGTTGCCTCAAGGAAAGGATGGCACTTGGGACATGTTTGAGACCGTCCAAAGACTGAACGGACCGTTGCCTGTGTTTCATCCTCAGTTTTTAAGCCAGTGCATCTTGTCGGGGAAGTTTACACTTGTGCAAGATATACTTGCTTCCTTGCACAATGCGATGAAATACCTTGTTGAGGGCGAGTTTCTTGACAGCTACCTTGATCTCGATCTAGCGAAATTTTATGGTGCGGCCCAGGTATGTAATCATACAATGTCTAGCAGTCTTCCCTCTTCCTCGTCACTCAAATAGCGCGAGCTAACAAGGGACACAGGACGAAGAAAGCCAGAAACAGGGCGGTTTTGGCAGCTACCTAGGATCTGGCCGACCAATGCAAGACTCCGAGGAATCATTTTCAGAGGAAACATCTCAGTCCCTTAAAGATCAATTAACGCGAGTCAACGTTGCTCAGTTATCCGGCCAGGAACAAATTCAACTCGCAGATATCGTAGAATGTCTAGGAATGGTCGAAAAGCATCGCAGGTCTCTCGACGAGAACGGTGCCCGCTTCTTGCTTTTCTTCCGTCAGGCAATGCTTCGACGTGGCCGTGTCAACGACATGGCAATATCCTGGCGAGATATCAACTGGGCGTTTCACTCCAATAGCCAGGATATTCTTGTTGATTTTGTATCAAGGCAATATCAAGGGGCTCTTCATTGGGAACACGCAAGGGAAAGCGGCATGTTTTCATGGCTGTCAGACGCCAACGCCATGGTATGTTGCAAGCCATATACTTTTCAAAGCGAAAGCCGCCTGCCTTGCATCACGTCGTACCATGACTAACATGCTATTGTGTCCTAGCGGACTCAATTTGAGCGGATCGCACGGAGCGAATACTCGAAGGGAGATGCCAAGAATCCAGTCAACTGTAGTCTATTTTACCTGGCATTGAGACAGAAGGGCGTCCTGCGTACCCTGTGGCGGATCGCAACCTGGCACCCAGAACAACGCGCTACTTATAAACTCCTATCAAACGACTTTGAGGATCCAAAATGGAAAATGGTTGCGCTCAAGAATGCGTACGCCTTGATGAGCAGACGTCGATTTGGTCAGTTTGTTGCCCTCTTGTATTCTCTACCTCTAACCTATCTCGAAGCCCTTAACTAACGCGCCCGGTATTTCTTAAGAATACGCCGCGGCATTTTTCCTCCTCGGCGATAGTTTGCAAGATGCGGTCAATGTGTGTGTCGAACAACTAGACGATATTCAGCTAGCTATTGCAATAGCGCGGTTGTATGAAGGGGATGATGGGTTAATATTCAGAAGGCTATTGGAGGAGGAAGTCCTGACCCATGCTGCTCGGGAAGGCGACCGGTGGCTCGCTTCATGGGCATTCTGGATTCTCGGTAGGAGGGACATGGCTGTGAGGGCCCTGATAGTATGCCAACCTTCTAGTAACTCGAGCCAGGCTTCGGTTTACCTTCCTACCCTCAAGGATTTCCAAAGAGCCATTTACTGACCACTTATTTACAGACTCCAGTTTATCATCTTTTGGACACGCCTCGAACACCTGACATCAAATCACAAATCTTCCTCACGGATGACCCAGCGCTTGTGGTTCTCTACGCTCAGCTGCGACAGCAAACACTACAAACTCTACGGGGAGCTTCCAAGGTCACCCCAGAGGCCGAGTGGCAGTTCGTTCTCCATAGTGCCAAGATATATGACCGCATGGGCTGTGACCTTTTGGGCTTGGATCTTGGTAGGTTTTTCTTTCCTGTCCCCCTCCGCCCCAAATGGCCATGGCACCGCCTTCGGTGCTGGTAAATGATATTTGCCTAACTCTTTTTCCCAGTCCGCAACTGGGAGTTCCCGCGCCATCCCGTCGGCGGACTGCCCGAGGTTCATGGTGATATTGCGAATCCCCTCGCACTCCTCAAGAGACGAAGCTCCGTAGTCATCGCAGACCTGCCCTTCAGGAGACTCCATGGGGAGAAGGGACCGCCAGAGGGCGAAAATGGCGGCACCCGAGCTACGAGTTTGGTTCAACCAACACAAAGACAAGAGCCGGATATGAACTCGTTTTTCGACTCATTCGGCCTGTAATCCTTGCGTTTCCTGTCGTTAATCGTAATATCTAGTGTGCATCCCCCGCCGCCCAAGCCAAAGAATCTTGAGCAGCATGGATGGTAGGGCATTTGTGAGAGGGCATTTGTGGGGGCAGTGGCTAATGAGGTCGTTCAGCAACCCAACAAACATCCAGGGGATTTTTTCAACTAGAATGCAAGTTAACAATCTAGATTATTCCTACGCTCTTCGTGATATCACGGACATGTTTAATGTTACTTATACTTGTACTCGTGAATAGGGCGGAGCTTAACTGCCGACTCCGAACATGAATTCTCTTACAGCACGTGATACGTCATCCCCAATCCGGACAATCCACGCGAGACCACCCACATCATGACGTCGAGTCAACGTTGACGGAACTATTGTCATTCTCGATCGAATTACAAATCATTCACGGCGCTGTCTTCTATCCTTCTCCTTCATTGCAGCAGAGGAACAGAGGCTGAGATTGTCCACAAGTTGCAGTTATCCGCGACCTCAACTAGATTTCCTCTTAGTTTTTCAGGTGGTGGTTTGCAGCTTAATATTACTCACTGGAAAGTCAGATCCCTATCTACTCCGTACTTCAGATGAGTCTCGGTGCTTCTTCTTCTCGTCCTTCTAGTCCTTCTTCTAGACCCCTAAACCCAACTTTTCAATAAGATCAACGATGGCTCCTGACAGGGGGTTAAGACCAGAAAGTGCAAGCCATCTTGGTGGCGAGCTGCTGATACACCCTCCTGGACGCAGCTTTACGCTCCGGGGCCTCTTTGTAGGCCTGCTGGTCGGATTAATTATATGTTTCTCGAACATGTACTTCGGGTTACAGACAGGGTGGTGAGTTCTTCCAGAGCACGTTGCTGTTACCTACTTGGGCTGATCCGTCCAATTCAGGGTCAGTCCTATGACTCTTCCCGCAAGCCTGCTAGGGTTTGGCCTATTTAGGACGCTGTCGAAGCACCTCGATTTCCCGTTCTCACCCGTCGAGAACGTCCTTGTGCAGACCGTTGCTGGAAGCATGGCCCTCATGCCACTGGGTTGTGGCTTTGTAGGCGTTGTATGTCCACCTTCTTCTCAGCAAAGGAGAAGAAAAAAAACCAAACATCCCACCCCGGGTTTAACTTCTGCTTTTGCGAAGGCATTGCTGACTGCTACAGTTGCCGGCTATGAATTACTTGCTCTCGCCCGACGAGATGGGGCCTATACAGATGAGCACCTGGAAGCTCATCGTATGGTCTCTTGGCCTTTGCTACTTTGGCGTCGTTTTTGCAGTGCCTTTGTAAGGGCCCCAACCCACTAACCTATGTGCCACAGTCTCTTCTCCTTTTCATCACCGGGATTACCACTAACTAGATGAAGGCGCCGGCAGGTCATTATCCGCGAAAGGCTACGTTTCCCTAGTGGCTTTAGCACGGCTGTATTAATAGGCGTTCTCCATGGCCAGACGCCTGACCCCTCCGAAACCAGCAAAGACCACGCATCGTCAGGGGCATTCGCAAGCCTAGTGCCCAAAGTCAGCCAGCATTCTTCTTCAGACAGAATTGGCGACGACTCGGGATCCGTCCTTGACGACGACGAACCTAAGGTAGTACGCCCGTGGGGCACGAACATAAGATTACTCCTAGTGTGCTTCATTATCTCCGGGGTATTCACTCTCGCTATGCATTTCTACCCCGTCCTCCGTAACCTTCCAATATTTGGCCGAGTTGCCGCAGAATCCTGGCTATGGACATTCAATCCCAGTTTAGCCTATGTTGGACAAGGCGTTATTATGGGACCTGAGACAACCCTCCACATGGCCCTCGGTGCTTTCGTCGGTTGGGCCATCCTTTCTCCTCTTGCCCATTATCGGGAATGGGCACCTGGCCCTGTTGGTGATTGGGACACGGGTAGTAAAGGGTGGATAGTCTGGGTTTCGCTTTCGATAATGCTGTCGGATGCTATTATTAACCTTGCTCATGTTGGGTCGCAAATTCTCCTAGGACCAGCTTTTTTTGAACTCCTGAAATCTCGTTTCAAGTCGCTGGTAGGCAAGGGCAGCATCCAGACCCAGTACACCCAGCTCCGCAACACCGATGATGAAAACACGCTGCTAGTGCCGGAGTCAACGGAGCAGGGGCTCTATCAATCAGGAAGCGGGAGCATTTGGGAGCATCATACTCGCCCACGGCTCGAAATGGCCAGGGGCGAGGAATTGGATGAAGATGCCCCTCCCGAGCAGCAAGTCGGCAACCGCACTATTAGCGTGGGCCTTGCCGCTTCCATTCTCTTATGTATAGTGAGTATTCATGTTGTCTTCCGCGATTTAGTACCACTATATGCAACTGTCCTCGCTGTGGCGATGGCGCTTGTGCTTAGTGTCATGGGCGTTCGTGCCCTGGGGGAGACAGACCTCAACCCAGTCTCCGGCATCAGCAAATTAGCGCAACTCTTCTTTGCACTTGTCGTACCGGCTTCCAATAAAGCCGCGATTCTTATAAACCTCATCTCCGGGGCGGTAGTAAGTTTCATCTTCCCTCCCAGTGTATAATAGCCCACCCCTAGAGTTCTGCCGCTCACCAATTGATAGTCTGAAGCTGTACGTAAATATATCCAGGTTTTGTATTCGAATCGCATGCTTACGTGCATTTCTGGGCGCAAAAGGGGGCGCTGCAAGCGGGCGAGCTCATGCAGGACCTAAAAACAGGTCATCTTCTTGGTGCAGCTCCTAATGCGCAGTTCTGGGGCCAAGTCATCGGCGCCACCGTCGGCGCCATTGTGAGCGCCTTCATATACCAGCTCTATACCACGTTCGTCCTCCCAATGAATCAAGAACGCGTCCATTTGTGCTGACGGATACAAGGGTTTACCCAATCCCAGGCGACTTATTCCAGGTCCCGACTGCCTACGTCTGGATTTTCACAGCGAGGCTGGTCACCGGGAAGGGGCTTCCTCCAATGGCCAAGGAATGGGCCATTGGCGCCGGCGTACTTTTCTCCGCCACCACCATCACGAGGATAACATCGGCAGGGAAACGTTGGCGTGCACTGATTCCAGGAGGGGTTGCAGTCGCAGTTGGTGCGTCTCTCCCGTGTGAAAACTCGCCTTTGTGATCCAACATCCGAGCTTACATCATAACGTATCTAGGAATGTATAACGTCCCATCGTTCACGCTGGCGAGGGCGGTTGGTGGTTTGTTCGGCTGGTACTGGCAGGCCGTCTTGAAGAAATCTAGCACACCCCTGATAGTCATAGCATCGGTAAGTAGCCTGTAATTTTTTACTCAGACTGTTTCTAACGGCATCTTCGAAGGGCTTCATTCTCGGGGAGGGATTCTTGAGTATCGTTAATCTTATTCTAGAGAGCTTGCGAACCTCTCGGTCGTGATTGGGGACTTCATGGATGGTCAGAACGGTGGTACTGCCCGTCTAGATCGGCGGCCAGTCATAGGTTGACGTTGTGCATTCATGCACAATATCGAGCAATGAGTAACAAAACAGGTGTTGTTACTCCCAGACGTGGACAATAAAACATGTTGGACCGAGACTTTTGCTTTTTTAAAGGAAGAGTTGCCGCAAAACTTATTGTCACCAACCCTCCCGAATGAACCAAGGAAATTCGTCTACCTGTTGTAATGCCAACAAGAGACTCCCCAGTTGAGCCCAGAGCAAGGTCTCAAGAGCGAGCCAGGTTCGATGATGACCTGCCATTACCGGAGCTTCCATATTCTGCTACGGTCCTTCCGACCAGGCACTTTCCAGCTCGTTTTAATCGACAATGCCCTTGAATCACTCTCGAGGGACGAGAACGCAGTTTCTCCAGAAATTTCCAACCCAGCACTGAGATTAGAAGTCTCCTCCTTTACCGGCGGGGCGAGCAGCAAACCCTGTTTCCAGTGAGTCTCCGTCCCAAATGGCCCAGTAGTGAAGGCGATACGCGTTGTACTGCGTTCCTTCCATAGCTGAGCGGATTGTGATGGAGGCGAGACCTGCTCGTGTCGTGAGGCGGTGAAGTAGATATCAAACCAAACGAGAAAGCCATCCACCCTATCGATGTCCCGGTTTAGTTTCGAGGACCACTGGGCTGTGAAAGTTAAGTCTTCGGGCTTTATGTCATGTAGCTGTAGTTGGGTAAGTAGAAATGGCTCTCCGCAGAGGGCGGTAGCAGGGAGGGTGTTGACCTCTGCCTCGTCAAAGATCCCTTCCTGCATGGATTTCATGCTGAAGCCGTATACATCATCCCAAAATGACACGTTGTCGGAAATATACTCGTCGTCGGACACAGGCGCAGCGAAGATAGTCGCAACGCTCGGCACGAGAAGGCCGTCGGGTTTGAGATACCTGTCACGGGCCCAGAGGACGCTCGGGAGCATAGCCTCATACAAAAGGCAGTATCCCATCCACTCACTGATGATGACATCTACCTTTTCGACGGGAAGAGTGACATCCTCTATCCGGCCGGAAATGCAGGTAATGATGTCAGTCAGTCCGTTATCTATAACATTTTGCCGAGCTTTCTGGATGATGGACGAGTTATCAACCGCAAGCACTTTTCTGGCTCCTGCCTTGGCGCAAAACATGCTCAAAATCCCTAGAGTCACCATGTGTTAGCGAGAAGACAGTTCTTCCCCTACTGCACACCCCTTATCAAGCTAGAGCACTTGTTCGCATACCTGTGCCACAACCGATGTCAAGAACGACCTTGTCATGGAACACCTCTTTGTTGCCATAGACGAAATCCCGATATGCGTCTGTCCGTATAACGTCCTTCAACATTGTCTCGTGGATATCTGGAGGCAAGTTAGGAAAGGAGGAAAAGAGAATAAAAGCGAGAGAGAAGTTGAGAAGAGAGGCCAGGTTGGAACGACTTGCCTCGGCCGGCATACGACTCCCAATATTCGGTATCGGGACTTCTCCGAGGCCGCTCGGCACGGCCCTCAGCGTCGCCTGTCAACGGAGCAGATGGATCAGAACCCCATCGGCGGTCGAGGGTCTCCTCCACGGCCAGCCGGTAGTTTTTAAATTGCTCCTGAAGCTCGGACAATTCGTTTTCAAGGAGTTGGTTTCTGGACACCAAATCATTTTCATTTGATAGGTTGGTACTCTGGCCCGATTGATTACCCTCGTCGATGAGCTCGCTTAATTCAATAATGAGACCATCATCATCCAACACCGGACGCAGCAGCTCGTCGTCCTCAATATCTTGCGCCGATATGACAGCGGGCAAGGTCTGGCCTGAGCGAGCACAACGTCGGACTGCGTGGGCAGGCAAGGTACGAGGCAAAATTAGCGTCTGGCATCTCTCTCTAAAGAGAGGCTCATGTTGATATCCTCTTGGAGCGGTCTAGGGCTTGGGTCTAGAATCATACCAAAATTACATAGCTTCACTGCTCCGTGGAAATCGAGACCGAGGCGCCGCTGGGTCGCTAGAAAATCAAAGCCATACTTCTCACGGCTGTAGTCAAGCATTTCGTTCGCGTTAGGGAACGTTACGTCGTCAAAGAAGGACAAAACGGAGATTTGCTCCTGGTCTGGCTCAATATCCTGCCATTCGCCGTCCGAAGACGAGGCAGAGCTCCCCAGCGACACCGTATCACCTTTGGGATCCATCGAAAAATAGAATTGATTGTGAAGTTGGTTCTCGTGGAATAACGATGCCTAGTTGACTCGGACCTTTGGCGGCCTTTGGCAGTAGAAGATGCCAAAGGAATTTATTCTTGTGATTGATTTTTCAAAATTGGGTTTTTTTCACGGTTCAGAAATCTATTCTATTCTTGGCGTCTGTGGTGGGACCTTTGGGGTTAAAAAGGGCAGGCATAAGCGCCTACTGCATTTATCGAGCGCATCATTGATGGCAACGCCCAAGACCATAGTATTGAGCCATCAATGCCAGTGGCTCCTGCGGCTCCAGCGGCGCCAGGTCAATCTTTGAGCTTGTAGCCACTACTGTACGAGTAGTGGAAGGTGGGGTTACCACGGGTGCTTGGGGGGCCAGTATTGTTGCCGTCTAGCTATGGGTATCACTCCCCACCGCATCTTCATCTTCATCGTCTTCATCACTATCATCTTCTTCGCCCCCGTCCGATACTTCCTCGCCCAGCCGGCTCAGTCGTGTTTTGTATCTATCGAGCTTCTCCTCGGTATCACCTAGAACCATCAATAAATCATCGAGCTCGCTTTGAAGCGTCGCCTTTGCATAAGCGACGTCTGCTGCCAATGCCTCGGCCTACTCACGAATATTAGAAAACCCGCACAAGTCTTCCGGTATTGGACCGCGACACTGATCTATTACTCACCTTTTTACGCCCTTCTGTCTCTGAAAGAACGCGCTTTTCAAGCTCTCGAGTTCGTGCGGTGGCGTTCTCCAATGTCGACGCTTTTTCTGCAAGTTGCTTCGTATAATCCTCTCGAATGCTATGTACTTCCTGTGCCTTGCTTTTATTCGTCTGATTTGATGTTATTGATTGTTCTGCAGAAATGCGAAAGGTCGACATCGAACACACCTTCATCAAGTCCACTTCCAACCGACTGATGGTTGCCCGGAGGTCTGCCACTTCCGCTTCTGATCGTCGACGGTATCGTTCTGATTCGACATCCGCCGCATGGCGAATCTGCTCTACTTGTCGCTTGTGATCATCCTCAAGGCGCTGTTGGGTGGCCCGAAGTTGACTGTTCGGCATCCAAGTAAGCCTCTGACCTGGTGAATGTCTATGTTTGCCGTGCTTACCGGATCTCTTCATCACGATTTCGCCTCAACATGTCAAGCCCACTCCTGTGCTCCTCATCTCGTGCACGTTGCTGGGCCTCCAGTTTCCTGTTGTCGTACAACGGTTAGCCTTGTTTGTGTGTGTGTGTATAGGCGAGTAAACCAAAACTGCGTTCGTAGGAGACTCCTGTCTATAACATGATAGACCTGGGGGCTTGTCGACAGGGACAACTTTACCGTATGCCATCCTCGTACTCCCTCCTCAGCGTGTCATTTGCATCTTTTAGTTTAGCAATATCCCTCGAGGCTGCACCACGAGCAGCACGGGAATTTTCCTGTTCCTGTAACAACTCATGCCTCAGCGAGTCTAGGGCTCTCTGCATATCTTGAATTGCCGATTCTTTCTCTTCCAGCTGGGCCCTTAGCGAGTCGACAAGTTCTCGTGACACACCCTTCTCTACCCCATTGGCCATGACTGGAGTCTCCAAGTCCGGGTCTCTATCGATGGCTCGAGCGATCCTGCTGTAATTATCCTTGAGGAACTCGACGAAGGTGTCGTCAAAATAGACATCGGCAAGCTTCCCGGAACTTGAGCCGTCCAACTTTTGTGGCGTAACCTCGAAGTCGCGAATAAAGGGATGCGCTCGAAGGTTCGCTAACCTGTCGAGGTACTTATCTCGGCCCATCCTCGCTAGCAGTATAGGTTGGAGCGTTGCTCGCGGAATTGGCGAATCCTTGGTCGAGAAATCATACACGACGCCCAAGAGCATGGCGCAGAGACCACGAACGATCTCATCAACTCCCTCGGCAGGTTGTGTCACTGCCTGTATCAAACCCTGGACATGGCTACCTTCCCCAAGGAAGTCGTTGACTCCATCCGGATCTTCAAACAACCAACCTAAGAGCAGTATCACATACGCCACTAGAACCCGAGGGTTGTCGCCCCGTGATAGACCAGATATGAGATGGGAAGTAATTGCTTGAATGCTTGTGACCACCTCTTCACCACTGGATACATCCCCTTCCGTTATTGCCATGGCGCTAGCCTTAGCAGTCGGGTCGTTATAAACCAGGTGAAACATGATGATAGCAGCAAACCAGATTCCGTAGGGATCAGAGGTCGCCAGGCGTGGAGAGGGGTTGAGGAGAATCGTGAGGATATTGCCGGTTTCATCCCGGTCTGCTAGATGGCCTTCAATCGCCCGTGAAAGGAAGTGCCGACGAATATCAGAATGTTTGAAGAAGTACGACTTGATACATTCGCAGGCGGCCATGCGCAAGTTGAATTCTGGGCAGGGCTGTACTCCTAGGGTAAGATCCAACAACCCGTCGATTACATATACCATGTTCGTCTTGTCCTCCCTCCCTTCCTGGGTAGCGTCACCTTCGTCGGAAAGTGGGTTTGGCACAGTTAGCTGCGCAAATTTACCTTGAAGATCTGCGTTTCCCCTAACCATATCGGCGCAAGCTATCAACGCCTATAATAGGATAAGTAAGCATCATGCTGGCGCTAAATGGAGGTTCGAAGATGCGAAAACGACACACCTCTGCGCGAATTTGCCCTTCTGCCGACTGACAGAAGGCTAACTGTAACGCGTGATATAGTAGCCCTGTTTGCCAGAACGCGCCCTGATTCTGAGCAAGGTTAACTGACCCTGGAGAGAGGAGAAGACGGATGATAGCTAGGAGAGCATAGATGTTGCGACTCCTTTGGGCCTGGGCCCATGATGCCAACTCCTCCTGAAGAGATGTCTTGTAGGCGCTCTCTAGAAGCGCAGCTAACTGGGAGACGCACTTAGATTCCCGGAACAGTGACTGGTTGGATTGATTTTGCCGGAGAAGATTGGCTAACAAGATCAAGCAGTCCTCTACCGTCTGGCCACCCTCTAATAGGGAGCCCTCTAAGGTTACAATTGTGAAAAGACGCTCGAACGCGCCCTCGAACGCGACTAGCTTCTGTATTTCAGTAGAAGATGGCGTCAGGTAGATCAGGAGGCTAATAGCTTCGTTCCGCACTGCCTCGCGACGATCGTCTAGTAATCCAACAAGGGTGGAGATACCCAGCGGGGCCGAGAGGATGCATTCTTCTGTCCTTTCGATGCGAGCCGATAGGATAGAACCGAGAAGCTGGAGAATATAAAGTCGGGAATAAAAATCGTTCGCTTGGAGAAGGTCAAGCAGTAAAGCAATGTTCTCCTGACGTTGGGTGAACTCGTCGGCAAGCCAGAGGGCGATTTCCTCAGAAGCCTCGGGGCTGTCCTCATTTGGTCGAAAGAGCATCAAGAGGGTCTCAAGCACTACCTTAACCGTGTCCACATCCTCTCCATCTTTCGTAAGACATCCTATTAGACTCCGAAGGGCACCCGATGCGACCGAAGCTGGGTAATCCTTTGCAAAGCTGCGTAGTCCAAGGATTGCCCCCCGGCGATCCTCTAAAAGGGTGGCAGAACTAAGACGACTGCTGAGCACTGTAATTGTTTCGCTAACTGACTGCTTGGCTGGTGCGGACGACAGTGAGAACATCTTGTTCGTGGTTAGGAGTCTGCCATCGAAGCCTAGGAAGCATCCGTCGTTGTGATGTAGTCAGGCATTAAATCGGCTGCTCGAATAGGATCATTAATCAGTTTGCCAAGTCTGAGAAGGGTACCTAATGGGCTTGAGAGAAACTTGCGACTTCTTGAAATGGGAGATTGATCAGTGTTGCTTGGCTGTCAACTACCACCATCATGGACTGAAGTCCCGTTAATTAATAATTTGAATCAAAAGCTCAGGCTTGCATAATTAATGCATAATTCACTTCGAGGCAATCAACTATCTTCACGTGATATGCATTTATCCATACTGTGTGGGCAATTATGCGAGCACATGGCAGGCTGGAAGAGTGAGGCAGTAGCTTCAAAGTTCAACCAGGCGAAGATTTCGCCTTGACTTCTTAAACTTACATCGATCACAGGAAACCCCGACTTTACAGCCAGGAACTACCCACTTCAACGCGGAAATCACTAGAATCCATGCCCGCAGCCCCTAAGGAAGCTTCCATCATCCGCCTCGCCATCGCGGCGATATCTCTCACCAACCCTGTAGCCACCTAGTCGCCACATCCAGCAAACTTCATTCGAACCGTCCCAATATTCAAGATGGGTATCCCCGCTGCGTTTCGTTGGCTGAGCAAGAAGTATCCCAAAATTATCTCGCCGGTAATCGAGGATCTGCCCAAGAAACTTGACGATGGCTCCGTTATTCCCGTCGACACAACACAGCCGAACCCGAATGGGGAAGAGTTTGACAATCTCTATCTCGACATGAACGGGATAGTACACCCATGTTCACACCCTGAGGACCGCCCAGCCCCGAAAGACGAAGAAGAGATGATGTTGGAAATTTTCAAGTATACAGACCGGGTCGTCAACATGGTTCGGCCTCGCAAGGTCCTCGTCATCGCCGTCGGTATGAATGACTTTATATCCCTTCCCTTGGCAAGTATAGTTCCCGGTTCACTAACGCATCAACTCATTTAGACGGCGTAGCGCCTCGGGCGAAGATGAACCAGCAACGATCGCGTCGATTTCGCTCCGCGCAGGAAGCCAAAGAAAAGGAAGTAGCCAAAGAAGAACTTCGCGCCCTAATCAAGCGGCAAGGCGGCGACTTAGCCCCGTCTTCGCCCGAAGAGGCTTTGAAAAAGGCATTCGACTCGAATTCGATTACCCCAGGGACCCCATTTATGGACATTCTCGCTGCTAGCCTACGATATTGGTGTGCATATAAGTTGAACACGGACCCTGCTTGGGCGAACCTCAAAATCATCATTTCCGATGCCACCGTACCGGGAGAGGGCGAGCATAAGGTCATGGACTTCGTCCGATCCCAGAGGGCATCCCCAGATTACGATCCAAACACTCGTCATGTTATTTACGGCCTTGACGCAGATTTGATCATGTTGGCCCTGGCCACCCATGAGCCGCACTTCCGCGTTCTTCGCGAAGATGTATTCTTTCAGGAAGCCCGAACACGTCTATGTAAGCTGTGCGGCCAGAAAGGACACGACGCATACCACTGCAAAGGCCAAGAGAAAGAAAAAGAAGGCGAATTTGACGAGAAGGACAATGCAGCACCTCTAAAACCATTTATTTGGCTCCACATCTCGGTGTTGAGGGAGTATCTGGCGGTAGAGCTCTATGTGCCAAACCTTCCGTTTCAATTCGACCTTGAGCGAGCCATCGACGACTGGATATTCTTGTGCTGCTTCGTGGGCAACGATTTCTTACCCCATCTTCCAGCACTAGAAATTCGGGAGAACGGTATTCAGACGTTAACTGCTATCTGGAGAGACAACTTACCGTATATGGGCGGCTATGTTACGAGGGATGGTCATATAGATCTCAGCAGGGCTCAGCTCATCATGGATGGTCTTGCCAAACAAGAGGATGCTATCTTTAGGCGAAGGAAGCAGCAAGAGGATCGACGTGAAGCGAATTCGAAACGCAGGAGACTGCAAGATAGCGCCGCGAGTGGAAACGGATCTCAAGAACCGAAGTGGAAACGCCATAATGTAGATACCGCGGCATCGGGTCTGTCAACACTTCAGCCCATCTCTGACTTCTCGAAAGCGCGCCCAGTGACACATGACTCGGTCATCACGCGGAAAATTGCCAGTGACGCGAATCTGGCAAACAGAAGCGCGGCAAACGTCTTGAAGAATCGAATGTCTTCCGAGTCCGACCTAACTAGAGATGGTTCACTAGCTTCACCAGCCGTCTCGGGTTCTAATCTAGAGTTACCAGACTCAGGAGCCTCGAGCTCTGCCCTGGGTAAACGAAAAGCCTCTACACTCGAGGACAGCACCCCAGGAGCTAGCACTAGCGGTATGTCAACGCCATCGGCCGCCGATGACGGGCCGGTTGATACAGTTAGGCTCTGGGAGGAAGGCTACGCCGACCGGTATTATGAGCAGAAGTTTCACGCTGATCCCAAGGACATAAAGTTTCGGAACCAAGTCGCCAAGGCTTACGTCGAAGGGCTCGCATGGGTCCTGTTGTACTATTTCCAGGGTTGCCCCTCTTGGGACTGGTATTATCCTTATCATTACGCGCCGTTCGCCAAGGACTTTGTCGGTCTGAGCGAGATGAAGATCATTTTCGAGAAGGGCCGCATATCAAGGCCGTTTGAACAGCTGATGAGTGTCCTGCCGGCAGCCTCCCGGCACGCACTGCCTGACGTCTTCCATGATTTGATGACAAACGAAGATAGTGAAATCATTGATTTCTATCCCGAGGAGTTCGAGATCGACTTGAATGGCAAGAAGATGGCTTGGCAGGGCGTAGCACTCCTTCCATTCATCGATATGGCGCGATTACTACAGGCGGTAGAGAAGAAGTACCCTCTTCTAAGCCCTGAAGACGCCGACCGCAACGAAATAGGGAAGGTCGTTCTCCTCCTCTCCGACGCAAATTCCGACCTGTACAGCGATATTACGAACCGCTTCTACACCAAGAAACAAAGCATTCCCAGCTATAGCTTAGACCCCCGGATCAGTGGGGGATTGGCTGGGGAGGTGGAGAAGATACAAGAATATCTCCCCCATGGGCCCCTCGACTATCCCCTGCAGCGCAAGGCGATGCCGTGTCTCGAATATGACCGCTCCCTCATGTAGGTTAATTCTTCACATATCTCGACCTTGATGATGCGCAGCGCTAACCCTCTATAGTGTCCGATACGAGATTCCGACGGCTGCCCATAGCCACAAGTCCATGCTTCTTCGAGGGGTACGGCTGCCGAAGCCAGCTCTCGATCGGGGTGATATTGAGACTCTCAAGAGAATGCTGGAATCCGCCGGTCGCAGCTACGGTGGTGTACCATTGGGACGGAATAGCTACGATGCAAGAGGGAGACGCGATCACATTAATTTTGCTCCGCGGGGCTCCCCTCATTATTCAAACAATGAGGTGAACCGCGGCCCTGCCTATGCTCGGAATGGCTCGGGCGATTCCCAGCATTGGGATAGACGCCAGCAACAACAGCCCCGCACCGGATTTGGTGGTCCATCGTATCGATCGCAGGCTTCGCGGGTTCCACCTCCTGGGCATCAAAGCTTTGGGATGGGGATGCCGGCGCCGGCGCCACCCCCACCATTGCAGTACGATAGTCGGTGGTGGAATAACGGAGGTGCACCTCCCAGTTCACGTGGACCTGGGCCTGGATCCGGACCTGAACGGAGTCACGCTCCGCCAAGGCAGAGTTGGCAACCTCCACCACCCGGGGTGGCTCGGCCATATAGCAACGCTCCCGGCCACCCCGGCGGCAATTCCTGGCGAGGAGGTTTCGATGGCACTAGGAGGTACTGAAGGCATTGCATTGGGTCTAAAGGGGAACTGGAGTGACGATTAGCAATGAAGACTTGGGTTGGAACTTAAATTTTAGCTTCTACACATGTAAGAATAAAACCAAGAGAGAAGGATCGCTTCACCGACACGATTTTTATCCGTTCCTTTCTTTCCTTTTTTTTTTTTTTTTTTTAAAAAAAAAAAACGGCTTCAAGTGCAGTCACCACCATCGAAATCATGGCAGCTTTGCTGGTGTTGGTACCCATCAATTTGATATCATTTCGTTTGAACGAGGCAAGCGGGGGCTCGCATCGTCGCATGTCATGTACAATTGCAATGATACCTTTGTACAGGTCGCATTCAATAATAGACCCAACATATCAATTGATATCCGTCAGTTGAATTGTCAGGGAAATCAATAATCCAGGGCACATTTACACATTACCTCGTGCCCCCGGACCCGGCGAGATGGATAATGGCGCCAGACCAATGCAGCCGCGGGACAGTGGCAAGCCGGGATTAAAGTCGTACCAGGAGTACAAGTATTTGATTGCAGTGGAACCAATCCACAGACAATAAGAATCAAATTTGATCAATGCGACCATATCAAACACAAGCATTCACACTTCACACTTTTGTAATCATCAATTGATCAAATTGTCCCTTGCCTGTGTAAATCCCACACACACTTTGACCGCACAGGCGTCCCCGCTCAACCCCTTCTCCGCTCTCTGCTTTCCGCTCTCCACACTCATACTTTGACACAAAGAGCTTTGGACATTGAAGTTGAGGAATCCGAAGTATGGGCTTCTATTTTTGTACATCTGCTGATGTATCAGAAATAAGACTAATAGATCAGCGCGGAAGCTCCTTGGCCTTTGCAATCGTCGCAGCCACCGCGTTCCACACGACTCCGATCAATTGATGCATTAATGGCTTTAAGGGAGCAAGCGCACACTGTTGATCATCGGCCTTTCGCTCACCCTCGACCCACCTACAGCATTCACTTTACCTCTTCCACTTTGACCTTGTCCCCGACTTTGGGTTTCCTTCCCCTTGCTGAAGTACCCATTTTACTGTTCACGGGCGTCCCAGCCCGTAGTTGCTAGGAACCCAACATCAAACTATCAATCCGCGTGGATCCACATTACGCCGCACTCAACGGCTTAGAGCTTTACCATAGCTGCAGAAGCCATCAAGACCTCGCTTCCTGGTGCTGGAATTACCGTGCTCTACGCGCCAGGCTCTACGCGCTTCAGTCGGCTCGCTCAATTGTCTATTGTTGTTTCACGTTCATCAGGTTCGCTAGCGGTATCACTGGAGGCGTAATTCACACCAGCCAGCCAAGGGTCGCCATATGAAGGCGATGGTTTCTACCCATCAATCGTACATTGGCGACGATCATTCATATACGTTCATCATGTCTGCGAGCGGAGACGCGGGGCTTATCACCTCTCTCATTGACCGGCTTGCCGCGAGGGTATGAGCCCCGATGAAGCCCGTCAATCGAACTCGATAACTTGCTGACCTTGCTACGGCTTTATCCATAGCTTCCCCATAGGACTGGAACAAATGGTCAGGACCTGGTCCAAGATGATATCGTCTCTATATCCAGGTCAACGATCGTCCGAATCAGCACCGGAAACCTCCCACTAATCCTTGAGTCACTACTTGGCCATCTTGAAGATCTCACCGCTTCATATAACTCGATAAGTAGTCACCCACCACATGTGCTACTCTCAGTGCGGTTCCTACTATCCTTAACAGCGGACTGCTGCTCGGCTCATTGGTGCTCAGCGAATTCCCTGCATGAGGCGCCAGAAGCAGACCGTTCAGACAACAAAGCTCCCCCATCTCCTCTCGATGATGTCTTAGTCTCGCGATTCTTAGATGTGCTGCGACATCTTCTAGACCCTCCCCCAGATGGATTTACTCTGCCTACTCGCATGATTCTCGAAGATGCCATGCCGAGGGACCTGAACTCAAAGACGGCGTCAATGGCGTTCGCCGCGCAGGGACCCAAAAAGTTTGACCAGCTCGCCACCGAATCAGCACGTCTAGAAACTGATATCAGAGTGATTGTGGAATATCTGACCGCTTCTAGTTGGCCGTGCGCCTTTGAATACTTCAGAAAGGCACTCTACATGCTTAGACCTACGGCGTCTCAATCCCAGCCGAGTCAAGCCCAGACTTTGGCTGTGAGTGACGAAGATGCCCTTGCCTTAGTGTTCCTGCGCCTCCTCTCCTTTTTTTGGGTCAACGGCCAGAAGCTCGGCCTAGTGCTGCAGGAAGTCTGCTCCAACTTTTTGCACTTCCGAAAGCCGTTTCAAAACAACGTTTCAATCGTTACATCACTTCTCATTACCCGGTGGATCGACCGTTTTCCACAAGAGTTTGTTGAACTGCATAACCGGCGTAAGAGGCTCGATGGTGGTGCGGATACTATCTTCGACATGACGCAAGCGGCTATCGACAACGGAAGAAGGAAGGCTGCGCTTTATCCTCTCCAGATTGCCTTGCTCTTCCTAATTCCCGATGTCTTCGAGGTTGCGAGCAATTTACGCCAAGTCAAGAGCAGCAGCATGTCGAAAAAGGTTGGGTTCCTCGATGCTCTCAGGAAGTCCCTCAGAAACCGAAACGAGCATGCATGCTACTGCCTAGTCTCTCTTTTGAGGGTCGCTCGCCATTTCCATGCTGAGAGCGACGCGGCCCTCGCGAGCTATGCCATGGACGTCCAAGATGAGGTCAGAGATGCCGTTTTCCGGAGGTTCCCCGCAGGGGTAGATGCACCAGTCTTTGAACAGGACATGATGACGGCGGCATTCGTCAGCATAGCCCAACTGAATCTAGACAGCTCTGTAGATTCACTGATCCAAACATGTCTAGCGCCATCTGCCCCTCTTAGTTTCAAGAAGGCAGTCGTTCAGGGGTGTTACTACTTTGCAAAACAGGACGATCTTACGAGATATGAGCAGGTATTCGCTGCTGCAGGGCCTTTTATGCGGAGGCAGCTTGAGGTTAGTTAAACAAGAAAAGAAGAGGGGGAGGGAGAGAGACAAAAGAAAAGGGGGGGAAAGAAGAAGGGAAAAAAAAAAAAACTAGGTCGAGTTCATCTCATACTGACTGGTTGTCAGGCCGTGGCCGCGTTGGAAAATTCGTCTGGCGGCCAGGACCGATCATCATCCGCCCAAGGAATATCAGAGCCCACCTCATCGGCTGTAATATCCTACGATATCTTGCGCTTGCTGGACGCATCCCCGAGCCTGTTGTTCGATCTGGTTTGTGGAGAGGATGACGGATCGGCGGATGGCGATATCTTTGAATGGTTCTTATTGTGTATGACATCTCCAGATGATGAAATTCTCCGCCGCGCTTGCAATGTAGCAAGGCGGCTATTTTCTGGTCCTCGGGCACTAGACGAACTAAGAGCGCACGAGAGATTGAAATCGCTCTCGCTGAAGGAAGAATTCTGGAGGCGAAGGTATCCATCCGACCACTGACGAATCCCAATTTGGCTTGTTCAACTACTAATACCAAGCAATAGCTCCCTGATATTATCCGCTATGGCGGAGCAGATGGGAACGATGCCGAATAACTCGGATCTCATGCATATTAAAGATTACCTAGAGGCTCGGGTACTGCTCTTAACGTCGATCCAGGTGTGTCTAACCTGCGACCTTTTGGTTCAATGTAGTATCGTCTCACATCAAATAGGAACTGGCCCATCTCGATAGAGAGGTTTCAGATCTGCCTGCCGCCTTGTCAAAGCTCGAAATGGCCCTACTTGTTTCTCTCTGTTCCTCAGATCTAGAAACCTGTGAGCTGGTTACGACGTGCATTGGGCATTTTCTACAGGAGTGTACCATTCTTGAAGCAGCGCCGACCTCGACGAAGCCAGCTACAACCCTCCTTCGCAACTCTCCAGTCTTCCAGGAGCTTGCGTCCCGTGATTTTCGCTTAACCGGCCTTGTCGCATTCCAGAAACGAGTTCGCAGCCTCCTCCGTCGGCTTCAATATCCTACTCTTGGTATCCTAGCTGCTTGGGAACAGGCTTTTGAGAAATGGGTGCACCTTTCGAAGGAAATATCCACCGCTACAGCGGACTCTTTGGAGCACAGAACCCTTGCGGAATGGCGTAATTTCTCGGGATTTTTGGCCTCCTTAGGTGGCATCTGCACGGCAACCCAAGCAACCCTCCTCGACGAACCGACAGTCAGTGGCTTGCGGTGGATTGATCGGCTATCTTCCGAGAACCACGAAGAGCCCTTATTAACGAGATACTTACGACTTAGTATCCGCCTTCTGGCTTGCTCCGATGTCCGCGTTCGTGAGGCAACAAGGGAGATATTAACTTCGGAGGTTTCCCCTCCCCTCTACCAACCTCTCTTCCGGGCTTTGGAATCCGAGCTAGAAATTCTCTTCGCCCGGAGCTGGGCCCCATCTGAGAGCGGCCGTGATGTGGAAGTCATCTTTGCGGAGCAAACCTCGTCGCTCTTGAAAGGGTTAATCGAAAGACTCGATAACCCAACCGATCTTGGCGCCGCGGGCTCGGTTCACCTTGGTGCCCTTACACTTGACTTTGCGAAGTTTCTCGACGCAATGGGCGACAGCGCTAACGTCCAAAGAGTGAAGATAAAAGTATGCCATCTCTGCGAGGCAGTCACAAAGAGAAAGGAGTATCTTAATTTGCGTGATGACATCCGCATCCGTAACCAGCTGCTGGAGTCAATATTCGGCTGGATTACGGATCCTCGATCCAACCGGAATGACAACGGAGTCCAAAGTCGCCACGACGAGTCTATCAGGATCCAGAGGGACCTCGACAAGGCATGCCTCCGGTCCTTGGCGGACCTCACATTACGACTGCCCCTTCAACCGGCGGAAGGTCAGGGTGATGCGGGGACCAGCGAGCTGAAATCGCAAATGTTCCTATCATACTTTACCAGGTTCTTATCCCTCTTGAATCACGAACCCCAAGAGTTGGCGAGAAATGATCTAGCCCTCTCCAGCCTCGCCACCCGCGACGAGGGCAGCTCCGTATCAGAGCTTGCCATCACGATCTTATCCAATCTACTCAGCGCAAATATAGACGTTGGCCTTAAACACTCTCTCAATATTGGCTACCACGAGAATGTTGACATTCGCACGGCATTTGTAAAGGTACTCTACAACATTCTCGTCCAGGGCACGGAATTTAACAACCTAAGCGACGCTGTCGTTAGTGAGAAGTACGAGGAATTGCTTGATGTAAGTGCCTGTATTGCCTCACTCTCCTTTGCGAATATGGCTAATGATTTCCCAGCTTCTTACGAGGGATGTGCCGTTAGCCGCCGCAATGGGGGCTGTCTGCCCCAGCAGTGAAGTTGATGAGCTTACTATATCGCTCCTAACTATATTCGAACACCGCGGCTTGAGTTTCCAACTCCTCGAGGCACTTATAAAACAGGAAGTTGATAACACCGGTTCGTACACTCTCCCGACCACTCTGCTCTCAAGTCCTTTGTCGAGTCTTTCGTCCTGCGAAACTAATTTTTTCCCTTCTTTTTAGACAATGAGTCCGAACTCCTCCGTCGTAACTGTGTAGCAACAAAAATGCTGTCAATCTACGCCAAGTGGAAGGGCGCTCCATACCTTAAAGCTACCCTACAGAAAGTAGTTGAGCGGCTAATGCTAACATCAAACGACCTTGATTTAGAACTTGATCCTGCGAGAGTCGGCTCGCCAGAGGAACTTCAGAAAAATGCACTGCAACTGCGGATTGTAGCGAAGGTGTTCATCGATGACATATGCTCCTCTACGAGCAACATACCAGTACCTTTCAGAAGAATATGCAGTATTGTAAGTCCTGTGGATTCTTGGATCCTTGTTTTCTTTCTATTTACGAGGTCTCTCCGCTCCAGATTTCCACCGCAGTGCTCCCTCGTTTCCAGGAAGCAAAGTACACGGCCGTGGGTGCATTTATCTTCCTGAGATTCTTTTGCCCTGCGATCGTCGCTCCGGAGGTTGAAGGTCTTGTCACCACGGTTCCATCTAAAGAGATGCGCCGTGGCCTACTCTTAATCGCCAAGGTTATTCAAAACCTGGCGAATAATGTGCTTTTCGGCGCGAAGGAACCTTACATGTTCTCTCTCAATGACTTTCTCACGCAAAACATTTACAAAGTCACGACGTTCTTGCGTGAAATTTCAGTAAGTATAACATTCATCGAAATCCCCCGAGTTTCCTCTACTATGGGGTGAGTCACGCCTAACTCCTCCCCGAAGGTTGCCCCTTCAGATCCCCCAGAACCTACCGGAAGTGAGTCGTTCGACTTCGGATCTTGCGTATCCATCCACCGTTTCCTCTATGATCACTGGGACCATGTTCAGCAGAGGCTCATCTCGTTAGAAAGGAGAGAGTACGTCCGCTCTCCGGGTGAACTATCGCGAGGCCGCTCCCCAGTCCTTGAGCCACTGAGAAATCTCATTACAAACCTCGGCCCTCCTCCCCTCGCTGTTACCTGGAACAGACCCCAGATATCTGCGAATACTCTTCCGGCATACTCTAGGTTCCAGAATTTCATGCTGCGCAGTGCCTTCCGAGGCACCGAATCATTCCTTACGGCGAGAGCAGTGTATGATGGTGGAGAGAGCAAGGTCGGTTGATCAACCCCCCTCTTTTTTCCTCTCCTCGATTCATGTCCTTGACAACACCCAGATGCTAATATCCTGGTTAGGACGGTCTTTCCATTATATGTGTCATCTTACGACATATAGATGCCGAAAACATAGATTATAACACTGTCCTGTACTGCTATCTCAAGGTTCGGACCTCCCACCTTCTTATAAGCTCCATCCCGGCCGTCTAGGACGTACCTGACAAAATGCAACAGATCGCCAGTCGCCTGTGGCATCGGCCATTCGGGCTTCTCATCGATGCAACCTGTTACGGTGGAAATGTGGAGCCTCAGGACGATCTCTTCAAGAAACTCGAGCTCCTGGCTCCTACAGAACTCTCCCGTGCCCTTTCACGAGTGTACATCTATAACATGAACAACACCTTCAGGTAAGTTCCACGTCAAACTGGGCTTTCCGTGCTCCAGGATATCGGCTCATCGCGTTTATTGCAGAAAATGCTTCCGAAGGCTGCTGCGGGTATCCACAAAGAGCAGCAGCCATGTCTTCAATCCCAAAAATGTCGAATACCACTTGATTGGGAGCCTTCAAGATCTCCAGTCTCATTTCCATCTGAGCCAATTGAACTTGCCTCGTGAGACCATCAGTGTCGTTACAGACACAAGATACGTTTTCCAACCAATCACAAGGCTATCAAAAACAAAGGGGAAGATCGAAGTCGTCATCAAGGTTGGAAGCCAGTTCGTGCAGGTGACGACAGCGAACAAGACGGAAATCTTCCCGGGGTTCCGGCTCTATACGACGGTGAACGATATTTTCAGGCTGGGCGATATCGACGAAGCGCAAACATCAATACAAACTGAAGACGACTCCGCGTTTGGACTTCGCGCTGAGAACGGAAAGATCATTATGTTTTTCACTAGCCCTCAAAAGGCCGACATCATCCAAACCATTAGGGGAGCCAAAGCTAAATACGGAAAAGATAGCCGAGCTCACAAGACTCCCGATAGACTGATTCGGCCACAAGATGTCCCCGGCACGTTGCTGAACCTAGCTTTTACCAATATCTCGAGTCCAGATAGCATGCTCCGTCTCTCATCCTACAACCTCCTGGGGGCGCTTTGCAGGGCCTTTGAGTTTGAATCTGCGTCAAGGCTCATGTGCGCGAAAGGTTGGTTTCCTCCAAGTTGTTCTCCTAGCTCACCGTATACCCCACTAACGGATACTCGAACAGATCTGGCCATCCCCCCCGATCCGTCCGCATTTATCATAGCCATGAGCGGGCACTTGGCACGATCAGAACCGCAGCTGACCTACGACTTCCTAACTGAGTTTTTCGTGGGGTGGGACAGCTTTCCGGATGATCAGAAGCCCCTGAGTCTTGGTTACATGGCCCCGTGGCTCGTAGGCCTGCGAACCTTCGTGCTAGTCGCGGAGACGGATGCTGACAAGGGCCGGGACAAGATTGCAGTCATTTTCCGGAAGCTGGTGGAAGTCGTGCTAGCCGACCACTCTCAAGCCTATAGCATCGGTCAAACCGTTTGGTCCGTTATCTCAGGCGACGAAGTCCTTCTTGAGATCCTCCTAGATGAGATAATCAAAATCGGACTCGGATTTCGTCTGCATGATGACAATCTAGATGTCCTCTGCTCAATCGTTTCAGCCATCGGCAGCATCACCCTCAGAGGCAAGGTCATCTCTCGCTTGAGGAAGGCACTCAACCGGTCATCCTTAAGGCCAACCAAACACCTACCTGATAATACAGTCTGGCCCGAAATCTGTCTGCTTCTGCAGTTTTGCCTGTGCCTCTCATTTGACAACGCGGTCCAAGTTCAACTGTACATCCCCGAGATATTCCACATAGTAACCATGCTCGCGAATACGGGTTCGATGGATTTCCGTAGCTTGATTCACAGGCTACTAGTCAATTCTATTCACTCCATCTGCACATCTTTCCCGTTGGAGGAGGCACGACTAATCAAACTCCGCAGCATACTAGATGTTTTGAGCGACTCAAAAGGCGATCTCTTTCCGAGTCGAGCAGTTTTTGGACGGGAGGGGAATTCTATTTCCAGCGACCAGGAGTCGAGTCAGAACCTTGCTGCCACCGAAAGCCTCGCCATACTCCTCTTTGATATTTGCGCCATCTCTGCGCCTTCCGTCGATCTGTCCAATTCGTGGCGTTCCAGGTGGATGAGCCTAGTCGCCAGTACTGCATTCCAGAACAATCCAGCCATTCAGCCGAGAGCCTTCGCGGTCATGGGTTGCCTGGCACGGGAAGAGGTCGATGATGATTTGCTCTACCAAGTCCTAGTCGCTTTACGCAGTAGTGTGGCTCGATTTGGAGAGGACGGAACAAGCGAGATGCTGGTGTCAATCTTGACTTCGCTTTCCAGAATGCTTTCGAAGCTGCCAACAGCATCCAGATATGGGGTTCAGCTATTCTGGCTTGCAATCTCTCTCCTTCGTCTGGTGCCTCCAAGCCTATTCAATTGTACAGCGCAGTTTGTGGAAGCTGTGCTCGCCAATATCAGCACTATACCAGAACTCAAAGGTGAGAAAATGGTGTTGACGTTAATGCAGGGAAGATTGCCGCTGGAGGAGGCAGCAAGCTCTCTTGACGAGCTTTACGGCGTCCACTTCAGCACGGAAAACTTCCACTTTGCAGTCTGTGCTAGTCTAGCCCGAGGGCTCACAGATACTGTGACACGGCCGGTAGCTATGCGAGTACTATCGGCTTTCCTTGGCATGTCTGGGACATCGTCTGGAAGCTTGGGCCGTCAAATCACTGACATATCCAATTCTCCCTACTTGGCCCTCATACTCGCCCGGGCATCCGGTCTTGAGGAACTTAGGGACTACCTTTGGTTTGCGGGGATCAATCCTTCCTCCTTAGGTGTTGTCTCCAACATCCGAGATCTGCAACAGCCGGCAAATATCAAGGACAAAGACCTTCTCTTAAACACCACAATCGAATTGGTTGATTTCCAGTATCTGGAAGATGCCGTCCAGATTGGGACACTGCGATGGCTCAACAGTCTCAGCTCTTCACGGCCAGGTGTTGTACTACATCTGTGAGCATTCCGCCTAAATTCCCTATCCCGTAGGAGTACACCATGAACCACTAACATGCTCGCTCGATAGACGGGAGCCGATTGTGGCTATTCTCGATGAACTGCTCCTCCAGTGTCAAAACTCGGCTGCGCTAGAGTCCGCCTACGACCTTCTCAAGGCTTTGACCTCGTCGCCTCGATTCTCCGGTCATCTCGAGCAATCTGGGACGTTGATGAATATTCTCGAAGATATGGGCTTCGGAGGTCTCTGGAGAATGTGCTCGCTGAACAATTCCTGGGAAGCAAATACTCAATGTTTCGCTCTAACCGAGAAGCTAATTGAGGTAAGTGATACGCGCATAAATTAAAATTTAAAATTTCTAACGCATTTTTTGTAAAAATATAGCTTATTATTATATAAATATAAATTTTATACATGCTTTTTCAGCTTATCATAGCAAGCGTCGTGGGTCCCGGTAACTCTCGCAATGAGTTGGATACGCCGGTAATGGTAGATGGACAGCCGTGTCCTGATGGGTTCTAGTCGGGTCTTTACCCGTCGAATTGGCGTCTAGAGAGAGCTCTTGGGGAAACAAGGGGCAGTTGCTACTGCTTCAAGCCTCAAGCCTCGTCGTGAAAGAGGGGAGGGGGGTGGTGTACTATTCCGAAATGAATAGAAGGGGTGGGAGAGAAAGGACGGGACTTCATTAAAGAGAGAGATGGAGCCTCTGGAGCGTGAAGTTTATCCGAACCTCAGGCCCCGCCTGGATCAAGGCCTTGGAGTTCTCGATGCAGACGTCACACCTGGACAACAAACATATATAGTCGAGCATCGGGGCGACCTACACCAGGGGCTTCCTTTCTAGCTGGAAGTACCAGCAGGTATAAATGAGGTTGGCCACTCTTCATGAAATTCTTCTGCTCGAGGGCCCTGGGACTCCCTTCACAATCAAGTTCACCTCGTGGAGAATCCAGAGCCTCGTTTGTGCTCAGAGCCCGTTGCTTGGAGGGAACAAAGTCACCGGCTATCCCAACCTTGCTGATATTCCAGATCTTGTTGCAGAAGCCCCTATAAGTGTAGAAGACATTAATATCAAGATCAACGTCGCCGCAGCCGTGATGTATAGGCGATGAGAGAAGTGAACCGTGTCTGCTCCGTATTCCGGAATGCACTGCGGGGATGCCTTCCCGGCTTCATTGAGATGGCCCTGGACGAGCATAGGTCGAAACTGCACGACAACTCCCACATGGATTAGACTTGTTAGCTTGAAACGACATGCTACAATGAGTAGGGGTCCCTGCCAGGTATCCCCTCATAGTAATTTATATGTAAAGATATATATAGGAAATCAAAACAAATAAAGTTGTATTGATATAGCCCCTCTCACCCTACCAGAGCTCGAAAAACCTGAAAAATAAAGCTAAAATATTATTATTATTATAGACTTATTATATATTCTTATAGATATTGTGATGGGTAAAAAGGTGACAGCGGTGGAAATAGTAACGTTCCCACAGGACCGCAAAGATGAAGGCGGAGAAATATTGTTCCTTAGCATAGGCCAGGGGCATGGTTATTTCTTTTCTTTTCTTTCCTCTCTCAAGAGAGGAATAACAAGTTCTTCAACGAGTTTTTCAAGTTCTTCAATTATTCCAATTATTAGGCTTTCTTTCAATTGACTTCATTCTACCCGTTTCTTGTGGATCATCTTGTGTGGTGACTCCGGACAGTTCTTCTATTCTTTTGTGTGCCCAAGTGTCCCGTATTCGACACTTAAATGTTTTCTTGGCTTCCCCCTATTTGGAAGCCTCCTTTCGTTGTGATACGGCTCTATTCCCGTTGATCAACCATTCCGACGTTCTATTACCATTCCTGCTGGGAGAATTGCAGCAGCTTCTTGCAGGAACCATTCTACTGTAGACCTTTTTGACCAACTGTTTCTTTTGTTTCGTTCTTGTGGTGTACGGGCAGGCTGCACTGCTCCGTTTCAGTAGATAAGAACCATAGAAGTGATCAGGTCATTATAATATAGTAATTACCGGATGGAAAGGCGCAAGTCTTCCTGTAGTTCCTGGTGATTGACTCTACAATATTCTCTGAAGTCACTTCCGCGAAGACAGGGTGAGGGTTCTGCCCATCCTCAACAGCATGCGGAGTACCACGTCTGTATGATAATACAACCGTAGCAACTGGCGATGTACTTCGTCCCTGCCGGGGTGGCCCTGCTTGTGCTGTTCCTTTTAGCCCTCCCCGCCTTGGCCCAACGACATGTCATCTCCCAGGAAGGGTTCACATTGGGTTGGTTCGTTCTTCAAAGACAACCTGCTAAGTCTCTGAGCAGGGTCTAGTGATTATATAAGCGGAATTGCGGTCTCCGAAGCTCCAACAGCTCAGCCCAGCGGATTTTGGATCCACCTCAACTCCCCAATCCCCATTGTCCCTTGCTCCCTTAACTCACCTCACATCGAATTTGCCTTTGCTTTGACCGGGTCTTGTGTCGAACGATTTAATAGCGTCAGCCGGTCTCGGATATTACATTCCCTTCTTCAGTGGGTTGGCTGCTGGGATACGAGTCTAGCCGTTCCAAAAGGGGGTAGGAGACTCAAACCCGCCGTGGATCTCATAAGTAACAGCACTGCTTCTTCCGTCCCCGTTCTCCCTCTCGTGTATGTGCTTGTTACGTGTCTGTCATTCTCTTGAAAGATATATCCCGCAGGGTGTTAGGGTATCTTGGTAAAACCGTTCATGCTTTGAGCTTACTGAGTTAAGATCCATCACCCGGTATTGAATCCTATTTTGATAAGCGCTCTCCACGCCTAGTACTGGACTTGACCTAGCGCACCAGACTTCATCGGCATTCTGTTCTGTGGAATCCGTTAAGTCCCGTAACGTTAGCCTCTTTCCACCCACTTCCGCCTCGAGCCACCCCCACGCCCTTGAAGAAAACCAATCTCCTGCCGCCACCCCCAATGCCGACCCGCACCTACTCGCGGCGCCCTCTTGCTAGCCTTCTTGTGAATGAGGCGATTTTGGGTGGAACATCTAACCCTCAGGGTTATTCTGTTTGGCGTTCTTAAGGGACTTGGACCGCAGCGCAAATGCTGTTCCACAAGTTTACCCACCCAAGGGAATGTTCCGCCTCTCCTCATCGTTTTTTTTTTACCCCCTCCAAGCTCACTACCCGTTGAAATCTATTGTTACATAGATAAAAGCAATGATGGTTAGCGGATGCTTTTTAACCGTTTCTTTGCTTTGCAGACTTGCGGCGGCGCTGACTAGTTCGGCCACAGTCGCGGTGGCAGATACGGCTCCAAGTCCCGCAAACCCCGAAGTCACTGCTGTTACCGCCTGTCATGCGGACGGCCAAGATATGTATGTTTCCAGGACTCTCCGTTTATCTGTTTTATTGCACTACTTTTTTTACTCAATCCGGCCTGCTGACCATGCGTCAAAGATATTGCCTTTGGGGATCAACCGAGTTCTTAATGGGTGCCACTCCCACGGCCGTGGGAGATGTTCCGACCGCGTATACGGATTGCCACCCTCACGAATCCGCCTTGTATTGTGTCGGTCCTGATGGCGAAGACGTTTCAGCCAAACCGGCAGATCATGGCGAAGACGATGCTGGTCAGAATGATGATGCAACGCCTGACATGCAGTGCCATTTTCATGCCGGCGTGGAGCACTGCACTGGCACCGGCACTGGACCGGAGGTCACTTCGTCTGAGAGGTCCTGCGAGACTCACGACCGGGATTATGATGTCCCCCTCCGCATCGGGCTCCTCTTCGTCATGCTAGCGACCAGCAGTCTTGGTGTCTTTGGACCTATTCTCCTCGCCAACTTTCTACGCTCTTACAAATACATTCCTCTGGTAACCTTGGTGCTTCGGCAGATCGGAACAGGCGTGATTATTGCAACTGCCCTTATACATTTATATACCCATGCACAGCTCATGTTTACCAATCCCTGCCTCGAAGGCATTGAATTCGAGGGCACGACGTCGGCCATCGTCATGGCCGGCTTGTTCGTATCGTTCTTGGTGGATTTTCTTATACAACGGGCCGCTCAAGCCGAAAGTGCCAAATCGGCCAAGTCCAAGGCTCGGCTTCGCACCGCCACTACTAATATTTTGGTGCTGGAGGCTGGCATCATCTTCCACTCCATTCTCCTTGGCATCACCCTGGTGGTAGTGGACGATGGGTTTTTCCTCACCCTTTTCATCATCATAGTCTTTCACCAGTTCTTCGAGGGGATCGCCCTTGGAAGTCTGATCGGGTCTATAGGTTTTCGTGACCTCGAGACACACGAGAATTCGTCTGCCGAGCTTTCTCAACCTCATCTCCACGATCTGGAAGCCAAGGACATCCATTCCTCTGCACCGGCCAACTCGAGCTCCTCTCCTGACACCGATAGAGAGGAGGTTTATCTCTCTCTTATCAAGAGATGTCTCATGGGCGTACCCTTCGCCCTCATAACGCCGATTGGTATGGCTATCGGCATCGGCGTTCTGAATAGGTTCAATGGAAACGATAGCGGTACGGTCCTCACGATGGGCGTTCTAGACGCTATATCGGTGGGCATTTTGCTTTGGATCGGAATGGTCGAAATGCTGGCCAAAGACTGGGTGTTGGGCTCCTCTGTATTAATGCGTTCAGGATGGAAAATAGTTTCACTTGCAGTGCTGGGATTGGTAACTGGGATGGTGCTGATGGGCTTTCTAGCAAAGTGGGCCTGAACGACTTAAAAAAGGAACCCCGTGAAGACACGGAACTGTCTATCATGGAGGTCTTTTGAGCCATATCCAGACACTATTATTTCAACTAATTCTGATTCTAAGAGTTTTACGATAGCATCCAGATTAGAGAGACGGAGTCTAGATCCTTTCAACACGATTACACTCTAAAAGACATGTCCCACGTCCACCACAAGCAAGATTGATCCCCAATATTCTTCTACTAGCTACACCTCAGAGCCTCGAAACGTAACTCAGGATCAGTTACTAGGGCTCAATTCCCACTTAACAATTCGACCGCAAATCCTAGGTAACTTATAAGGTTAGGCATCATGCAGGACAGTAGATACGTTCTGTGGAACTTTGAGAATATCCTTCCTGGAAAATCCGCCATGATTGAGTTTTGGGGGGGGAGGTGTTTTAGGGGAGGAGTTAGAACCAAGCGTTGGATTGCATTCACAGTAACATTTATCCTGGCTATCCTCTCTATAGTCCTCTTCTCTCTTCCTCCAATTAGACATCCTGTGCTCTATGTATCACACCATCTTCCTCGGGTCCTGGCATTGGTACTAGCCAAGGACAAGCTGTTCTCTGAAACGCTCTTGAACGTCTCTCCTGCGGACCAAAATAACGGTAGTTCTATGAGAAGAGAATGTACCCTCTTGATTAGGTAGATGAAGTTCTCGGGCGCCGTGTTTCTCGTTGCCGATGCCATTGTGTGGGATATTCTCCGTGACTGTGCGGCCTGGTCTGTGGAGGTGGGTAAATCCCGAATCTAAGGTAGACACTAACCTTTTTTACGTAGGCGAGCAAGTCTTATTACGAATAGAGCTGAAGAATCGGAATATTGTCCCCGAACAAAAATGAGCCCCCGGTATTAGATTTCTAATCCTCGGAAGATGGTCGCCCTGTGATGTCGTGGTGATACGATTTCTCACTCTTTACAATTATTCTGTATCTGAGCCCTGGATTCCCCATCACGGGGTGTCCGACGTGTAAGCTGTACTGGCTGTTTAGTCTCATACCAATTCCAGAACTGTGAGTGAATTGGCAGACTTAGCGGCTTCAAGATACCTCTACGGTATCCCTTACATACGCGACATCCCTTGCATAGCATCCCTTACATACATATAAATCGGTGGCGCACAAGGAATCACCATTTATTGGTAGATATGATGTATCCCTCGGGTATTCTCTGGGAACCACCGGTTCATCTCGAGCGGGTGAGTGCTGAGATGCCGGGTATCTCACAAGGTATCACCCTGATTGAAAATCTTACCGAAGGAAAGCAGAAGCACCGTTTGCTCAACGATACGTGGTCATGTCTGGGAGGGTGGAGGAAACACCAGACCATGCGTCCTTCTTACTTGAACCAAAACCTCCATGGAGTGCCGTGTGGGGGAAACCCCGCCCCTTATTCTTCAATGCAACTAGACTAGAAAGGAAGCGCGTCAATGGGGGAAGCAAGGGTGTTGGCTCCGAGTGTCTGGACCAAGCCCCGATGTCCCAATGTTCCACGGGTAAACTTCTGGGGCAAATCAAAGTACGAATGTATAATATCTTTAGCCCCCCGAGGCGTTGATTTACTCTCACGCCCATCTGTCCTTGGTTACCTCCATAGGAATAGGCTTTACCTGACTTTCTAATCGTCACTGCCCTCGTTATTGGAGAATATCTAATCAGATCGCAATTTCAGCCATGAATGAGTTTACGTTGTTCGCTAACACGATCGACGGACAGTCGTCCACAGGATGTCGAGTAACCCATGGAGTTGATCCCTCAACAAAAACGAAGCTCTGGGACGTTCCAGTAGCATCCGCTCAGGATGTCGACGAAGCCGTGTCGGCTGCGCGGGCTGCGTTTGCCGGTTGGTCTGGAACAACGTGGAGCCACCGCCAAGAGCTGATCCTGGCAGCGCGACAAGTTCTCCAGGGCACCAAAGCCAAGATGGCAACATTGCTCACGAAGGAGAGTGGAAAACCGGTAATTTTATTCAGCGAACCTAGAAAAATGGAAGAAAAATCCCGTCTGACCGAAAGCATATAGGTTGAATTTGCGAGCTTCGAGGTTGACGCCTCGTTGAGCTTTCTGAACTTTAACGGCAAGTGACACGACGGGCTAGTTTCATGCAAAAAACAACTAAGAATGTAATAGCCTCTCAGGAGCCTTTGGAGGATAGGGTTATTCAGGATGACGACGAGCTCTTGTTAACCCTTCATCAGAGGCCCGTGGGTGTCGTGGTAGCGATATGCCCCTGGAATTACCCCTTGGTCTTGGCCATGGGGAAGATCGCCGCCGCCCTTATCACTGGCAACTGCGTCATTGTCAAACCATCTCCGTTTACACCATACTCCATTCTCAAATTTGTGGAATTAACACGGGATATCTTCCCGCCCGGTGTGCTCCAGGCTCTCAATGGCGATGATACCCTTGGCCCTGCGCTCTGCAGCCATCGGGGAATCGACAAGATAAGCTTCACTGGATCCATTGCCACTGGTAAAAAGATTGCCGAAACAGCGGCGAAGACTCTTACACCGGTGACTTTGGAGCTGGGTGGGAATAGCGCCAGCATTATCTGTCCTGATGTGGATCCGGCTGTTGTGGCGCCGCAAGTTGCCGTCGGATCCTTTCTCAACTCAGGTCAGCTTTGCGTAGCCAGCAAGAGGGTATACGTCCACGAAGATATTTATGACGAGTTCCTCAAAGCAATGGTCGAGAGTGTGAAGCAATGGAAGGTTGGCCCAACCTCAGGCCTTGAGGCCGGAATCATGCTCGGGCCTATTCAGAACGAGATGCAGTATAATATTGTGCAGCGTTTCTTCCACGATGCCTCGCAGAATGGATATACGTTTGCGTTAGGATCCCATCAGCAGGAGGGCTCAGCGAATAGTTTTCTCATCAAGCCTGCCATTATTGACAACCCCCCAGACCACGCGCTCGTGGTTACGGGCGAAGCTTTCGGTAAGTCTACCACTGGCTTTCTTGTCTTGCCCCGGATATCATGAACTGACATGCTCTGCTGCTAGGCCCTATCGTCCCCCTCATGAAATGGAAGGACGAGGATGACGTTATTCGGCGCGCCAACGACACCATCACCGGGTTAGGTGGTGCAGTTTGGTCAAACGACATTGACCAAGCAAAACGACTTGCCGATCGCATCGAGGCAGGCACGATTTGGATTAATAGCGCCGAAAAGCCTCTTCCTCAGGCACATTTTGCTGGACACAAAGAAAGCGGCCTGGGTGGAGAATGGGGTCGCGAGGGTCTGTTCCAGTACTGCAGACCCAAGGTAGTCCACTGTTACAAGGCGAAACCTGTCGCGGGTGGGAAGTAGTGGAAAAAAGGCACCTCATGATTTCTGTAGTCCTGCAAGTCCAACCCAACATAATCCATTATTTATACATTACTTACACAATACGCGGTCCTCTGCGGCTCACCTCAATGCCTCATTTAAATCCACGTCCTGCAACCGGAAAACGAGCTCGTGGATAGGTCCCATGTCTGAGCTATCCATAACTGGCAGGAGGCCTGTATCCTCATTGCTTTGCCTCATAGTTCCCTCGTGTCGCCTGAGGTCCAGCTTCACTTTGTACTCATTCTGGTTATGGAAGATGACAGCAAGGCTCCAGTATTCTCTGGCATAGCGCATGAATCCGACCCTCGTCAAATCTGGCTGGGAGTTGTCGTTTTCGGATGGGATGGGGTCGCGATCGCCCCAAACACGTACCCAATTTCGTAGACCTCGGGAGACCCGCATGGATTTGGTATGGCTCTCGGGTCCGTTGTGATGATGGAAGATGAGATTGTGGAAGGCTGTTGCCACGTTTTAATGTTAGTCTTCGGCTTCGTAGGGAGAAACTAGCTTTGCCAGCATAGAACCTACCGCTGGCGATGGCAAACAGGTTGAGTAGATTTGCCTGTTCTAGTGTGTGCCATTCCTCTGGACTTAATTCCTCCTTGAGACTGACTTCGATTAAGTCGAATATACTGAGCGTGCCCAGGGATCTCTTTTCGGCCCATTCGTCCATGCATTTTAGCCATTCATCCGGGTTGACTGCATGGAAACATGCATCTGGACATACGATATCGTACTGAAGCTCCCTGACGACCATGCGCGGAGTGGTGTTGTTGAAGATGATGAATGCACAATCGAGCAGGAAGACGAACAGTACAGAGCGGGTACACTCTTCCTTTATGGCAAACAGGTTCCAGGCATTATAGCGACTGGCCAATGCAAAACCCGGTAGACTGTTCGACCTTGCGAAGGGGTGCAAGGTACGGGATATGCTTACAATTTGAGGGAAACGAATCCTTCGCGCCCTAGTCGCCCGGCGCATCGAAGAGTCCTCCCACAGAAGCATCAACACAACAAGATAAGAAGCCTGTAGCAGATCCACTTGAGCCCGTACTTGGGGTAACTCACCATAGCTATCCGCGGTGTATGGGAATGGGTGGTGTTCTCGAAACTCCTCGCCGGAGAACACCCATTCCTCTACGCGCTCTAGCCATGTTATTGCTTGTTCGCCGTCGCTCTTTTCCGACGTTAAGCAGGCCCCCATCAGAGTCATTGCAGCGATTAACTTCGGAGACCTCTTGCTGGCTGCAAAGGTCGGTCGATGGAACACAGGCCAGTTGGGGTACCAGAACAGCCAGAATGCTGACAGGAACTTGTCGAGGTTTGGTGGTGAGAAGAATCGAGCGCATGCGTTCTCTAAGGCTTCCGTCCATTTCGAGTTCTGCTGCTGTGGCCTCTCAAAAGCCGAATCGCGCAGTCCTTGGACAATCTCGCACGCCTTTTTCGTCAAATGGTGAACCCGAATGTTCTGTGTACCGCCCCCGGCTTGCCCCATATTGGCCACTAAGAAGTGCTCCAGAACGGGTTGCAGAGTAATACCTAGAGGAATGAACTCGCCTGGTTCCACCGAGGGCATGTCCGGATAAAATTCACACGCATCCGCTGCATTATGATGAGGCATTGGTAGGACGATTGAACTAGGTAATGCAGTGGCTAGAATTTGTCTCCTGGCGACTGGGTTTCCGCAATCGAACGAATTGGCGATGCCGTGACTGGACGTGAACCTGACAACAAAATGCAACCTCGAGCGAAGGGGTTGCGGTCTCGGCATCAATATCGGTGGCACGGCTAGAGTGTGTCCAATGTTCCACGGTATGTCAACATCTGCATATCCGTAGAACGGTGATGGTGCGGTAGCGGTCACAGTAATGTCCAGCGGTGAAAGGGAGAATCTTGCGGACGGAGTATGGGGGTAAGAAACATGCGCATCAAAGGAATCGAGGGGTGCCGGGGCAATTTGAGGCTGCGATGCTTCTATGAAACCGACTTCAAGACAAGTAGATGTTATATCGGGTGTCGTCACCGAGGGTCGATCATAAAGGAATGTCGGTAGTTCCATGTCTGGGTCGGATAGATTTGAGGCTACTCTCGGAGCGTTGCCGGGGGAGGGTGAGGGCAATGCCGACACTTGTTTTTTTGGAGGCTGTCTGGAGTAGATGCAGTTGTGACCTTGCTTGAGGCAGACATCACAAGGCCGTGTTCCGCTACATTTCTTCTTAAGCTGCGCGCATCTTGCACAAGCATTTTGCTTCCGGCCGCGTTTCCCCATGGGAAGACTCGGAGGCGGGTGTCCCGCTTTTAGCCTCTCTCGGCACGTTCGCCAATGTCTCTGCAAGGCATCCCTAAGAGACGGGTTAGGAAGATGCTGGGATGGATGTAAGACTGAGCGTTAAGTTGAAAAATACCTGCGGTGGAAGCTGAAAGAACAAAAGGAACATTCATGAATACGTTCATCGTCATCTCAGATGGGAAGATGTTAGTCAAATGCCAACTCAGAGATGGGAAATGGTCCCCTGAGGGGAGGCAGCGGTGCGGCTACTAACGAGAGAGTAAATGTCGATTGAGGTGGTCTAGAAGTCCGCCAACGTTAATTTCTCTAGTTAGGCCAATATGCAGACAGAACGACAAGCACCGAGCATGGGGAGGGTTACAGGGTTATATCTAAGTTTGGAGCTGAGGTTATACCTACCAAGCTTCCTGAACCTGGTGGAGCAGACATGGCACTCAGACTGGAGATTCTCGGAGCTCATCCTGGTCGCAGTCATAGGGCCGGCCAGTGAGCGGCCTCAAAGAAAAAGAGAAAGAAAAAAAAAATAAGGCAAAAACCAAGGGTAGCTTGTGTCGAACACGCGCATCCTACGAAAACAGTCCGGGGCGGTTTTCTAGCTTTGTGAGCGCTTGGGTTGGCTAGACCACATCGCATTGGCAAGTGCTTGAGCTGCTCGAGCTGCTCGGCTGATATTTGCCACCGAAGCCCCCTATATAAAGTATAATCGAGCCGGATTTCTAGAAAGGTGGCTGCGAGGAAGGAGCGGGGGGGATGCGAGGGAGGGTCAATGGCTCCTTACTTCTCTGAGGTTGGGGAAGTTGCGCAGGATCGTGGAACGAAGATCGATACACTAGGCCGTGACCATGATCTCCACCAAATGAGGCTCGTGTGCAGACGTGGACAGGAGGATGGGAACTCAAGGCATGCAGCGGCCTCGGGAAAACATATGCACGGGAATCATGCGGGGCAACAGAGTCATCTCGGGTTACAGGATGTAGACACCGGGACCGGGTTCGGGCTGGATTGACACGCAGAAGGCCTTTTAAATCGAAGAAAATGTGCTCCGACATGGTCCAGGGACCCGGCAAACACTAAATAGCTTTCTCTTGCTAGCTTCTACGTAATTTGGCTCTCTCTTTACAGTGTCCTTGGGCTCCTTGCGTATGTGGATGAAGTTGATATGGGATGGAGGCTCAGCTCCAGTCTCGACCTTGCTCCGTATGGTCGGGATGGGTTAGACTAACCTGAGATAGAACAAGCGTTACGACCGGTCTGCAACCAAATATTTCTCGGGGTCCGAGAAGATGCGGGGTTAGCATCTGAGGACACTGAATGGACGCGAGCGACGGGAAATTCACCACCTCCGCAACGAGAGCAAGATCTATTCTTCTCCATCAAAGGACGCTATTCCTAACTCGACCGAGCAAGTGCGCGTCGAAGGCACCCAACCCAAGCTCTTGCTCTACCCCATAGCATTCTTCCCCCGGGTCTGTCCATTTTGGAATCTACGTACATGAAAATGGAATTGTGAATCTTCAACCCAGCTAACCCCGTTGAAAAGAAACGCTTCTAACTACCGAGGTACCAAAGTCAATGATAGAGTGTCCGCATTCTTGCCCGCCCAACTAAAGCCGAATGACAAATTTCCCGGTTGTCTGAAAGAAGTTTATTAGCCGATACTTTGTCACTGTACAGCAAGATGTTGGGGAGAGTTCGGAATGGGCACGTACTGTGGCAAGCCTGTTAGAAAGATCTCGGAGATCTTCGAGGTGAATTGTATTGGTGATTGGCTTAACCACACCTCTCCGGACAAACTCCAAAGCTTCGATGGTTTCTGTCCTCGTACCAACTAGGGTGCCAATGATCCGTATTCCGCGATCAATGACTACTAGCGGGTGGAAGCTGAGGACTTCTGGCGGGGGAGGTATTCCAACGCAAACAAGCGTTCCAAAGACACTCAACATATCGAGACCGTTCTGATATGCCTTTCCAGACCCAGCTGTGACGATTGAAGCCTTGACACCAGCTCTATTAAGCGTAAGAGATTTCAGAGCGGTGATCGTCCCTCCATCAAGGGCATCGAAATACTCATCAGCGCCTGAGCGTAGGCAAAACTCCTTCCCTGCAGATCCCACATCGACGGCAGCCACGCGATAACCCATGGCTTTCGCGTATTGGACCGCCAACCCACCTACACCTCCACTGGCACCGACAATAGCCACCCATTCCCCAGGAGTTGCGCCACAGGTCTTGAGAGCCTTGTAGGCCGTCACTCCGCCGCAAAGGACAGGCGCAACATACTCATCGGGTAGCTTGGCATCATTGGGGATGATGAGAAGATATCGGCTTGGCGCAACGCAATACTCGGCAAACGTGCCGTCTAACTTGCGCCCCGAGTTGAGTTGTTCGAGGCATCGAGTCTCGCCACCCGGCTCGCGGCAGCAAGGGCATCGACCGCAGACATCTCGTACCCATGCGATGCCGACACGGTCGCCAACCTTGACGGTATCAGGATCAACACCGCTTCCGAGTTTGACAACACGGCCGACACCCTCATGGCCAAGAATATCGCAAGTTAGGCCAACATGGCCGGCCGCAAGAGAGATGTCCGTCCCGCAAACACCAGTTACGGAGAGTTTGACGAGAACTTCCCAGGGCTTAAGTTCTGGGATCGGTACTGAACGAATGTCGAAATCAAATCCGGTAGATGATCGCTGTGGAAGTTTTTCTTCATAGTTAGTCTTCGAAGTACAACCAAGGTGGGTGGAGGGTTGCGTACCACGACGATGGCAGCTTTCTGGGTGCTCCGCTCTGTATTATCCATCTTGGTCAACATCCGATGAAATAAGGACTCGGTATCTTTCCGATGCGCAGGAGTTGTCCCTAATAGCAATGATTCTTTCTCGCTTGCTACCAGCTACTTGCTACTGCCGAATGTCTCCAGTTACAAGTCGCAACGGACAAGGGACTGTATAAAAAAGTCCGAGCACAGGAGACAGGGACCTTGAACATGCCCAAAATCCTTGTTTCACAACGATCCGTATTAATTATCGGAATACACATGGAGGTGGGAAATAAGGCGATTCAATATAAGTGCCGAGCGCCGACAAACCACGGTAATAATAATAAGGGTGTGATAAACCGTCCGTAGGATTCGGGGATCCCCCGGTGTACATCATAGCGCATCGGTCAATTCCCCACCCCCATGACTTGCACCAACGCTTATCAAAAGACGTGGAGTCTCAATGTAACGCACAGCTGGGGAGTAGCTTAAATCCAGTCCGGAATCGAGTCGGTCAGTTCCCACCCCCGCCCCATGCCGGGAGGATGGATACGACTGTCTCAGAAGAATCGGGACTGGTGCGTCGGGGCGGCTTTTCACTTTCGAACAGTCCGGAATGTAGCTTAAAATGTGGTATGGCCTCTCTACTCAAGGCTTTGGAGCTCCCTTAAAGCATGAACACGACGACGTCCTCTTTGATATGTGAAGACACGCGATCTTGACTCTTGAGCCCTCACCTAAACTGAATTCCTGAACATCAACTCCCCAATATGGCGAGCAAAACGACTTCTAACATGGAGAGTGGTATTTCGATTACCATTCAGCCCGGAAAGGTTGCCAATGGTACACCGAGTCTCAGTCCTCTGGTGCTCCCCCCGGGCGTAAATTCCGTCACTTTCGGGAAGTTTGTTGACGCGGCCAATCAGATTTGCGGAACTGAAAATGTTACGGTCATAACAAAGTCCGATCAGCTTGACCAGCAGCACTACCTTGACCCCAGCAAGGCCCACGACATGTTCCATATCGTCGGCAAGGAGTACTTTGTCTCTTCTGTTATAATTGCCCCTCGCAACGTTCCCGAAGTTCAGGCCATCGTGAGACTCTGCAATGAGTACGAGATCCCCCTTTGGCCGTTCTCGATCGGCCGCAATGTCGGGTATGGCGGTGCTGCCCCCAGAGTTCCTGGTTCTGTTGGGTTGGATATGGGGAGGCATATGAACAAGGTCATCAAAGTGGACGTTGACGGGGCTTATGCGTTGGTGGAGCCTGGGGTAACATACAAAGATCTCCATCAGCACCTCGTTGATAACAACCTACGTGACAAGCTCTGGATCGATGTTCCGGACCTTGGCGGCGGCTCCGTCTTGGGAAATACTCTTGAAAGGGGAGTGGGCTACACCCCGTATGGTACGATATGTCCATACACATTCGATGTTCCTTGGATAAGCTGCTAACAAACGGCTTCGTAGGTGACCATTTCATGATGCATTGCGGAATGGAAGGTAAGTGAGCCCCTGGATTGACATAAAATTGTTGCCAACGCTAACTTCAGTTACTCAAAGTCATCCTCCCTGACGGTTCCCTTGTACGCACTGGCATGGGTGCTCTCCCAAACCCCGATGCCGACCCCAACACGCCACCCCATGAACAAGAGCCTAATACTGCTTGGCAACTATTCAACTACGGTTTCGGTCCATATAATGATGGCATATTTACCCAGTCCTCGCTGGGAATTGTCGTCAAGATGGGCGTGTGGTTGATGGTGAATCCCGGGGGCTACCAGTCATACCTGGTTACCGTTCCCCGGGACGAGGACCTCCACCAGGCCATCGAGATCATAAGACCCTTGCGCACGTCCATGGTGCTGCAGAACGTGCCCACCGTGAGACACATCCTTCTGGACGCGGCGGTAATGGTAAGTTGAAAATCACAATCAAGCAGTGCGTTTGGAATTGTGATCTCCTAATACCAAACAACCAGGGCAACCGAATCAAATACACATCGTCACCAAATCCATTGACAGACGCCGAACTTGACGAGATCTCAAAGAAACTGAATCTCGGCCGCTGGAACTTTTACGGCGCACTCTACGGGCCTGAGCCGATTCGCCAGGCTATGTGGACGGTGGTGAAGCAGGCTTTCTCGGCCATCCCTGGGGCCAAGTTTTATTTCCCGGAGGATATGCCTGATAATCTCGTCCTGCAGACTCGCCATCTCACGTTGCAGGGAATCCCCACCACGGCTGAGCTTGAATGGGTGTAAGTTGTCTCTCTCTACCCGATATGCTGCGATCGAAGCTGACGGAGACACTGCTAGTAACTGGCTTCCTAACGGCGCCCATCTCTTCTTCTCTCCTATTGCCAAGGTTACCGGCGATGACGCCGTGGCTCAGTACAAGCTGACTCGCCAGAGGTGTGAGGAAGCCGGCTTCGACTTTATCGGAACGTTCTGTGTCGGGATGCGAGAGATGCACCACATTGTTTGCCTCGTTTTCGACCGCAATGACCCAGACTCTTGCCGTCGAGCCCATTGGGTGATTACTACCCTTATCGACGATGCGGCTAAACGAGGATGGGGCGAGTACCGTACACATCTGGCCTTGATGGACCAGATCGCCAATACGTACAACTTCAACAACAATGCGCAAATGAAGCTGAACGAAACCATCAAAAATGCTCTCGATCCAAAGGGTATACTGGCGCCTGGGAAGAACAGTATATGGCCCCGGAAGTATGAAGCTAAAGACTTTGAGATTGCTAGGCCCCAACTGCTTTAGCCGGGGCGATTTGATGATACGCTGGGACAAGATGTTTCTCACTTCGGCTCAGACCCCTAGTCAATCTTTTGTTCCATATGCTAGCACTATAATCCGACTATTTGAATGTTCCATGAAACTCTCAGAGTGAAACTCAGGCCCCACGGAGCGGTAAAATGGCCTACTACAATCGACGAGGAGGAAGATACATGGGGGGTTGAAGCGCTCCCTGCGAAACGGAAGCAAGGGAGGAGAATCAGGTACCTCGTGAAGCGGAAGGGTTTCGCCGAAGGAAGATAATACGTGAGAGTGACCAGCCAACATAAGCGCCGAAATGATTAGGAATTTTGAGAAAGTCTACCAGCGCAGTGGAGGGAACCCCCGAGGTGTGGAATGACTTGACAACCAGATGCATCGCGGATGGGAAGGTGGCCCTGACAGCGAGAACTCTAGGGAGAAAGAATTGACGATAAGCCTGGAGCGCACATCAGGGATTTGAGCCAGTCACAATGGAGGAGGCTCGGACAGAAAACTCTAAATTAAGCTCTAAAGAGCGATATCGCTGGTTTTAATATCATGCCACTTCAATCGTCACCCTCCCAGCCTTATCAAATAAGTCACATCTATCTTAGCCCTGAGTCCGCGCATACTATAGCCAATACCAATTCTCTCAAAGGTCCCCACGGCGGTTGCAGACGGAGTCAGGATGGGAAACCATGTCTCTGGACCCATTCGATCAAAATGGGTCACCCAGGAGAACAGCTGGAAACAATAGATCTCCCTCCGACCCTCGTTTCCGTTGCCATGCTCCCCCCATAGGCAATGTCCGTCTCGGCAGTGCTGCCATGCACCTAGGTTTCCACAAATTGTAAGAATCGGCTGATGGTAGCCATTGATTATCAAGTTTAAACCGCCCCTGAAAATGTTCCTTTCGATTGTTAACTTCAATTCTTAAGCTGACGACTTGCCGGTTTGCGGCTCTACTATAGAGGCGACACCTTCCGCGGCTCCCGTTTTGGGTGGCCAGATGGCCGTCTTTGGGATGGGGTGATCGTGCCAGTGACATAGAGAGATTTCATATTACGCCTCCAAAGGTCCGACAGGTCGATTTGCATCTCTTCGTATAGATTTCTGAAAAACCATTCCACCTGCCCAATAGAACTTGGAAGTAAGACTCGGTATCGCCTTTGGGAATAGCCAGATTCCCCGCCCAAGCGCTGGCCAATCGGCGCCATCGACGTTCCCTAGGGTGCTTCTTCAATTCACGGGGTGCTCATCTGCGCGTGGCGGAGAAGATGTCCCGCATTGGCTCTTGGAGATGCGCCGAAGAAGCAACGGTTACATCGAATTTCATCGAGCTGCTTGCACCACACACCACACATGTGATATTTGATCCTTTGGTACGACCTGCGGAGTCTGTCGATCACAAACTTGTTATTTAAGTCAGATGCGCCGGCCCCGTATCCCAAAACATGGCTGCTTCTCAATGCGTTAAAGTCCCTCATACATTTCCGGCATCATGAAGCTGTCGGTAGTGGCGTCCGTATTCCTACACGTTGGCCTATCCTTAGCCCAAGGCCTCTTGGCCGAGGTGAAGGGAGAGGCCGGCTTCTTCACGTTCAAGTACTCAACCACTGAGCCTGACCCGACCAACTGGGTCGGACTCTACTCTAGTGCCGGGGGCGGCCCAGTCGATGAAAAATTCGTGGCGCCGTCTTTGGTCTGGAAATACGCCCCGGAAGCCGAGGGCACCGTCGCCTTGTCCACCTCGACCCTCGAGTCTGGAAACTTCACTGCCTTCTTCCTCGCTCGTGATGGCTACGAATGGCTTGCCGACCCCATCGAGGTCGTCTTGCCCGCCGAGGTCGTTGATGTCAAGTTCATTGCAACGGACGTCGTACTCGCCAACGCCCGCCAGGGAGACAAGTATTCCCAGAAGATCTCCGGCCTCGTCAAAGGCAGCGATTCAGTCACCTTTAAACTCAACGGGCGCATCCCGAAATGGCTCTCGATAACTGCCGATGGCATCCTTTCCGGCACTCCTGGACTCAAAGACACAGACGCCGAAATCACCATTAAAGCTACGAGTGGCAATTCAAAAGACGTTGCGCATTTTACAATCCCTGTCCGTCCAGCTGGATCCAAGCTTCTCGAACAACTGCAGGTCATGTCCTTCAACATGTGGCATGGCGGCACCCGTGTCAACAGCTACCACGAAAAGCAAGTCCGCTTCTTGGCCACCTCGGGTGCCGATATCGTCGGCTTGCAAGAGGATCAAAGCGGTAACACTGTGCGCCGCCTCGCGAACGCGCTCGGGTGGCATGCTTGGGCAAGTGGCGATAGCATGAGCATCCTGAGCAAGTATCCCATCGTCCAGGAGCACGGTGTAATCAACCGATCAGGCGGTGTGAGGGTAGCCCTTGACGGCGAGACCCAGCAGGTCAACTTCTACAGTTTGCATTTAGGTTATGACCCCTATGGACCCTACGATTTCTGCTTTGACAAAATGACTGTCGAGCGCGTCCTAGAGCGGGAGGCGAGGTCAGGCCGCACGCCGCAGATCACAGATACCATGGCGGCTCTGGAGAAGAAAGGCCACCTATCACAGGCAGATGACATCCCTCTCCTTGTCGTGGGCGACTTTAATGCACCATCGCACCTAGATTGGATAGAGGACCTCAAGGAAAAGAACTGTGGTGTTTGGAACGTGCCGTGGCCGACATCCGTGCTGCCGACGGAGAAAGGGCTCATCGACTCTTTCCGCGTGGCTCACCCTGATCCCGTCCAGGTACCTGGTATTACCTGGTCGCCTTTGTTCCCATGGAACGACGGGCGAAATCTACCCGAGCCCCAAGACAGAATTGATTTCATCTACCACAAGGGCAAGGGACTCAAGGTTCTAGAGTCGAGGCGTATTGTCATTGGAGAGCCGAAGCCTGACCCCAACTACCAAGATAATGAGTGGACATCGGACCACGCTGCGATGCTGACAGTCTATAAGTGGGTAGATTGAGGCTTGGGAACCAAGACAGGATTATAATGGAGGATCTTGTTAATTATTGACCCGTAGCGTTCAAGAGAGGTGACAGAGCTGTACATTATAAGAATGGACAAGGCCGATAATGTGCACATCCACAGCAGTGTTCCACTCGATGCTTGGGGCCGGAGAGGAAAAGAAAAGGGGAAAAAAAAGCTCTCCCTCGAGGAATCACCCGGACACCTTGTTCTTACCCACAGGTAGTCTGACCAGTAGACCAAGGAAGACGAAATAAAATACTATCAACTCAATTCATGCAATCAACCAGCGATTGATTCCGTCGTTCTCGGATTCAAGGCAAAACATTGAGCAAATTGGTATGGAATTTCATGGGCGACTCGACTCCCCCATCATAAAATATTAAACTTCTCTGTGACAAAATCACACTCAGTAGCAATATCCAGATTCCACACCTACGCTCAATTGGGGGGCTTAATGGAATGTTCGCTTCAAACAGAGCCTGGCCGCGATTTCGATGATAACCACCCCTGTTAAGTGCGTACGCCTAGATCCGTCAGTTCAACTGCTGCGAGTATTGGGCCTTGAAACCAGGGCTCCATCGGCGAACGGGAAACCTCTCCCACTCATACGCACATACGCACATAGGCACGTACGCGCACATAGCTCATATCAACAATGCATTTCGTGTCATCAAATCATGTCTGCCAAGTTCCACTCTCAATATTTGCAACTTGCCCCTGGACAGGAATAACCCACCCCTGCCTCCACTAAGAGAAATCAGCTTCCTCAAAAGGACCATTGGTTCCTTGAAGTCGACGAACTAGTCCTTGCCGGCGCATTCCTATTGACGCAAGACCAGCAGTCGAGTTTCGCCGCATTCCCACACCTGCCATTGTAGAATGCCTTCTGAGGATAGGGGCACAGGATACGAGTTTGCGTCGTGCCATCCGGGTGGGTAAAGTTCATCTTCGCATGGTCAGGCGCCGTGCCTTCTTCTACCCATGCTCGAATTTGCGTTAGCAGGCCCAGTGGTGGGCCACCAGCACCGCCGCTGCAATGTCCTAGTCCGGGAACGGGGAAGTGCCGGTAAAAGTCGTGAACATCGGGAAATTCGCGCGCGACAAGTTCATAATAATGCTCCGTCCCCTTTGCGGGAATCATGGGATCCGCCTTCGGACGTCAGCAAATTGAGATCGAGCAAGGTATATCGAGAAATGAGGGAACACTCACCAAGCCATGGTAGGTCAAAAGTTTCCCTCCGGCTCTCTGAAGTCGGGAAATATCTGGGTCATCGAAGTCCATGATCGACTGCCACTGCTGGAAAGCTGAGTGTCCCATGTCGGCCCATGCTTCATGCGAGAGGTTATTGGAAACCCAGCTAGCATCCTTGGCCACGAAGTATCTGAAAAGGGGCCACCCAAGGTTCTCGGTGGCTACGCAAACGCCCGTGCTGCAGTTTGTGGCAGCAAGGAGCGTGAGGCCCGCTCCAATGCTCGGGCCGTACCACACCCGATCCCCCTTCACCGTTCTCGGCCCATCCCAGAACGCGCTAGCTACCTTGGCCGCACTTTCGCTAATCGTGATTTCCCCTCCTGTTTGTGAGCAGTTACTGATCGTAGTACCAACAAGTTCTTGGGGGTTGAAGCTATCTAGGCAAGCATCAGGGTCAGAAATAAGTCCGTCTACCACGCCATCGAGGCCGTCGCAAACTTCGACAGCCGCAGCAGCAATGGCTTCTAGTTCGCATCCGTAGGGATAGTATCCGTGCATGTTCATGAACTGCTGCGGCCAAGTGTTGGCCATGCCCATTCTGGTCCAGTAGATGACCGGCGCTCCAGACACGATGCCATCGTATATATCGGGATACCTCTGAGCAATAGTCAGACCCTGGCGACCCCCAGTGGAGCAGCCGCTCCAGTAGGAGTAGGCTGGGTCGCTGCCATAAAAGCTGCGAACAAGGGATTTTCCAATGATTGCCTGAAAGAAAAAAAAGAAATTCACTGGTTAGTTCAGGACCATCGGTATGTGTCAAGGAATCTAACTCTACCTCGTCGTTCAAGCTTGAGGTAGCAAAATTCTGGAGATATTGCATATTGACGTTCCCAGGGCTCGGGTTAACCCATGGACTTGGATCGCTGTACGAACCCAGACCAGCATCGGTGGTGACGGTTGCGTACCCGTCGGCTATGGCAGCAGCCATGGCCGCAGAGGTCCCAGCAGTCCTTCCAGCATTCCAACCACCGCCACCAACGGCAAGGAAGCGCTCGTTCCAATTATCAACTGGAAGCCAAGTTTCCACGATGATGCTGTCGTTCTGGCCGGGATGCGTGTAGGTCACCGTCACATTGCAGAAGGAGACGTCTTCAGAACTGGCTGAAGGTTGCGTCGATGCACTATTCGCGACGGTGGAAAGGTCGACAACAGAGGCTTCGAGAGAGAGAACAAGGCCCCCAAAGAGGGTGGGGGCGAAGGTTTCTGGTACGCAAGATGCTGCGAGGGCCATGTTTACAAAGAGAGTCTGTATGCGACGGGACCTGAACGAGGCCGACTGCGATGATAATTTCAGTCGTTTATAATTGTCCGCTTTGGGACAGCTTCCCTCGGATGGCTGGGTACTCAGCTCCATAGTCATTTCGGCAATCCCAAATTGGAACTTTGGAATGTCTAGGCGATGCTACCCCCGCATCTCAGTGGACGAGCTAACAACAGCTTAGACCTAATGTGTCGGTGAGGAGAAGTCGGCAGAGAGATTTCCCCAGGAAACTCGTCCCCACCGACATCAGTGGCAGGTTAACTAGCGGTTGATGTAAGAGCCATCAATTTGCTGTCCGGGGGGCTGGTAGATAGATGGATGGATAGCTCTTGGGGAGGATGGGAACAAAGTCTTCCAGCTGGATCGGCTTTCATCTTTCATACTCTAACGGAAAAGACAACAAGAATAATACTCAACATCGACTTGACTACCCTACGTCGACAGATTAACGAGAATAAATCGTTCGACTGTTTAAGACTCTCTCGAAGCCGCAGCGGAGTCACATAGCCAGGCGTGCCATTGGAGAAAATTATAATTGTCGTTTCATGCAAGGCAGTATTCAAAGGATCAGGGCATTTCACCATCTTCAATTCTCCTTAACCATCATTCAGGCCAGCTGGCAGAGGGTCTGCGTCCGTCCCTACGCACGCCTTCCGAGGTAGGTTTCTTTTTTAATCGAAAAAAAAAAAGGCAATTCTTAGGATCACTCCCCGCAACGTCGGTTAGTAGCTTGAGACGGCAGTTTTAAATTATGAAAACATGTGCCGATCCTCGATACGCTCAGACACACGTGGTGCGGATACATGGATCCGGGAATTTGGAATGGCCCTAGTTGCATGTTGACTATGATCGACAATATATAGATCTAGAGACGCGGGCTACTCCGTTTGATTCCTTCGTTTGTTATGTGTTATTCCCACAAGGTTGCAGCGCTAGGGAAAAAAAAAAAAAAAAAAAAAAAAAAAAAAAAAGCCATCGCATTTACCGCTGTTCGAATGCCATCCTGGCCTATAGTATGGGTGGGCGTCTCCTGGTAGACTTAGACACGCCAAGGGAATATATGATCTTCACATCGGATTGAGACCATCAGCCACACAAGGTACGAGTTTATGTATCGCATTGTGTGCCTTATTGTAGAATCTAAGAAGAAAAGTCGTTGGGACTGCCTCCAGGATAAGGGTAAGCCGAGGTGCGGGTTGAAGAAGAGTGACCGCAGTTAGCATATCCAGCCCAAACACCGTAGTCCCTATCAACAGTGTAGTAGTGGCCAGAGGTGGCGCCGGTTGGGGGGTAGCATTGGTTCCTGATATCCCAGTAGGCAGCACGGGATCGAGGTACCATCATTAAATTTCTGCAGGCGGCATGAATGCGTCAATAACCGTATCCATAAACGTAAAGTAGAACCTGCCGACTCCTGATAAACAGGCGAGTGGAGGGGAGGGAGTGGAGAGGGAAGCGGCTCCGGGTGGTGAGAGAGATAATAGAACTTCCAACCAGTCAGTAGGGAAAACGGAAGGTGACATGCCGCATCACTAAACAAAGGATAAGAAGTATGAATATGACTCACGTTGCAAATGTACGTGCCCGTTGTGGCCTCGCATGTTGTCCGGCGGCGTTCATTGTTAGAAGCACCACAGCTGCCTCCAAGCCGATTAAGATAGGTCAGACCATTTTATAGGGAGCAGTTAGTTCTTCATGACCAAGAGTAGCAAAGAAAGAGAAAAACGACTTGACTCACCAATACATCAGATTGATCACCGGTAGCCATGGCGGCACAGTTAACTCCATTCTGTCGTTTAGATAAGCTTTGAGGGCCCTCAAACCGAGCATTAATCCACGCTTCTTCTGGGGCTCCTGCCCCAGAATAGTCCGGGTTGGCGCTGATGAGGGCGATATACAGAATCTTTGCCGATGTGCCAGCGGTGGTTATTATACGTGTGACCTTCGTCCTCACATACCTCGGCGTCACCATAGAGATCGACAGGCTCCTCACTGCCAAAGATGGAGCCCATCCACTTCATGCTCGCACCATCATCAACAGCGAAATTATCCAAAGCCTCTAGAGCCTCGTCTGTGCGGCTTCTTGCTTGGATTGATGCTGGGGAGGCGAATGCTTTCGTCTAGAAATTTGCGTTAACAGGGACGGATGTAGGCAGGAGACCATGGTCTCCCGCTTTTCCTTGCTGTAAGGGGTAACAGGAGGAGGTTTTATTATTGACCTACCAGAAGTACGCGAGACCCATCAAGTGTTTGATGCAGACGCATCTGCCTTCCCTCTTGCGAGGACTTTTTTTTTTCTGGTTCGAGACCTGATTCTGTGCTACGGCTCCTACTAGTTTGCCTTGAATGGTGATACCATTTAGGAATCCTAGATACTTAGTATGAGATTAGAAGATGTAAAACTAAATAAGTAACTACTACCCATTGCTCTGTGTCTACGAACAAGGTAGGTGAGACTCACGCTTCTCACCTCTAGGAAAGTTTGTGAAATTATGAGAGTCTCTCAATGGGACCACCAACATTTTAGGAAGGTATTACCCGCTTGTCTCGATCACCTCGAACCTCCTTCTTTACCTGGTTCACCTACTACTTTCATCTTCTCCTTCTCCCCATTGCAGTTGTATAACGCATCATCTCTTCTTGGGTGTAAATAACTCCCACATCCTCTCGGTTAACAAAATCCCGCACCAACGCAACGAAGCAAACATGCCAGCTCCCTCTATAAATTCGAATCCCCTAGCGGATACATCGACCTCTAGCACCAACACGCCCACCATTGGCCGGAAAGCGAGAAAGGCCTTTAGAAGAGGATATATCCGACCAATCCGAACACTCCTCCGGGAGGTCAGACAAGACAAAAAGCAGATCCAGCTGACCACTAAAATCGGAAGAGCCTACGACCACGGCGTGAAGGTAGTTGGACATCTTCAGAGCCGAGTCCAGGCTTTGGAACTCGAGGTGCACAAGTTCGCGGCCATCAGCCAAAGACAGAACGAGAGAATCGAGACCCTGGAGAAGGACCAGGAGGGGTTGAAACGCTACATCCACGCAAAGAACAAGGAAATCGATGCATGCGTCACGAGCATCCAGCAGAATTTGTCCGAATTCATCACAAGCGACGAAGACTACATCATTGAGCTTCACGCAAATGGCGCTTTCGAGCCCGTGGATGCTCCGATTCTTGATGACGAGGAGTGACTGCGACACCCAGAAGGAGCAGGCCTTGGAACGGCGAGAGTTGAAGATAAAGAATCAGAAATAGCTGGTCAGGAATCCCCAGGTCTTTCTTCAACAAGTGAGTAGGCTTGGGGCTTTTGGGCGCCAAACCCACCAAGCACAACTCTCCTTGAAACAGGTCTAGTGAGCGGGCAAATGGAAGGTAATTAGCTTAATTGATTGTTTCTTCTTTTTCCTTTGAAACACCCACGCTTTTGCATGCATTCCCAGTGCTCTTTGTGTCATGGTGATCAGCGTACATTTCTCTTCTCGTTCGTCCTAGTCTAAGCGGGAGAGGGGAGAATGTTATCAAACGGCACCAAGTCCACCTCCGAGACTTTGTATTGCTTGATCCGAAGGGGAGCTCTCGATTAAAGGGACCGTGTGAGAACCTATATAAGAAAAAGCCGTGGCGATCCATGTGCATGACGAGTGGCAGGAACAGTCCCATTTCAAACACTAGTAGGAACCACGCCCGGGCGCTGCTGGAGGAGATCTAGCAAAGGCTGAAAGAGTCTCCTTTCTCCCGTGTCACTCTTTCCGGCTTCTGATTCTTTCCCAGACCAGCGAAGAAGATCCTGCCAGCCAACCCACTCCCAGGCTTCCTGTCTATCAGGCTCCAACACTTCTGGTTTGGCCTCCCCAGATTCGCGGACACAGGACATGAATATGGTAATGTAATGCTTGTTCTCAGTAGGCATGTAGCTGTTGATGGCCGTTAGGAATCGCACGTTGGTGACCCGGAGGCCACTTTCCTCCAGTACCTCGCGCGCCGCGCAGGTCTCCAGATCTTCGCCAAACTCGAGGTGGCCACCGAGAATGGAGTATGTGCCGGCGCCGTGGCTGTTCTTACGCTTTGCCATGAGAAAACGGGGATTCTCCTGGGCGTTGCCCTCCAGGACGAAAACCCCTACCCCGACCTGAACATGGGGCGGCATCGGATGCATTGTTATCGACGGGTAGTAAGATGGAGACGGGTCGCTATAGATTGCGGAGTAATTCTCGAGTGGAATGTCCTGTAATTTGAGGCGAGGTCCATGACCTCTGGGTTAGTCCATCTAGACGTGGTGGTTGGGCACAAGTGGGGTTGAGGGGCAAGATACTCGCGAGTCTTGCTGTCTGCACTATTCCACTATATTCGTCTTCTTTTTTTCCCACCCTTTTCCTCCTTTTTCTCCCTTTTTCTCCAAGGTTCTTTGAAATTTTAGTTTGGCTACATCCAGTAACTACCAAAAGTTGGACGTCTCGGAAAACATTTGACACTCGTAGATAAGCACAGTCACATCGACAAGCTTATGGATAACAGATGGAATTCAGTTGGCAAGGTCGCGGCGATCTTTCCATGCCGGGCCCAACACCAAAGCGAAGAATCGGGGAAAAGTTCGCCCGTGAGGGCAAGCGGCTTATCACTCCCTCAACTCGGGTAACCAGTCATCTTAGCCTGAAAAATAATGGATTAATGACTTGTAGCATTTCCAAAGAAACCATAATATCCGTATTAAATGCAGATCTGTGAAAAACTCCCCGGAGACCTAGCACATATCTCTAGCTTCCACCTCAACCCTTAACACAGAGCAATAGCTTGACGGTGACAGGGACGACTTACCGCCGGCTCAAGCACCGTCGCCCAATTCTCTGGGACTCAAATGACTCTCTTCGAGGGTGCCGATTCTACCGCGAAGAATGACTTCCCACTGACAGCCCGATCTCAATGGGTGTCGCACATCGGTTTTACCGATATCAACAAACTCTTCCCGCATGTTGATGTAAACATCAATGACATTAAGGTCTTGAAAGATCTCACGTATTCGGCTATCCGATACTCGCAGGAAATTATTTTCCTCGGTGCCAGACCAGGACCTCCTCATCTCCAGCAATATGGAGCCTGGATAGGCGAGCAACTCGCTAGTTCTCCTGAGCGCATTCGTCTCGATGGTCCAGAGTTAGCCGAGTCGATTCAGTCAATCGCTGACAGTCTCGAATCCACTTCTCTCTCACATGTGGCCAAAGCCTTCATAAGCATCTGCTCCGATATTGACTTAATCCTGACTGGCAAGCGAAATGCTTATGACGTCTTGGTCACCGACGGCGTCCTTGAGAAGGTCTTTGAATTCCTGTCAGAGTATGACGGGACCAAGTTCTTCCGCGACTTGGGGCATTTCAAGCCCAACCTGCGTGTTCTTGAGCTTGGTGCAGGCTCTGGTGCGGCGACGACCAAGATCTTACAATACTTGAGACACGACAAGGGACAGAATCTCTTTTCAAGATATGTGCTTGCCGATGCCTCGACTGGTCTGCTCAATGCAGCGAAAGACCGTTTCAAGGGCGTTGAGAATCTGGAGTTTGCTTGTCTCAACATTGAAAGAGACCTAGCCGACCAAGATTTCGGCGATGAGGAATTCGATCTCATCATTGCAGCTGGATTTTTGCACACAACGAACAATGTGGAGAAGAGTTTGTCCAATATTCGGAAGCTACTGAGCCCGGCGGGCAGATTGCTCATCCAGGAGCCAGCATCAGGGCAAATCTGGACAAAGTTTATTCTTGGCACGTTGCCTTGTTGGTGGGCTGATCTCGATGGCCGTCATCCCGATGAACCGTTCATGGGTCGGGAATGGTGGACAGAAAGGCTCGACTCAGCTGGGCTCGGTCGGCATGATTTTGTTGAACACCTCGGTCAAATCGGTCAGAGTAATGTCATCATCGCACAACCAGATCATCAACTACTCTCACCTAGAAAGGTGACCTTACTATTCGAACAAGCATCTCCCGAGACAGAGAACGTCTATCGTGAGCTCCAAGCGCGGGGATATCACATCAACCTCTGCACACTCAGCGAAATTCCTATCACTGGACAAGACATCATCGCACTCATCGACCTTGACGAGCCGTTCCTCTGGGATCTCTCAGCAGCCGGCCTCGAATCCTTCCAACAGTTCGTCAAGAACCTACAGGGGTCTGGCGTTCTATGGGTCACCCAGCTAAGCCAAGCCGGAGTCAAAGACCCTAGGTATGCTCCCATCATTGGGCTTGCTCGCACAATGAGATCTGAGCTCGCTGCCAGCTTCGCCACATGCGAGATAGATGAACTGGCCTCACTAGAAAATATTAATGCCCTGGCCAAAGTGTTTTCCGATTTCCAGGATCGCGAGCATGACAGAGTTCTCGGCCCAGAATTTGAATACGCCATTTCGAAGGGCGCCATTTTTGTCAATCGATTCTTCCCCTTCGAGTTGCCGGCTGAGATATAAGATATGGAGTCAACCCAACCCCCAGAAGCACCACTGGCAATCAGTAAGACGGGTCAACTTGGTAGCTTGTGCTGGTCTGCTCGAAGGCCTACAACCCCTCAAGGAGACGAGATTGAGGTCGAAGTGCACGCGACGGGTCTCAACTTTATGGTCCGTACTCCGAATTTATGCTACTGCAGGCGCAAGACTAACTAGCATCATTTTAGGATATTCTGGCCGCCATGGGGATTCTAGCGCTTCCTCAAACAGACTTTGGCTACGAAGCGGTAGGCATCATGCGAAGAATTGGACCCAAAGCAACTAAGTTAGCGTGGGGATCGTGTTGTCCTCATGGGATATAACGCCTTCTTGACTACTGTGACACAATCGGAACTGCTTTGTGAAAGACTTCCAGAATCTATGAGTCTCCTTGACGGGGCGGCTAGCAAAGATCAATTTCTAGATCTTGGTTTCAGGCCAAAGCCCGTCATTCCTACCGACATGGTCAAAGCCAACAGGCTTCTCGCCGACATTCTAGGCGACTTAGACGAAGATCTCTCGGAGGACGGGACTATTCGTAGGAAAGTCGATGCGATCAACGACTTCGTCAGTTACGCCCGGAAGATCCAGCCGAAGGGGGCCGATGGAGGCTCCCTGCAGAACCAGACTGCAGTACATCGATCGACAGTCAAGGTCCTGAAGCCTACGACCATCACGGAGCCAAGGCGGTCGGCTCGGGTCAAGGCACGCAATCCCAGGCGGTCCGCCAGGATCGTGGCGCGAAGGCATGCGCAGGCCACAACGGAGAAGGGACGAGTATGACGCTGGTGGTTTCGCGGCGAGGGATGGCTTTGGGATTCTGGTAGGCTCTTGATATTGTATGTATCTTGGACAGTGGCGCTGGTCGTTGCGGCTACCGTCACGAAGCTCCTAATTGAATTCATGTGCGCACTATCTTCAACCCGAGTGACCTGTCCGAAACTAAAACTAAGCCTTGAGTCGTTATCAATAGCTGTGTTTAAACAGGAAGACGGCTTCGAAGGTAATGCAGTCCCTCCGCACAACTTCCGAACCTTCTGAAGTATAAGTCCCCGTCGAGTCCTTGCGGCACCAGGGCGGTAGCTGTCTATTGAGTCAGTGACCCAGCATAAGAGGATAGGGGGGAAATTACGCTGCCCCAGCGGAAGCGGCTGCGTCAAGACTCTCGCAGTGGCGACGATAAATCAACAGGAGTATCTTGGAAGAATTTCGAGGGCGAAGCCAGGGCACTCTGCAGGTCAGACAGATACTCGAACAAGCTGAAGGGGAGAGAGCAGCGGCCTGGAAGGAGGCAGAGAGAACCACTTGCTCACTAAGAAGGAGGATCGGTCATTAGTGGTTATGGATACTCTGGCATCCCAACGTCCGCCGATGCCTGAATGGGGGGCAGTCACACAACACCATGACCTTGTGTTCACTGGGTGCAACGCATTGTTATTTAATCTACCATCGCCTTGGGCCGAGCTGTTGATGTGGGAGGCGAATGGGTGGGGGTTGCCAGCACGTACGCATACCTCCCATACCAGTCTATCTCTCCACATAAGCGGGGCGGGAGATCTTGTCCTGCAGTTGCCTCCTCCCGGTCGACTCGGTCGGTAACGCCACCGAAGACTAGAGTCGCACATGATCTTCACTAGAATCACTCTCTTCTTCAGAGTCTGAATTCCTCTCGTCGCCATCGTCGTCTCTTCTAATAACGAATCATTGTCCCAGCCCGCTCCTGCCCGCGGCGTCACCCGACCTCGGCTAATGATACTAAGACGCTGTCTTTTAGAAATTCCTCGGGGCTGGCTTCGCCCAATCCGCGCACTTTGAATGATTTCCCCTCGGTATGCTACTGAATTCCGTTATAAAGTATGCCGTCCATGTTTAGCAGTGGCAGTTGATCGAGGCCCCATAAGGCATCATGATCATTTATCGGGCCTTCAGCATCAATGTCGAAGGTCAAGGCCGTCTCTAACGTGGAGTATACGCTTGAATCATTGTCCTCGCTTGCGAACATATTTTCATCTATCCCGTTCGCCCAGTCGATGTCAAAATCCTGAGTGGAATCAGTTGGTGCTCGGTATTCCAAGAGAGGGGTTGTAATCGGTACTTTAGAGGGCACTGGCGTGCTCCTGCTAGAAGCAGACGAGTTTCCAGTTGGCGCTGCCGTCCTAAGGGAGGTTGCAAAGAACTTTGGCGTGGTAGCATAAAACTTCTTGAATTGCCGATGGAGATGTGCCGGACTGACGTTGAGTTTTCGCGCAAAGCTTCCGACAGTCCAGGGGGTACCGTCAGCCTCGGCGGCAACGATCATGTCTCGAACGCGCTGGACGACATTCTGACACAGGTAATCCCTACTCCAATCGTCATTGCAAGGTTCACATCTCCTGCAGGGTCGGTAGCCTGATTGCAGGGCGTGGCTTTGAGTGTCGAAGTAGATGACATTCGAGCGCCGGGCTACCCGTCAGAAGATGCGAGTCGACGTAACACCGTAAAAGAAGGACGAGTTGGCGGAAGGGTCACGTTGGGAGACTAAGGACCAGCGAGTTGCGGTCAAGTTATCCCACCGAGTCGCCATGAATAATCTCAAGCGAAACGATGAAGGCGCTCCATCGTTGCGAGGGAGAAAGCTCGAAGTCTGATTTTGGAGTCCGGGATGAGGGGAACTGATGAGTCGAGTCCTATCAATCCGTTGATTGGTCAGTTTGATGTTAGCATTTGGTCTGTCGCCGGTCTCCACAGGCCATCAAAACACCTGGAGATTGGATAGTTCGTGATCATAGTTGTCGTCCAGTCCCAGATCTCGGGGAAGAATATATAGATCCATAAATACAGAATTTTTCGCTCGTTTAACCCTCGCTAATTTTCCAATAATCACGAAACCCTACTCTGCAAGATACTATCCGACCTAACATTCACACTCTTGGCTTGATTGGCATGGACATCCCTATCGTCGCCAACATCTTCGGAACGGCAGGCGTTGTTTGTTGGTCGATACAGGGATGTATATAAAGTATCTCCAGCTCGACGGCTGAAACACGGGAAAGTTGCACTAACGATACACATATTGTGTTCAATAGCTTCTGCCGCAGATACTCAAGAACTACCGTCGGAACAGCACTGATGGCCTTCATCCTCTAATGTACTTGTCCTGGGCCTTTGCGGGCATACCCTTAGGCGTATACAACCTCGTCCAGGACCTCAATGTCGCCCTTCAGCTACAGCCGCACATACTTATTTTCCTGAGTCTTGTTACATGGTCTCAGTGTAAGTACTACGGGGGTAACTGGAAATTGCTCCGTATTTTACCCGCTGCAATGGGCATTGCATCCGTGATTGGCGGAATTGAGGTCGGGTTATACTTCACACTTCGTTTGGCTTGGAAGAGGGATATCAAATGGCCTTTGACGCTCATGGCGGTACTGGCAGCGGTGCTGTTATGTGCCGGTGTCTTGCGTTATTACTGGGAGATATACCAGGAAAGGGATGTGAAAGGGATCTCGTTCGCCTTTGTTGGTATCGATTATGGAGGCGATGTGGCATCGATTGTGGCTCTAGTCTTTGCACCTCGACTAGACGTACTGGGCATTATTATCTATTCGGTGGAAGCAGCATTGTGGATTGGCATTCAACTCCTGGGAATCCATTTTAGATTCCGTCCTTGGCTCTTAACAAAGATGATCAAAGGGAAGGGCCAGCCCGAGACTATCTAGAGAGCCTCGGGGGGGGGGTCTGCAGAGTAGGGTGAGCTTCGAACAGCCAAAACTACGTTGTGTGTTGGGCACGTCCTGCTTCTTCAAAATATAGGACAAAATATAAAAAACACACCTTCTTACCACCCTCTCCGTTCCTAGGTCCTGATGTGAAGAAGTGCCTTCTTCGATGCCTTTTTGGTAAGTAAGTGAGGTAATGTTGAACTGTTACGGATCTAACGCGACGCTGGGAGTTGGTGCCTTAGGGAAGACCCGTGGCGGCCTGTTCTTGTAGATAAGCGAGGTTATGGAAGAGTAACTCAAGGTGTGCATACGTAAACACAATGCAATTGTGAGCTTTGTGCGTAGCTGGTCGATCCGCGAGTGTATTTTGACTACTGGAGAGTTAAGGAGTCGTATCAGGGTGTGTCGTCTCGACCCGTAGCTCAAGTCCAGGCCATCCCCCTCTGATTGGCTTTTTATTCCGCCCTTGGGCACCGCCCGCCCTCATCGCTACGAGGCGGTTGTTACACAATAGTGTCACAATGGTTGAGTGCCGTGTCCGTGTAAGATAAGTGCACAAGCAAGGCGACATACAATCGTAATCTTGGCGTGTCTAAAGGTTGGATTGTAACTTGGAATTGGATTGACTACTGAAGAGTGAAGGAAAGAAACGGAAGAACGCAATGATGTACCTCCTCCTTGCTGTCGTTGCTGTCTGTCCCTAGACATTCGAGGAGGAGCTCGGTGAGGTTAAGCCATGGATCAGCGTGTTTGGTTGAAGTTTCACGGCAGGGGGGATCGAGCTAAATTAATATCTTCCGGAATCTGGGTCCGAATCTGTCCACCCTTCGAATTACCCACCGCATAATTTTAAGCGCTAATCCCGTAGATGTCCCGGCTGCGGTACTGGTTCTCAGCCATCATTGCTACCACCGCTGCTTTTTTTCAACACTTATAATATTCTGTCATCTACCCCTACTCTGGGCATTCCAGACACGAACTGTCTATTAGACTGATCCGTTCGTCTGCTAAGCACCAGTTCTACAATCCCCTCCTTGTCTCAACCGCAATGCAGCATCGGTGCCGAGGTCCATGATCGTCGGTCAGGTTCCGTGGTGCTTATCGAACTACAGTTTGGCTGGCTGTCTCACTACCCCTTCATTTTTGCACTTGTCTCGTAATACCTTCCTGAGGATCTTACCGCTGGCACTCTTGGAAATGCCGTCGATAAGGTTAGTGTTGAGGATCGCAAATTCGCAATGCTCGAGACACTCACCTTAGCCCTACGTTTGACTTCGAAGGTTGCTTAAAAGCCCTGGAGAACTCTATTAAGACCACCTGTACGAAGTTAGCGTCCAATAGCCAGATGCCGGGGGCTGTGAACAGTCACCAGTACCTGCAACAGTCCAAGGGAACCAACGGGGCCTCGTGTTTGGCCTGGATCTCGCCGGATTCTATAGTTTAGACAAGTTGGGGGAGTTTTTCTCGGAGGACAGAGAGGGTGGTTGGCTGCTACCGGAAGAATAGGAATGATTATCATATGTTCACAGTAGATCGCCCGAGGCGTGATCTCTCTTGATTCTTTTCGGGGCCAAATTCGCAAATATCTAGCTACAAATCTACAAGGATAAAGACCTCACCGGCCGTCTTTTAGACGAATGGATGAGGCAAATACATTCATTGAGAGAAAAAGCCTGCTATTGTTAAGAGGCAGGAGAGGAAATGCACAAAAGTACTCGTTCTTCTTTTAGGCTCATGCGTATCCATCGTGGCTTTCTAAATGGAACCCATCAAACCCAAAATTGGAAAACGGAAATACCAGGTAGGAGGAGAAAGCCCAACTCAGACCGGAGCCACCAGACCCAAATTGCTAATGCAAAGGCGCTGGATAATGATTGATCCCCTACGATAAACATCTAGCGAGGCAGTTGTCCACGAGAGCGAAAAGTTAGTACTATATTGCCTTTGAGATCCAATACACTTCATGTTATCCAGGAGTAGATTGGCAGAGGCTGGCAGATCGTCCTTCAGGTTGGAAACCGCTGTAGGCCTATAAAAAATCTCATGGAACTGGCCCCGGATCTCAGCCCATGGGTCCGGAAACAGAAGAGCGTGCCTGTCGTCTAACAGACGGCCTGCTAAGACTCAAAGCAAGGGCACTCTCCATACCCACCTCGTAAGGAACTGAGTGCTCACTTGGTTGACTGTCTCTTTAGAAAACCGGTACAAGAGAAAATTATCGCCATCTGAAACTGATAGCGACAAAATGATTATATTCTAGTTTATAAATCTATTCCCTTATGATGCCGCCAATTGTTCAGACATGAACTTATGGTAACTCCCGCTAGCCCTCGGATATTGCTCTATATCATCGTCAACCCTCTTTCCATCTACCTCTGTCTTCCCCGAGCCAGCACTGTCGACCCCGTTTGCAACACCATTCGCTCCCTCAATAGGCGTGCCCCATCCACCGCCGCCAGGAGTCCACACAATACATTGGTCACCAGTCTCCATTTCCACGAGGCCCCGAGGGCCAAGAAAAATGATTTTGTGGCTTCCATCTTCCTGCTTCTTGGCCCAGAAGTTCACCCCAGCCTGTCCGTCCTCGCCGCCATGCATGCCAAACGGCGGCCGTACTCGTCGTTCGGTGATGATGGAGAAGGTGAGGGGAACCCGGCACTCCCAAACGCGTACGATCCCATCCCCGCCGTTGAATTTGCCCCTCCCGCCGCTGCTTCGACGGATAGAAAACTCCCGGATCAAGATGGGTAGACGCCTCTCAAGAAGTTCGATATCAGTCGTGCGCGTGTTCTGTTCCCGACGTTAGCTTTATAGGGCCAATAATAGGAGCATCATATCGTGTTCTTACCGTCATATGAATTTGCACCGCGGACGCTCCGTGCCAAGTAGGGCCAGCTCCTTCGCCACCGCAAATCGTTTCACCGTACTTGTACCCGTAGCCAGGGAGGGGGGTTCCGTCAATGTCATTACCAGACTTGTCGAAGAATGCAAAGCAATTCATGCAGCCCTGCGATGCTGCGGCGGCATCGAAGGCCTTGATCAGTAACTCCGCAAGTCTTTGGCTAGTGTGAGTGTTGCCGCAGGAGACTGCCGATCCAACTGTTGGATTCAAGAAACAGCCCTTGGGAATGATGACCTTTGTAGGAGCCAGACAGCCTTGGTTGAGAGGAATGTCGCTGCCAATGAGGAGCCGCAGGATATATATGATGGCTGAGTACGTGATTGCAACAGGCGCATTCATGTTGGAGTGCATCTCATTTGACGTCCCTGTGAAATCAAAGGTAGCCGTGCCGTCTTCGTCGATTGAAATTGCCACTTTCATGATGGCGCCGTTATCCATCCCTTCAGTGGCACGGAGAGTGACGGCGCCCCTCTGTGCCCTTATTTGTTTGAGAAAGTTCCGAACGGCCAACTCGGCGTTTTTCTGGATTTCCGTCATGTTGAAATGCACCATGTTCCGTCCGTACTCTTCCATTAGGCTGTCAATGAGTTGGGCCCCCTTCGCATTTGCCGCGATTTGGGCTTTCAGATCAGAGAGGTTCTCGTGGATCTTGCGCGACGGGGTAACCCCGGGGTATTTCCCAGGCTCGGTGAGAATATTGACGATTCCCTCCTCATCAAAGTGACCGTCCCTGACGAGAAAGAAGGACTCAATCAAGGCACCTTCCTGCCATAGATAGGTGGAATTGGACGGCATTGAAGTACCGTGGAGCCCTCCGATATCTTACGAATGCAGTCAGTCGATCATTTAAACTGAGAATATGTCCTGAATGTGTGCTAGAGGAGCATATTGCCCAATAACTTACCTGTATGGTGCCCACGAGATGCTGTGTAGAAGCAAATGGTTTTTCCGTCACTTTCAAATACGGGTGTAATAACAGTAATGTCTGGTAGATGTGTTCCGCCGGCCTCCGGATGGTTCGACACGAGAACATCCCCAGGTCTCAGGTTGCCTTTATGTCTCTCATGTTGATACTTGACGGCATAACTCATACTACCGAGATGGACAGGGACATCTAGAACGATAGATATATGTCAGCGATATGTCAGTGCTGGGGGAGGGGACTAATATGATTGTCATACGCGGCGCATTTGCGACAAGGTCGCCTTCAGGACCGAAGACGGCACAGCTGAAATCTAAGCGCTCCTTGATGTTTAGAGAGATACTGGTCTTCTGGAGAGTAAGACCCATCTGCTCTGCAATGCTCATGAACCGGTGAGAGAAAACGCTGAGCTTGATAGGATCGACAACATTGACTTCGTCGTCATTACAGTCCTTAAGGTGGGCGCTCGGCATCTCAATCACCACATGCGAAGATAAAATCTTTGCCTCCGCTCCAGGGACGACAACAATGGTCTGAGTATTGTCAATCACAATTGCCGGACCGTGTACGACGCTCCCCGTGGGGATTTCGTCGAGCTTATAAACCTTCGCATCTACGAGCTTTCCGGAGAAGAACACCGAGCTCTATAAAGATAATAATTAGCGCGGACATATATGCGTTGCGGAATGGGAGCACTCTCACCAATTTTGTGTGGACAGATTTCGTGCAGGAGAACGCTGATTCCGCCAATTCCTTAGCCAAAGCATCAGAGTCTGCGGTAGTGTTGTCGCCCTTCCCAATGCCGCGAACACGAATGTCGTCGATAATGACCTTGTGGTCTTGCGAGAAAGAGAACGATAGCTCCCTTAGATGGGTGGCCTCAAGGAGCGCCCGCCAGTCTCCATCCGCGGGTTGCTGAATCATGAAATTGGTATTAGTCCCGTGGTATCGCAGGTTCAAAAACGACTCGAAGACGATCGCCTTCAGAGGTATCCCCTGGGATACAAGGCTTTTTCTGACAGTCTCTTTCAGGGCATCTATCCTCTCCTGAACCTTTGGCAACGTCTTGTCGGACAATATTTCGCTACTAGGTTCCTGGGCCTCCTGGACAACCTCGGCGAGGGCCATTCCGTAGGCGGAAAGAATGCTTGAGTACTTGTGGAGAATGACTCGTCTGATGCCCAGTCTGGAGGCGATTTCACAGGCATGCTGGCCTCCCGCACCACCGAAGACAGCCAACTGATGCTGACTCGTCTCAAAGCCACGCGCTTCAGTAATGGCACGAATGGGTCGGCACATGCCCTCATTTGCGACGTCGAGGAACCCGTAAGCCACTTCCTGTGGTGTCATCGATCGCCCAGTCTCCGCATTAATGGCGCGGGTCAGCTCCTCAAATTTTTGAGCGACAATCTCTGTATCCAAAGGGAGATTCTCGTCCGGGCCAAAGATTGATGGGAAGAAAGAGGGGATTATTCGTCCGAGATACAGATTTGCATCGGTGACTGTTAACGGGCCGCCTTTGCGGTAAGCGGCAGGCCCAGGGTGGGCTCCTGCACTCTATCCATGTCGTCAGTGAGAAGCAGCAGTAGTGGCAGTAGGAGGTTGAAGAAGTAATTTTCTCACCTCTGGTCCGACCTTGAAAAGCCCGTTTGACCAAGACAAGATGCTGCCGCCTCCGGCGGCGACGGTGTTAATGTCTAGCTGGGGACTCTGAAGAGAGACTCCCGCCGTCGTCGTCTCAAAAACATGCTCGTAGTTTCCGCCGAATCGACTAACATCTGTTGATGTGCCACCCATGTCAAAGCCGATCAAGGGCGTTTTCCCGTCATATGATGTTCTCGCGAAGCCCACAACACCACCTATTGGGGAGTAAATAATGGGAAAACCTTGTCATCGGTGGTTGAATTGGGGGAACAAACCTGCGGGGCCACTCAGAATTCCGCGAAGACCATTGAATTTGTCGTAGCTAGTGAGGCCTCCATCGCTTTGCATGAACTGACAGTTCACGCCATCAAGGTTTCCGCCCTGAAATCTGCGCGAGAAGCCCGTCACGTATTCTTTGATCTTGGGGGTTAAATAAGCATCTGCTACGGCAGAACTGCCGCGCGGGATCATTTTGACCATACCGCCCGCGACGCTGGAGGAAATCGAAATGTACTGGAAGCCAAGTTCGGCAGCAATCTCTGCGACGCGGAGCTCATGGTTGGGATAGAGATACGAATGTGCGAGGCAGATGGCGAGAGTATCAATCCCCTTCTCTCGAATAAGAGCCAACTTGTTTCGGACTTCCGTCTCGTCGAGTGGTTTGAGAATGCGGAGAAGATCCCCTGTAACTCCACGAACCAGTGTTCCCGGTGTATCCTCGCGGCCGAACCGAGAGTCCTCGGTGAAGCCTTCAAAAGCAATTCTCTCCGAGATTTCACAAACGTGGTCATAGAGTAATTCCGGCTTACGAATGCCCAAGGCGAAAAGTTTTGGGCGGGTCTGGTAGCCAATCTCGAGGACATCACGGAAACCTTCCGTAACGACGAGAGCGTGCCGTGTTCCTTTTCGTTCCAGGAGAGCTGCCGCAGAATTAGAGAGTTTCACTGAAGGAGATGGGAGACTCAGACAACAAACCATTAGTGGCTACAGTGGTTCCCATACGAATTGATCTGATCAATTCTTTAGGTAGTAACTCCGATCGGAGTATAGTCTGGCCGGTGGCCAATTCCAGGACACGACGAATCCCTGGACACAGTTAGGAAAGCTAGCTCATCGGAAAGTATGATTCGAAAAAGTGATTAGGGCCCCTTCCTACCTTCGGCTGGCGCATCGTCATACGACTCGGGATTGACAGAGAGTAGTTTGATGACAATGTCAGAGCGCCCAGGCACTTTTGCCCAAACATCTGTAAAGGTACCTCCGCGATCTATGGCAATCTCGATGCTCTTAGGCTTGAGTTCGTCGAATGCGCCGCCGACGGCCATCTTGTCTTTTCCTGAGCAAATTTCAGAACTTGTCAAGAATGGATTGGTCAATGATACCCCGACAGGGAGACAAGGGTCGCTTTAAAGCATGCTACTCACCCATGAAGAACTCGATGAATGCCCATTTGCTTGTTAATAACTGGGATGCACTTTTACAGATTTCCCGGCTCTTCGGAAGTTATCCGTCGCCGTTATCACACGCTCTTTGATCCCGTATGCCCGAGCGGTGTAGTTCGCACGAGTCCGATCCATTTTCGCACGAGCCCGACGCACTTCACACGAGTCCGATGAACTTCGCAAGGGGTAGAGGCAAATACCGAATTAGGTGATTGCAAGGAAGATAGTCTATCGGATAAGTCCTAGGTTTTCAGTTTCGATACCCGCGCTCGCCCCGATCATTCAAATCTACCAACGCACTCGTATTGCTTTGTGCTTAACCACGCGTCCGGGTCTGGGAGAATGGAGGATGTGTGACAGTCTTCGACGCGGAGGATCGGATCATTTGTGGTCTCACATTTCACACAATTATAAACTTGATTTTCTCAATGGGGATCCTTTCTTTCCCTAGAGGGTTTAAAAAAAGATGCCATAAATTCTCTCTGTTTTATCTATTTTTTCCCTCCCCCCTTCCGAGCTCAAAGAAACTCAGGGTTCAGCTATATATGTAAACAATCTATTTCTCCACTCAGTGAAGTCATGTCGCCGAGCCAACGCCGCCCTTCACTGCCGACACCTTCGCCTGGTCTCTCACTTTGGCACATCACAACGCGAGGCTTTCCGTACCTAAATGTCAACAGCGCTTCCACCGTGCCACATACTTCGAAATATGTAATAATTGGGTCTGGCATCTCGGGTGCACTCACAGCCTTCTCTTTGATCAAGGAGGGTGTCCCCGGAGCGGAGATCGTGATTGTTGAAGCCCGTGAAGCTGCATCTGGCGCCAGCAGCAGAAACGCTGGACATGTTCGCCCTGACGCTTTCCGCGGGTTTTCAACGTATGCCGCCATGCACGGACCCGAGCAAGCGCGCAAGATCATCGAGAATGAGAAGATGGTCCTGGAGCGTGTTGCGGCGTTCGTCGAGGAGAATGGCACGGCCTGTGATTTCAACTTCACAACGACGTTTGATGTGTGCATGACCCCTGAATTTTCCGCTCTTGAGGCTAGAAGCTTTCAGGAGTATCATGGGTCTGGGGGAGACGTCAGCCATGTCCGGTTCCACGAGGGAGAGCAGGCGAGCAAGGCTACGGGGGTCCAGGGCGCAGTTTCAGCCTATGAATGGCCAGCGGCGTCGATTCACCCCGGAAAGCTTGCGCAATGGCTTCTAGCTTTTGATATTGAGAAGGGGGCGAGACTTTGGACGCACTGTCCGGTGAAATCAGTAACACCATCAAAAGTGTCCAAATGGGACGTACATACACCTCGGGGCACGATTGCAGCGCACACCGTCGTTCACTGCACAAATGCCTACGCGCCCTTTCTCCTTCCACAGCTTCAAGGCGCCATCACACCAAACATGGCACAGGCACACTCAATCGTTCCCAACAGTGCATTGTCGGGGTCGAATATTCTTCCCTCGACGTACTCGCTACGTTTCTCACTGCATCACTTCTATTCTCTTATTCAGCGACAGGGCGACGGGATGATAGTTGTCGGCGCATCAAGGACAAACCCAAACCTGAGTCAAAAGACCAGAGATGAAATGTTTGGCTCCGATGATGGAGGACATAACAGAGAGATTGCGCGAGATGCATTGAAAACGGTCAACACCGTGTTTCCTAAATACGCCAAAGTTGGGCAGAAATGTCAAGGCGAAGGTTTCGACAGGGCATGGACCGGCATCATCGCCAAGTCATCGGACGCCGTCCCCTGGATCGGCAAGATCACTGGCCTCGATGGTCAATGGATATGTGCTGGATTTAACGGTCACGGTCGGTCACTCTTTACTTGCTCTCCTTAATATATATAGTATGTGGAATAGTGATACTAACTAGATGGCAGGGATGGCAAGAATCTTCTCTTGTGCGCCGGGTGTTGCAAAGTTGATATGCGGTGGTGCTTGGGAGGACACGGAATTGCCTGAGTGCTTTCAATATAGCAACGAACGCCTCTCCAAAAACATCTCCCTAGAATCCCGCTCCCTCCTGTAGGGTAGATTGAAAACAATATATTTTTCTCAACTCTCCGAATAATTACATCAAGCTGTAGATGAGTTTTTGTGGTCCTGTAAAATGGCAAGAATGTTACAATAATTTGGAATTGATCATTACCTCGAAGCAGACGGTAAATAAGATGTGGAGGAATGCGTGCGGACCTACAGTGTGCTCATGGCAGCAATGGCAGGATGCAAACTCCGTCTCTGGAAGCTTTCCCTGAATTGATATTACCCATCAGTGTAACGACCCTAAACAGCTTATCCAGTGCTTCGGACATCGTAGTCTTTGAGGATGCAAGACGATTATTAACCAGAGTTAACTTCTTCCTCTTGAGATCTAGCTGGTCGCTAGCGGAGTCCAAGATCCCTGATTTTTCTCCACTTTCATGATAACAGGGATCATCTTATTCGCTGAGTCTCGTCCAAATGTTCGGGCGAGTCCGATTATCTCCTTCTACCGCGCTCTGTTGAGTCGGCTATCACCGATTACAGCGGGGTAGTGCGTATCTCGGCTCACATCCCCCGAATGTTAGAGTTGAGGTCTCGTGCACCCGCCGCGCGGCGTAGATGCGAAGTGTAGACCTCATCAACCATCAGCCAGGGACCATGTAGTCGGTGTTTCTATAATAAGCCTCAGCTGTCCCATGTTAATGCTGGCAAGATGTCATCTCTATTCCTAAGGCAACCCATAGAGTGTCAGAACCAATTCGGCCAGCCGCCATGCAGTCCCCCACGACCCAGAGAAAGGGTAGTTCTGACCAGATTCAAACCGCCCCTGAACATGACAATCCCTCTGTCATCGACGAAAAACTCGAGAAGGTGGTTCAGATAGGTGAGATTCGAGTCCTTGGCTTAGACGCCGAAGATGAAGAGTTCTACGTCAACTTTGGTGAGGAAAGGCGAAAGAAATTGGTCCATCGTGTGTGTCTGTCCCTGCTCCCCATATAAAAGGAACGAGGAACCCTCGGCTAACCTAATTATTACATCTGTGTTCAAGATCGATATCCGCCTAGCTCCGATGCTTGCCATTTTGTACCTCATCTCCAACCTGGACCGCACTAATATCGGCAACGCCAATATCGAGGGACTTTCTGAGGATCTCGGCTTGACAGGCGTGCAATACAACACTGCACTTTCCATCCTATTTGTGACATACGTCGGATTCGGTACGTTCATTTACTTATGGCAGTTGGGGGTACGTGATTTGAAGCTACAGCTCAGGTGCTGACAACCGATGATAGAGGTTCCTAGCAACATGATTTTAAAGAAATTTACGAGGCCCTCACAGTACATCGGGATTATCGTGACTTGTTGGGGTATTGTCATGACCCTTACTGGCGTTGTTCAAAATTATGCCGGCCTCGTGGCTTGCAGGCTCCTCCTCGGCCTCTTTGAGTGAGTTTTGCCTTTTCCACTCAAGCGGCTCAGGGTCGCGATTAATCGAACCATAATAATAGGGCCGGATTCTACCCCGCTGCAATCTACATCAGCAGCACCTGGTATCGCGCGCAAGAATTATCCACGCGTATTGCGTATCTATATCTCACGAGTGCCCTCGCCTCGGCCTTCTCTGGGTTACTCGCAGCCGCTATTGCAGGCATGGACGGTGTTGGTGGCTATGCTGGATGGAGATGGATCTTTCTCCTCGAAGGCATTGGAACTGTCGTCCTAGGTGTCATGTGCTTCTTTTTACTTCTCGACTCACCGCGGCTGTCGAAATGGCTCACGCCAGAAGAAGTCAGATATCTGGAGATCCAGCAGTTTATCCAGGACGGCGGAGAGTTCGGTAAAAGATCTAACCAGGCAACCTGGAAGGTGCTTCGCGCAACTCTCCTAGATTGGAAGCTCTACGGCACTAGCCTCCTATTATTCGTGAATATCACGGCAGGCTACGGTGTCAAACTCACGATGCCAGCCATTATTAAAGGAATGGGATTCAAAAACCGCAACGCCCAGCTCCTTACCGCACCTCCCTATCTCGTCGGCGCTTTATCCACCATCGTGTCATCGAAGATTTCCGATCGATTCTTCAAACGGATGCCATTCGTTGTAATTCCTTGGATGATCTTTATCATTGGATACGCAGTACGTTACTTACTATCCAGTATTTTCACCATCCATGACTCCTGAGGCTGACACACACTCGAGGTAATCATGTCATACGGAGCACACACCGCCGATCATGTAGGGCCTTCCTACTTCGCCGTGTTTCTAGTATGCATTGGACTGTTCCCCGTAAATCCTGCAATTAGCACTGTGAGTCTCTCTCCCTCTTTCCTCCCTCTTTCCCCCTTGGCTCCCTTGGTGACTATCAGACCGTACGGTGTGCTAATGAGTTTCGAAGTGGACGGCGAACAATCTTACTCCAGCAAGCCGGCGGGCTGTTGGGATCGCATTCTTTAATACCATCGGGAATATCGGTGGTGTACTTGGAAGCTTCATGTTCCTTACACGTGAGGCTCCCGCATATCCGACTGGATATGGAACGTCCCTAGGCGTTTTGGCAGCAGGAATCCTCATTGCCATTGGTTTGGAGGCGGCGTTCTGGCTCATCAACAGAAACAGATCCCGAAAAACCGAGGATGAAATTCGATCTAAATACACCGAGCAGGAATTGTCAGACCTTGGAGACAGATCCCCTCTATACAGATATACGCTATAATATGCTTCGAGGAATGTAGGATACATCAGAGCAGCTGCTCACTCGCTCTCTCAGCAAAGTAGTCAGGAGGAATCAAATAAGATGTTTAACAGGATACCGCACTTGACCCGTATTTATCGTTTTCGTCAGGCCTAATAAGCATGCCTTTTTTGTTGGAGCCATGGAGGCCCAACGCTCTGATTTTACTTTCAGAGCGCAGTGCTTTTCTCCTTCCTCTACCAGTTTGTCGACCACGATACTGCGATAGCGTATGATGAATCCATCCCTTAAGTTGGAGGGGAGCGAAGCATGGAACGAATTAAATGGAATACACGGATCTGGCGATGATGTTCTTCTCCACTCCTGATAAGAACTCAGGGGCTGTGAGGATCCCCATGTGCACTATTTCGAATAAGGGAAAGCTCAATTCCGACATTATTAACCGACATGGATCTTGCATAAAGGGCCCAGTTTCCCCGCGTTTTGGACCTTCTCTTCTTGCTATTTTCATGCAGTCTTTTCTCGGACGTCCCACGCAGGTTATGTTGTAATAATCTAGTAAAAGAAGAATACCGTTGTTTAGAATCATGGAGGGAATTCCCAGTCCACGTCATCCCCGGTTATCTAGGAGCGCGGTTGCGTGCCAGAGGTAAGAAATAGCACCCCCTCTAACAGACCCCTTTCTGGAAGAGCCTTACAAACCTCATACTAACCGGCTCTAGATGCCGGAGGAGAAAACAAAAAGTAAGAACAAGCCCCGTTGTCCTTGGGGTCCCATAACCTGATTCACATCACTAATCTACAAAACCAAGTGCGATCTCACGTATCCACAGTGCTCAAACTGCGAGGCAGCCAAGGTGGTTTGCATGAGCTACAACTCTGTGAAAAGGCAGGAAGTTCCCCGAAACTACTTTGAGAATCTCGAGGCGCAGGTGGAGCGGCTCAAGAAAGAATTGCATGAGCTCCGTTCCCGCACGCCCGGAGGCCAACATACCGCCGACACGGACACCCCCGGCGCTGTGCCCGTGCCCGATTCCAGCAGTCAAGACCAACATGATCTCGTTAAATCTTTAGCCCTGGTAGTGCTGGAACCTGCCGACCAACCTCGCTTCCTGGGTACGTCGAGCGGTGTTGCTCTAGCCAAAGTTGTCCTGGCATCTGTAGGCTGCAGCTGGCCTCCGTCTTCTATTGCACCTACCAGTGACCACTGCCTCGCAGTTTGTTCAACAGAGATCAAATCGTCTCTACCACCGCCACACGTTGCTACGCACCTCGTGGACGTGTATTTTCAATGTCGGACGCCACTGTTCCCTATCATAGACCGTGCCGATATCCTCGCGTCTGTGCAAGCGGCATATCTCGCCTCAGGGGACAACTCCGCCACGCTGTCGAGAGCTGCGCGAAAGGACCTATTTGTGTCATTTATGGTGTTTGCCATCAGCCTCTGCGGGCTCCAGAGCGGATCGGCTGGTAGAGAAAGCGAAGGATGTTATCACTCTGCGATCCAATACCTCGACTCCGCCATTAGCTACTCCGAAAGTGACACGGAAACATTGCGCAACATCCTACTCCTCGCTCAGTACGTCTCACTCTCCCCCTCGAAGGGGAGCCTATGGCTGCTAGCGGGTTTGGCCCTTAGAATTAGCATCCACATCGGCCTTCATTGGGAGACGGATGCTGTCTTAAGCCTGGACCGGACGCAACTAGACGAGCGACGGCGGCTGTTTTGGGCAACATATCACCTGGATAGGCTCCTTGTAATCACACTGGGGCGGCCGTTCAGCCTTGAGGAGCAAAGCATCGATGTCAGATTCCCTGACTCGCCGTCAACAATTGAATCGCCCGTCGATTCCCATTCTCAAGAAGTGGCCAATCACCTAACGAAACTGGATAGATTGGAGTCCGAAATAAAGCACGTGCTTTACCGCCACCAGAAATGGACCTCGCTGGCGTTCCCACGACCAGATTATGCGCTCTGGATAGAGGACATCAAGCCTCGATTAGAGGAGTGGAGGGCATCCATTCCGCCTTTGCAAAATGCTCATCCGGAAAGTATTTATGCATTCGCAAGCTGGTGGGATGCAATCTATAACAACACTCTAATGCTACTTCATCGGCCAACCCCGGTGATGCCGGAGCCAAGCATCGAATCGCTTCGGGTATCTTTCGGCGCAGCGGTCAAATTAATATCCTGCATTCGGTCTTTGCAGAGGGAGCGCAGGCTGGATATGGCCTGGCTATGGGCTCAGCGCCTCTTTGTGGCCGGCCTGACCCTCATCTATACTATTTGGAATTCCGACGAGCTGAGGAATGCGCATGCACCCGAGGAAATCGTTAACAGCGCTCAGACCTGTGCAACAACCCTCGCGGTGTTAACTGAGAGATTCCCGGCAGCTGCAGGCTGCCGTGATGCACTTGAGACGTTGGTTTCTGCTACCGTCAAAGCATTTTTCGCACCAAGGAATCCAGTCTTCACTGGTAGTAATGAAAGCCAACCGTCGCACTCGGCAATTCCTGGGTCAGTCTTTCAACAGCCTGATCTTGGCATTTCCCTTGACGAGATGTACTCGATGTTTTTGGGAGATACATTCCGGATGGGCCAGGGCGTATCCTCAACGACAGGTTGGTTTGGGTGCGTGGATGATATTGCATTCGATTTTCGTGATCCGTCAACAGAATGGGAAGTCTCCCTGGGAAATAATTAATCACTTACCACTTCGTATACATTATCTCACTTAGGCGTAAAATATCCAGGTGTCTTGTTCTCTGTCCCCACATCCCCAAGGCCAACGAATTGCATCCTGTGGCAAGTTTTACGCTCTAGGGCGTATCTCGGGACATAGAACTCACGAGCAAAAACTGCAACAACCGGAGAGGCCCAATATGGAACTTCCTGAATCATTACTTCCCTGGTGGGAAATCATCTTCAATGCTTCCTGAAAGAGGGATGGAGAGGCTGAGAGAGGGAACCTGGTTGCGTGAAGTTGGTGTTGGTGGCGGACATGTGTCAGTCGCCAGTAGACTAATTACACTCGCGGACATGTCCTATTGAAGGAGCGTCGACGCGAAATGTTAGTGAGCGCCCTATGAATATACCTAGACAACGCGAGCCTTTTGCCGGTTCTTCAATAAGGTATATCTCCTAAAGGGCTAAAAATGAACCTACTGAGAATATAGACTTGTAAAACGGAATACCAAACCGGTGTGCTACCCGAGATGCCAAACGCCGCCCGAGCCAAACAGCAGCGACACACCGGCCTGGGCCAGGTCGTCCATAATTCATCCCTGTCGCCTGCCCCTCTTCGCCAAGCAAAAGCAAGCCAATCGTGATCACCCACAACTTGCAACTACGTAATGAGAACGACCACGATGAGGGGGGAATACGAACCCCGGATAGTGCTTGGGAGAGAGAGCCGTGAGTTGGTACTGAATTATGTATGTATTATGGTGTTTTCGCCATCCAGATGAGATCAGAGTGTCCAAAGTTAGTTCCGGGGATGCATATTGATATTCCCGCCTCGGCTACTCGTCCAGAAAAGGGCTCGTCCGGAAATAGTCCATCGCGCAAATGCCACCTAGCTAGTATTTGCGTGATACTGCTGGACCCCGTCCACGATCGTCTTAGCGGTTTCGCGGAGGACGGAAAGGAGTTCCTAGCGCTCCTGAGGTTTAAAAGAGATGGCGCTACTGCGGCCTGAAGGGCCGTGCCGTGGGGGGGTTAATGTCGCGCTAGGTTCTTAGGATCAAGGGGGCTTCGGAGATAGGCGTTGAGGAGAGGAGCAACAGAGGAGTGCGAAGCATTTGGGTGCGGCGACTAGCAGATCTAGGAGATTTAGAATCAAGGAAAAAAAGGCGACATTGAATGCTTAGAATGAAGCAAAGGAGATTGAGAAACAAACCGAGAGCACTGATGGGTGCAAAGTTCAAACACATCAGCCAACCTCGACATGGCATGCATGCCTGAACCACCGCAGGGGCAGGCGGGCGGGCACCCTCGTTTCGTGATGTGGTACCATCCGATGTTTTTCTTGGCAGCCCTTTAAATACATTTCCTGCCTCGGTTTCCCTCTTGTCACTCTTGTCACACTCCCCTTGCCCTTCTCGGCCGAGCCCCGTCGCACAAAGAAAGAGTTAACAAGAACGATGAGTGATTCAAAGTCTCCCAAATCGGCCGGGACGGCCTCGCCCAAGTCGCCAGCCGCCGCTTCGTCCCCCGGCGCAGCAGAGCCCGGGAACATCGCTGTCCCGATTGAAGTGGTTCGTGCAACCTGCCATGCCCCTGCCCCCCGCAAGGCCTGCGCACAAAAGGAACATCTTCTAAATCTGCCCCATGTTTAGGACACCGCAGATGCAGAGTCAACCTACGCCTCGTCGTAAGTCCAATATACATTCAATTCAGTGCGGAGTAAGGCTCAAGATCGGCCGTTGGCAACTAAACAATTGTATACGATCTAGCTTGGTGACGGACACGACATCTCTCAGATCATCTATTCTTGCCTACAAATGGGAGAATGGGCGTCGATATCACGCATACCAAGATGGCGCATATTGGTGATTGTTCCCTTGCATTCCGTTCTCAATTGGCCTCTGTGGCTTGACCGATGGTGTGGTCGTCTAACACGTTTTCCAGGGCGCCAAACGACGAGAGACAGCAGGAGGCAGAGGATCTATCGTAAGTCTCCCGTCCTTTCTGCCTTCTGCTCAACGGCTTACGAGCTTCAGACACGAAATGTACAAAATCGTCCTCGACAACAAGCTGACCTTAGCGCCGGTGGCCGATAATGTCCAGGTGAGTGACGAATGGAAACCGGATTCTCGTCCGGTCGCTTTTCATAACGTGAGAGACGCTCGCTGACGGCATATTAGCGTGTTCTCGATCTTGGTTGCGGTACGGGAGCCTGGGCAATGTAAGCAACTTTGCGTCAAAATGAAGATCTTCTAGCGATGACCTTCTAACAAGCAGCCTGTCTGTAGAGAGTTCGCCGATGAACACCCCTCCGCCGAGGTGATTGGCGTGGACCTCTCTCCCATCCAACCTCCCTTTGTCCCGCCAAATTGTAAATTCGAGGTTGACGACATCACCAAGGATTTTACGTACCCCGAAAATCACTTCGATTATATCCACATTCGAGCCATGGCAGGATGTATACCCGACTAGGTTGAGTTCCATAGGAAGGTCTTGAGGTTCGTCTATCCTCGGCAAGGCAGAACCTTTTTTTTTTTTTTCTCTTTCCCCATCCCATTTCTCTACTACCAACCTCAACCTCCTTCGGAGACCAAGACCGTTTCAATTCTAACACCAACAAAGACATCTAAAACCCGGTGTCTGGGTCGAGCATGGAGAGTACTCGAGCATCGCACGCTCAGAGGACGGCACCATCAAGCCAGACGCCGCCTTGGTCCAGTGGGTAGAGGTTTTCAAGCAAGTCGGCGCGCAGACGGGCAAGACGTTTGGCATCTGCGAGACCATGCCAGACGTGTTTAGAGATGCAGGCTACGTCAACATCCGGGAGCGTCGGATCAAGGTCCCCATCGGCACATGGCCCAAGGACCCAACACTCAAGAGCTGGGGCGCCTGGAATCGTCAGTTTCTGCTGCAGGGTCTCGAGGGCTTCTCTATTCGTGGCTTGACCGAACTCTTGGGGGTAGGTTAAAACTTCTCGCTTGATTGGAAGACACGCTACCCTTTGTTCTTCTTATGAAATGCTAACTGAAAGTAGTGGGGATACGAGGATGCTCAGCTGTACATAATGAATGTCCGAAAGGAACTGACAGACCCGAAGATCCACTCTTACGTCGAGCTGTAAGAACAGCCCCCTGCCCCTCTCCCCTCCTAATTATAATGATTCGGGAACAAAAGTTGATAATATTGCTCTGGATTCCAGGGCCTTTATGGCGGCGCAGAAACCACTGGAGGACGCAGAGGCTGAGACTTAGAACGAGGATTGTGGGGAATGAACAACCACAGTGGAGGGAAGAATCTTGAGGTTGCTGCATTTTGATGATTGAGCATAGCATAACAGAAACAAAATCTCATGACATAACTGTGCTATTGCCCTAGGCATCCATGTCGGTCATTTAGGGATAATCTCGCATCTAGCACTACTGATCGCAGTTAGGACTACGCACATCAGTATGGAGTGTTGCGGTGGGTTAGCTGGGAATCTCTCTCATCCGCAGAAAGCATCGCTCCCATGCAAGCTTACGACACAACTGCAATATTTCAAGGACGAGGAAGCTTGGCAGTTGATTTTCATTGGCGAGCGGTGACAAGCCTGGCTGATTCCACATCGGCCTCGGACTGTATCAAGAAAGTTTGCTGACCGAATGGGTCGGCTTGATTACTGAACTTAGCGTTGAAAGGTGTATTGCCAAGACGACGGTTGCCTGGCGTGGCGTTTTCGGGCGTTGATTGTCGGTTTTCTATTGACGAAGGAGGAATGTGTTCATGACTGTGAGGAAACAATAGGGATATCATCAATAGGATTCACGGCGGTTCGCGTTTGCCTTTGGTGACAAGAAACATGAACGATGAAAGTTTCGAGTATAAATAGAGTGATTGTCCTCGAGTCCTCAGCCATTATACTTCGGAATTCCGCAAACCACCAGACCATTTCAAATCTCCATCGGTGTTCTATACCAAGGCAACTGCAAACGTTCCTTTGAAACATAATCAATTAGAAACCACCTTATTCAAGATGTCTTCTACCGACTCTCCCACGTTCTTCCTCAACCTCTACACCAACGACCTCGGAGCCGCAACAGCCTTTTACAAAGCCATTGGTTTCGTGCATTTGCCGGTTTGGTCCGACGAAAAATCCGTCAGTTTCACGCTCCCCGCCCCCAACGATAAAGTGGCCCTCATGATCCACACCGTTCCGCGCTTCAAGGAGTTTATCCGTCCGAGCTCGGACGTGGCGGATCCCAAGAAAGCCACCCAGGCATTGTATTCGTACTCGGTGAAGACAAAGGAGGAGGTGGACGTCGCGTTGGAGAAGGCTGTAGGAGCTGGCGGGGAGAAGGATCCTTTTGTTTTGGAGGGGCATGGTGAGGGTATGGGGATGTATTCAAGGAGTTGGACAGATCTGGATGGGCATATCTGGGAGGTCGTTGCCATGGTTGGTAAAGAGGGCTGTTCGTGATCGGGGAGCTCATGGAGAGGGTCTTGTGTAGCTCTGTATCTCGAGATGGCATAAGAGGAACGTTGGCTAGTTGCGTGTGATGGGTGTGCCAGGATATCTAAAGTTGACTAGCTGGAAAAGGAAACAAATTGAATGGCAATATATTGACAACTGGAGTAGAATAAACTATAGTGTCCATCAGCTCCACTGTGTTTTAGCCTTCCAAAGTAAGTAACTTCGTTGAGTTTCCCAGTGCCGCAGCACCCTCTCGGCGCCTACCACAGAGTTGGCGTTGACATAATCCCCGTATCGACGGCATCCCCCGTGGCTGGCATTGCCTTTCAGCGGCCGGTCGGGGACGGTAAAGACTACCACCTAGTGTCAGGGAGTTGACGACGAGAGACTTCCGTTTGGTCTGGCGTATAAAAAAATGGCGTCGAGTTGATCCGTCACCCATGTCCCGGAGCATGGCCAGTTCTACTCCAGTGACCTTAGAAACACCCAGCCTACCAGTCACCCGGTAAGACCCATGAACCACACGTGGGCTTCATGTGCCTACTAAGTTGCAGCATTGTCGACTTAGTGCTGTCTCTTGTGCTGAAGTCCGGGGTGGGGCCGCTCCGGTCCCGTGCGACTGCTAGCCTTGCTTGTGATTTTCAGCAATCGGCCAGTCCCTGAGCTTGTGATTGAGATATCGCGTCCTCTCATTCACTTGATTCACCAGTAGTGCCATCTCCAGCCTCTAGACACAATACCATGGCGATCTTCCTCCACTATCATTATTCCAAAAATCTCTTCCTCCAGTCGACGCCACCTCCACTGGATTCCAAAAGTCTGATCGTCTAGGGGATAAAAGAGCCATCTTCCCCTTCGTCCTCAAACATTTCTTCCCTCTTCACCTTCCACCTTCCAAAACCTCTCCTCCATCTCCGAACCTTTTCTTCCCTCTTCGGCAACATCTCCTTCCACTTTCCAAAGTGTCTTCTCCATCCCACATCCCTTTCTTCCCCTTTCAGCGACCTCTCTTTCTACTTTCCAAAGTCTCTTCTTCTTCATCACAACCGCTCTCCCAAAAGCTGTTTCAACATAACAAAATCATCACCATCCAATCGACAGATCCAGCCAAGAAACGATGGAACTTGATGAGAACCACTCCCCGGCGACAGGACCCGGCGACGACGCCAATGCGGCCCGCCATGGCCCATACAAGCTGCCCCCGGAACTTGTTTTTATGGTCCGAGACTTCTTGCCCACAACTTCGCGCGTGGCTTTTGCGCTCACTAGCAAGGATTTCCTCGCCACTCTCTATCCTGGAGGCGAACTGCCAAAACTGTCAGAGGAAGAAACCGCGGAATTTCTTACCTTCCTCGAGAGGGACGCTCCTGGGCGCTTTTACTGCCACCTGTGTCAGAAGCTCGGGCGGTTTGACCCATCCCTCGAGGCCGACTGGAAGAATCAAGAGCATGGACGTTGCCAATTAGAGCATGATTATGTCGAGAGCGTCGCTCAGAGCACGCAGGGCCTAGCAGAGTTCTCGGTGTCTTTGACGGATTATATCAGCGATGGAGCTTCGTTCGACACTCAAATTCGACACTTGTACCAGTGGAAAGTAGGAGAGGCGAAACGAGGTGGTGACTGGCATCGCAGTCTGTTTGATGACGATTTCTGCCTGTCATATCCGCTGGCCCACCTCGTCATGAATCGTCACTTGTACGGCGAGGCCTACGGGTTGCCTCCCCATGTGCTCGAAAGGGACCAAACGAGAACAGTTTCCCTTGGGTGGAAGGATCCGATTTTGGACAATGCACGAGTCGGGGAATGCTTCATCCTCTCAGAAGGGGGAGAAGCTGCCGCCGAGGCAATGGAGAATCTGACTCTCTGGCCTTCAATCTTCAGTGACGACCTGGACTATGACTCCGCGACGGAGGGGCACGAATGGGGGTTTCGGCGCCAGTTCAAAGTGAAGATCCTGGACAATAATCTCTACTTGAGTGCAATCTACATCGTTTGGGGTCCGCCAGTCACCAAAGCGAAACTCCGGTCCGTCCTCGCCCAGTCACAGATTCACATCTGTCCGCACATGGATCTTCCGGAGCTGAACGCCCGCCTCTTTCCAGATACTGATTTACTTGATTTCGTCGGATCGCGTGCTGTGCCTCCTGGTGCACGAAGGGCCAGGGTTCGGTCAGCTTTCCGCAATTTGCTCAGTTTCCAAAATTGCATTCGGTCGTGCCCCTGCTGCTTTTGCGATTATGAGATGACTGTCCGGCCGAACGATGGAGTTCGACACTGGACATTTAAGCTCCAGACGTACATCTGGTTGGGCAGTTGCAACAGTCCGTTTGGGAAGCAGTGGAAAGCCTTTATGGATGCGCGAGTCCTGAACGCCCGTGCGAACGATCGATTACCGGGCAGCTTTATAGTTACCGCCAGCCCAGGAGAAATACGGAGGCGATGGAACGGTACCGCCGGCCCATCCTGGGGCGAAAGTGCACAGTGGGCTTGTCTGAGCTGGAGGGCATAACAAGGCTTGAGGGTTCCGATGAACCTAGTGTGGATGATGTACGATTGTAAATGCAATGGCGGCCTTTTCTTTGTTTTTCCCTTATCGTGTTTTCGTTTCTTTTCTGTTGATTTATTTTCTCTCTCTTCTGTCTTTCTCCCTCTCCTTTTTCTTTCGATGTCTCGAGTGGCACCATTTTTCCGGCTACAGTGGCAGATTCTGGTTGGTGTTCGGCTTGTATCTTGATGAAAAGCTCAACGGCCCGATCATCATGAATATACAGGACCCGAAACTAGCTTCGCGTCGGAAGAAACAGAAAAGGTCAATAACCATCGATACGAAGATCAACCACCCGGGGCACTCGGTTTTGTGTTACACCTGACTTGTTCGATGGATAATACGTGGCGACCAATAACACACTGCTGTCTCGCGGTTCATTGACTGACGCCCCATGGTCCGAGAGGGGTAAATCATGCCGTCCTTTCGGCACATCGACTCTCGCCTCATCTCCATCCCTCGACAACACGCGGCAAACATACGTTCGGGGACACTTCTGATCACGCTGTAAGCGTTTTTGTTTCACCTCTTTTCCCGTCACTGACTTGCTAACCGATCTGTGGTATAATTAGACAACCTCAAACGACTAGGATCATCGATATGTGGAACTATGTTCGATCCTTCTTTGCCCAACCGCAAACACAACGACCGCCCCCTTCGCTGGTAACCATCACGGGCATCAGATTTCCAGCCGATCGGTCCAAGCCGCACCTTCTCTCTCTCACGACAACAACCGATGGAGTGGAGGATGGGCCAGATTGTTTTTGGGGCCACATACCCGACTTCCGAGACTTTTGGAAGACACCGCAAGCATGGCAATGGCGAGACGTGGAGACTTTCAGACTCGAAAAGCAGCCCCTCGACAGCTGTAATGGGTTGTACGTTCTCTTCTATTCCTTCGACCTTGAATCGCTGCCCGAGAATCGAAACTTCCCAGTGGCCATTTATGGAAGGGAGCGGGCTTTCGCTGGCGATGCGTTTGTTGTCAAACTCAAGGGCAATGAGATTGGATCTGATTTGGGTGAGGATGGATACGCTCTCTGGGATGATGTGCCCTCGGATATCTTGAAGTTGCCTGTCATGAAGATTTGAAGTTTTAAGCACTCGTGGTTTGTTGGGAAGGTTCCTCCAGTGATACTATCAGACCATGGACTCGAGATTGTTGGAAGTCGCCGACTCTGACTCTACGTCCGGCACGCGCCTTAGTTGATGTAGGATAAGATAGTCTAATATTCTATATGGTATTAAGCCTATGGGGCGATGCAATTTGTTATTCTACATCTTGGAGACGTCGCTATTTCCTTTGTTGGCACATGTTCGTAGCTCTACATACAGGCCGCTTTATGCTGCACCGGCCTGCCCCTAAGCTAATGCTGGTCGGGCAGCACTGAGCCTCTAGCCTTCCTTCAAGATGTCATCGCGACACATGAACATGGGATCTTTAAGATCCTATTTCTGACTCGGTAACCGCCTCACGCAGCTGCTCGACTTGATCAGGTACGTCTTTGCTGAGAAATTGATAGCCCGCTACTGGTTTAATTCATACATAATCTATCGAAATTAGGATTAGAGTTATGGCACTATCGAGTCCTCAAGGCCCCTTCTTCAAGGCCACGGTTAAGTTGACCGTTGGGAAACTCTGATTCTAATCATGGCGTTATACGGGTGGACCAACGTTTTTAGGCTCCTCCTGGGTACTCGATGACATCTTGCCTCAAGTTTCACGAACGAAAGGTACATCGGTGATCACTTAGCGAGCTTCTTCAACGGGAGACCTGCCATATCTGAAAGTCTCGGTGCGTATGTCGTGATATTGAGGCGACGAAGTCCGGGAAGTCAAGATCGACTTGTGCGATGAAAGGACTCATTCGGCAGGTTCACTCTGATGACTCGAAGTTGTTTGGCGCTCTCAGAGAGGAGCTAAAGAAGGACTCGTATGATCTTGCCGCGGCCGAGGATCTCGACCTGAGCAAGGACGCCGCAACGAGCGCCGCAGTGTTTACCGCCAGGATTGATAAACTAGTATTGGGCGTTTCCACATCCATGGACTATATCCACCAAGGATTCAGTGCCCTCGAAAAATTCAATGGCTTCAAAGGCTGCATCGCAAGTGCCAAACGGGCTATCGACAGGATTCCTGATGTAAAAGGGGGGTTCCGCTACATGAAAGGCCTTACCGTCCTTGTTACGGTAATTAAGCCTTCTTCGATGAGTCTCGTTGTTCTTGTCAGCTAAACGTCGGACAGGTTGCCCGATACATGTTTCTAGCCTATCACTAAGTGGGACCAACTCTCGGGGCCTTAACGTGCAGCAATTATTTTCACTCTATCCACGGTGGCCGACATTCTAGACAAATTCATTGGGGTATACCAGACCATAAAGGCGCCGACACCGGGAGAACCGGAGGACCTCTCGGGCAAAGAGGTTAGTGCGGCAGAGGTGTTGGACGAGAAGCTTGAGGAAAAGATAAGCTCCCCCGAAGGTTCTGAAGAACTCGGCTCAATCAATGAGGAGGTATCCCAGCACATTTTAGTTTGCACGACGCCTTCATGGATAGCATCAACGCTGAGAAGCAGCCTTCTCACAACGCAGAAATCATCGACCGTGGCTTGGAGGATCTGGGTCCCGGTGAGAGAATCCCCAGCCTGAATGAACCACCCTGGGAGCCTCCGGAGGATATACCACCATCTGGGCGAGCGTCATGGAAGCAGTCTACCACTCGCGAAAGCGTTATCAAGGGCCTCAACGTCACCCTCGGAATGTGCTTTACCATATCCATGTCGCTTGATCTGAAGAACAACTGGAATAATTATGCGCGCGTGGGAAAGGCGCTCAACGTGCTGCAGATTGCCATCCAGGGTTTGACGGTCCTCGCCGACGCGTCACTCCTAGTTGGAGACTTCGTCGCAAGCGGCGGGCTGGCTGCCGACTGTGCCATTATGGTCGCATTACCGGTCTTAGGGGCGGTGCTCGCCGTCGTCAGAATCGTCGTCCTGGCTCTTCTCACCTTCTTGCACCTCACTAAACCATCGGTTCCAGAAGACACGCCTGTCGAGAAGTTCCTCAAGAACACCGCACATCCGTTCATCGACGGGCTCACGCCGCAGCCAAAGCCATCACTCACGTATTTGGCGCCAGCCCAGGTCACGGCAGATGCCATCTCTGCACAGGTGCCCATCACGGGTACGAACCACACCGGTGCCGACGTGGCCCTCACGTGCTCGACAATCACGCTTGAGGTCGGTGCCGGCAACGCGGCACTGTTCTCAGGCCCGACTACAGCGTGGACTGTGGCTGGCAAGCATGACCCGGGCAAGCCAAGTACTTTGAGCGTTGACGGTACCATTGGTGTCGCGGGAGAATCAGCAGAAACGGTCGCGACGGGGTATCTCGCGCCGCAAGACAGAGGCAACAACTTAGTGTCATATGACCTTTCGGTGCAGGCGTCGCCTACTACTAATGAAGCGAACGGGCTGTTAATTGTGAAGGCGGGCCAGAGCATCGAGATCGCATAGCGGGGCACTATTAACGAGGCCGGGTCAACGACCTTGCAGATTGTCTGCGTGATAAAAGGGGTGACTGAGTAGGCGTGAATTGGAACATGGCATGGCGGAGCCCCCTGTCTACATAGGAGCAACATCTTCAGGAGATTGAATAGCAACGATAGGGTTGAGAAACAAGCGAACCTAACAACAGGATGTCCGGCAGCAGAGTAACTGTTTCACTTGACTATTTTTCACATCGCCCAGAACCAATTTGCCCTAATAAAAGCACTCATCTGCACTGCTATCTGATTCTGATTCACACCACTCCCCAGCAACATGAAGAGGCGGGTGTTCAATCAATTTCCAGAACTCGCCAACTAAGACGTCTGTAGGTTCGTCCCACCAGATATCCCAATCTTCGACTTCAGGACCATATTTGAACCCGATAACTCGTGTTCTCCGGAACCTTGGTATTAAGCCCAAAGACTCTCTGCGACACTGGGGTGCATGGGGCTTGGTCGTGCGCAGCACTTCATTCTCTCGGCTCCCGTATTGTATTAAATCAACACCGGCTTCTTTTAGCATCTCGAGCCATGTGAAGAACCACGATCTAATCCGATGCTGATCTCGAGGCGAGGGGTGAAGGTAGAACGGCAGGCGGATCAGACGGAGGAGCGGAGTGTTGTAAACATCGCTGTGGTCATATCCCCTCCATTCAAGGATATGCAGATCTTTGGTTTTCTGGATGACATCTCGTATGAAAATGCGCCAGTCATCGATGTAATTTTCTCCTTGGCGAAGTTTGAGTAAGTAGTTCAGGCGCGGAATCCTCTCTGAAACGGTATGTATTAATGAGCACCCATCACCTTCTAGATTGCACACCTTCTCCGGATCGAGACTCCACTCTGGGTTAAGTATGAATCGTAGTGCTTCGGGATTATCAATAAAGCATTGCGCTGATCTCCTCAATCGCGAAAGGAGTGACGTATCACGATGCAATGGACAAACAAAGGGCTGTAGGCGACGGAATGCCTCCCAGCTCCTAGTAAGACGAGGGCACCAGCAATCGGTTCGGATGTCCATCACACCTCCCCCCGGCATAAGATCGTGGCAGATGAGAAGCTCAATGCCCTCCAGCCGATCTTTTGCAGTCATTTCACTCTGGAACGGATCGCTAATGAAATCCGCTATTGTCCTAAGGGACATCATTGATATTAGACCCAATATCTTCCGGCGTAATTAGAAAGGCTTGTGTTCTCTTACCAGCCTACGTCATTGGTTTCGCTTCCATCTATCTCAATATTCAGTTCAATGAACAGCTTCAGAACGGCCGCTCGACCTGAACCTAGAGAAAACTAAACACATCGATGCCCATGAGTATATTTGCTCAGCAAGAAAATACAGTCACTCACCATTAGCAGTGAAGTCCCAAACTCGTCACAATCGTACGGCGACGCCTCGCCTGCCTGGAACATCGCTTGGAGAGTCTCCGCATCCCCAGAGACTGCCGCTCGAAATACGGGGGAGTCCGAAGGCCTCATTGAGTAACCGCGCAGGGAAAATTTCCAGCCTCCATAGGACATGCCGACACGAAGTTCCAAGGCATACAGCACACCTCTAAGCCACCATGGCGGCCGAAAGCCGCCCCAAAAACTCCGAGAGTTCCTCTCGAAACCGAACGACCCAGTGGTTGACGAGCCTTTCCAGCGCAGATTCGACTTGGTTCGCTGTGAACTGTGCGTACGAACAGTTACTTGTCTCTGAGATATCGAGGCTATCGTGTATGTAGTCCCCTCTAGTTGATGTTCGTCGCTCCTGGTATTGGAAACGGCTGAAGCTAAAAGACATCGAGCGTTCGAAAGTTGCGTAGTAAGTCTGCTAGCTATGATATCGGCTTGCGCCTTCACGAGGGCTCTGCGAACCGTAAGTGATCGGCCAGCACCAAATAGTTAACCAAAAGGACTTACTCACATGATATAGCCTTGCTGGGCAAGCTGTAACATTCCAACAGCAGTCTCCAGCTGCTTCTCGAGTCTCTTCAGTTGATCCTTCTTCAGAATCGCCTTCGCACATGCGAGCTTTCTATGTGAACGTCGAGATGAATTGATTTGGGTGGACAGGTCGACCGCTAAATCTTCCAACTTCCCTAGCGCCTTGCGGCAGAATTCCGCGCTCCGCCTCGCTGCCATATCATTCCAGATTTCAGGTGGCAGGTCTCTCTGGCCGACTGTTTGTTCAAACTCCCAAAGGGCTGGATCAAGGCAGTCGAGTTGTTGCATGAGGAGGTCAATGTTCTCGGGAACATCCCTCACGTCATCCCAGAGCTGCTTCAGCTTCACGACCGCTCCTCCGGCAAAGGCGGCTAGTTGCGCGATGGCGACACCGCTTGCCACGACCCCGAGGGTTTCGGTCATGATGATTGAATCCTAGTTAGAGTTTCGAAGGACGAGTTATTACGCTACTTGTGTGTTGCAGCGATAAGTCGACAACCTGGATGAAGACGAGCCTGACGGTGAGCAGTGTCAACACTTCAGTAGGGCGGGGAAGAAGAACCACGTCAATGATAGGCTGAGAACATTTGAGGCGAAGCCCAAGCCTTCATGCACGCATGGGTTTTGTCTGTGCTCGACGCGACAGGCTTGGTTAATTTGTTTAAGCATTCAGAATAGAAATATTGATCTGAAAAATGTCCACATTTCTTTTCGAGAACGAGAAGGTTTTGCCTTCCGGATATCGAAGCTGAAGAAGGCAGCCATTCTGGGATGAGTTTAAATGTCCTTCCATCGTCCAAACAATCCATGTCATCTGAGCCCCCCACGGTAATAGGGTTAGATTGTTTCCATTGTTTCGGAACCATTGATATGTCAGGAGCCATTACCATGATCCCCTCAGAAACTGGATAACTAGGTGCCTCTTTCAATATCATCTCGTGGTGACTAGACTTCCAGGGCTGAGGCACGCCAAGAAGGGCACTCGATCTTCTGAGGCAGTTCCTAACTCGATTAGAACCTGAGAGGATGAGCACCATGATTGCCGCATCGAGAAGACTGGCGGCTTGAGCATCAACCCTCTGACTAATCGCTACACAGCCTCCCTAAGCCACAGTTGCCCTCGAATGGGCGGGTGAGATTCACTGTTGACCGTTGAATGCTCCGAACTGCGCTGTCAGAACTGCCCTCCGTCAATTTGGGTGATATTTACCTCAATTGTAATTCCATTTAGAAAAAAATCAATTTACCTTACTCGTCACCTCGCTGAGAAGATCATGGTTGGCGTCCCGCGTAGCACTGGCTGCAGCCTCTGCATCAAGCGTCGTGTCCGATGCGACGAAGACCGACCAGCTTGCCAAAAGTGCATCAAATACGGCGCCGAATGTCCCGGGTACAACCGCCCCTTCAAATTCGTAACTGAGAGGCCGGCGAAGCGTTCTGGAAAAGGGCGACACACTCCAGCCACCGGGACCAGTCCGGCAACATCCTCCGCATCTGCGAACAGTCCGACTTCTCAATCCCCTTCCCAGTCCTCCTCCTCCGACGTAACACGTCCCTTGGATGCTCTTCGATTCGAGCTTAACCCCGGTCGGATGCAGGTACTTGTACCGCTTGCCCAGGGTATCTGGGACATGAGGCGCGACGACGAGTTTAGGCATTTCTGGCCGTGGCTTGAGGGTCTCCCAGATAGGCTTGGCGCCAAGGCCACCCTAGACAGCGCCGCATGTGCTCTGGTGCTGCATATAAAAGGCAGACAGGCCAGCAACGAGGGTATTGTTGCCCAGGCTCGGACTTCATACCTTCAAGCATTGCCTGCTTTGCAGCATGCGCTGAACCATCCGACGGAGTGGAGGACAAGCGAGACGTTGTGCTCGGCCATTCTGCTCTGTGTGTATGAGGTATGCCACTTCAAACCGCGCTGAAGTTCCTTTCGCAAACAAAATCTCATCGGCCTTTTATTTAGTCTTTTGCCGGTACTACGAGCCCGAGCAACTGGATGAATCATGCAAAAGGCGTAGGCCGGCTAATGCAACTACGGGGTCCGCAAGCGCACGACAATGATTGGGACGCGTCCATGATCTCAATCTTTCGTGGCCTCAGTGTACGCCAGCCCCAGTCACCACCTTCCTTCCGCTAGTCTACTTCATGATCCACTAATATTTATATTTGATTTTAATTTCCAAATCTATGTAGATCATGTACTCTCTCTTTACAGCTGAGGATTGCTTCCTCGCCAAAAAGGAATGGAGAGACGCCTGGTACAACCGTGGACCTGAACCTTACGCCGCTCTCATCGACGAATTTTGGTATTGTCTAGCGCTCTGCCCAAGCGTCGTCCGGCAAGCTCAACTCCTTCGCAAGAGGAGCCTATCCGGCTCGGGCGTAGATGAGGAGGAAATACTGATAGCCACACGCCAAACCCTCGAGCTGCGGGACCGATTTATCGAATGGAATGATACGTTCTTGCGCTGCCTTCCCGAGCCAGAAGAAATCCCGAGCCAGGACGACAGCTCCCCTTATTCGACAATGCTCACCTATGCGACTGCTTGGATCGGTACCCTCTTCATGGGATACTGGCCAGCATGCTTATCATTCAGGATATACTCGAGGAGTGGGCTGGTCTCGCGTTCGAGGAGACCAGCGAAGATCTCCTGGCCCAGATCCTCAAGTCAGTCGAGTTTACGTCCAAGGGGTTCATGGGTCTATATCGCATCGGATTTTCTGTGAGGATTGCGCTTGAGTTCGCGAATCAGGAGCAACGGCGCTGGATACGGAAGTTGCTGAGAGATCGATCCGAGTCCTTTGCCGCGACCACGCCGACTCCGAGTCCGAAGATGCTACGTCCAATTGTTCGTGGCGTGCTGGCGGATGGGTGATTCTTGATTTGAGGTGAAATATCTACAGTCTGAATAATTTCGATTAGTAGCATCTCTCGCTCGACAATGCGGTATGGCGTTGGAAAATAGGACGTTTTCAGTGTGACGAAGGCCCCGACCAGGCCCCGACCCCTTTCATATATTCCTCATCCTTATCAATAACTAGTACAAGCAATGGTCGACTAAATGCAATACGTACCGTGGGAATCTCTGTGAGGATTCTCCCGACTCCATGCTGGCAATGTCGCCCGCCTTGCCAGGATCGAAGTCGAACATGCGCCACACCACGCCAGAGACCACGCACACAATCTTTGGAAATCGTGCGACATGGAGGGATCAGCGCCAACAAAAAAGCCCCGAGTCTGTCACTGCCACTGCACGTGTGGGTTGGGCACCAATCAAGGAAAACCCGGTCACAATCATTACTGCCAAGATCATTGGTGGACCGCCCCATCCTAATTCCAAGTCTTGCCATTCCGTGCTCTGAATTTATGCTTGTTTTTCTCGCGTTCGCCGTATCGAGCCTAATCGGGACTAGGGCTTATCTTTCTTCTCCTTCGATGCGACCCAACTTTATCCCGGTCGCCCAGAGGGGCTGAGTCCTGAGGGTAGCGGGTTCTGGAAGTGGGTGACCTGCATCGCGGTTTGAGGATGAAAAGGGAAATGAAGCGTTGGTTGAGGCCGATCGTTCTTAGTCTGGTTCCATTGCGCGAGATGAGGATCATTTTTTGCGTCCAGATGTCGAGCATTTCTGAACAATATATATTTCACGACAGGTTTGCCAAGATGTGCCCCTCGTGAGATTTCTCTGCATCCGTCTCTTGTTTTCGATTAAGATCAGACGACTCGCAACCGAAGCACCTCCTCTCAGTCCTCTATCGTTCCCATGATGGCAGCATCCCACATTTACGAAGGAACGGACGTTCCAACCGGTCCCTTCCACGACCTGGCATCGGAGCACCACCTTGTCTCAGAGCAGACGACAGCTTCATCCTCCTCTCCCGCTCCATCCAAAATCTTCAACACCTACCGCCGCGCAGCCTTCGGGCGCAAACATATCTTCTCTGAGACGACCGGTCTAGCACGCTACTGGATCTTTAACCCCGTGCCGCAAAAACACTCCAGCCAATGGAGGCCCATCTTTTGGCGCGGCGATAACCCCAAGTACTGTCCCGAGAGCACGCGGATAGGCAAGGCGCGTCGCACGGGGTTCTGGAACTCGTTCAGGATCCACCTCGGCGATGGCATGGAGCAAGAGCTGAAGAATAAAGAGCGGAGGAAGGCCAAGAAGGGGTATGCGCGGAGGCAAAAGTGGAGGAAATGGTTCTGCATGGGACCTTCGCCGCCGAAGAAGCCATTGGAGGAGGAAGAGGAGGTGACGGGCCTTGTCATGCCAGTGAGGATGTTTCGGCCTAAGGGGTTGGGCAGAACGCTGAAGTGGGAGATTAATGGGAATGAGTACATGTGGAAGGGGACGAGGACATTCCTCCCCAACGGCGTGAAGAAGATGAAGGGCATATCTCACGATTTCAAGGTATGTTTTGTCGTTGGCTTTTGCTTGGGACTCTCTCTGACCTTTGCTGCATAGCTCGTCAACTCGGACAACGTCGTGATTGCGACCTTTGAAAAAGATCGATGGGCATCCTTCAAGCCATCGGAGAAAGTCGGGGCTCCCCCAAACAAGAGCAGGACACTTCTCGGCACGCTTAAAATCTTCCCGTTGCCCAACAGCGACGCGAGTGGAGGAGCTGAAAAGGCGACGAAGAAGGAGGATATTTTGACCGAGAACATGAACAAGGTTAGCGACAAGATGCTGGCCAAAAAGTCGAAGGAGGACAGGATTCTGAATCTCGACGGGACGCACTCGGGGGACTTGCTTGAGGAGGCCATTGTGTTTACGTGCTGGATCGCGATCGAAGGAGAGCATCGATTGAGGTGGAAGATTGTTGATATCTTGGAGGAGGTGGGTGAGTCGTTTGGGGGATAAGCTGGCATCCGAATCACACCACACACATCACACACTCGCTGAACATTTTGTTTCCTTTGTATGATCGCTACTAGTTAATACCCCCAGTAATTTGCCTCTCGAGAATGACGATGCCACGAAGGCCTTTTGACAAACCTTGTCCTGAGTCTATTGCGATTCCATGGCCACGGCAAGGGCCTCAGACGAAGAATATGAGGACGCCATCTTTTTCTTGACATCAATCATATCACAAGACCCATATTTCACATTGACTGCCACTCCTCAAGAAACTCGAAGATTCTTGTGTAACATTTGAAAATGTCAATTCTCCTTGGATACGAAGTAGAACTCGGCGCGTTGACAAGTCTTAAACCAGGACTAGTGAGCTGGAGTTGTATGTCATTTGAGGGCTTTCCTTATCTTTTGCGCTCAGGCCTCCATCCTCAGCAGTAAACCTCCGCTAATCTGTTATTCGACAAGGGTGAGGTACGTCTTTATTTTGCTTTAACCCCCCAGAGACTGATTCGTCATTGAACGAAGGGAGTGGCAACGGAGCAGCCCCCCTACCATGTTCTAAGTTTCTGCGACAGAGCTATCCCTGTCCAACGCGAATCTTCTTTGCTTAGCAAACTGGCCTCCGTTTATTGCATGACGAGGTCGGTGTCGGGGTCTCTCTCCGTCTTACCCCGGAAACCATCGGCGCCACGGGGCCTGCTCTCCGCTTTTGTACTCTTCATGATCTCATTCACAAAACACCACCACAACAAGCTTAAAGGCTGTGATCGAGTTCACAGCCCGTTTCTCAATATATACGAAGCCGATTTGTCAACGCCTTAATATAAGTCTCAACGGTCTTATTTAAGTCGTTGACAGCTCCCCTCTTCCGATAGATTCGTGCCTCCCATCTCATAACCTAATTTACTCTTCACTGACAAGACTCTTGCTCGATACAATTACTCAAGCCCATATCTTCTCATCTCTCCCATCCCCCATTTCTCCATTGCAACAGTTTCCATCCCTCAAGATGCCTATCGATCACACCGGAATCAGAGTCGCCGAGAGCGACATGAAGACCGTCGTCGCCTGGTACGAAAAGGCCCTGAAGCCTCTTGGTTACGTTAAGATGGCCGACTTTGGTGTTGCCGTTGGATTCGGTGAGGAGGGAGGACATCCCGATTGGTGGATCGGCAGCCGTGAGCAAGGCAACAATGGATCTCACACCGCGTTTGTCGCAAAGGGTAAGTCATATCTCCTCTAGGATTGAGATTTGGTAGGACTCACATCAATGTTTCCCAGATCGCTCCGTCGTTGATGAGTTCCACAAGGCTGCCCTCGCGGCCGGCGGTGAGGATCTTGGCGCCCCTGGCCTCAGGCCTCAATATCATGCCACGTACTATGGGTCTTTCGTTAAGGACCCCGTGGGCAACAACATCGAGGCTGTGTGCCACAAGCCGGAGTAAGGACCGTGGTTAAGGAGAATGGTGTTCGGTGTGTGGCTTGTGATTTTGGGTTTGGTCGTCGGGGCTGGGAGTGTTGGAGTACTGATGATGTTGATGGAGCATAGCTGGTGTGAGCCTGGTAGCTTGAGGATGTAAATTGTAATGCTTGTCGTTGTGTCACATCACATTTGCCGCCCGTGATTCTACCTATTTCTTTCGTATTACTGCTGTATAACGTTGGAAGATATCTTCTTGTTCTCCCTCGTCTTGTTTTCGTTCAACTCTATTTTATTTCAATTGTTCGAAGGAACACCCATATTGTTCGATCACGACTTCCACCCTAGCGGCGACTCAAGATTCTGGCGCAAAGGTTGGGTTCACTTAGCCTCCAATTGGCTACTAAAAATGACTGTTTCCTGATCCTCCTTGGTGTGCTCCGAGGAGTTGCCAAATCCACAAGGCCGGATCAAAGTGCCGATCCAGCTAAATACAGAACACACACTGCTCAAATGGACCAGTAGAGTTTGGCCAAGCCAACTCCATCTAGAGACTCTAGACCGAATCTGGATGCGCCATGGTTCGTTTGCGACATCGTCATTATGCTCCAATCATAAGATTCTGTGGTCCGCTGGACCGGTTCACCATATTGCATTATGTTCTTAAACTTTTCTCCTCGTTTCTTCTTTTGAGTCTTGGAAACCGAAGTGCGTGTGACAAGAATGCAGAGCCAGTGTTGAGAGGGTTCTTATTAATATGGTTGAGACTATCCCCGCATCCATCCAACCATCTCTCGGAGACCCATCGCAGACACTGGCTTCACGATGACTTCACGGGGATGGCGTCTAGTCCTCCGCAAGTTCCCATCTCAGGTTTTCCTCATACCCCAGGGAACCGGCATCTTATCCGTAGTTCTCCACCAGTTGGACTACCAATTCACTGGGCTCAAAACCATCGCCATCATCCTCTGGTTCATCGCATTCATCACCTTATTCATTTTCTTCATCACTTACCTCCTCAAGGCGGCGCTCTATCCGCGGGACTTTTGTCATGCCATCTCCAGCAGCACAGCCGAGGCAGCGTGCCTCGCAAGCATTAGCATTTCCTTCACGTCTGTAATTCAGATGCTATCCATGGTTGTCGTGCCCAGCTGGGGAGGGCCGGACTGGGCCAAAGCCACGTATATTCTCTGGTGGATCAATACGACAATGGCGTTGGCAGCCTGCTTCCTTCTACCACCATTCTTCGTCAGGACTCTGCATGCCGAGGGTGGGCTTCATCATGCCTTTACGCCGGTAACTCAGCTGCCGATTATTGCCGCGTTGACCTCCGCCGCTGGGGCTGGAACACTCTCCGAATATGCGATGCTCAGTTCGCAGCAGAAACTCCCGATGATCATTGTGGCGTACCTTGAGATTGGTGTGGGTATTCCCATAGCTTTGGCCCTTGACACGCTATTCTGGGCACGGAAATATCTCCCCTGGGAAGCTCCGGTTGACGGATTCAGCGTGCAAACTCCAAGACATCAGGTATTTGTCGAGATGATCATGTGCGGACCTTGGGGCCAGGGTAGCTTCGCCATGCAAGGACTAGGCTCGGCCTTAATCAAGGGCGCATTCGATCTTGGGTCGGGGGTGATAATAACCCACGAAGCTGGACGAATTATAGGTCACGGCAGCGTCTTCTTTGGTGTTGTGTGTTGGGGTGCTTCGCTGTTTTGGTGGTGGTTTGCTTGCATGGGCATTGTTTCTGCCATTGCGAAAAGTTCGGAAAGGTCCCGGATTCATTTTACCCTTTCGACGTGGTCCATTGTCTTTCCTTGGGTAAGTCGGCTCTCTCCTGAACTAAAGATATCTCCAAGTCCAGCAGGCTGCTAACGTTTTTCCGGGTCCTTGCTAGGGGGTTTATACGAATGCGGCGGTTCAACTGGGGAAGCTGATGGACTCTGTCGTGTTCAGAGTCTGGTCTACGATCATGGCCACTTCCCTAGCTCTGATTTGGATTCTGTGTATTTGCTTCACTATAAAAGGAATCCTACAGCGAACGATTCTTGGACCGAAACCAGGACTGCCCTTGGGTTCAAGCCATGGTCATATACGGAAACGTCACGATTGAGCTCCAAGTGCAGCATCCGCTCTTGGGATCTTGCCCGGGGCCGCTTCAGGGCTTTGAGAGATGAAGGTAGAGCTTTGCTGCGCTCAAGTCTCAGTCCGGCGGTTGTTTTTCCATATCCTGATGGTGGTTGGTCCGCGATTCCCTTGGTTCTCGGCTAATCATAAACCTGATTCATTATTCGCACCTATATTCTCGGGACCTATGATCGGTGAATAGGTGTTCTCCGGAGTCCATGTACTTACTCCGTTTTAATTTTAACTCTTAAAATAGTACTTAACAGCGTGATTCTTCCCTGTAGCATTGCGAATCATTATCTGCAAGCCCTTTGTGTCACCAATGTAGAAGGGACTTAATTTCTTCGGGCAAAATGTTTACGCGCATGAATTCGTCTCGCCCACGTCCCGGGCTTTTATTTGCCTTTTTTCTAACCCGCACCGATACGTCGGACACGCGAGGTCGAGGACGCAGTTTACTCCACGGGTTAGTCCCGTTTCCGTTATTGTGATTCGGGCAGATCTTGCCATGATTGGTGGAGCGTGGCCGGCACATGGCGATGGCTCCTGGAGCTGGCTTAACGGGAAAGGCTGAAGAGTGACGAAGTACTAAAGAATGTACTAAATAATGCCGGGCTGTCGGGTCAAGATCTCAATATCAATCTCGATATCAACATCAATAACTGAGTCTGGTCTCCTTCCCATCCTCTTGGTTCACGTCGCTAAAACGATGTTTCCGAGCACTGTGGCTTTTGGTTTTTTGGTGGCAACAAAGAGACTTGTCGTCATAATCGCCGATGCAACCGGGGGGCTGCTCGTTCGTTCTGTCTAACCGGCATGACCAGCAAGCGCTCAACCTCCAACTTCCAGGTGATTGGACCTTTCGAGAGGGGGCTCACGGGGAACGAGGGGAAAGGATGCCTACCCCGGTCGTTAGTGTCGTGCCACTTGAGGAGTCAAAGACCCACTAGCGTCCCATTTTGGTGCTTCCGCGGGCTGGGCTTGCATCTCCCACCGCCACGCTAACATGTTTCTGGAATGGCTGCCGAGACGTCAGGAGGAGACCTGGAAGGCATCCACTAAGCCTACGGGAAGAACCAACATACAAACCGCACTGAGAAAATGATATTTGAGGAATAATGTGGGCTGATGAATCCTATTTGCCCTCAGAGAAATGGGCAGACGGTGGATCAAAACTGATTGGCTTGTTCGTGTGCTTCAACTCACTGGCGCTTGCATACGTATGCTATCTTGCAAGGTCGTATTTATTGGTGTTCTTCCTCGGCTCCACGCCCTGTACTCTCTCGTATGTGTACTCCAAGGAGAAAATCAATCCTTCCCCAGAAATATCCTCTCCTCTCTCCTCTTCTCCTCAACCTCATACCCATCAAACGACCTACAGCCCAGCTTATCAAAATGAGTAGTCCAAAGTCGCCGAAGTCACCAAAGTCACCAAAGTCACCAGAGTCGAAGTCTCCCACCCCTGGGGCAGCGTCTCCTCAGGATCTAGGAGGCGATGCGAACGCTCCAATCGAAGTGGTAAATTAAACCCCTCTTCCCAAATTTCGGCCGGCGCGGCTCCCCCGACTTTTGCATCACCTCGTCCTTGTCCATACTCAAATCGTGACTTCTTTGCGACAACTAGGACCTCGACGATGTCGAATCCGTCTACGCCCAATCGTAAGTCAGACACGGACACGTTGGGACTCAAGTCATACGGATTATTGAGCTTTCTGCTAATGAACAGCCAGAACGGTAACGGACACCACATCACTCCGGTCTTCCATCTTGGATTACAAGTGGGAGAATGGACGGCGATATCACGCATACCAAGATGGTGCATACTAGTATGTTTCGCGATGCCCCTCTCCCCCATCCCCTCTTTTTTTCGGCGGAGGGGATTTACCTCTGTTTATTGAGACGACTACTAACGCCTCGGCTATTCAGCCAACCCAACGACGAGAAGCAACAAGAGGCGGAGGACTTGATGTATGTGTCTACTGTCTACACGTCCTATAGCAACCATCGCGACTATTGCTCCTCGGCCTCCCGTATCATGCTTGAATTGCGATATATCTAATAAATCACAGGCATGAAATGTTCCGAATTATTCTCGACGACAAACTATACGAAACTCCGATTGGAGAAGACACTCAGGTGGGTGCCGGGAGCCGCGATAATGCCAAATTTTTTTTTTTTTTTTTTTTTTTTTTTTTTTTCCTTCTTTCTCTTCGTGTAACTTATTCCTCCCAACACAGCGCGTCTTAGATCTCGGCTGCGGAACAGGAGCATGGGCTATGTTAGTGTCCCTCTTTCAGTTCCCTGTCCTTCCATTCCATCTCCGCCAAAATTAAGCCCAATCCTCGGATCGCTAACAGAAGAACCGAACAACAGCGACTTCGCAGACGAGAATCCCGCGTCCGAGGTAATTGGCGTTGACCTTTCTCCAATCCAACCGAGCTTCGTTCCACCCAACTGTAAATTCGAGGTCGACGATATTACCAAAGACTGGACATTCCCAGAAAGCCATTTTGACTTCATTCATATTCGATATTTGACAGGCTGTATTCCTGAATGGGTCAGCTTCTATAAGAAGGCTATGCGGTATGTTCCCTTTGCAGCCTACTGTGATGTGATGGCGGACTATGGTCTTACGGTCCAATACCGATCCCTAACAATCATTGAATCAAAGCCATGTAAAGCCTGGAGGGTGGGTTGAGCATGTCGAACTGTCAACTATCCCTCGATCAGACGACGATACGCTCAGGTCCGGGGGTGCCATGGAAAGGTGGGGAGGGATATTCGAACAACTGGGTACTGCAACAGGTAAGACGTTTGGCATCTGCGAGACTGGCCGTGAACTGTTCCGCGAGGCGGGCTTCGCAAACATCAATGAACGCACGTTGAAGATTCCGATCGGGACCTGGCCGAAGGATCCGCTTTTGAAGAAATGGGGGCTCTGGAACCGGCAATTTGTTTTGCAGGGCCTTGAAGGGTTTGCGCTTCGTGGCTTGACAGACCTGCTGGGGGTAAGCTGCTGCTTGTTTGCGCTGTTTCATTTTGTAGTAGTTTCTCTTAAATACTAACGATCTGGATGATAATAGTGGTCATTTGAAGAGGCACAGATGTTCCTCCTCCAGGCCCGCCAGGAATTGACTGATCCCAGGGTCCACTCGTACATCGAGATGTAAGGATTCCCCCCAGCCTCTCGTTTACCAGTCATGCAACAGTTACTCACATGTGTTCTCGACGATAGGATTGTTGTCGGTGGGCAAAGGCCAACGGAAGAGTGAGCGAACATCAGCGTTCCCGGTAGTATTAGGAACTTAGCTGGCTTCAATATTTCGGTCGTTGAATGCCCGGTGAGCTATGAGGTTTCCTCTGGTGCATTTGCATTGTTAACGCTGGCGGCGTCGAATTTGAACTGGTCGCGTGTGTGATGGCATGATAATGAATGAAGCGAATGATAGCGTTTTGATCTCAATATATTTGCCGTTGACAAGAAAATCCAAGAGCCAGTCCAAGAGGTCTCGCTCGTGAAACACACATCACACCTAAGCCCCCGGGTTTGGGGGTCGGTGTACAACTCATTCGCGACGCCCTTGCGACTGGAAGTCCTCTCCTCCTAACTCCCAAGTGTTGGGTGTGAGCTGTTTCCTCCACCGAGGGAGTATAATGAGCGCGCATGGTGAATGCGGTGGCAGAATCAAGGGATTTCGCAGGTCTATGGAACAGCGTCCTGCACGGAAGAGAAGGAAAAGGTTGAGCAACAGTTATCTTGAGACGGACCGGTTTGTCTGTCTGCATTTCCATCAGCATAGTCTTCACCATTCTCACTTGTCTCGACAGGAATATATCTGACGTGAACATCGCCGGATTCAGCGCTTATGCTTCTGGACTCAATCTGGGAAGAGTCAAGATACCGGAACGCAGAGCCAGATCACAAGAGACCATAGCCGCCGATAACCGGCGTTTGTGATAAAAAGTATAAAAAATTCCGTGGATCCCATCTGCGTGACGTCTATGGGCAGGCTGTCGCCAGTCTATCGATGTCCAGTGAATATCCAGGTGTCTCTAAAGCATGCGGACGGTAGTCGTGATATGACTGGCAATTTCAACTGTGACATCGGAGAGGAGAGGAGACATCTAACGGTCATTGCCTTTATTTCTATTCAATCCTTTTCCTCACTGCACGCTGATACATGGTAGGAGCAATAGGGCGCAGAGTACCAGGAAAGCATCCAGTAATGCTTCCCTCTTCTGCAGGACGGCAAAGGTGTAATGACCGAGTCGGCCTCTTTCCCTGTTGTTATGCCGGGACAGACACCAATTATCGGTGATCGCCGATTCCTCAAATGTCACCCCAAACTTTGTGAGAGGCATGCAATTGAATGCTGCGACGTCGACCGTGGTGTTCATCAAGTCCGGACTCTAGAGTCTGGGCACAGTGAAAACTACGAAATAGAAGTCAAATCGTATGACGCAATATCGCGATGCAATCACTTCATCTCCGTCGCCAATCCTATTTCCGATCCTCTCTGCCTTCACAAATTACTATAAGTCAACCCTCCTCGACTCCAGTGGCGTTCGCAAACCCCGCACGCGTAACGGATACCTCAAAATCACCAGCTTCAAACCGATACGAAGGCTTCACTGTACTCAAAGTCCCCCCAATTCCCCAATGTCTGCCGCCGTTCTTAGCCACGCCACTCCCGCGGCCCTCCGCCCAGGACCCCCTGGTCAACCCGACATCACCTATGCGCCCGATTTCGAAAAGTACCAGACAAGGGTTGCGACGCGCCTTAGCAAGGGTGGTCTAGCGTCAACGCTTCCCGTGGGATTTCCGGAGGAATTGCGCGGGGATTTGGTGTGGGAGGGGGAGACGCTGCCAGAGACGTACGACTGGACTTTTGTGCTTAACGAAGAGCAGTTGGGGGAGATTGAGAAAGCTCTGACCCATTTCAAATGTTTGTTACCGCATTGGTGGACATGCGTCAACAGATTTGGGTGTCGATGTGTGTATCTAATTAACACCTTTCGGTCTTTGCAGCGCTGAACCTCCCGCTTGGTTACATCTCGGCCGATACCTTTCCCCTCCCGACCCTCCACCCCGAACTTCGTCGACTGTCGAAAGAACTGCACAGTGGCCATGGCTTCTTCGTCATCCGCGGCGTCGAGGTCGACAAACATACCCGCGAAGAAAACTTGATAATCTACGCCGGGATCTCCTCCCACATCGCCCCCGTTCGCGGTCGCCAAGATTCCTCCTACGAGGGGAAGCCCGCGTCCGTGGTCCTGGCGCACATTAAGAATCTGAATACGCCGGAGAACGAGGGCTTCATTGGAAGCCCGGCGTACACGAGGGATAAGCAGGTTTTCCATACGGACGCGGGCGATATCGTTTCGCTGTTTGCGCTCGAGACGGCCGAGGAAGGCGGAGCCAGCAAGTTGGCCAGTACGTGGCGGGTGTACAACGAGCTTGCGAAGACGAGGCCGGATCTCGTGAGGACATTGTCAGAGAATTGGAACGCAGAAATGTAAATCCCTCTCCTTACTTCCGGGGTCTCTACAAGATGATTTGGACCCTAATGTGCGCGTTTTCCTCACCAGCTTCGGAAACACTGGACAGAGATTTACCCAGCGACCCTTGCTCTTCTATCAGCCAGCAACCGACTCAACACCAGAACGCGTCGCACTCCAATATGCGAGACGGCAGTTCGTCGGATTCGGAGCCCTGCCAAGAAGTCCCGAGATCCCACCGATAACCGAAGCGCAGGCAGAGGCACTTGACGCCTTGCATTTCCTCGGAGAACGCTTCTCCCTGTCTACGGGCTTCGAGAAGGGAGATATACAATACGTCAATAATCTGGCGGTGTTCCACGCGCGGGATGGATATCGTGATTCGGACACAAAGCAGTGAGTTTTACCTCAAGAATACCATCCGTTTTGCTTCGAGCCAAGGCGCTAACATTTGCAGGCGGCACTTGGTCCGGCTTTGGCTCCGAGATCCCGAGAATGCGTGGGGGACTCCACCTCAGCTCGCGGACCGCTGGGCGCTTGTGTACGGCGGGGCAGATCCAGAGACACACGTGTTTCCGTTGGAGCCATACATTCGTAGCGAGAGTGGGAAGCGAGTGAAGACGTAATGATGGTGGTACTACTTCACTGCGCACTCATACCACATAAGGGATGGGAGGTGGTGTGAGAAAACAAGCGATATGACTAGTGACTAGAGGCTTATCCATGGACACGGTAGCGAATCCTCTTGAAGAAATAGGAAGCTTGTATGACGCCACTGCATGGGGGATGGTAGTTACCACGGCCTTGGCATCGTTTAGCAATCAATTCATGACCCAGTAGCCAGAAACGAAGCAAGGATCTTCCCAAGAGCTCCGACGCAAGTGTATTCTCTTTCGGACGATAGTTACAAATTAGGATGGACCCAAGAAGAAATTAAGAATCATGTAGCACTCCCCGCAACGTTATTTCAAGTACCACGGCAGAAAACGGTCCGTAATATCGTGTTATCTATTACATGGTTTGTAAACACTGTCGAGCCGGCGAATTGCCTGCCCCCGTGAGGGTCGACGTGCTCCGGGGCCGCATGGCGTGCTCGAGGCCTCCCCGCGCCTGTACGACGGCACATACCCCCATTTGGAAGGTCAATATCCCCAGCCCGCTCTATACCTTCGTACCCAGTAAATGAGGTCCAATGTACGGCCCTGGGAGCATTACATACCGGATGTCGAGTTTTCGTGCGATAATTGCGTGAACACCTCCCTCGTGTGTTCGTGTAGTATGGGCGACGCAATGTTTATTAAAGGAAGCCGTGACAGCCAACTCGATGACTTTTCTTTTTATATAGTTTTCTTTGCCTCCGGCGGGCTACGGCTAACTTTATAGGTTGATCTGCACACTCCGATCGCGGCCCGCAGAATTAGAGCCTTTTAAGAATCAGTCCGTCTTACTATATGCCGGTTAGCTAACACGCTTTCGGAATGGTGTTCTCACAGCTCAAGTCCCGCTTCGGCGGGGCGGGGAATACGCCACAGCAGCCCGCGTACCCGGCGGAATCTGCCGGCGCTGAGGCTTCCGACTCCGAGGCGTCCGTTCTTCGGGACGGCGACTTCGCGTATGTGAGAGCCAAGGGTGGGAACAACTCCCTTCCGTCGTATCAGGAGGCTGTCGGTGCTCCGGTGGAGGGACACTCGCCGCTGGGATACCATGTGGGATGGGCCACCGTCGTTTTTCTTAATGTGAACCAGATGATCGGCACTGGTATTTTCTCCACGCGTAAGTTGTGTCGCATGTCGTTGCATGAACCCCGTGAATGACTAACCCCACAGCACAGCCGGGACGATTCTTAAGAGCACCGGATCAATCGGCCTTGCTCTCATCTACTGGGTCATCGGCTTCATCATGGCCGTCGCTGGATTCGCGACATACCTAGAGTTCGCCAGCTACTTCCCCAACCGCAGCGGTTCCGAAGTCGTCTACCTCGAGCAGGCATACCCTCGTCCGAAACACTTCTTCCCCATCGCCTTTGCCGTGCAGTCCGTGATACTTTCGTTTAGTAGCAGCAATGCCATTGGTAGGAATTCTCTCCGAAGGAGTGTTAGCGAGCTCATGCTAACCAATGTGGCCTTTACGTCGCGCAGTGCTGTCTAGGTATTTGTGGCGCATCGCTGGGAAGACTCCATCGGATTGGCAGATGAAGGGAGTTGCCATCGCTGCCTATACGCTCGCCGTAATTTGTATGCTCCTTCTCCCCATATCGGCCAATGCTGTAACAGGCCTCATGCTCACCGTGGCAAGGTGTCATTGCTCATAACAAGTTCTCCCTCTGGGCCGTCAACGGCTTTGGCGTCATCAAGCTCATCACCCTCGTCTTGTAAGTGCATTGGATGAGCGATAGCTCGTAATTACCTCTGGGGTACTCCAAATCAACTGACAAGAATTCGTTTCTGCTGCAGCATCAGCATTACAGGCTTAGTTGTCCTCGGGAAGAATGTCGACCACATTCCCGACCCAAACGTCAACTTCCGAGACGCCTTTGCAGGAACGACAGACAACGGAAACGACTTATCGAGCGCCCTGGTCAACATCATATTCTCCTACAGTGGCTACGCGAATGCGTTCAACGTCGTCAATGAGATTCAACGACCCATTCCCGTCATCAAAAGATATGGGCTATTGTCCGTCTTGCTTGTAGCCATCTTGTATATACTTTGCAACATTGCGTACTTTTCATCTGGTAAGCCGTCTATGTCTTATTTAGCTTATCTATGCCATCGTCATTTTCCCCAGTTAGACTAACAAGGAGGTGTCTCCGCCTCCATCCAGTCCCAAAGGAGGAGTTCGCCAAGTCCAAGGAAATCGCGGCAGCGGTTTTCTTCAGGGCCGTATTTCGGACAAAGGGTGCTGAGACGGCCTTGAATGTCCTTGTGCTACTCAGCGCGTTCGGCAATTTGTTGGCCGTCCTCATTGGCCAGTCGCGTTTGATTCGAGAGATCGGAAGGTCGTTTCGAAGCTTCCCTATTCTTCTGATATTGTACCTCTTCTAACGATACTGGCATCTCTTCTAGACAAGGTGTCCTTCCTTACCCCAAGTTTTGGGTCTCCACGAAGCCATTTGGCACCCCGCTCGGCCCATATATCCTCAAATGGGTCATGACTTTTGTGATGATCGTCGCGCCTCCAGCTGGAGACGCATTCCAGTTCGGTAGGTCAAGTCCATAACGGCCTTCGAAATGACCATCTTTCGACTAACCAAACAACAGTCGTCAGCCTCAAGGTTTACCCGGAAGCCATCTTCCACATCCTCCTTAGTGTTGGCCTCTACATCGTACGCTACCGCCACAAACGCGTCGGTCACAAGCGGACAGACTTCCGCGCCTGGGACGTTCTGGTCATCTTCTTTATCCTCGTCCAGGTATTCGTTGCAGTGATGCCGTGGTGGCCGCCAAAGGGCGGACCGTATGCCGGAGACGTGAGCTTCTGGTATGCCACATATTGCGTTGTCGGAATTGCCGTGTAAGTGTTTGTTTTTTCTTAAACACCCTTTCCCCTCAGGTCCTCTTTCTCGGACAGCGGTTGGGCCTAGGTTGACGCGATATAGGTTGATTTTATGTGGCATCTACTATGTGAGCTGGATCTACCTCATCCCTCACTGGAAAGGGTACGCCATCCGTGCTGAGGTTCTCGATGTCGACAATAATGGGGCAACCACACATCGTCTCGTGAAGGTTCCCAATGCTGAGTTGCAACGATGGGATGCGGAACATGATGATGCTGGGAATTTGCGACAGAGGTCTGTCAGTGGCGAATCTGATAAAACCGAAGAGTCGGGAGAGAAGACGGTTTAGTTAGCGGTGCATCAGGGATCAGGTAGGGACTAGTGCTTTTAATGGCTCATAGCTTCATCGCAATGACAGCATTTGCTGATATTAATGCGAGGTGAACATCACGGTAGAAGAGTTATCATGATATCTTGACAAGCCAACGCCCACCACGTCTGCCAAAAAATAGAAAGGAAGTAGCATCCTCCTGGCACGGTCTGTCTATTTAAATTTCTATTTCCAGCTCTGGTTGAAAAATATAGATTGAAACTCCAACCTTGACATCTCCATCCCTGACAAGACGTTTAGACATGCCCTCGGATTAAGCCTTCACAGAGACACAGTGGCACCCAACTTCTCAAGTTTGGGATTGTACCAACAACTCGGTAGCACGCTTGTATCGGGGATTTCCTTTAACATTAACGCGTATTACAGGAAGCAGGAACTTAGTCATTTAATTTATGCTATTGATGCTTCTCTTGCCGGGTTAAAACTCAGGCTACCCAGGTGTTATCGTTTAGTTACCCTCATCACTGACCTCCTCGAACTCCTCATTTCCAGTTCCATCCGTATCGCCGACCTCGCCATCCGCCTCGGTTTCACCTGGGGTGGCAAAATCTATCCCAAGCGGACGCCCGAAAAGCCGAATCCTCTTCGCCTTGAATTCCTCGAACAAAGCCAGCTCCTTCTCCGCTGTCCGTTCCTTAACTGCTTTTTTCCAGTCCTTAATGAGTCCGAAAATCTTGCGCGCCTCGGGCGTAGCCGTCAAGTCATTGTAGTTTGAGGTCGTTCTCCACCAATACGACCACGCGCCCTTGATCAATGCCTTCCCGAAGGCCATGTCGCGGAGTTCATCCTCATACGCGTATTTCATCTTGTCGATCTCCTTCAGTTCCTTCTCCTCCTCTAGCTTTACGGCCTTCACTTTCTGGGCCAACTCGACATAGAGATCCGCAAGGGCATCGCGTTGGGCTGGCTCACGTCTTTGGCTGCAAATGTTGTAGGCAACATGATCTTGGATGGCCTCGTAGCGTGTTGAGTCGACTCCCGCGGGGATTTCGACCCGGCTTTCTCGCTCTTCCGGGTCCTCTCTTTCGACTTCGTCCTCGTCCTCCTCGTCCTCCGAGTAGGCGCGGAGTGTTTCATCGCTCTGGATGGAGGCGCTATCGGTACTGGTGTCCGGCGTGAATTCAGCCCTGGTTTGAGCTATGGGTTCGCTCTCCCGATGCTCACGGCGGGGAATAAAATCCCAGTTCTCTTCATCTTCGTAGTTAAACATGTCGGGGAGATTCATTTTGATGAATTGTTGGATCTGTTGGTGGGGGAAGAATCGTTGAAAAGGAGAGAGTTCGCTCATTAAAACGTCAAGCCAGTCAGGTGAGATTAAACATATTCTAAAATGTGGAAGCCTCATCTGTTCTGAAATCCAGTACCCTAAATAGTGGACTCTGGAAGGGCCTCAATCTTCCATGTCACTCGCGCGCTAACAAGGACTTGAGTTTCTCCTTGTCGGTCACACGAGGCCGGGGATCCGAAGCCCTTCATGTGCAACAACACACCGCTCCGAAATATCAATTCCCTGTATGCATTCGTCCGAGGGCGGCCAACTCAAGTCTCTCATACATCGACGTTTCTTACGGACGGTCTCCACTGTGTGGATTTGGGTCCAGGACGCCCGATATGTGCATTGTCGAGCGGGAAGGCGGCCAGTGGAAAGAGGGCGTAAGAGAGGTGCAGTTGGGGCTTCCCAAGAGGCATGTGCTGAGATAGAGTCGTTCGCTCCCAGTAATGTCATTCATCACATGGTTCTCCCTCTGGTGTGTTCACAGTGGTTAGAAGGGCTCAAGAGTCCTGCATATACCTGTCCATTCTCCATATTTCTGATTCCATATGGCGAAGTAACAACTTGAGAACTCATGGATAAGCATGGTGAAGAAAACAAAAGGCTGGCTGAGAATTATTAGCAAAGGAGCACACACCGTCAGAGCCCATCGCGGCTTCGGTTTTTATTACATCGATAGGGGTGCCAATGGCAGCAGAGATACCTACACCCCTTAACGTAAGCATAGTGGCTAGAATCCATGCCCAAGATGTGGGAATGCATCTAGTCTCTCGTCTGCAGATATATACCGGATACCCGGGAAGCGGGCAAATATCACCAGCAAAAATGGAAGAAGGGCAGTTGCTGAAACAGAAGACCAGTATCACTGTGAACGGCCCTCGTGAATGAACGTCTGGCCGTCTATCAAAGAGGCTATGTCAGTCTATTATGCAAGAAGCTGGAAATAAATTTAATTCTACCCGCAGTTAAAGAACTGAAGTGCATACTTTTCGGGCACCTCCGGCAGGAAACAGATAGAGATCGATCCAAAGATGCAATAACATTCTGTAAACAAACTTCAACCACCAAGTCTAAACGGGATTCCCGTGAACGGAAGCACCACTATTCAAAACGCCCTCCCACCTCCAACGGCTTTTCGTCCCGCTCGCGGTCATCACACTCCCGCGGCAGCCAACTGAGTCCCGGTTTGCCCCTGTTCAGCCCGAGCCTTGGCCTGGGCCTTTTCGAACTTCCATCTCCGCCAGAATAGAAAACCGCCTCCAAGAATGCAAACACCTTCGAGGGTCAAAACTATGAATGGCGCTTAGGTTAGCATTGGAATAAACGTGGAAATAGTAGTTGCGTAAAGGTAGAATCCTAACCGGAATACATCCAACCCAAGGGCTCCTGAAGACCAGGGACCGTCGTCAATGCAAACGCTATCCAGAAGAAGATGAAGAGACCAGAGGCCTGCATCATCATCGCATCGAGGTATTTGCGGAGGAGCTCGTATGAGCCGGCGTATTCTTCACCCCTCAGGGCGGTGAAAGTCCACCAATAAGATCCGCTGATGGCAATTGTCATATGGTAGGTCGATAGCATCGCTGCGGCGCTCCGACAGAGAGTGTACGGATCTAGGGCGCAGAGTACGATGTAGGCGATGGAGCTTATCCAATGCGCGATGACCCGGGCGAGGGTCTGGTATGCTTCTTTGCGGGTCGGGCCGGCGGGGCGAACGGGTGCGTTCATGAAGGTGAAGCCACAGATGATGTGGATTAAGGCAGGGAGGAATACCCCCAAGAGACGTAACTTCAACATGGTGGAATTTCCGTTTTCGGGGTGTTGCGGGAATAGAATCTCCAGGAAGATCGTTGACAGGGGGCTCTGGTTGAGGTGTGGACCAAATGGACGAGCGCCACCAGTGCTTTATCAAAGCCGTACAAGTCCATTTTCTACTCTTCTCGGGCGCCCGTTCACATGTTTTGGACATATATTCCTACAAAAGTCGTGTGGTTTCACATACGCCTGGACGGTAAATTCCACATGCAGCCACATGCTTCGGGGCCCCAACTTCCAAGAGAGGTCATGAGCAGTCTGACCAAAGGAAAAAGAGGAGGACGAGGAGGAGAAAGGAGAAAGGAGTAGTAGCTCTTCGCTAACACCTAACTATTTAAGCCCGGCTAAAAACTAGCCCGGTCAAACCACTCGCGCCCGAACTCTTATTCCTAGATTTTACACCTAGCCTTTTCCTCATCGCTTTGGAGAATTCCAAAGAGACTTAGATAAATCTCCTGTTCTTTGGTTAACTCTGGGGACGTAAGCCCCATGCGGGTGCCGTGCTTAGCGAGGTCATCGCCACCGATCTTGTCCTGTCCCTCTTCATGTTAGTCCACAGGGCCCAGCAGGAGGATATAGCCACAAACGTGACCATTTGTACTCCTCAATTACTTCAGTAGCCTTGATGTTTTCTCACGCTAAGAAGGCAGCCTATTTATGTACTTAGGCATAGTCATCAGCAGATATGGTGCCCCTAGCCGAGCCTCATTATCCTCTGGCCCTCAGGTTGTCCCACGATCATTCTCTTTTAACCCCACGGCATGTTCCCCCACGCCCTTTGCCATCACGGTACGGACGGAGATCGACATATCCAGTGTCGGGGCATACGTTATAGCTCGCAGCTAGAGGCTAACTTTTGGCTGCCCAAAACGGCCGGGGACAGCATAGTGCTCAATGCATTTGGAGACGTGAAGGCGGATAAAAAAGTGCGGGCGATTCGATCGCGTATTTGTTAAATTTGGGAGTTTGTCCGGATTTTCTCTCCCTTCGTGGCTACTGATCGCAATGGCTGTATGAAGTGACGAAAGGAGCTCGTTGACAAGCAGCAAGTCAATAAGACAAGGGCCGATGGTCTAGTGGTATGATTCTCGCTTAGGGTGATACCCTATGCTAATATGCGAGAGGTCCCGGGTTCAATCCCCGGTTGGCCCCCAAATTTCACTTTTTATGTCTTCCGCAAACACTATAATTTTTTTTCAGACCGATATGTGTATATTATATCTGTTTTACAGTATTCATACCTCCCTGTCCCTTTGCTTTGCATTCTCTTTTTTTTCTTTATTTTTTTTTTCTTCTTCTTCCCGGTTCTTTTATTTATGTACTTGGATTTACTGAGGTAAGTCCTTTCGATTCCGAACTGCCGGGCCAGTTCATCAATGCTAGGGACCGGCACTCGGACATTTTGAATCTGTACTCCTCCGTCAACATGCCATGCCTTCATCCGCATATTGGCTTTCTGTTTCTTCAACCTTTCTTAGCAAGTAGCTTCAATCTTCAATACCCGGCCAGAGCTCGTTAGTCAAGGATATCGTCGCTAATAACTGGATCCGTAACCAATGACAGATAATTACATCGGGTAAGAGATAGTCGCGGACTGATTTCGACGGGATCGTAAAGCTTCACTCCGCCGCCGTGCCTGTAAGTTACTCCTGGGCGCAGCGAGTATAATTGGCGTCCTAACTTACATCAATAGCCTGCGCGCATCAAGGTTGGCCAACTATCAAATAAAGCAAATAAAGGTAACGAAAGAAAGAAAGTAAGGGTTGGTCGCGAGACACTTCGTCGAGTGTCCACTGGCTGTGGCTCTTACGAGTTTCTGCCAAGGACCGGCGAGCAGGAAGAGTAAGGTCGTGACTGGATATCGACGGGCATACCTGCAAGTGATGCAACCCTGTCCATGGGGCAGTTGTTGCAAGTAAGGAAGGCAATTAGTACAACGGAATGCCATTCCATAGTCTTATACCCCAGATAGGAACCAAACATTTGCTACTCTTTTCACGGGGACGAAATCAATAGTCCTTGATCTGGTTGGCAACGCCATGTGTTTGTTTTTTCGAGAAAATGGGCCCGTCCATATGTCTCCGACTGCTCTCCAGCTCTTGATGTATTGTCCGACACCAGTCACGGATCCCAAAGCGATCGAGGGCTGTCTCGCAGTTATTTCCAAGCCCGACCGACATATAGTCAGGACGCGGACGCGCTGTGAACATACGAAGGATACGAGGGACTCCATTACGCAGGCCCGGACTGACTGTCGTATCGGTCAATTTTTAATTTTTTTTTTTTTTTTTCCGATTGCCTTTTATTTTATTCGCATCTCTTCTGTCGCTACCGAAGGAGCGAAGTGTGGCACACCCAATGCGTGGATGTCACAACCAACATTGTTGTCGGATGATGCTATGATGCTCCAATCATCCTATTCGTCGCTTGAGTTGTGATTCCAGCATAAGATAGGGGGGCACCACAGACGTCGATATTGCCCTCGTGCGCAAACGACCGGCTATAGCCAATGGGGAAGATTATAAGCGAAAACTTGGTTTCCCATCACATTTCCTTGCTGATCGAGATGTCATTGATGCAGGTACCTGTTCACAAATCCAGGATTGTAATCACGCACAGCCCCTAATAATAGGTCTGGTTGTTTCAACCCCTGGCAGCCTTATCCATCCAGCGTCCGAACTAGTCCTAAACGAGACGGCCTGCAGTGGAGGAGATTAGTATTCTTATTGACGGGAAGCTGTGCGACATTCACCTCCCAAGAGAGGAAACGGATCATCTCCTGCTTACTTTCATTTCCCAAGATGGATCCTACGTAGGAACAAAGATGAACCGGCTTACTTGCCGCCCTCTTCTTCATTGTGCGTCGCAATATTCATCAAATCAAGAAATCACGTCGCCAGGGTGCCCTGGAACAATTGCTCGCGTGTGTACCTCAACGTTTGTATAAATATCTGCCCAAAGACTCATCCCTTCGGGAGGGCCTTTTCTCCATCTTTCCTTTGCACTTGATGTAATTCACTTATTGAAATCATCCATTCGTTAAACTGGTCTTGTCCGTCCTCTCGTTAAAAAGCCACCATCCAAAAAGCTACCCACAAAAATGCAGCTCCTCTCAACCCTCCTCTTCGCCGGCGCCGCCTCTGCCACTGTCCCCCTCCTCGCTGGACAGCGACAAGCTCTCTTCGCCTTGAGGAGCATCGTCGAGCGCCAGGGCGACATCTGCGTCCCGGTCCCCGCTCCGGCCACCTGCGAGAAGTCCTGCGGTCCGGGCAACATTCCCTGCATCGGCTTCCCGAACTGCTACAACCCCAGCAAGGGGGAGACTTGCTGCTCTAATGGAAGTAAGTATCCTCGTCGTGAAATCTATCCAACTTTTAGACAGTAGAGATGACTGACTTTACCTCCTACAGAGTACTGTCCTGCTGGCACCCGCTGCACCAACGCTGGCTGCTGTCCCAACGAGTTGTCCCTCGAGGATTGCGGTGCCACCGCCACCCTGAGCGTCATCCCCCCTCCGGCTACTGACACTCCCGAGCCGCCTACGAGCGCCCCCGAGTCCTCGACTCCTGCTGAGCCTACCGACTCTGCCACCGAGGCTCCTACCGATGTTCCCACCGATACCCCCGAGGAGCCTACCTCGACCGTCACTGACTGTCCTGAGGAGCCCACTTCGGTCCCTACCGTTCCTTCTACTTCCCGATCCGGCAACGGCACTATCCCTACTAGCCCTCCCCCTATCCCGACCGCTGGTGCTGGACAAAATGCGCAGTTGGGCGTTATGGCCATCGTTGGTGGTATCGGTGCATTCTTGGTCGGTTTGTAATCGGCCATGTATAAAATCTCCTGATGGCTTTATGTTCAATCAGGAGATTCTGTCGAGGACTTTACAATAATGTGTTACGGGAGGGGCCACGCTAATATAGCCAAGCTGTGGCAGATGTACGTGTGGGGACATCAATAGGCAGGTTATATTAGTACTATTGATACTGGGCATAAGATGTAATCATTTCGCAATATAGTTTCTAAGAGATGTAGGACCACCGCTGTCAACTTTTCTGTGTATTTTGGATAGTCTCTCAGTTTCTTCAACGTATTACTCCCGGGCCTTTGAATTTACACTGATATCAAGACATTCCAATCGCGCAAAAGAGTCTCAAAATGAAGTCCTCTCGGCAGCCGTCAGCTTTGACATGAAGCTTGCAATTGATAAGACAATACTCAGTTTCCATTCTATGGTGATGAAAAGCCAGAGCTTCCTTCATTCTCCTCCAGGAACTTAGTTTCCGATGACGCTAGTACAGCACCATATTCGACCCTTTAACCGATGATTAGAACTTGGAATTATGCCACAGCATCCTTTTCCCCTTCAGGCGACCATCCAATAGACTTCTAGATCTCTTGTGTGAGCCGATTTGATCCTCCTCGATGCTTGGGTTGAGAGTCATTTACCTCGATGTCGGGAATTCGGTGCAGATAGATGTGTAGCTTGCAGCCATGCGTGCTGCAATACTTGTTATACGAGCTATGCCGTCTCCAGTACATTCCATCACAGCCGATATCAAAAGAACCACAGACCTCCGGGGACTTGAGGTTGCGAACAGCCTGAAATAGCTTAGACGGACTGAAGGCAGGAGCTGGGGCAGACCCTTCGGGCCAATGCAGACCTAGATCTCGCATCTGTTTAACCAATGCCCCGAAGAGTAGAGAGTCGCAGGCAAACGAGCAAATTCCCGGACCCCACAGCAAGATGTCAGCGGCATCGTATAGGGATTGGGTGGTCTTTCTGATAAGTAAATGCCTTCTCTTTTCAATTTCCTCTGTATCATAGATTGGTAAGTATACGATGTAGATGGTGTAGGTCCGCCTGTCAATGCCACGTACCCACTATGTCGTGACGAATCGGAAGCCCGAGAGTGTCGATCTCACCCTGGCTATTTAGAACTGCCGTGCGGGTCGTCGACGTGAGGATAGTTTCCGTGCCCTCACGGAAGACAGAGGAGATAAAGATCCAAAAGACAAGGTCGCGACAGTAGGTACTCGGAAGAGAACCGCTAAGCTCGGTTATCCACATCTTGGAAAACACTTCCATGGCCTCGAAGCAGGAGAGGTCATCCACAACGACAGAAATCTTAGCTAGCATCTCAAGATTCACGCTGCGAGGTACTGTTCGATTGCGTCCGTGGATGATATTCATCACGGTGGTGAAGGCCTCATGATCGAAGATCTGGCCAAGCTCCCAACGGTTGAGTCCATTTGCATCGCAACTGTTCGCCTCTGCCCATGGACCGGAAAACATTGCTTTCAGGCGAGGAGAGGCCAGCATTAAGTGCCTTGATGAAAGCCGGAGTATGAACTCCTCAGTTGGTTGGGGAGTAGCCTCGATGCACTCTCCATCGCTTGCTACACCATATCAATAGAATGTTTCAAGGAGAAGGAGACATCTCACCTACAGCCCGATGTTACTCCTTCATTGCCTGCGGCGTCATCATCCCCCGGAGATGGTGTGATGTCATCAGCCTTGCTTTCAGTCGTTGGTAAAACTTTATCCGAACCCCAAGGAGCAAACGGCTGTGGTGGTTCGAGGAGAATTGCCAAGACATCACCATCGGGATCAACATTCACGGATGAGGCGTACATGTCTATGACACGGCGTCGAGGCGGCTGAGAAATTGGAAGTGGTGGAAGCGAGTCTATCAAGCAATCTGAAAAGGGTTGAAAGTGAAGTGGCCCAAATCGCAGTTTTGCAGCCCAACCCCACCTTTCTATCCTCGTGGGTTGGCCTGCTGCAGAATTCAGAGCCTACCCGGTGTCGGATTTTGTGTAACCTGTGCGTTTGCAAACGACCAAAACCCAGTTTCTTGTTCTTTTCCTCGTAGCATATAAAGACAGCACGTCTCAACTTTCAAGCTATGGAGTGTGAAGCCACAGAGAGCAGGATGGTGGAGACGATAACCAGCCGCAAAATTTCAAAAATAGCTAAGGGGAGCGGGACGAATATTGGGTTATCCGCTACAGTTCTAACACAACTCTGGAACTTCCCAGGAACCCTCGAAAAAATCAAGGCCGTGGAAGAAGTCCTTGAGGGTACAGGGATGATGTTTTAGCGCTACGTCACGGGAGCCTGAGTGACGCGCGAAGGACGATCTGTTTACCCGCCTCCCCTTCATCTTTTTCCAGGTCTCGTAGTCAATAAGACCCCCGGTGGCACTTTCGGATGGGTGGCTCCAGGTGGGCGATGTAAAACCACGAATGGCTCTAATCAACGACCCAACACTCCACTTAGTATCTAGGTGAGTCGGCCGAGTCCGTGGAAGGGATATCTCATCCATTTGCTTCAGTAGCGAGCCGAGGAGCATGGAGCTACACTCAACATGGCAAGGAGCAGATGCGCTAGTGAGAAGATCGACAACGTCGTACAGCGAGCCGAGTGTCTTCTTAATTAGACCTTGTCTGCTCTCCTCGACCACTTCTACTCCGCTCGTTAACATCGAGAAAAGAATAGCTTTAGAACCTGGGAGCTTACCAAGCACGCCTGGATTGAACGGAAGCCCAAGGGAAGGAAGCATTGTCTGGCCTTCTAGAATCGCTGGTCGTACCGCCGGCACGAATAGCTTTGGACCCCCACAGACACAAGCGATGAAGGCGCACAGGACAAGATCCCTGCAGACCTTTTTCGGAACTGCCTTCGCTATCCCGGTCTTCCAAATGTCGCATATCAAGTCCATCGATTCATGGCATTGTAGATAGTTGATGATGACGCATATTTTAGCCATGAGCTCGAGGTCCACTACTCTAGGTAGGCTCCTATTCCGTCCATGGATAGCATTCATGACTATTTCGAAAGCCTCGGGATCAAAACCGTCTCCCAGATCCCAACGCCAAAGCTCATTTTCTTGGTCACAGCTAGGCGCTTCCCATTGTGTCTCGGAGGTCTCTCGTAAATGGGAGGACGCGAGCAATAAATGCTTGGAAGAGAGCTTGAAGTGGAACTCGGCCGGATCCGGAGTGGGGACGTGCGCGCTTTCCGTGTCACTTGACGGGGCTGCGGGAAACCACAGGGATATTAGCTCATTTTCCCTTGGCTTTCAGTCCAGCAGGGAAGTGTTCTTTCACCGTTGTCATCAATGCCCTCCTCATTCTTAACCGTCGTAGTGGTCTTGTGCGTTTCGTTGACTCTTTCGTCATTAATGCCATCGGCCGATATGCCCTGAGCAGCGGGCCAGGGAGCGAATGGATGCGAGGGTTCGACAAGGACGGCCAAAATATCGCCGTCCACGTCAATGTCGATGTGTGATTGGATCATTGTTAACCCTCGCGATAAAGGGCTTGCGACTTTTCAGTATGAAGGCGCAAGATGGAAAGAAGTGGAGGAACAGGACCGGATCAAGTTGGAATATGGAAGAAAGCACGCCAGATTATGTATGACCTTGCAATCATGTAGCGTCCATCGATCATCTGATGACTGACCTTGAGCTTCCCTGAGTAGGAGGCTAGGCCTGCAGCTTATGGTTATTCGTTTCCGACATGGATCTTTATGTTTCTTATGTTTCTCCTTATTCTCGAATAGGATCTCCACGTTCGGCTTGGCTCTCCAGGAAGGTTTTCCTCGTGTCCAGGCGTCCGAAACTTTGTCTTCTCTTGGTGTCATCGAGACAGAGTCTGCAAGATGAAGCAGCGAATAAGGTTTGACTCCATGGCATTGGGTTTTAGACGTTTTTTAGCTACTATTGTACTGGTATGAGTGGTCCGTGATTGAAGAGTAATGATCTCAGTGTGTCATTCCGCTTGCCGTGCGCCAACCCAAACACAAGAGCAAAATGCATACTCTCCAACCCTAACCCTAGCCCACGGCGAAATAGACCTGAGACATTAACATGACCAAAAGTAGAGATAACCAAAAGCCGAGTGGCCAATTAAAGAGCAAAAGCCGCCCATATTAACAGCCCCTCGGGTATTATAATATACTACATCTAGAAAGTGACAACCCCCGTCTATAATGATATGACTCCATCACCTCACGAAAAGCCGCAAGTGCCGAACTCGGGATTGCATCCTGCGCCGCAATGGTCGATACTAAAACCGCAGTAACCATACGCTGAACAACAGGGGTAGCCTTCGACGCCGCAGACATACTTGTTTGGTCCGCCGCAGATGCCATCGGGATGCACGCCTCCGGTGGGTGGTTGGGGTTCGCCGGTGCCGGGTGGGGTAGTGCCGTCGCGGCTGTCTCGGTACCAGTTCGCTTGGGGATCGCCAAGGCATTCGCCGACAGTCACAGCTGGAATCAGGAGTTAGTAGATGAAGAGGGAACAGAAACTTTTTTTTTTTTTTTTTTGGGGGGGGGGGGGGGGGGAAGGTCCAAGCTCAAGACCGAAATAGTAACCAACCTCGAAGACCACGAAGCTTAACCGCCTCAAGCATAGCGGGAACCAGGGTATAAGCCGTAAGGGCATGGACGTCGTGAGCCAGGACAATCGATCCGCCGTTCGTGATGCCTTCGACGAAAAGATCGATGCTCGTGTTGATCTTACATACGTCTTGGAAGGACCAGTCGAGGGTGTCGATGTTGGCGTGGATGACGTGGTAGCCGAGGTCACCGAGGACGCGGAGTGTCTCGCTGTTGTAGCTGAAGAAAGGAGGGCGCATGTACGTGGGGATCTTGCCGATGACTTCGATGAAGGCGTGTTCGAGTTCGATCATTTGGTCGGTGACTTGCTCGGGAGTGAGTAGTGCCAGATCGGGGTGGCTCCATCTGTTGTTACGATTTCACGATAAGCCTTTGTCCATTAAAACATCAAATAACGCCTTCTTGAGCATGTGGCTAAGAGGCCGTCGGCTTGTCGTGGAGGAATGAGAAGACGGCATGGTCTCAACGTACGTGTGAGAACCGACTTGGTGACCCTCGTTAATCATTCGAACGACTGTATCGGGGCGATCGGTCATGTATCCCCAGTTATGCCCATTAAGAAAGAAGGTGGCCTTCGCGTCATATTGGTCGAACAGATCGAGGACATGCTCGGTGTAGTCGAAAGGTCCATCGTCGAATGTCAGCGCGACCGTGTTCGGCACCGTACAACTGTAGATGAGCGAGCCAAAGGGTAGTGTTCGTGACTCGATATTAGCGAATGGCGAAGCAGCGGCACCGGCAAGAAGCCCGGCGAGTAGATAACGAGTGGACATGGCTAAGAAAGGAAAATCTTTAGCCAAAAAAAAGCACGAAATACACAAAAATGAGCGTAGGTGGCGGGATTCAACGAAAGTCGATCATCACTTGATACGGAGAGAAACACTGGTGTGCCTACTAGTTATATGCCTCCTTTCTCTTTCCCTCTTCTCCCTCTTTTCCATGGGCCCCTTTCCCCCCAAGCCTATTCCGGTCATCCATCTTCTGTTGGTTGGCACCAAGGGAGCCTATTACCACCTCGATTCAGAAGAGCCACCAGCGGGACCACCACGACAGCTGGAAATGACACCGTTGGCGTTAATCAGGAACCAGGGGAAAGGGGGGTCCCCTGCACGCCCGTCCATTCGCAAGAGTTACCAGCAGAGGCAGCAACCGTGAACTGGGTCCGAGGAGGTCGAGCCCTGATCTTTGATGAGCCAAGCACGCCGACTAGGCTTGGATTCGATAATGCGCGCAGACAGTGCAGCCACAATGCGGCCTAGCGCGGTTAGGGTTACACATCTGTCCGAGACAGGTTTAAGGCGGGAGCAAAGCCCTGACTGCCAAGATATCGGGGACCGTGTTGATTGGGCGCAGCCATCGTACCAGTGCACCCAGGGGAAATTGCATCTCGCGTTTTTTCTGGCCCAGAGCTTAAGCCCGAGGGGTACGAGAGGTCGCCATATTGTGGATACGGTATGGCTTTGTACCTCTGCACGAGAAGTTTTTCCCTTCAAAGCGCAAGAAAGGGACGAAATGGGAGGAAGAATTCCGACGTCACTCCACAGAACTGCGGTTCCCTCCCCCCTTGTTCACTGGCACATCAGCCGAGACTTTCGTCTCCACTCCTTAGAAATCTAGCGTTCCGCTCGTACGGAAAGGAACGCTCACTCCGTAAAACCCCTACCCCCTCCACGGTTGAGTAAACGTGCTAATGCAGGATTCCTTGTTCCCGGGGAAGGAGAAAAATCTCGAAGTACGCTACACGACACTATGGACTCTCTCGACCACACATGCTGAAACGCCTCATCCAGATTCCGGGCGTGCCGGGCGGCTAGACTAAAGCGTCAGCTTGGTTCGACAAATATGGCGGCCTGAGAGAGAATTTTGGGGCGCTCAAGACTCCGCAAGAGTAAGGTGGGTTTGGGAGATTTGGGGGACTTGAAAATGGCACCCTGAAGATTACCTCGTACATAGAGTACGCATGCCAAGATACAGAGAGATGGTCCCACTGGTGGTGAGCCCACAACCTAACATTGGTTAGGCTTTTTTTCAGGGCCATGTTGCACCAGGCATGCACGTTATCTCAAAGGGAAGAGAATCCGAGATTAGCTTCTCATTTCTTCTCCCCCATGTCTTGCTATTCGCAATTCCTGTGTTACGCGAGCTCCAGACCCTCGTCTGTAATGGGTCATTGGAGGCCATCACATCACTTGACCCACATCGAGGCATCCTTGAGGAGGTTGGCGTCTTCTTTTCCTCCACTGGAAACTGCTTTCTGTTCTTCTGTTTCTCCTCCACATGTGGCACAGGAGCAAAGGACCTAGCACCACACCGCCTCCCTCCCCCCAAATCCCTCCCCACCCCCTAAATTAGTATCGAGCTGTGTGCCCCACTCCCAATGACCAGTCAGGCCATGCAGACAAGTCCCTCTTCACGAGTGCAGGGCACGACACTGGTCTTTCAACGTTTTCAGTTGAGTCTCGTCGATGCGAAGCCGGAAACGATTACCGAGGTTGAGCGTGCTTGTGCTACCTAGCACAATTATTAATTGCCCTGCAAAGCCTAGAAATGCACGAATGTTGGCGAACGCGACCATGAAAATGTGGAGTAAGGGCAGATTACTCGAGTCGGACTCTCGGTTCACCCGATGCCGAGTACCATCACACTGACTCGTGGCGATTACTTCATACATCCCCATATCGGATATCGCCTGTATTAGCAATAAATAAACACCAGAACAACGGAGTAGATAATCTGGGGGGTATCCAGACCATGGGCCTTTCTCGTACCGCTCTGGGCCGGCAGCACTGCTCGCGACGAAAGGCCGAAGTGCGGCGAATGGTCAAGGAAGATGGGGCAAATTGTTCCTGGACACAATGACCTTGGCTTTGACTTCAGTGCTGATTCCCTCCAAATGCCCGCTGGAGGTGTGTATGTCCGTCCCTACATACACCTGATGCCAGGGGAAATCCAGGTTGCTTCGACTCGAGAATGAACCAGAGTGGAGACACTCTATTACACAGGCACTCCATAAGAATCCCTAGACTTCGACTTCCCGAACCTTATTGAGTTGGGTGAGACATGCATCTACAACTGGGCAGCGTGAATGGGAGCAAAATCCAATCGATGCTGCAAGTCTTGGCCGTCACGCATGAACCTGGGCCCGCTGTAACCTTAATTTCCCATTCCCATCCCCGCCGCCAATACCCTCAATTGTCCCATGCTTGACAGTCGCGGAAGAATGCCGCCTTTGGGCCTCCACTGATCGGCAAGGAAAAGATAACTTGGGGGACGAGTTCGGTTCTACCTGGACTCCTTGAACGCTCTCCGCTGTGGGTCTGGGTGGACACGCCAGACCGCACTCTGCCAAACCCAGGGCAACAATTCCCAATCCTAGTCATAGGATGGTTCCACTCGGGTACAGCGGAGAGTCCGAGGGCTGGGTGAAACAAGTGTAACACTGGGCCAAAAAGGCGTCCTGTGTTGGTGACGCCTACTGCAAGTCTCACAACGAGGGGACACCCGGAGAGGGGACGTCTCACGGAGAGGTTAAACGCGATACATATCTTTACGACTTCGACTCTTCGATGACTGCAAAACCATCCCATCGGCAAAGTCTGATGTCGTGGAAATTGCCTTCGACACCAATATCCTCCTCCGCTACCGCCAGATCAATCACCACCGAGATCTCCATACAAGTTTTCTAAGCCGGCGGCAACTTCCTCTCATTCTTCCGGGGATTTCCCTACAAAATGTAAGATGCGCGATGGGGTTACTCCGCCAGGTGGCGTCTGTTGGACCAGGCCCGCGGCCTCCTCATGATGGCTCCATTCGATCGTCTTGTGCTTTGGAGGGGATGTGAAGCTATCAATCCTCAGGTTGTTGCTTTGGTCACTACTTGCATACTTGGCCAAATTTGATGAATGCAGAATCGGATTGACTATCACGGCATCGGTTGGTTACATTGGTGTTCCAAATGATACTGCCCTAGTCTCGGCCTCAACCTCATCACGACTTCCACGTTGCCTGAAGATGCAGGTAGTCCGATTTTAACATGTAAACACGCCCAACTCGGTTGAATCACATAGTATCTATGACTGGCTTGATAGAACCAGGGAGAAGGAGTCTTCTCTCTCTTGTCCACCTTGGTGAGCGATTCCTCCTTCACAATTCCGAGTGTCCTCCGCCTGCTCAACTTCGAAGCAGCCAAATACCGTCGGCTATGAGCCCGCCCATCAAACGCAGTCACCAACGACATGACATCTTCAATGAAGACTGACAATGACAAAAAACCGACACCTCCGCAACCCACAACCACAAAACCACGCCCCCTCTTTGCGTACGGCACACTATGCGCCAAACCACTCCTCACCTGGGCATTGACGGGCGACGCTTCCAACACCTCTTCCGTTTCGAGAATCGCTCGCCCTACCCGCGTTGATGGATATGCCCAGTTCGCCATTCATCACCGAGACTACCCCGCGGCCGTCAAACACGACAACGCGTCGATACAAGGATATCTCGTCGATCTCGAAACCTCTTTGCAACGCAAAAAGTTGGATCACTTCGAAGGCGAATCCTATAAACCTACCCCTGTCTCCGTGACTATCTTCCGCGATGGGGAGCCAGATGAGGTCGTCGAGGCAGACATGTATTTGTGGGATGGGGAGATGGACTGTCTTTCATCAGAACCATGGAATCTCGGGAGATTCGTTCGGGAAAGATTAGACGACTGGATAGACCACTTTGAGGGGATGGAGCTGGTCGGCGAGGACGATGGCTGAACCTCCCAGCAATCCGCTTCCTTGATCACCACTTCTTCGATTCACATGCTCGTAAGCACACTCGGTCGAAACGGCGGGATCACATGCGACAACTGCCGAATCGAAGGACCAAAATTAATGAAAGAGAAAAATATATATAAAAAAAAAAAAAAGAAAAAGAAAAAAAAGGCGAGAAAATGGAGCCAAATAGTACAACAAGGAGGATCTGAAGAAGTGTTACTCACGTGACTATCAGCGGCTTCTTCTCCTCACATCACGGGATCAATTAAGAGGTAAGCATTATCGTAAAGTCATGTGATGTTAAATGCCACGTGACTAAGTTCTGGATTTGGACTGGTGATCTCATTCGGAAGCTCCTTCCTAACTAGCGCTAGTCATCATCTCGTCCTCCTGCCTTAGCGAGACTGGATGCTGCGTCGCGACGTCTTGAACCTGCCCAATCCGATTCTAGGCGATTTGATAGATCATTCCATTGAAGGTCAAAGCAGCCATTGGAGCAATTAAATAAAAGGATCCCCCCGGACACCTCCATTAACGTTTCCATCCCGCCTTCCACTTCATCCCCCTCATTGATCCCATCGTCAGGTGAGATCGCGGGCGCAAACCAATAAAATCATGGCCTCCCGCATCGTCGCGACGGCGATCCTCGTCGCCATCTCCGCCTTCGGATACTTCTCCATCCTCGGCCTCACCGCCCGCAATGGCTGGGGCGATAAGTTCAACGCGTATACGGCGCGAGAGATCGCCGTCCTGCCCGACACCGACATTCCAGCCCGCACCCACTTTACCGGCGTCGCCGGACTGGATTACGTTCTGGCCCAGCTTGTTAAATTCTTTTATCCCTGCGTGACGGGCCAGCTTCCGGCCCTTCCCCTCTTTTCTATCTATTTTGCCGGCCAGGCGATTGCGCTGCACAGTATCCTCATGCTTGAAGGGCTGAGGAAGGGAAATAAAGGCACTATTTTCTTCTAGTAGGTAATCCACGAACCAAAGGGGGAAGAAAGGAAAGGAAAGGAAGGGGAGGGGAAAATCTGGAGAAAATACTCGCGGACGGGGATGTGTGCTAACTTGGCGACTGAACCCAGCCCGGTCATTTGGGGAACGCTCTACCAGTTGATCCCCTTTGGAATCACAATACCCATCTACTGCGCCCTCTACATCTGGCTCTCACCGCTCGCGAAGCAGCCGGCCGGACAAAACAAGGTAGACTTGCTGTCGATGGACTCCATCAAGCTGTACGCTACTCTACCCGCCATCGTCCTCGGCCTTGTAGTCCCCACGATCCTACCGGCGCTCCCCGCCCCTCGCATCATTTCGATCGATCAACAGCAGATTTTCCTCGCCCTCTGGCAAATATTCCCGGCGATGGTGGGCGTCTGGCACCAAGTTTTCACTGTCGTGGTTCGCAAACTCGGCCTCGCAAAACCCGCGTCATCGCCCGCCGCGAGCCTCGGAGACGCAAAGGAAATATATTCCCAAACAATCTACCTGGCGCAAGTTATCCACATCTCCGTGATCGCTTTCGCGTTCGTCCCGGAGGCCGTAAAGACGATTTTCAAGGTCGCCGACGTCAGCTCCATCAACTGGCAGACTGTCTTCGTGCCCATGTCCGTCGTGTCGCCTCGCCAGGTCGGTTCGATGGCTGAGGGCGCACTCACGCTTCTCCAATATGACTTCTACAGCGGATGTGCGGGACTGTTCTTCTTGGTAACGTATTTGTCGGGATCAGCGTATGGGGTCTCGGCGGCTGCGACGACGGTTTTCAAAGTTTTGCTGAAGAGCGTCTTGGTCGGTCCTGGTGCGGCGCTTCTTTGGGAGTTCTGGGATAGGGATAAGGTGGCGCTTGCGGAGGTTGGAGAGGAAAAGAAGACACAGTAAGATTTTGTCTTGTGTAAATGCTGCGCATTCAGAGTGTCAAGGAATTTTGTAAACAGTTTATGTAAGGAATTGTGTAATGCGGCAATCAATTGACGCCACAGCTTTCGTTCCGTTAAGAAAGATTGTGTGAACAAATAGTAAAACTCTGAAGCCGGGGCTCCCTGGCTCGTACATGATCTCTCTCCTCGGTGCGGGACATCTACCATGCATGCGAGATAAGTGTCCTTCAACTGTATCCAAACTGGACGGTGCCGGAGGGTTTCTTCCGGCCTGGTAAGAGAAGGAAATGATGGATGTCCCCGTCTCCTTTTTTTTTGGGGGGGGGGTTCTTTTTTTTTTCCTCTCCCTTGTAGAGACGGAAAGCCGAGAACGGGAACTCGACTCCTGCATCAACTTCACGAAATTCATGATACTTCGGCTGGATCGAGAAAGACCTCGGACTGAACTCTTCCGGACCGAGATACGAACCGAACGTGGTATCATTAAAACGGTCGCCCGGGCTCCTCGGCGTTACTTGAGGCCTTCGACTGGTCTCACACTGTCGTAGATTCGTTGATGACTATGGTGTGCTTACTATGATATGTTTTTTTTGAAGGTCTTGGTTTCAGGGCACAGGCTTCTTTCCATTGCTCAGCACGGTGAGGGGTCTGGACTTATAGAGCACTGCCGGTACCATTTCATGCACGTTGCTTTACCTGCGACTGGTAGGGCCTCGTATTCGAGAGAAATGGAAAGCAAGCGCAGTATCTCGTGGGTGGGGCCGACTCCAGCCTTTCCACTGTCCGTTCGCTCGCTCCGTGAATGAAAGAACCGCTCAACGATTTGGTTTGCCTCTCATAGTATTCATAGCTTCCACTTATCAGGAGGGGAGGCGCGAGAGTGAAACGGAGGAAAGCGCCACGCCGTTTTTCAAAGCCTCGGGCTTCTTTCGGAGAGTTCAATCTCGGACAGCTCTGAAGACCACGTGAACTACTCCGGGGCACTATTGGTTGTGGTACGCTCCGGAAATGTCGTGCGAATTCGAGGTGAATACTTTATATCTAAGTTTATATCATAGCTGCTAAACGTAGACTGATCGAAGAAACTCATTCAGTTATAAAAAATAAGACCTCAACTGAAAATAAATTGATATTTGTAGACAACTGATAGCCCAGAGGTTAAAAAAAGTTCAAACTTCATTCTCATTATCTCTTTTATTATTAGTATTGTTAGCTGTGGTGCTCAAGGCAGTAGCAATCTCTCTCCAAAACAGTTATCTACCTATCTAATAGCTCGGCACTATTCTCTAGCATTCTAGAACATTTTAGGAAATAAATCCGAGGCCGACGGTTTTGGAACAGTTTCCACTAGAAGATTGTTGAAAACCCCATTGAGGAGATCTCGAGGCAGGCACTTAGAGTGCAATGAGGAATGACTGAACTGAAAAGACAAGTTAGCTACTAAACCAGAACAGTCTCACAGGCCGGAGACCAAGGAGGGAGTCATCCGGGGGAGCGTTCTAGTAGAAGAACCTTGCCCTAGGACAGAGGGTTTTGTATTGAAGAAAGAAAGAATCCAGGCCCAGCTTGATAGGAGAAATATTTATTTCTTCCTCAAACTGAAGCCTCAGTTCATAAGCAAACCTAGATATCCCTTACCTTTACCGTATCTATGAAATGTCTATAGGGCATTTAAAAAGTAAAAGATCTCATCCAAGAAAGGTCTTCAGCTGAATTGTGATGGGAGAATAGCATGTCTGCAGTGGAAATAGTAGATTTGGCTCCCTCCCTCTCTGATGAATATAGCGCAGTGGGCCACTTCAACAGAAGCAAGTCTCCTTTGCCACAGGACCCGATCTAGTTATCTTTATTTCTTCTCTATCTAGTACAAAGAAGAAAAGATCAAAAAGCTAATCATCATAAGTTCTATTAGTACTGGTTGTCTGTATTCATTACTAGTTTTTTTGCAGTCATTACTTGATACTAAAAGGAGCCGGAGAGCATCTCTTCTTATTGATGTGTGTCGGCGTCTTACAAAAATACATACATTGTGGTTTCGATCCCCTTCCTATTGGAGACACCTGTCGGGTGTTCTTACCTTGGTTACTATTAATCAACAGGTTCGACGCCCATCAGTTTTTTATAGAGGTATAATGGTATCTTCCTGTAAGCACTGCACTAGACTATTAATTATAACCTAGGATATACAAGCGGGCTACACGGATCCATCTGAGTAACAATGATATTACTACTGTGAAGTCTACAAAATCTACAAAAACTAATAGACGCCAATTTTGTAGATCGATGAGATGCAATGCTAGACACAGCAGAAGTTCTCAAGAGAAGAATACTGAAATATGTACTCTAGCGAGAATGTAAGACATGTTCGTTATAAAAAAGAATGAACAAGATGTAGGGTCTCAATTCCTATGAACAGAACTATCAAAGAATTACAGTTTTATAATAACTGAAACAACGGTCTAAGAAGCAACTTCTAGAAACTGAATGCTCGAATCTTAGATAAATTAATTAGACTAGGGTAATATAAATAATCAAGAAATAAGAAAAGATATCTTTTATAGTATTTATTTAGCTACGAGCCTTCTCAAAGTGTACTAAATACGTTTTAGAAGAGTCTTACGGAGGTGATCTTTACGATATGAGTTACTGTTCTAAAACTTGAAGAGTAGAGGAGAAAGTCCATTAATTTCTCTTCTATCCCGTCGAAATGACGCCCGGAGGAGATTCCTTCTTCGAGCATTAGTGGCTGCTCTGTTCTCTTGTGAGATACGTCGTCATTACGATTACCTACCTCCACCTCTAAGATTCAACTGTGGAAGCTTGGGAATTTCGCCTCAAACCCTCAGTCCGGGAAGTCTCGGCCTTCTTCAATGGGTTAGAAATAGACTTAGTACGCAATTCCGAGATCACCTTGATGGCACCCACTGTCCTCATCTCTGATTCCAGAAATCACTCGGTAGGTTATCTTTGCTCGAGTCAGAGAGTACAGGCAGACCCGCTACCTCTAGAATTGCAAAAGGTGACAACCAGTAGTTGACCAAAAGATCCACCGTTTTCGGCGCCGTACAGTTGGAACTGCCCCTTAAATCTACTTGAAATCCTTCTCGATTGCTGTGGGCTGGGCTAATCCTGAGTGTTCTATTGTATACTTATATACCTAGCTGTTTAATCTCGTATCAAGTCCTCGCTTATGCTATTGCAAGAACAACTAATACTGCTATAATAAACTACAGATCCCATGAAGAAGGATATCCGAGGTAGAGTTCGGTCCCCGAGAATTTGAAAAACGTTGCTTCAAGCCTTGAAGCTAGGAGACTTCTTTTCTCGTTTCTTTTTTTATTCTTTGCTCTCTCATGTCCAGCAGTTCATCGACAGCTTCCAATCGTCTGCCGTTTACTTGCTTTAGTTCCCACAATACGGTTCTTTCCTCATCAGTTCCAATACCTGGGAATCGACATCCAGCGCCTCGGCCATATCCTAGCAGCGAAGTACGTGTCCTATGATGTACAATTCCGCCCTGAAACCCCTTTTCCGTCCCCGTTCTACTTGGTAACTCCCATTGTGCGTTCCCCGCAATGTTTTCCACTGATCAACGGAACTAATGTCCGCCCGCTTTTGCTCAAGCTTGCGCCTGCTTCCCGCAGAATCTGAGATCTGACCATTGACTGCCAACCTTCTGTTTCTTTTCCTTATCTGTGATGTTGCAGAGTCAGGGCTTATGGCCAAGACACTAAAGACGCCCACCAGCTAGTCGCTCACCGGTTCAAGTTCAAAGTCTATTAGATTAAGCTGGATCACAGTATTCAGGTTCTAATCTCAGTTCTTTTCGTAGTTTCAGTTCCCGCAATGCAGTTCTTTTATCGAATTTCCAATTCCCGGGAATCGTGATCCCCCAACCTCAATGTTGTCTGCTCCGTTCAGTGAAATACGCCCTGTAACCCCTTTTCATCCCACTTCCATCGGCAACTCCCATTGGATGTTCCCAGCATTGTTATCCATTGATCAACGGAATCCGACAGATCGTGATTCAGATCTTGCAGGAGCTCCTGCAGCGGCTTCCGACGGATCACGATCTTATCTCTGATCATTGGCCTCCCAGCTGTTTCTTTTTCTTATGCGTTATGCTGCGGCCATGGCTCACAGTCGAGCCTCTAAAGGCGCCAGACTGCCAGTTGCACACTGGGTATTGGAGGGCTTTGAAAGGAACGCACAGCCCTCGCTTAAGATTAAGTGCGGACCTCCACGAGAGTGCAGGGCAGGGAACCCGCGGCCTTCGTTTGGCTGAACACGAGGATACTCACCGGGCTGCTGAGTACTGATCCGGCTTAGCACTGCAAAGGACAAGGGTTAGAGAGTAAGCATACATACAAACAGACCCGCACAGTTCGAATCATTGTTACCTCCTGAATACTGCCATTTTCACAGTAGCCGTGTGAAGACGTAAGGTACCAAGGCAGGTTAGGAGCGAGTACCGGGTGAGAGATTTGACATAGTAAAGTCACTTTGATATGAAAGACACATAGAGCCGGGGTACTTGCGGGCTACCTAAAGGGCTACGTCGGATCTAACATGATCGAAGTGTCCTTGAAGTAGTAATGCGAGGGTAAAGTACTACAACGTTACAACCTCGGCATTCTCGGTGGCAAAATACAGTGAAGTACAAACTTCGCTTGTGGGAAAGTGTCTGATAGGTTTTACCATTTGCAGACGAAGGCACCGAGGTTTGCTCCATAACACCGGCTGATGATATGCTGTCGGCTGCAAACCCCATCCAGCTCATCCAACTCGTAGGCTTCATTGGTCGAGAGTCAAGAGACTGTCTCTCTTGGTTCATATATTAGAGCAAGATTCTTTGGATAAACATTACTTTATTTCTGATGTCCCTCCAACACCGGCACTCTGAAGGGAGACACGAAAATTCGCAAAAGCCTGGCCAAAGGCAGGCCTCAATCACCCCCAACCCCCCTCCAACGCCCCTCCAACGCCCCCTAATGGTTGGCTTCAGAAGAGGAACGCGATACTGTCTGGTTGCGGACCAGGCTCTGCGCCGTGTCATGTTCACGAGTATCCCCGAGTAACAAATTTTCAATAGACATTATGAGAGTAACCTGAGTGGTTGAGAATGGTTGGGATTCCGTCTTTTCCCTCGCCCCTTGATGCCTTTATTGCTATTTTTGTAGGTTGTGGCAAAGTACTCCCACAGCTCCTTATCCTCTTCTGGGACGGCACTTGTATCCGTGATGCTGGCGAACATTTGGACCAATGCCTTTAATGTTTCGGGGTGATATTTGTTCTGATGTGCCTGTACCAGAAAAAAAACAATCGCGTCAGTGTCAAGGATGTCACACCTTACCATCCTGTAGGCCCGGGTTCCAGTATTACCTTGAGATTTCCACGCTGCGTGAATTGCTTGTAGCAATTGTCCAGCTTGCACACGAACGGCTTGGTCTTCTGGTGAACGACTTGGTGAGCTTGGAGGTTGCCTCGCTGCGCGAATTTCTTGCCACACACGGAACACTCGTATGGCCGCTCCCCGGTATGTCGCCGCTCGTGGGTCTAGAGTAGATACGGGTTAAATTAAGCATAAATGATGCATTCCCAGCTGCTAAAGGGGGAATTTGGAAAAAGTCCATGCATCCTTACCCTTAAATTTCCAAGTTGTGAGAACCGCTGGCCGCACCCTGGTGCTTTGCATGACTGGAAGAGGCAGTTAGCTACATCAGAAACGCTTTTGACAATTGCAACCAGCCCTTTTCTTTTTTTCTGCTTCATCTTCTTTTGCTTTTTTTTTCCTTTTCTTTTCTTTCCCTTTTGGAACTCCTACATACGTATGGCTTATCGCCCGTGTGCGCTCTGCGATGGATATTGAGGTGTGTCCTGTTCCGAAACCTCTTGCTGCAGCCACGAAAATCGCATTGGTACCTCTTGGGATTCGAAAAGTAGTCGGTTTCGGACCCCGTATACGTGTCGCAGTCGTGAAAATCGGTATTTTGGTGGTACACCGGAGCCTGGAAGCTCCAGAGCTGTTGTTTTTCCTCTCGAGTTATCCTATCTTCGGCGACTCTGATGATGTTGTCGGTCTCTTTCTTGGCTTGAATGCAACACATGAGGATGTCAACATCTGTAGCGAAAACGGCAGCATCTCGTGGATTGACCGGCGCATTGGGAATGATAGTGCGATGCACTTTGGGCAGCTCATTACCGCGGCCGCGCCCTCCAGGCTGCGTGAAGCATCCCAACAGGGGAGGGGAAGGGTGCTCTTGACCGTGCGCAGAGGAAAAGTCCGTGCTGCTGCTTCCCTGTCGCGTTGGGATCCCGCTCCAGTGGTTACCAAGGCCCGGGGCCACTACTGTCGACAACCAGCTGGGGTATTGGCCAGGGCCACCGTGGAAGCGCTGGTGCTGGTCGAACTGCTGCATAGAAGGTGTACCCTGCAAGCTGAAATGTGAAGCATGCGGGGTGTGTGGCTGTGAGAGGTTCAGCCGCTGAGGGGTTTGTGCGGTCGCCCCGTAAGCGGTATCGTCGAGCTCTGGCGTGATTGATGGGCAGTGAGGCACGGAATCGAGGGAGATGACAGATTGAGAGGTGTACTGTAACCTATTCTCATCTGTCGTCGTGTAATCTGCATGGCAATGTCCTTGAAGCCACTGATCGAGACTCTGGACGGTCCACAATCCCCCGATGGCAGCCATTTCGACGTCGACTTGAGCAGTTACGAGGATGAAAGGCTTGAGGATGGTGCAGGCCGGAAGGTATAACGATAAAAAGAGTATTAATGAAAGACTAATAATGCATTGAATAAGAAAAGAAAACACTTTTACCCGTCGCCGAAGAAGTGAGACCCGACTGACTGCCAGGATTCCCGTGCAACAGAATCAAACATTTATATATTACACGATTCTGGAGGGAGTCTTCGCCCACACCGGTTACCTTCCGTGATGCTCCATCTAAGTTGCGATGCTGAAGAGGGTTACAAGTGGGGGACCGCTGGTCCTTGTGGTTCCGAGGAGGAAAACGGGAGAAAAGAGGCGAAAGAAGCAAGTTGACGCTGCAACCTGACGACAGATTTTGACAGGGATGAGCGAGGATCGATGAGGGGGCCAGACTCTAGTAGGCCCAGCCCGGAGAAACCATGATCCTGATGGTTCTAAACAGGGAGGAGTCTAAGTCTGTCTTGGGAGTGGCGACCACACCCTGCATATACTGTTCGGGTAAGACTTGGAAGCAAGGATTAGAAGAGTTACACGGGATTGGCGTCACCCCCCCTCAATTCCCATCTGCGAACTAGAAGAGCCGAACGGTCTGACATCCATCTGATAAATCCCGGATCCTACGCACGCCGGCCCCTCCGGCCCTTTTGGCGATCCGCACCAATTCGGATATGTCACTCAACCATCGGTTATGTGTCGAAAGCGATCCACGTACGTTTGCAAATTAGGGCGTGGACGGTTAAGGAATCATCCCATGCCCTAGTCTAGAACCTCATTTGGAACCCCATTGGTTCAATTTGTCGCGCTCCACACATGCCCACCCCATGTCTATAAAATGTGCAAAGAGCCGCGACACCTCCCTCTAGACTCGGCGGATTCCCAATGCCTAACGACGAGTCAGGGGGCAGGCAATTGTCATTAGTCTCAGATATGCAGGCCTCAGTGCCACCTGCTGAGCACCTCATAGTGTCATGCACTGTAACATCAGTTTTGACGGCCAGAGGGGTGTGAGGGAAGGCAGGGAAGCACGATGGAGCCGTCTCCCCGATGCAGGAGCTAGGGGGAAGAGGCTGCGATATGCCGCTTCTAGCGGCCGTCGAGGACGCACTTGACATACATAAGTACTCTCGTATTCCAGGTAACATCACCCAGATAACAGATAACGATGGCCGAGACCGAATTAAAAGCAAGTAACCGTATGCAGGAAGTTTTTGCTCGTGTGGCCCGTAAGCACCCACACAAGCACGGCATTTCAAGACAGACCCACATCAGCGTCCAAGGCATGAGGGAAAAAAAAAGAATAAAAAAATAGCAGGGACTAGGTGAGTGAGCGCTACCACCTTATGCCTTGGCACATTGACAGTTTGCCACTGAAGTACGTGGATATGTGGATATAGTGCTCGCAGAGTTGTAATCGAAGTCATGTAACGAGGATGGCGAGGTCCAATATTGAGAAGCAGTACGGACAATGGGCATAATTCTTGCGTGGAGTGGGCATTAGCTTAGATACTATGACGACTTATCAGGTGTGTTTTGGATGGACCGGAAGGAGGACTAGATTGGGGCCGGTGGCTCCATCTTCTCTTCCCGGTACCTGCCGCTTTACCCCTGTCACCAGGAGGGATTGACTTACCTGACTGAAGCAGGGAGAGGAAGAAAATGTGGAGAGAAACTCCAACCGTCCAAGACGGACGGCATGCGCCTTATTACGGTCCAATAAAAGGCCCGAGCCTGGAGAATTCAAAACGGAATGCGGCGGCGACAACTGTCGGCGGTTTCGCTTGTCCCGAGGAAGTACATATTGCGGCACATCAATTGTGGAGTTCGAATGTAGCTGTATGGCTAGTATCTGTGGTTGGGTTCCAACGACGTGCCATGATTGTGATCTCCCTTTCGTTGGTGGGAAACGAGCCTGGAGATAGGCCCGTGAACATCTCAACAAACACCACGCGTGGAGCTGTTGAAGAGTTTATTTTCCGATACAAGAAACAATTCATGGCCAGTAAGTTACGTATCCACCATTACAATGTGCTCTGTGCTCTATGTTTCGCTTCAGGAGCATCGATCCCGGGTTTATTTCGCGGCTCTTGGGTTGAGTATTTGGAAGTGGCCTCCATTGTCTGAAGACTGAAACATCGTGCAAACATAAGAGTCAAAGTTTTCAGTTCTCGTCTGTTAACATAATTCTATAACCTTAATGTCCGTCAATTAGCAGACTTGCCACTGTCGGCCGGCGTTTGGCCAGGCATGATCTTTTTAAACTCTATATTAATCCAGGGAGTGTTTAAGAGCCGATCACGTCGTTTTACCGCTTTAAGCGCGTAATCCAATGAAATGGCAGGAATCTTGTGAAGCAGCGCCTAAAGATTCTTATTGCCGCCCAATATGGGGTACCGTGGTACGGTAGTAAAGTAGCGAGAACAGTGCAGCCCATGCACGAGTGTGATTAGGGTTAGATTGCGGCCAGCTACCTCCCAGCACCATGGACACGGTTCGCCAAATATTCCGGTTGGCGAGTTGTGATTGAAGTCGCCAGGATTGGCATCCCCCCTTAGCCTTGTTCATCCGAGTTGCGTTCAGGGGTTCCCTGCGGACCATACCGCAAAACCGGTCCCCCCGCATCGATAGGGAGGGATTTGGAAATGCCGCTGCCTCTCTCAAAGAGGGCGATGAGGCGTAGACCGCGCAGGATTGTTGTTGATTGCATGCCATGGAGCAGTTCGGGGAGAGAGGTAGGCAATCAAGTAATCGTGAGAAGGAGGGTGCGGGAATACGACGCTGCGATAACGCAATCTCACATCTCAGCCTAAATAACTACTGGAGTCTCCCGCAGGAGCCAAATAAGGGTCTCCAGTTCTCATAGATCCCTGCCTCCCCATTGGTAGCAGCGTGATGGTAATACGGGGTGAGGGGGAGCACGAACCCTGGCTCGAGCAGCTGATGTCTCACTTCTCGAACGCGTATTGGTAGGTTTTCAAGCCCCGCCCACTGCACAAGTTTTTGTGCAGAGAATATCTGGATCTTTTGGCCCTGGATATTTTGGAACGAAAAGGATGGGGTTGTAACGATGTGAAACAAACGTCGGCCGTTCAGGTGGAGATCTCAAGACGCCACAGCCACGCGGGGCTGTAGTTCACTGTTGTCTTACTTAGTAGGAGCACCCGCACCAGTAAGCAGCCAGAAGATTGTTTTACAGATTCGGAATATTCAATGAACGCTGCATGACATTGTTCTGATCCGGACAAGAGCATAAGCGTCTCCGTTGGACGTACTGAAGTGGACCAGACAGTTTCCATCTAATCTCTATGCACCGCACTCATCTCCACGTGGTGACTGCAAGGGCCGATGGTGGTTAGAATGCACACGAACGTAGCTGCCGATAGCATGGAGGCGCAACACGATACAGGAAGAGACAGGTGTTCTCAAATGGCACATACTTGATATAAAACTGCCCTGATTCCCTTGGTAAGGGACAACAGTCAACACCAAGGAGAGATCTATCGACGAATAACCGCTGTTACTTTCAAGAGTTATGGGGCAAAGAGGCTAGAATGCTAATAGCAGCCTCCTCTTCGAGCATTTGCGCCTGAAGATGTCGGCAACAGAACCCTTCGCCGACTTCCCATTGTGCATTGTGGATAGATCTCGGCGAAATACTATGATCCGACAACATTTGGGCATTCGAAACATCGGAACATCAGAGACCCGAATGTCGAAAAAAAAAAAAATAAATAAAAAATAAAATACAAACTGTGTCCCATTCGGGACTAGCAAGGTGGTATGAATGTCTCACTTGCCGCCGCTCACGTTACCTCCGTCGACTGCGGCCATCCTACTATGGCTCCGTTTTATGATGACGACGCGGCGACTAAAAAAGGAACAAAAATTATTACTAGGTGTTGTGGCGACCTGCCGAGCCGGGGCGAAGGGGGAGGGTTGAAGGGGGGATACGACTCTCTCACATCACTTGGACACCAATCGGAAAGCGGGGGGCCTTCGAGTCAGGACAGGTACGAAGAAAGAGAAGATCAGATCATGGGAAAACTCTTGTAGGAGTTCGCCTTTGATCTACAGGCCCGATGATACGCTAGGACGGCGACTGGCCCGGAGTTTCCCACCCACGATGTCTCTGCTTGGGTCTTGAGGGGGCGGAAGAGAGACATGAAAAATTGCCAGGTTTAAAATACGACCTGTCGGTCGGCTGTTTCGTTAATCCGGTTGTATCCGTATGGCGCGCACCCACATGGGATCGGCGTCTGTGTATTGGATCCGCATGCCATGAGGCGAGCCCAGTCAAAAGAAGTTTTTACTAGAAGCGGCCTATGGTATTTCAGGTATTTCAGGTATTTCATAGGATGTCCAAGAGGAGGATGTTGCACCATTCCTGTCCCCGGCCAAATCATCGCCAACAGCTAGCATTACAAGGATAGCCCTGGACGGAGCTGCACGTCGGAAAGGAAGGCCGGGATGTAAGCAGTCCATGAGGACACGGCACGCCATGATCTGAGGGTCCGTTCTCCCGAACCCACTCACCCCTCTTTTGATCCGCGTCCCGTCCACAATACAACGCTGAGGCTGTAGATATTGGGGTTAGCGTCCTATGGAAAAAAAAAAAAAAAAAGGTCAAATGGGGAATGATTTCGGGTGGAACTTCCATGCAGAGTGTCAAACCAATGACAAATTTGACATCAGGAACGAAATATCAGGAACGAAAAGATTCCAAGATAACTGCTTGCATAGAACTAGTGCGATAGAACAAGCAAGTTGGATCCTACCAGACAGGGGATACCACTTCGAACCCTGGTTGCGTTTTGTTCGTTTCCACCACACACACACGCACATCTCGGCTAGGAGGGTGAGATTGTGTAATAACAATACGAGGTAATAGAACAGGTCTGACACCGACAGGCAAGGGACAGACAATGATCCAGGTTCCGGGATGACATGTCGTATGCACTCTGCGTCGTCATGGTCGCTGTGCATTGAAATATTGGGACGTTCTCTTCTTTTACTGCGTCGGATTAATTCGCCGGCTACTATCAGAAGTCTCCGAACTGGAGAGAAAGAAAAAGAAAAAAAAGGACAACCCGTCCCTCTTCCATGTGGCTCGGGTGATTTACGCGGTAGCCAGGGTCGATATCCACTCACCAGTTGGTCTCCATTTCCTGCGATGACGGAGGGGAGTGGTGATCCGGATGATGCGGATGCTTTAGTCCAGACTGCGAGGTCTAGATTTTTCCAGGTCGCCGGGCATTATATGATGTGCACTACGGCAGGGGTTGAAAGCCCCATACTGAAAGCCACGCATGCTTGGTTTGTCTTCTTCGTCCGTTGGACCTGGACAGGCCTAGTGTAGTCCACACTGATAGACTCCCTCCCTCCTAGGGTTAGGGTAGAACTATACCAGGCTGACACTTACTCATTCCGACGGAGCCAGCTGGTCGGGCCGATCCTTTCACTTCCCCTCTTTCACTAGTTTTCCCGCAGTCCTTCACCAAGCACGCCACCCACTTGGTCTCATCTCCATCAAGTCACCAAGCTCACATTTCCGAATCTCGGTCAACTCAAAAGGGAAAAGGAAAAAAAAAAAAAGACAAGTGACAGAATAAATTGACAATGACTAAAAAGCCAAGTCTTACGGGAAGAGTCTCGACCGTCATCTCGACCCTACTAAACGTCACGGAAAGGGATATACTTCCTCTGTTACGGAAGGGTGTCTCTGAAGGCAACGGCCCCTTCGCAGCTGCCATATTCAAGAAATCCGACCTCTCGACCGTGGTTGTGTCTTGTAACAAATGGCGAGAGTCACCGCTCCTACACGGCGAGACTAATTGTATCCGGGAGTTCTTCGTGCTGCCGGAGCCGAGCCGGCCAGCAGTGGCGGATACACTCTTCTTTGCCACGCATGAGCCGTGTCCGCTGTGTCTGAGCGCCGTTTCCTGGACGCGTTTTGGTACAGTCTATTTCCTATTTACGCATGAGGAAACGAGGGATTTACTTGGCGTTGGCGGTGATATAGAGATCCTCGAGGAGGTGTTTCGTGTGCGCGCTCCTTGCGATACAGACGAGACGCTTGCCTCTCGAGCGCGGTATAATAAGGCGAACAAATTCTTTACTGCAAAATCCGTTGCGGAGTTGATGGAGGAGGTAGAAGACCTGGACGAAAAGGAGGCATTGAGGTCAGAGGCTGAGAGGGTAAAGAAGTTATTTCACGAGTTCCGAGATGCCTCTCGCTCTTACTCAGAAATTTAAAGACGCAGCGGCGCCCATTCAAGGTACAATACCTGACTACCCTTGATATCTGCGCCAGATTGGGACATGCTGTTTCCGTAGACAGTGGTTCTTAACCTGCCGGTTCATCTTCTTAATTGACCCTCACCTCCCGAGTAAGAGGGGACAATGACCGAGATACATCTTTTCCTGTAACACGAGCCATGCCAGGACCCGTCGTCTGGGCTAAGGGCCTACTACTATAAGCTGGTTCCCGCCCTTCCCATTTCGTCCATTCCTCCTCTCCCAGGCATTGCCCATTTCTTCATCCACTCAGAATCCATGACCCCTTGAATCGTGGCCCTTTCCGAAGGACAGTATACCAGCATCGTCTTGATCATGGCGAGAAACGCTTCCTTCTCCCCCTTTTCCAGAGTTTCCATCTTCATCCGCCTTCGGGGCTCGCCGATGCACCACTCGTATCGCTCTTCTAGGGCCGCCATTATCCCACTTGCACTGAGGCGGCGATTCTCCTGGATGTTCGTCAGCCCTTCCTCGTCGAAACACTGATCTCTCGTGTCCCAGGCGGACCACCATCTATCAGGTAGCTTGCCCAGAACTTCGACTTGGTCCAGGAGTATCTCGTGCCGAGAGGCGTCCCAGGGGTCGAAGATTGACCGGTCGCCTAGAATCTCCCACATCGTGCATGCTAGTGTCCAGATATCCTCTGGAAAGGACATTGATAAATCGGTTCTGTCATCGGGGAAGAAAGATTCGGGAGGGGTTAAGGCAGGGAGAGTTTGGGAGTGTCGTCGGCTCGTGACGGATGGCTCGAAGGCCGAACCAAAGTCAGAGATCACGACTGGTAGGTGAGCTGGCAAAATCTTGTCAGAAGAGGTTCCGGTCCTTGCAGGGCCAACAACCGTCTGAGGCACGCCGGGTGGTAGAGGTGCGCCGTCCAATCGAACCACTGGGAGTTGAATAGGTTGGCCGGTTATGGTATACAACTGGGGTGGATCTATCTGTTGAAAGTGATCTGGAAGTCGAAGCAAGATGTTTCCACAATGTAAATCTAGGTATCGCAGACCCCAAATTAGTAAATTGCAACTCGAAGCAGTGTCATTTCCACTATAAGAACATTACCCCCATGGACCACTCCTTTGAGATGAAGGTGGTGAACAGCCAGCGCCAGCTCTGCAATGACGGCACGCGCAATGGGTAGATGTAACAACCGGTGGTAAGATAGATCCTTTGCAGCGTGAAGGCTGCAACCTCTGGCCTCCAAAACGAGGCAGGTGTGTGTCCCATTTGGACCCTCAAGTGAAAATGTGTCCAGCAGCTGTCGAACGAACCTTTGGCCAACAAGCCCGCACAAAAAAGCGAGCTCTTGAGATGTAAGAGTCGATTCTGCAGTCATGATTTTGATGGCCACCAGCTGACGAGAATTTCTGTCTTCTGCTAGCCATGTCGTGGATGTTCCGCCATGGCCTAGTTTATGGAGGACCTGATATCGTCCCTGGCAGAGCTCGTCTCTAAGGTTGATTGGGTGGTATCCTCCAGGTCGGTACCGCTCCAAAGGCTCGACTCCTTCAATGTATTCGTACTCAGGCTTGTATTTGAGTTCTTCTTCGGGAGAGTTGGGTCTCGTTTCATTGATAAAAGTAGACAATGTCTTCCCCAAACATTGGCTTTTCGTTATCCGCTTGTTGGCTGGCAATGCTGAGTAACGGATTCCTCGACGCTGGAAGAAAGAGGAAGCATAAACCGGCCGTGCCGCTGCCGATAAACACGGGGAAACGACATTCGAAAGGCGTGTCCCGGCGCAGATTCGATAGCCCATCGTTCATCCCCCGGCGTTTACCACGAACCAGGAACGGGAGAGAGAGGATGGTTGGACTGGAAGCAATCTCTGACACTATTCAATGCTTATTTAGTCACGTGCTTCTCTGCCTGGGTGGGAGCATGGTTCCCTTTTTCTTGTTCAATGGCAGCTCTGGATAGGTACAGCATGATAATTAAGGAAATGCGTCATACGAAAAGCAAGATTATTTGGCATCATTAGGCTCAGTCTGAAGCTAAGAGCATTCGTTTCCGTCCCATATAGATGCTGGCTTCTGATCATAACTTTGTTCATGACATCGAGGTTGATATCCGTCAGCAGCCTCATTCCCCCTCGTTTACCGAGACACCGCGAATTTCATGATGAGAACCACATATATAGCAGTAATTAGATTTTCTTCCCGGATGTGTTCGATCTCTTCATAAGTCCTGACTCGTCGTATATAGCGTCCAATGTCCGCATTTGAGAGATACTATCAGCTGGCTCAATCCAGTGGACGGGATGCAGTCCGGCGACCTTATCGACGAAGGCTTCCAATTGGTATCTGACCATGCGGGTTAGTTATATTTCTCGCATCGTCTGTGGATTTTGTGCTGCGCGCTGCTTCCAGTCTACATACCTGTAGGTGCTCCACCAAGGCTCGGATCTAGGTCCCCAGAGTGGCCCAAAGGAGTAGTGTTTCTGCGTACTCTTCTGGCCGGTGCGCTTATCCGTGATTTGGATATAGTGGTAAACGTGAGGCATTACGAAACTGGGGAAAGTCAATAAAAGTCCTCTGTTTTGACACGGCGACAATGTCGAAACTCACTTGTAGAAATAGATGGTGGCATGCTCAAGCTCGAGCCGAATGGACGGCAACTCCCACACCTTGGGGAGAATGTGCGCAGCATACGCCTGATTCATGTCCGTCTTGATCACACTGCGCACCGGCCCAGTATCCGTCTCGAACACCAAACTCGCCTCCATAGCCTCATCAACGCGCGCATCCTCCTTCATCGGACGCGCCTTGGCATGCTCAACTTTTGCAGGGGCCCCGACGCCGAGGAAGAACCGCGTCGCCGACACGACGTACGTCATGTCCATCAAACTGCCACCGCCGAGGTCCCAGTTCCAGCGAATGTCGGACTTGGGAATTGTACCAGCGGGCGTGGTCATGCGCGCGTACGTCGTCAGCACGCGGCCGTATCGGCCGCTTTGGACGATCGATTTGACGACGTGAGCAGCCGGGTGGAAGCGCCAGTGGAAGGCTTCCATGGCGATGCAGTTGTGCTCTTTCGCGGATTCGAAGACGGAGATGGCCTCGTCGCCGTTTGCGGAAATGGGTTTTTCGATTAGGGCGTGCTTGCCTGCGGCGAACGCCTTCTTGGCCCATTCTGAAGTCTAGTCAGCTAGGGGGTTTCGACAGCACAAGACTACGAAGAGCAGCTGTTTTTGACCTACCACCGTGCATCCCATTGGGAAGAGATATATAGACGGCATCGATATCTGGGTCGGCGAGTAGCTCGTCATAAGATCCGTATGCCTTCTTGATATTATACTTTTTCGCAACCGCCTGCGCCTTCGCGAGATTACGGGAGGCGATAGCTTTGATGACGGCGTCGGGGTGAGTCTCAACGGGGCGGATAATCGCGATGGGATTGATCGCTGCCGTCGAGATAATGCCGAAGCGGACCGCGTTGGGGTTCTTTTCGGCGCCGGCTTTTATGGCCGGCCTCGATTCCAGCCATTCCTGGATGAGCGTGGAGATCTGAAAGTTTTATGTGAGTGAGCGGCACTTGTGGCACAGCTCGCCATCCACAATTCTATGGGATGCTATCAGCGAAGGGTCTCACCTGGAGTGCCATTGCCATCTTGGCCAGCCTATATTTCGTGACGGGAGTTACGATGCAACCTTGGGCGGTCTCTAATCTTCAGGGTGGTCAAGAAACTGTGGAACGAGTCCATTTTGCCAGGAGGGTCCAGCTCCCTAAATCAACTTTGAACGGGGATACATTGGTGGGGAAGACATCACTGTCACATCAGGAATGAAATTGCATACTTCTGGACCACCTTGAGACACGCCTCGGATTATCCGGGCTACACCGACATGAGAGAAACTCTATGATCCTACTTTAGCTGCGTTGCACCTGGTGATGCTTTCGCGGGAAGGAGCGATTGGAGAAGTTTTGGATGTTCCAAGCTACTCTGTACGGGAGCATGACGTCAATATGAAATCATCGGCGACATGGAAAGCAAACGTTCGAAGTAACATCTGAAAGTATCGGAGCGAACAGAATTATGTCATCAGTAACATCTCATCAAGATTCAACCTCAGTCACGTGCTGATCTTTTGAAGGCCTAGACCTCTGAGGAGAGAAGGCAACGGAGGAGCGATCGGCAGATGATTCCATATGGTGGCTGCGGCTCGGGTGAGTCCCGCGCTGGAGGTCTCAACATGTCGGGACTCGGGACCTAGAGGGCTTGGGAACGGGAGTGGACTATGTAGCTCCGTTCGATCTTAGATGCATCAACTTGCCACTTGCCCTCGTGAACCTGCTCCAGGGCAACTCGCCTGAAACATTCCCCCTGCCACTTGGAGCTGCTGCCTAGAGATTACCGCTAGAGGAACAACCTTAGCCCTCGAGGGCCAATCAGTGGCCATTTTCGGCTTTTCTTTCTTTCGAAGTGCTCCCTGGGCGCCTCAGACAGGATGCCGGTGCCGGCAATGATGGATGATCTCAAGTAGCTGCGATCGATGAAAACTGGGCCTAGATCATGCTTGGAGGGTGGATAAGGTGGGCTTGTCTTAGTGCCGATTGTGGAAGTGTATGGAGAATAGCTGCTGATAGTTCCGGGGTGGTTCGCAATGGTAAAAAGTATAACACAAAGTTACTCTGTGGGAAGACTTACGACTGCATACAAAATCCGGCTGGCCCCGAAGTATCTCCATGGACTAGCATTCACAGACGTGTTTAAATACGAAGACGATGTTCTTTGGCACCCCGTGGGTTTACAGCAACTAAGTCCTCACTCTCACGCTCATCCTCACTCTCCGAACCGCCGGTTTGGGTAAATGACAATCCTGCCCCCAATAGGAGCTCGCACATGGCAGTTCGCGCGAGTACGCTGCTGATTGCTTTTTCTCAGGTGGGTGTATGCCAGAGCTGACCAAAAGGACAATGGATTCAGCTGTCACGCTTCACGGTGGAGAACACTCGACGAACGCTGATCGCCTTCGCATCTTACCACAACGGGCAGGCAAATGCGTCAGATAAGGCAGTTTACTTCCAGATCCAGTATCAAAAGCAAGAAAAACAGCAGCCGTAGGCGGGGCAAGCCCGCCACTTGTTACTTCGTAAGGCAATTGTTGTGACTGCCAAGGAAATTCTGGATGCGAAGTGGTATCGACCATTTCTCTCCAACATCCAGTCTGTCAGCAGAGTCAGCATAGACATCAGAATAATCAACAAATACGAGCTCGGGAACAAGGAAGCTCCAGAAGGTTACAGTGCCACAGACATCGAGAGAGGGGAACTATGAAGTGGCAATTTATCTGCAATAATAACTGCGGTGCAACATCTTCAGCCATGGTAAGGATTTAAATTACCGTGACGGAAAGCGGGACGCTAGGAGTGGTATCGAGAAGGGTATAAGACACGGAAACGATACTTGCTTTAAACTCTCGGCAAGTGGGCGCTGTGGCTTTTCGGCACGGGGAACCTCGCCCAATGTGCCGGCGAGAAGATCCCTGTCGACCCGACTGCAGGTCCCGTTCCACTGTCCAAAGACATCGCGAGAACAGGTGCCTTTCTTTGACGGGTGATCAGACGGGTCCAACGGCTCTGGACGCTCCAGTGACATTCACGCCTTAGCAACGGCATGGGACAGGGAGGTAATGAGTTACACTCATGCCTTTCTGAGAATGCGCGCGTCGTTCAACAAGTACCAAGATTCTCACATTTCTGGCGTAAACAGAGCGAACCAGTGGGCCATTCGGGTAATGAGGAGAGCGCATCCGCTCCGCAAACGAGGCAATTTCCAGCAAATCAGGCGTATATTGATGAAATCTGACGGTGCATCTGCTAATTACAATGCGCGTCGAGAAGTTGTCATTCTTCGAATTCTATCGGCCCATTTGCTCGGATGTTTCTGCAAGAAAGAAAAGAAGAAAAAAAGATCTCGAAAAACACGCCACGGCACGAAGTTGCACGAATCAGTCGCGATTCTTGTCCTGCCACGCACACCCCCGTCCCCATGGAGATTACTCGCTTCCGGCTCGATGAAGGGAGCCAATCGATGCTTAACTGGGGCCCCTCGAATCGACGGGAGCGCAGCTCGTTGTCGAGCTGTTCGTGGCACCCTTGTCCCGAACCAAATGCGAGCTGTGATTGCTATTAAAAAGGCCACGCGTGGCTTGCATGGTCTCGATTGAGTGTCTCAAATCGTTTGCTTTTTTGTCCTCCACTGGTGTCAAATGTTGAGGGAACAGAAATTGATCTTGAGTTCTTCCGGACTTTATATTTAAGGCCGATTTTGGAACGGAGTTTTATTTGGCAGTTTCCTATCGAAAATCGGGGGCCTGTTCGACACGATGAAGCTTTTGGCGATAATATTGGGATCGACCATTGTCGCAGCCGCGATGGTGAAGAATAGCTATGACTATGTAGGTGTATCAAGTCCAATTCCCCGTGATGAGGTGGTGGGGAAGCACATTCGGAAAGCCCCCTCTTTCCGCCCAAAACCATCATCCCCTCTCTGGCGCGGGGCCATATAGATCTGGCTAACCTGAGTAACTAGGTCATCGTCGGTGGCGGAACAGCGGGCCTCGCTCTCGCCACCCGCCTAAGTCTCGGACTCCCCTCCGCCGAGATCCTCATCATTGAGGCCGGGTCGTCCGCCCTCGACGACATCCGCATCAACGCCCCCGGCATGCGAGGCTCTGCCCTAGGTTCGGGCTACGACTGGAACTTCACGACTACTCCTCAAGAGAACCTGGGCGGGCGCCAGATCGAGGTCAACCGCGGCCACGTCCTCGGCGGCTCGTCCGCCATCAATTACCTCTGCTATGATCGTTCGGCGGTTGCCGAGTACAACGCATGGGAGGAGCTTGGGAACAAAGGCTGGAATTGGGACGTCATGATTGAGGCCATGGTCAAGTCGGAGAACTTTACTGGCAGTGATGTTGACCTCCATGGCGATTCGGGCCCGATTCGGACTACGTTCAATCGCAAGTTGCCGAGCTGCGTTGAGTCGTGGAAGCCGACGATGAACGCAGTTGGCGTGGAGACGAATGAGCGGTCGCTGAGTGGTAACCCGATTGGCGTGTCGTACCAGCCGACGAACATCGATACCAGGCGATATACGCGATCGTACGTTGCCAACAGCTATCTTCCCTTGGCCGGCGACAACCTGGAGGTTTTGACGAATACTCAAGTCGCCAAGGTCGACTTTGCCAAGAAGAAGTGCAAGGGCCATCTGCAAGCCGTTGGCGTCACCCTCGATGATGGCACGAAAATTAAGGCCAAGAAGGAAGTTATCCTCTCGGCTGGCTCGGTCCAGAGCCCAGGCCTGCTCGAGAATTCTGGCATCGGCCAACCCGAAGTCCTCAAGGCCGCTGGGATCGAAACTCTCGTCGACCTACCAGGCGTCGGAGAGAATTACCAAGACCACATCCGAACTTCCAATACGTACAGGCTCAAGGAAGGGTTCGACAGCTTCGATCCCATGATCTACGATTCCGGGAGCGATTTCGTCGCAGAGCAGGTCGACCTCTGGCTCGCCGGACAGCCGGGCTGGCTCGATTACACCACATCCACCTACGCATTCCTCAATTGGGGTCAAATCCTCAACAAAACAGACGAAGCCGCTCTCATCGCCGCCGCCAAAACGGCCGCCGGCAAGAAGCCCACGACCATCGACAAGAAAAAGATCGAGCTCCTCTCCGACCCCACCGTGCCGCAGATCGAAATCATCCTCGAAGCCAACTACATTGGCGTCAAGCCTTACCCGGGCGGCAGCTTCATCACGCTTTTCTCGTCGGTGATGCATCCCATGGCCCGCGGCAGCGTGCACATCAACCCGGCCGACCCGCACGGCAAGCCGATCATCGACCCGCGCTACTTGTCCAACGAGCACGACGTGCAGGCCATCATCGTGGCGGCTAAGTTCTCGCGCAAGATCGCCAACACGGCGCCCATGGTCGATACGTGGGATAAGGAGTTCGAGCCGGGCGAGGATGTGCAGTCGGAGGAGGAGTGGAGGGCTTTTGCGAGGGATGCTACGCTGAGCTTTTATCACCCTGTTGGAACGTGCGCGATGTTGCCGAGAAAGGACGGTGGGGTGGTGAGTGAGAGATTGGTTGTGCATGGGACGGCGAACCTGAGGGTGGTGGATTGTAGTATTATTCCGACCGTGATGTCGGCGCATATTCAGACGGCCGCGTATGGTATTGCAGAGATTGCGGCGGAGATGATCATCAAGGATGCGAAATAATTTTTCGTACATGAGACATAGAGATAAGTTGGAAGTGATTTTGGATTAACCTTGGTATTTTATTGAAGTCTTTTTTATTGATTTGCATTAGATGAGGAAGCCAAGTCCCTCCTTCAGGGCGGCTGAGGGTAGTGACGACTGACGATGTAAGAGAGACAGGCCAAAGCTAACTGGGTCACGACCTTGGGTCGCAACTCCCGCACAATTGATCTCGCGACAGCGACAATTAGACTCGGCTCGAGTACGCCTTCCTTTTAGGTTCGTTATTATTAATCGATAAACACTTTGCATCGAACCTTCCCGTTAGAAACTCAAAAATACATGTTACCGTGACGATTCAACATGGGAAAACACTAACTATATAAAGACTGTCAAATTCGCCTTTCCCTCTCTTCCATCCTTTCCTCTGACAACACCATCAGGCTCGGTTCCAACATCTGCAATCATGATCGGCTCCAATCATGCCCACCGCCCAGGGTCATCTCGCCGACATCCTCAACCATCGAAGCCGGCATCGGCGTCAAGTAAAGGAACTGCAAGTCCTTCTTCCATCGGCGGCCTCGCTACGAAGATCTTGGAAACAGCCATCCCATACAAAAGTGTTCGGGATCTGTTTCATCGCGCCTACGAAGAACTCGAAGCTGATTGCATTGTTTTCAAACAAGTCAGCTCTCAAGATTATGGCAGGATTGAGAAGTCGAGAGACAGGCGGGAAATGCCCGGATTCCGTCTCTTCTACTTGGCCGATCACAAGCTTCTCATGGTCACAATCCCAACAGGCCAGCACGAGCGGATCCATAGTTATCTAGATGATTCGGTGGTAGACCAGCTCCGGGGCATGAATATCACCCGAGACGAATGGATCGGTTCTGGCAGTCAAACATTCCATTCGAAACGCCCTGGTGCATCTGGTAGTGTGCAGGGAGATTCCACTCGGATGACAGAATCACGGGTAGAACGCAACAGTTGGCCGACGCTGGTAATAGAGGTTGGACACGCCCTGCCATTGAACGGACTACGCCTGAAAATGAGATGGTGGTTCCTTGCGTCTAACCACGAGGCTAAAATTGTGCTCCTTGCGAAGCTCTATCGACACCTGAGGCTGATTCGGGTGGAGAAATGGAGAGAGCGGCCATATCATCGAACCGGAGCGACCATGACACGGGCTGCCGCTGCTCCCAGTGCTGTTTACCCATACCTAGATCAATGGGTTGAGATCCAAATGGCTCCTGGTATTACTGAGACCGATCCAGCTCGGCTGAATCCGGCGTCGCATATGGTGGCTAGTGATGGTCCTCGTCCTCTGCGACTCGAATTCGACGCCCTTCTCGACTGCCAACAGGGTCCAGGGCAAGGGGACATTCTTTTCACCGTTCAAGATATGCAAAGATTGGCGGTCACTGCGTGGGCGTCAGTTAACTGAGGCACAAAGCTTGGTCTTGTTACATTTCATTGCGGAACGGATGAATGGCAAGCGTCGGTTCGGGCGTCAGTTTCGTCTTCGGGGACGCAGGGCTTGACTACGTCCGGATGAGCTATTATCTGGCAGAAAAAGGTGCTTCAAACCCTGCGCCCTGCGACACTTGACCGTAAGCAGTGTGTTGGTGCATAGTGCAGTCGGCATCTCGAGGAGCCACATGGAAAGGCCGCAGCCACGGAAAAGCCAGGGAAGTCACAGACTCAACCTCACTTACACACGGATATGGCCATAAGGGTTCCCGCGACGGTGGAAGAAGGAGGACTTAGGTAGCTAGGCAGTTTTGCTTGCGGTAAGAAGGCGGTGCGCATGCATTCGACTTTCGGTGATCTTTATTTATCTTTTTTCAATATCACACTTATCTTTTCACATTACTTCTGTCCCCTTGGCCTGTGACGCTGTACGATGCAGATTCCCATTGACCATCAAGCCTCCGACGTCCTACGAAGCCATTACGATCATTCCTTCACAATTGAACTATTTCAAAGTTGTGCCACTTCCGACTTGTACCGCCTACAAGGGTTGGGTATACACATCCCAAAACGCTATCCGAACTAGAATTGAAATGGTAAAACGGGAAGTAAAGGCAAGAGTTAAACCTGGCTTATCACCCACTTTACTGCGTCTATCGCATTCTCCAGAAAGACTTGTGACTCCGGCAGTGACGGGAACACCCAAAAGCAATGAGGTAGTCCGGCATAGTGATCCGTCCTAACAGGCACACCAGATGCCTTCAGCGACTCCACCATGACCCGCCCATCATCTCGGAGCGGATCCTTCTCGCACGTCGCGATATACGTGGGCGGGAACGACTTGTGATCGTGCTGGTTCAGCGCCACGAAGTAATCATCGTCGCTGGGCTCGAGGGCGGCATACTCCAGGAACCGATGCATTGTCGCTGCTTCTATGATGGGTACGTTTTCTTTATTTTCAGTGTATGACGTGTAAGTGGCCTTGTAGGATTCGGAGACGTTGTCTGGGTGGAGGGTGTATGGGCAGAAGGACACGACGCCCTTGATGGCGCTCTTGTCGGCGGAGGTTTTACCAAGCACAACTTGTCTCGCGACGGCAAGGGAGAGTCCTGCGCCAGCTGAGATGCCGACGGTGAACATCTTGTTGGCATCGCCCCCGACCTTGTCGGCATTTTGGTAGAACTGAATTTCAAAACATCAAAATTTAGTTCCCGTGAATTCGTCCATCTTGTGGACTTTCGAAACGGGACAGGTCTCCAACTCACATATTCGAACGCACGCACTGCATCCTGAAGATGAGCCGGCGCCTTATGCTCTGGCGACAGCCGATACTGCGAGCAAACAATAATAGCCCCCGTCCTCTCCGCAATGGTGCGGCAGAGAAAGTCGTCCGCCTCGGACACGCCAATGACGAAGCCGCCAGGATGGTAATAGATACCCAAGGGCCTTGGAGCATCGGAGTCGGCGGCCTTGGACGTGTAGATGCGATATTTGACATCCCCGATGACGCCGTCGTTCGATTCGGTGGTTCCGGAGTGCGGTGGATACTGCGGTGCGAGCGCCGAGACTAGACCGCCGAATTGGGCTCGCATCTCCTCGGCGTTGCCTTTGAGCACTGGCCGAGCACCGCCTAGGCTTTCTTCAACCTTTGGAACCGAAACACGTTAGTTTGGGAACCGTCTTTATATCTTTATCGATAGTGGGCAACTTACCTTTAACCAGGACTCGGCGTAGGAACCCATTATGGCTGTAGGTAGACAAGAAGGCGATCGTCGAGAATTTCAGGTTCGTTTTAGGGCCGAAATACGATAGAATAATATGGGACCAAGCTCCGTCGGATGAGGAGGGTTTAGATGGGCTTCGAGTTTGATTGCTCAAAAGAAGAGACACATGTCACCTCAAGATCGTCGAGGGCGATTATATAGACACTTCAGCGTGCTTTCTCGACGATCTCACAAAGCCATCAAATCCGTAGATTACCATCTTACCCCGGATTGACAGGGGCTCATTCACCTCGGTAGATCCATCGGAAGCCAACCGGGATTTGCGGGGACACCTTCGGCTGGTCTGGGGTTTAGCGTCAAGTCGTCTCAGACTAGCATCCGATACCCGATGTTGCGATCCGGCCTTGGTCATCACAGTCCAGTAGAAAAAGATCTTTTACTTAATGATATTGTTGAATGAGAAGACAGTGATATTCAGTAAACACAGTCACCTATCATGCCACGCAATCCTCAAGATGCTACCTCGATCACGAACGGGTCTGAGACTGAGGGTGTTGTACCGGGTAACAATGTACCAGGATAATGAGAACTCGCACATCCGTCATGAGCTCATGATCCTCATTGATAGATACAAATGACTATATAATATCAGTAAATTATCCCCAAATCCTACAATCTGAAGCTCAGTATCCAACGGGCTGCTCCATGAAGAACATAGAGGCCGTGGTCTGGATGCCAATCTTCATCCATCAGCCAAACATACACATCTCGTCGTTAAAACTAGAATCCCAACATGTTCAAATCTTCCGAACAAAGTCCCTCCGCTTGCATCAGGCTCTCCAAATCATGACCGTGCCAAAACATGCGCAAAAGAGAATCATCAACATCAAGCGAGAGGGATCTGTCCCAGTTCGGATCTGAACTGAGTTCTCTCTGTCCTGCCTGCAACGCATCATTAATATCGTAGCTATCCTCGTTGTCTTCATTATTGGCTATGTCTTCTACTATTTCTTCTAGTACTGGTTCTTCCAAGGCTGCTTAGATGGCCGTTAGCGTCTGTCGTCTTTCCTGTTGCGAAAGCTAGATCTATAGACGTACCTCTTGGATGGGTACTCAATTGATAAGCCGTGGTTAAAAGCCCCTGAATGTCCGATTGATTCCCACCGAAAGAACCAAGACGGTTGAACGAATCAAAAACAGAACTTCCAAAAAGGTCCCTCATAATATACAGCCGGCCCTCCATTTGGCGAAAGTCACGCGCCTCGATGTAGGTATTGCACGCATTCTGAAGCCTATCCACTATCAAGAGAAGCTTCTCCGTCGTCGTGTCATGATGGCTGAAACATCGAAGGATTTCCTTCGCCTTCTCCAAACTTCGCCCCACGGGAAAGTAGCGATCCAGGTCGCCGAAGAGTGCCAGGCTCAACGTCAGCGCCGACACAAACACCGAGTTGATGACGAACGGTAACCGCCTCGGTATGTTTCCCTTGGTGAGGAATATTTGGAGAAGTTCAACGGTGCGGATGGCAGAGTCCACGCACGCTTCGGCAAACACGACGCTCGGTTGAGGTGGCGAGGGGTAGAGATCTCCTTCGAGGGCGCTGCTGCTGCTGTTGCTACCCGGTTTCCCCGTTTGAGACGTTGTGGTCTGAGACGTGTGCGAGGATACCAGCTTGACCAGGAACGGTTGCGTGAGCAGCATGATGGTCCAGTAATATGCCTCTTTCAAGTGTATGAGGCCGATATTGGGCATTTTCCCCACGCGCGTTTCGATGTGATCACCGGGTGATATGCTATCCGTCTCAAGACCGTTGACGAAACGCGATGCCCAGCCGCGATGGAGGTCGCTTATACGCTTACAGGACGTAGGACAAATCATACTTTGGCCGTAGATCCACGTCAAGATTTTTTCGAAAATCAGGCAGAGATCATTCGATGCCGAGTAGTTCTCCTGCGAGGTCGTGTCGCGCGTCTCGGAAGTCGACGCCGGCCGACCTAGCGTTATGCTCAGGAAGAGGTCGAGGACGCGGATGGCTTTCCATAAACGTTCCCGGGTCTTGTATTCGCTGGTGGGATAGAGTGAAGAGATCTCGCGGCTGTGGATGCCCAGGGCGTAGGCGGCGCGGACCACAAGCCCCAGATGCATGAAGGCGCTGTTCGTTCGTGTCCTGGATAAAAGGTACATTGTGATGAGTAGATGACACTGGATTGTGGATATGCTCGGGTCCTCGGTCAGAGCTAGCGTCACGCATCGGCCGTAGTTGAAGTACGTCTCCGCGAGCTCGTCCTTGTTATCCGTGCAAGACTGGGCTCCGATGGCCAGGATGAGGTAGTAGGCGGCATTCCTCGTGTCGTGCTCCTCGGGTGGACACTCGAGCCATAGCGCCAAGCCCTCGTCCAACTCTGCGCGTTCGAAGATGTCGAAGATACAATTCGTCGAGAGCCGGTACCACTCCAATAAATATCTCGCACTCTCCGGGCTCGGCTTCGGGGGCGGGTTCATCGCCGTCTGCACGAGACTTAGACCGGCCCTGGAATTCTCGACCAAGTTGTTCGCTTGAGGGGAATCCAAGGCATCCACAAGGGAGCAGGGTCCCAGACCGGCGCGGGCGATGTTGCATATCTTTTGCAATAGTCCCATGTTGTTGGCAGCAGCAACTCCCACGACGATGTGTCGGCCTCGCGCATCCCTGACCGCTTCCGAGGCCGAGGCTGACGATGATGACGTCAACGAAGACCCGGCAACGGAACCGGAGTCGGAGAATGCGTTGATCGGATGGTATACTAATCCCCTCTCATGTAGCAGCCGCGACGAAGACGAGGAAAAGGAGTGGGATCTGATAGTCGTGTTCCGGAACCCATCATCACGAACCCGGACGTTTCGACGGACATCTTCAATTGGGCCTGTGCTGCTGCCTCTGGGAAATGCCGCTGCCGCTGGCCTCGGCACTGTATCTCTCGAGTAAAGTGGGGGCGTAATCTTGCAGTCCCTCTGGACCCCTCTTTCTATGCAACGTCGGCACGGCTGCACGCCGTTACAGCGCTCTTTGCGGCGTTTGCAGTTGCCGCAGGCGCGGGCGCAGCGCTGACGCTCGACGTCTCTGACTCGTTTTGGTGGCATTACACTGTGATTAGGGAAAGAGGTTTATGGATGGAGAGGAAGATGGACCTGGTTGAGGAACGGAAACATGGGAAAGAGGGCGTTAAAGGATGGCCGGGGGTGGCGGTGGGTTTCAACTCGGATGCGGGGAAGATCTAAAGTTCTGGGGAAGAGGGTAGGAAAACCAGGGAGAAGGGTCTGGGGCTCTAAGCTGTCTTGGGACGTCTGGGTTAAGCAGTCGAGGTCTTTCCAAGTTTGTCCACTTGCAGCTTGGGGCTAAGAGCCCTGAAGAGTTAAACTAAACTAAACATGAACTAGTGAAAGCGTCAGCAAATGGGGGCAACTGTGTATGCCTGGCGTATATCATTCCTGCCCACAGGTCCACTACCGACCAGTTGGCAGCCTCTAAAATGTGGGGGCAAATAGGGGCTGCTTCGGTGGATCTGATTCGATTTGAACCCCGAATTGGGTAATCAAATCAAATTCGATCAGCGCTGGATGGCCAATTCGCCACATTACAGCGGGCGTCCATGCGCTGGGGTACCACTGTAGCTAAGCTCCAGTGTCGCTCTATCCCCCTGAACCGGAATCAATTGGTCTGCCCCCCAGGCGTTATCAGCTGTCTCTCCTCAATCTAGTGACGAGCATTGTGATACCGAAGAGAAGAACAATGAGGATACAAATGTAGCCTTCCCTAAACAAGTAACGCTCTCGACTTAAGGCTCGTCGACTCACAAAAAGCTACGAACAACAGGGCGCGTCTCGCTACGACAGTTGTTTTGTTCACCAGGGGACTCTCTCCATACAGATACTCCCTCCGGGATGAGAGGCCTGTCCGGCTATAAACTTGTGAAGCACGGATGAGAGCGGAAGTGATCCTGTCTAAATGTTCCGAAATTTGTGCGTAGACGCAAAGAGATGGATGGGTTGCGTTGCAGTGGCGGGATAATAGCCACAGCAATAATACAAGTATTCGCCAACTCCTCACTTTCCAATGATCCTTCGATGCTAAAACGGATGAACCACCCATCTTGTCAACCAGGTGGATGTTCTCTTCGGACACCGAACCTCGTTTCGGTTGGGAGGAAGACGTGTTCCCCAATACAGTTGAGACCAGTCACCCCCGCCGAATAAGCCTTCGCGAAGACATAACTCGACCGTTATTTCAATACAGAATTTGTGGTTTCTATTCAGCAGCTGGTCTATACTGTCGTGTGAACAGCGGAGATGTTGCTCGATGATCCGCGGAAGAGAAAGGAACTGAATCCGGACCCAGTTGAAGACAGCCTTCAATGGCGGCTACGATCATCACGAAGTGTCAACGATTAAATGACGGTTGCTATTATCGAATGCTCAGATGCCAGAAGTGACCCTCGATTTGGCCAGGCCGGGTGCGACTCGCACTGCACAAGTACCTCCCTTCAAAAGGCCACGCAATGGTCGACCTAGAGGCTTATCTTGCCTTTAGCGTCTCGTTCATTTCCTGAAATCCGGAAAACCCCCTCGACTGATTGGATGAAGCTTCGTCGGCCCGACCGGCTCTCCAGATTACAAGCAGTATCCGATCCGAAATCCGGGTAAGACACTACCCAGTGTGGTTAGACCAAAGCCACCAAAGCCAACTCCACGCTTAAACTATAATATTGGAGCAGCCTTATCCCGATCGAGGAAATAGTACCGATTTTTTTTTGCGGGGAATGAACACCCAAAAAAATTGGGAGATCCAATCCCCGTCTGGGGTACCGACAGGATCACGCGGGAGTTACGCGGGGGGTGGTTAAGCTTTGTTGTCTAATCTTCCTGTACGAGTGTTTGTGAAGGCATCCATAGGATTGGTTAGACGTAGGTACACGACATAGGCACACCGACTACACGCTACGTGAAGAACCACGCGAGGATGAAAGACCCCACATTTCAGGGAGGCAGACAACTACCAACAAGAAGCGTTGACGTAAGGCCCAAGGTGGATGCTGTATGGGGTACGGACGGCTATGGCTATGGTGTGTTGCCACTTGTGGGCTCAGTGCCCACCACACCACGTTCCCCAGGACAAGCAAAACTCAGCCCGCTTGGGGAAAAGGACGAAGCTGATGATGTCAAACACCCTCGGTTAAGGCTGACAGCTCCATTATGACATCCGATAGCATCGGGTATCTAGAGTATCCAGAGTGGATGGTGATCCGGATCATGGTGCAAGAATAGAGAGATCAAGATGATGAGCAACGCATATAAATGAAGAAGATGAACGGCGAGCAGATTGTCAGTTTCGTTTCTGGCACGCTCAAGAGTTCCCATCACCTCGATTAACACATACAAAATTCCTAATATCACCGACGAAAACAACACACAATTTCTCTCCTCCTCAATTCATTATGACAGTCCCTGAAGGTCTCAATGGCACTCAGCCTTCCAACGGCACTCAGGCCTCTAGTGGTACTCAAGCTACGAACGGTACCTCGAATGGCACTCAAGCCTCTAACGGCACTCAGCCTTCCAATGGTACTCATGTCTCTGCCAATTGGGTACCGGTGACTGACGAGCCCCTGTTCACCAAGCGCAAGCTCAGGGTCGTCTGTGTCGGTGCGGGGTTCTCCGGCCTGATGCTGGCATACAAGTGGAGGCACGAGCTGGAGATGAGTGATTATGTCGACCTCACAATCTACGAAAAGAACGCGGACGTCGGTGGTACATGGCTCGAGAACAGATACCCGGGTGTGGCATGCGATGTAAGTTGGCTACCTCACAATTTTAACCCAGTCGGCTGGGCTCTATAAAACTAACTCAACATCTTCAGGTCCCGGCACACATCTACACCTTTTCATTCGAGCCTAACCCTGATTGGTCTTCCTTCTACGCCTCCGGCCCCGAGATCTGGGATTACATCAAGCGAACGACCAAGAAGTACAACCTCGACGAGCGTGTGCAACTAAAGTCCAAGGTCGTCTCCACCATCTGGGACAACGCCAAGGGCAAGTGGAACATCAAGGTCGAGACCGACAGCGGTGTCAAGGATGACGTGGCCGACATCCTTATCAACGGCGCCGGAATTCTCAACAAGTGGCAGTGGCCCGAGATCAAGGGCCTCCGCTCCTTCAAGGGGAAACTCCTCCACAGCGCCTCCTGGGACGAGACCACAGACTGGACCGGGAAGCGTGTCGCCGTGATCGGAAACGGATCCTCCGCCATCCAGATGGTACCCAAGATGCAGCCCAAGGCTGCCAGCATCACCAACTACATCCGCAGCGCGACCTGGATTTCAGCCAACTACGCAGCCGAGTTCACGCCCGAGGGCAAGAACTTCCAGTACACCGAGGAACAAAAGCAGAGGTTCAAGGACCACCCGGAGGAGCTGTTCAAGCTCCGAAAGGACATCGAGCATGGCTTCAACCAGTTCTTCTACGCCCTTCTCAACGACAGCCCCCAGCAACTGGCCGTCGGCGTGGCGTTCAAGAAGAGCATGGAAGAACGCCTCAACTACGACCCCGAGTTGTGCGCTAAGCTCATCCCTGACTGGAAAGTCGGATGCCGACGTCTCAGCCCCGGTGAGGGATACCTAGAATCCCTGCAGGCGAAGAACGCCGTGATCGAGTTCAGCGAAATTGAGGAAATCACGGAGACCGGAATCAAGACAGCCAAATCGCACGAGGACTTCGACATCATCGTCTGCGCCACCGGCTTCGATGTGAGCTTTTCGCCTTTCTGGGAGCTGGTTGGAAAGGATGGCGTTCGCCTGGCGGATCAGTGGCGCGAGACCCCTGAGGCGTATTTTGGCATCTGCGCCCCCCACATTCCGAACTACTTCATCTTCAACGGACCCAATTGCCCTGTTGGACATGGCAGTCTGCTGGCCGTTATGGAGTGGACAGCCGATTGGGTTCTGAGGTGGTGCACGAAGATTGCAAGCGAGGACATTAAGTGAGTTAGCAATTATGCGCCTAATCTCTTTGATCCCCAAAACTAATATTTCCCCCCCTTTTTTCCCTCTAGATCCGTTATCGTCGACTCAGGAGCCGCGGACGACTACAACGTTTATTCTCAAGAGTTCCTCAAGAAGACCGTCTGGACCAGCGGCTGCCGGTCATGGTACAAGAATAACAAGAAGGACGGCCGCGTTACGGCCATGTATGCCGGAAGCATCTTGCACTACAAGGAGATATTGGAGAGTTTCAGGACGGAAGATTTCCATTTCGAGTATAACAGCAGGAACCGGTTCAGGCTCATGGGCAACGGACTCACGCAACGGGAGAAGGAAGGGGGAGATTTGTCTTTCTATGTTACCAAGTGAGGCCAGCCGGATAAGAGCAGTTTTCATGTACAAGTTAATATCATGTTCTTCATTTACGTCGCCGCATATCATTTCTCTATCACATTGAAATTTGAAAAGGCCGCCACGGGCCGGAAGTAGGCTGGTAACAGAATCCGAGTGCGAGTGCGAGTGCAAGGGACCTGTGCCGAATATTTAATACCCGGATGGTGTCTATGAAGCAACCGCGATTCGGCAGCATCGGCATCGGCGATGCACCAGGCAGGAGTACCCGATATGGCTCGGTGAGCAAGATGTCTATCCCACGGACGATGGGGTATTCGAAGTGGATATGCCTTCAATATTTGGCGCAAGTATGATGCTACTCTCGACTGAGTGAAGCGTGTGGTCAATAGCTGGGGGTGGCGAAGTATCCGCAAAGGGTTCAAGGTCGTTTCGAACAAATGGCATCCTGCAAGCTCGCACAACGTGATTGGGCCAAGCACAACAACGCACCCAGGGCATCCCCTGCGTCACCCCTCCTGCCCCTCCTCACTCTCATGGAAGGTGGTAAGTCTGAAGCTGTGGGTAATCGAACGTTGAAGGCCCGACGCTTCTTCCCGTCCGCCTATGCGCGTCTATTTGCGGACACAATCGAGATCATGATATAGAGGAGAATAATCTACGGAGCCGCAGCGATCATTGCCATTGGGCAAAGATCACTTGTCAGATCGGAAGAATATTCGAAAGACTGCATGAAGAATACAGCGAGATTACCATTCCAAAGATCCTGGAAACGACATCTCGCCAAGGATCGCCAGCTATCCTTTAAGAAGGACTTGCCTGTAAGAGTTGAAATTTTGGATCTTCATTTCACCGATGCTAAAAATGATCGCGTCTAGCATGATGCTCACGATATCGACATGTCTTGCGTTGCAGTAGAGGTCCACGATGCGGACGATGTGAGCGTGATTGGCTGTGCATCATGAACTCACATCTTGAGATGGCAAGACTCAAGGGAGAACAGGTTGGCTGTGCGTCGTGAGCTGGCTAGGTTCAACAGAAAGCAGGCTGGCTTCGGAGAGAAAAGGAGGATGGCTCGTATGCAAGAGAAGATTCAAGTATAAACGAGCTGAGACGAACCTTCAAGTTATCGACAGAACTTCTCTTCTTATTATCATCAACAACAGTAACTCTCATCAGCTCACCGCCAGCCTTCGCCTAAACAAGCTTCATTTTCTGCTCAAGAAAACCCCTACCCTCCATCAAAATGTACTTCTTTAAGGCCGTCGTCTCCTCCGCGATTATCGCCCCATGGCTGCCATGGCTGCTCCCGCCACCGACTCTGTTGCCAGCGTCGACGCCAACTCCCCCAGCGAGATTGACTCCCTCATCGCCCAGCTTGTAGCTCTTGTCGAAACCGAGCAGACCCCTGCTGCTGAGGCTCGTGACGTCGAGCTTGAAGCTCGTGCCGGCTTCACTTGCGCCTTCCTTGGTGGCAACGCCGGATGCCAGGTCAAGGTACCTCGATGAAAATGGAATCTTCGCTTTAAGCTGTGCTAATACTCTTTGTCTAGTGCTTCCTTCTCAAGGGCACCGGTGGCTACTGCAACAGCAAGAAGTAAGCCTCATTCTCTTCCTCCAACCTTAACAAAGACTCTTATTCCTGAACCTGAAGGCTCATTACTGACAACCTCTATAGTATCTGCACTTGCTACTAAGCTCTGTCAACTCTCGATCCGGTAGAGCTGCATCGGAACTTTCGACGAACTTTAGGGGGTGGCTTGGTGATCTGGATCCCATGTTTCTTCACATTTCAATTCTCAAGGTGGTCGGTTTAAGTTTTGTGAATGCATGTTGGCTAATCACTCGTTTAGTTTATCAGATTTGTTTCCTCAATTTTCAAGTTGTCTCACTGTCGAGTTATCACCGTATAAGTTTATGAAGTCTCTCAGAGTCTCGGCACAACTGATGCAACAAAATGACGATCTGAGCTGAGTATAATACCTGTTTCTCGACACTTTAGGTTGAGGTGTGTAATACTTTAATACTTGCCCAGAGTCAATGAGTACTAGTAGGCAAAGAAATAGGGGCCCCTGCCGTGTGTCCTTTAATCTTCCATATAATCTGCGATTGCCATGCCGAGGCTCATGGCCATGTTTTATTAATTGACTCGGAGATCGGAACCCAGCATTTGGCGGTATACCTCAATTGCCCTCAGAGTGAAGCAGGGATGGGATACCACCGATTCGCCGCTCAAGCGGAGGGAAAATGGAAAGGGGATCATGATACCAGGGGGTTGATCATCCTTCCTCGCCTCTTCTGTGTCCCGCCCTTATCCTAGATTCATCCCCGGATGCTCTAATTGCCATGCCCACTTAAGGGACACCTGATAACGCGATTTTCTTTCCCCTCTATAGCATCTTTACCCGGTCTGCTTGTACCCTAATAATATCTCGACATTCGGTTGGTTGCATTGCCCGCGTTAAAAATCTCTCAGCAAAGACGGGTCGATTCGGGCTAATTAGGCAGCTTACTTCAACCACTCGAATACGAACGGGAAAAGCTTATCGTCATATGAACATATTCGAAAATAAATTGCCCTCGTTCCATATCTCAGGATTAAGTGCGAACCGAGAGGGACGAGTGATTCCCGGTCGAGCTGGGTCTGGGCTTGCTATGAATAAGATGCGGCGGTCTAGATTAACGGGCTCGGGTGAAATGGCCCTGGGTTGGGGGTTCCGATAGCTGAAATTGCGGCTCTGATGAACTGATCATGTTCTACTTCGTAGACGAGGCCGAATATCCGGAGGTGTGTAGGACGACGGCACGATATGATCGCGGGCAGCCATGCGCCCGGATGGTGCCTTGGGTGGCACCCCTCTCTGTTAGCCAGGGTGGGAGAGGGTGTTCGTTTTTCATCAATCCGTTGATATACTTGGGTTGCCGTCCCGACATCCTTACCAAGAGCCTCTCACCGCGCTCGCTGTGTCGTGAGCGAAATAATAGGAGCAGTCCATCCATCCAGACATGTCTCCCAAAGCTTGGCATCGAGTGGCACTCTGCCTCCCGTTCTTTCTCCTCCCTGTGGCCCTTGGCCAGGACCCCTTTCCATGGGCGAGTTTGATCCCCCGTGACGGTTGGACGGCCACCGCGGACTCGGAACAGCCCGGAAATGAAGTTCACAATGCAATTGATGACAATCGCGATAGCATCTGGCACACTCCTTGGGACCCCGAAATAATACCTTTTCCCCACTGGATCCAGGTTGACATGGGCCGACGATATGTCGTGAACGGCATCTCCTACATTCCGCGCCAAGACGGTGCCAACAACGGCAACATCGGCAGTCACGAAATCTTCCTTAGCGATGACGGTGAGAGGTGGAGCGAACCCGTGGCATACGGTACATTCCTCGATGATAAGACGACCAAGACAAGCTTCTTCGCGGGCAAAGTCGCCAGATTTATTAAGATAGTGGTCCATAGTGAGGCTCAAGGACAGGATTATCAATGGGCCAGCATCGCGGATTTGTCGATTTACACGCCTGATATCAATTTGAACCCCGATGATTTCAGACCTCCCAACCCAGCGACTCAAGGCCAGTGGGAGGTTACGGTCGACTTTCCCATTGTCGCAGTCGCCGGCGCCCATGCGAAAGATGGTACTTTTGTGTTCTGGGCTGCTTCCCGTCCAGACGACTACCCGGACGGCGCCGACTCTACAGAGACCATCGAATGGAACCCTGTGACGAGAGACTTGACTCCGCGTACTATTTCAAACACGCAACACGACATGTTTTGTCCCGGGATCTCCATGGACGTCAACGGTCTCATTCTAGTCACGGGCGGTAACGATAACAAGAAGACCAGCGTCTACAACCCTGAGAACAACGAGTGGTCAGGCCTGCCAGATATGACCATCGGACGTGGTTACCAATCTCAGACTTTCCTACCTGACGGCCGGACCTGGACGATTGGTGGCTCATGGAGTGGTCCTAAGGGCGGTAAGAACGGCGAAATCTGGGACGGTAACTCGTGGACAGCTCTTCCGGGATGCGATGTCACGCCAATGTTGACCGAGGATGTAGGTGGCGTCTGGAGATCTGATAACCACGGTTGGCTCTTCGCTTGGTCGGGTAACACCATATTTCAAGCCGGTCCTAGCAAAGCGATGCACTGGTATGGCGTTGATAACGGCGGGTCTGTTACAGATGCTGGCGCGCGTGGGGACGATGAACACGCGATGTGCGGGATGGCTGCGATGTTTGATGCGGTTGAAGGAAAGATTTTCACTGCGGGAGGTGCGCCGAGTTATGAAGACTCATATGCGACAGACCACGCCAATGTTATTCAGATTGGTGACCCTAACAGCCCTGCCCAAGTCACCAAGCTACCGAGTATGTCGTACGCTCGCTCCTTCGGTAATGCCGTTGTCCTTCCCGATGGCAAGGTTATCGTCATGGGTGGCCAATCCTACGCGAAACCCTTCAAAGATGAGACCGCGGCTCTTCCCTGCGAACTTTTCGACCCGCAGACGAACTCCTTTACTATTGTGGCGTCTCTTGCAGTCGCTCGCGTTTATCACAGTATCGGTCTTCTCTTGCCTGACGCAACCGTCCTCAGCGGAGGGGGCGGCCTCTGTGGGAAAGGATGCAAGGAAAATCACTTTGACGCCCAAATCTGGTCGCCTCCCTACCTCTTCAACAGCGACGGGTCTAGGGCCCAAAGGCCAAACATTGTTTCCGTATCATCCACCGTCATCTCTCCCGGTGATGAGTTGGTAGTCGAAACTGATACGGACGCCGCGTTTTCACTGGTCAGATTCGGGTCGACGACGCATGGAGTGAATACCGACCAGCGGAGGGTGCCGCTTTCTGGGTCTTCGGACGGCCATACCTACCGGCTTTCAACTCCTGGGGATGCTGGGAAATTGCTGCCTGGATATTGGATGCTGTTTGCTTTGAATTCTGCTGGGGTTCCTAGTATCGCGAAGACGATTCAAGTTTTACTCCCGTCATGAATAGGATTGTTCTGGCGAAGGGGTTTTCAGCCAGTTTATGTGTAGATTACGGCCTTCGGAGCAAACTCGTCTAGGATAGATATTCATCATCTACCATCGCTACCGATTCATCTTATGTCTCTCACCGGGGCTACATGCACGGCGTAGATGTGGATGTAAAAAAAAAGCGGCGCTGCTTAATACGGGAATGAACCTGTAGCAGAAAATTGATCTCTCCGACTTGAGAATCTGAATATCAGGCCGTAGTGACGCCGTGCCATCTGGCCATGACATGAGGGTTTGGTGCGATCCTCTCGCTGGGAATGGAGAAGGTGAATCTAGATAATTACTCACAAATTCCATATCTGCGTGCAATTCGACCTTCTCTCGGCAATCGGAAGCGAGAATCGGCAGAATGTTGAAAGATGGCATTAATCCTGTCACGCACCAGCAAGGTTATATTAGGGATATATCAGCCATACTATCAGGAGGATACCATCGGCTAGGACGTCTCCTAGGACAGGAGTTGTGGACGTCAAGAATGACAGTTGCCGCAAACGAGGAAACCTCCTTCGCTAGGGGAGCAAGCTTCAGCGAGACTCGATTCACATGTTGATCTCCGCTCCCTGTCTTTACTCGGAGCGAACGAAGTGTGTCGACATTTCACGTTTCCAGGCAACAGAATAATCGCCAACCACTTAGGAATTACCGACTCAAAACAAGACCTTAAGATGTCCATCCTAAGATGCGACCAAAATAGCCATGGACCTTTTGCGGTCCGAGTCCTCCCCAAAGTTCCCGCAACGACGCATGTCAGACCTGCGCCGTAACCTTGAGATTTGGTGATTGCTACAACCAATGGCGCAAGTTCCGGATCTCGCCCCCAACAGTCTCCAAGTAACACACAGCGAAATTCTCCGTCTATCCGGTCTTTCCTCGACAGGCAGTTGCTTGCATAACCACGAAGTAGGTACCCCCCCGCTCTTTACAGCTTTCCTCGACGTGGGGTCCACGAGCCACCCTTTTACCTCCGTGCCTTCTCCATTGGGACCCTCGCACCCGATCTTGAATAAATTGCGCTATCTTCAAGTCTTGATTGCGTGGGTTGCATTGACGAAATCATCTGCCGAAGTGACCTTCCCGATTCGGTAGGGCAATCTATCACAGGGTTGTATTTACGCTTAGTTGCAAATCCTGCCCGAGTTACCTTGATGAGGAGAAGCAGGGTAGTTAGGCGGACATTATTACATAGGCACACATGCCGTAGGGATCATTGCGAAGTGGATTGGGCGTATGGTAGGAGGTGGGAAATGGATGTTGTTCGTCAGCACTGAATGTGGAAGCTCTTGGCATTTTGAAGATCTGCATGGATCGCGACGAAAGTTCCGGCATCCAATCCTTGCATTCGGCCAAGGACTATCCGGGAAGGACGACGGCGAAGAACATATTGCCTTCACTACAAAAGACCCGACATGGAAGCTTGTTCGGAGGACCGGCGTTTTGATCTTGGAGGCGCTGGGGACTATAAAGATGTCAGAACGCTCATGGCCCTGAGAACCAGTGAGGAAGTAATCGTCCTTGTCGAGGCCACGACATTCTTACTCCATTCAGAAGTGCCTTTCTATTCGCCATGGTTTACGTTAATCCAATCCTAGCGCTCTGCGCATCCCTTCTTCTCCCCGGCGCTGCTGTCGCCCAGGAGGAGGTGGACCCGTCGGCTGCCTTGGAACGGTACGAGTCGGGCCAAGTGCACCGGGAATTGTTGGCCAGGAAACAGGTATGCGTTTTGAGAAGCATGTGGAGCGATGTGGTTTTCCTAATATGGAAATAGAAATCATGGGAAAACCAACGAGCTGCCGGACGCCTGGAGAGTAGTCAGTATCCTGAGCTTGGCTACACGGCCTGCAAGGACGGCATCGCAGAGGCAATTGCTGGTGACAAGAACAACACCTTCAGATGCCATAACGTGAGTATATTCTCCTTGTAAACATCAAGTCGGTTCTTCTGCTGACACACCCAGGCCGATCTCTATCACTTCCTCCCCCACTCCGCACTCGGAGGTAGTGAAGGTGAGGGATCCTCATCCTGGGGCTGGACGTCGGACGACGGTCGCGAGTTTGTCGCCATCGGCCAAGTAGACGGCACCGCCTTCGTAGAGATCAGCAGCGAGGGGAAACTCATCTATCTCGGCCGACTCCCTCAGTACTCCGTTCCCTCTATCTGGAGAGAAATCAGAGTGTACAAGCACTACGCCATTGTCGGATCCGAAGCCGAAGGTCACGGAATCCAGATCTTCGATTTGAAGAAGCTTCTGGATATTGATCCGGCCAATCCTGTCCTCTTCGACAAGTTCAACGACCTCACGGGCTTCTACGCCGACCTGCCCATCGGTAGGACTCACAACGTCGTCATCAACGAGGAGCGCAACTACGCCGTTAGCGTCGGAGCCCAACCCAGGACTGATGCCTGCCGAGCCGGCCTCATCTTCATCGACTTGTCTGACCCCGCGAACCCAACCTCGCCCGGCTGCGCGGCTGGGGATGGATACGTTCACGACGCGCAGTGCCTCGTCTATCACGGGCCCGACGACAGATACGAGGGCCGCGAGATTTGCTACGGCTACAATGAGGACACTCTCACCATCTACGATGTCGAAGACAAGAACGGCACCCATATCATTTCTCGCACGTCGTACGAAGGTGCCAGCTACACTCACCAAGGATGGGTCCTCGACGTCAACAACCAAGAGTACCTCGTTCTTGACGACGAGCTCGATGAGGCAGACAAGGCCGGTCCCGGCGCAGATGGATACCCCGTTACGTTTATCTGGGACATTCGGGACCTGGAGAATCCCAAGCAGACGGGCTTCTACAAGGCCAAGACTAAGTCGATCGATCATAACCACTACGTCATTGACGGGATCGTCTACCAGTCCCACTACGGTGCGGGTCTTCGTGTTCTTGATGCAAGGTCGATTCCTGAGGATCCTACGGGATCGAGCGTGTGCGAGGTTGCGCATTTCGATATCTACCCCGAGGATGACGAGGAGGAGGGCGGCGGCATTGTGGAGTTTGTCGGATCGTGGTCGTCGTATGCTTACTTTAAGTCGGGATTCATCTTCATTAATACTATCGAGAGGGGAGCTTGGGTGGTGAAGTTGACGGACTTGAGCTGTACCGCCTGAGAAAGATCATGACTTGGCCTAGTTGACGCATGTGGGTTATCGAAGAAGTCGAGAATGCCGCCGGATACTAAATTGATGAAATAATAAATTAGTCGTTTGCTTGCTAGGTGGTTTCTGAAAAATCTAGATCCCACAGTTGGCGTGCATTGTCAGGTTAACAAAGTGCGGACGATGCAGCGAAACAGAACACAATGGTGCGGATTTCGTGTCTATCCGACGATCCGTAAATATCGCTTGCATGGTCGACCAACTAGAGATGAGCAGGGTCAGGTCATCGGGACCTGTCTCAAGTCGGCCTGAGATATAAGGCCAACTTTGTTTGAAGAAAAATAACCTGTCTTGCGCGCGTCAGATTGTTTCCACTTTGACGGTGACCTCTCATCCTCGACCAAGCATTTGGATATTTATCTTTTCCTGGCATTTGAAACACTCCTGGACCTCTTCGAGCTAAAATCGTGCGTGCTCTGTTGTGGAATGGTAAGAGGATTCCCGCTTCAAGAGCAGAGGTCCGTCAAGCCCCTTTTCAAGATGAATCGAACACTCCTATTCGTCACCGCGCTTCTCATCGTCATCCCAACACTATATTTGGATACGATGCTCGCCGAGGTTACCGCCTCTCTTCCCACGCTCCGCAACAAGCGCATTGGTCTGGTCATCGCCCATCCAGATGATGAAGCCATGTTCTTCGCCCCCACGGTAATGGCCGTCGCACGCCCGGGGACGGGAAACCATGTCCGAATTTTGTGTCTCAGCAGTGGGAATGCAGAAGGCCTCGGCGAGACGCGGAAAAAAGAGTTGGTGAAGAGCGGGCTTGTGCTTGGGCTGCGCAGCGAGGATGATGTGTTGATCGTGGATGATCCTGTGTATTCTCCTTCCCTTTCTCCCCGTTAGCTGTGAATACCGTCGGGGATTTGAAACTGACATGGATGGATTGATTGTTAGGAACTTTCCCGACTCAATGAACGCCAGCTGGTCTGCTGAAAAGATAGCGGCTGTTCTCCACGACACATTTACATCTAGCTCTGACTCGCAGGACCCAACAATTGACACCCTTATCACGTTTGACTCTCAAGGCATCTCTTCTCACCCAAATCACATTTCGCTCTACCACGGCGCAAAGGCCTTTGTCTCGTCACTCACGCCAAATGACCCTAACACTGATGATCCTAAGGAGAGGGTAATTCCGGTGGATCTCTATACCTTGACGACAGTGAGCTTCTTGAGGAAGTATTCGGGCCCATTTGATGTATTGGTAAAGCTAGTGGTGAATCGTCTCGCTGTCCTAGGTGGCGATAACAGCCTCGAATCGAGAAGCGAGAAGGAAATACTGGGGGATCACCCTGCCAGATTGACCTTCGTTCATGGTTTAGGCACAGGAGGTTGGGCCACTGCGAAGGAGGCTATGACGGCGGCACACGTCAGTCAGATGAAGTGGTTCCGGTACGGATGGATTATTCTCAGTCGCTACATGTATGTGAACGATTTAGAGTTGGACGGTTTGTAGGGAAGTGGTGTGCAGAGCGTCTCATAGTCTGCCAATTCATTGACCTTACCGCGCAGAGAGCGTTCAGCCCAGCCAAATCCCACTTTCAGGACCTTTCATACTCGAATGATACATATGTTGAGGGATCTAGTACGCGTCTTTGGTGGTCTAAAGGACTGCTCAAACGTCAACTCTCAACCTGGCTGTCACCACACTTTTAATTCGGTCCAACGCTTCCCTACTGCAAGCTGGTTGACGCCCAAGCTCGAGAGAGCGATGTTAAGGTCTTGCACATGTAAATCCTACCCCGTACGCATCGCTGTGAAGGGATCACATGCCCTGTGCCCTCTGTACCCAGGGATTTGTCGTGAATCAGATGGCCTCCCTTAATCCAGTGCGCGCAACTTCCATAAACATGCCACTACAATATCGGGGTGATTCACTCACTTGAGCAAGAAGGAACTAGAAACGGAGGAATTCCGACCCATGTTTGTGGCTCTGAAGAAACCATTCCTTCTCACAGGAGACGAAAGTTAGACGCCTAATTTACAAAATACTGAGGCAAGATTGAGACAAGATCGTTGATCACTCCAGATATCACATGCAAGTGCAGTGAATATACGAATTAGAAGCGGAAATTGCACCTCTAGCCCAGTAAATATGCGACTAATTTCCTCTCTCCAAACTTCTGCTTGATCTTTTCGTTCGACTGGAGCAAGAGTTCAACACTAATTCGGAAGGTAGTGAAACCGGAGGTACCTTCTTGTTCAACCACCCCCGATCATCACCCACAGTTGCACCACACACCGAGCCAAGGTGAAGCCTCTCTCTCTCTCTCTTTTTTTCTTTTCTTTTCTTTTCCTTTCCTTTTCTACCTCTCCAACCTGCACCTACAAAAACCCAGACCCTGAGGCTGCTGCTATCGTACGACTCTTAGTTGTCTCTGGTAAATATTTCTCTTATAGTACGTTCCTCGGTTTCATGCAACTGGGGAAGGCGAGTTTTATGCCAAGAAGGACGACAGTTTCATACCTTGTGCTGTTTATTGACAACTGCACGGTTTCGGCAACTCGCAGTTTGATGCTCCTTCCAGTTTCCAGACAAGAACTCGTCGGCACTTCTTACATTAGTGAAGGCCACGCTCATTCGTCAATGGAATCCATTTACCTGTCGATCCCTTTTGTCTCGGGCCTGTAGTTGTCGGCTTTTCCATCTCCTTTCTCTCACGCTAATAGTAAGTTGATTCACCTAATCCGCGCTCATGCCTTCTCGCTGCCTTCGTCTATTCTGAGCTTCACGACAAGGTTTTCTTGGTTGTTGCTGACGTGTAACTTCGGCCGGATAGTTGCACCTCTCACCAGAAAAAGTGAGCCCAGTTGCACCAAGATCTCGATTCTTTTCTAGACGCAGCATCCAGTCTGTCCCACGTCCGAATGCTCTCGTACCACTTACAGGACCAACGCCGGTACACCAAGATGCAGAGCCTTATCCCTGTCGAGGAGATGGATGAGCGCTTCCAAATTGCGAAGAAGATTGGAGCCCGCTTTCAGGGCGATGACGATCCGCCGCAATTGACAGCACTTGAGCTGTCGATTATCATGGTTATGCCTCTGGCACATCTCCGGGAGAATGGGAGATGGATCACGAAGCATCTTCTGGAAGGGGTGGAGCAGTTAATCGAAAAGTGTATGTTGGTGCATCTAATAGAACCCCGAAGCGTTTGGACGAACAGCTAACTGGACCTAGTTCTGCAGAAGAGCCGGGCCGAAGGGGTTGGGAATGCCGCTCCATCCAACCCCGGCGTCAAATCTGCTCCTTCGCGAAAATCCTCTAATAACCATGAGAATGAATCCGGACGGACGTCCCGCAAGTGCAAAGCAGACCTAGACACTCCGTACAAGCCCGCAGAAAAGTTTTCTGTTTCGCAACGAGAGGACCAAAAGAGACAATGCAAAGCTCGAGACAAGTTCACTTGCATCTTTCTTGGGACGGCAGACCCAGATATTTGTCATATCGTTCCTTTCGCATTCAACTCGAACAGAGATAATCTCAATGACGCCCTGAACCTAGTATCCCATTACTCTGTACTCATGGGCACCGGCCTCACATATACCAGCCTGATATCAGAACGCCTTGGCTGCTCCGACCAGACGTGGAACATGATCTCGATGAACAAGCAGATGCACGACTGGTGGTCCAACGCCCGCTTCGGTCTTAAATGTCTTGGAATATACCCCGATGGCGAAGGCATATGGGTAGTTAGACTGCAATTCCATTGGATGAAGCGGCAAGACATGCGAGATCCTTATCGGGAGATCACTCTCACCGCGGAAGAGGTTAAGAAGTTTATTGACGGATTGACAACGTATTACGACGACGCCGATAAGCATGATGACGAGAGTGAGGCTGCGGTGTCGGCCGCTGACGCCAGGCCGAACTGGGCGCTGCGTTCGGGCCGCATCTTCGAGATCCGCATGGGTCCTGGCGAAGAGCCGGAAATGACAGCCCAGAGGATGGCAGAGAAAATGAAGGCAATGCTGGACTTCCAATGGAACTGTATCAGAATTTCCGTTATGTCGGGTGCTGCCGGATCGCCCGAATTCTTAGAGGACGACAATAACGACGATGCTACCGATGATCGGATCCGCGCATGGCTCAAGGCGACGAACTCACTTTGTACCTCCAGACACGACGGAATCTCCGAGTGTTGCGAGAAGTCCTGATCACCAAATCTCGTGGGTTGTTTCCCCCCACTTCAAGGATCTAGCTACCGCGACCAAACAAAACGAACCAAACAAACTCGTCAAAACCAAAACAGTTCCGAACTTGGAGAGAACGTATGCATTTGTAGGGATCCCGAGTCGTCATCGGATTAGGAGCCCGAGACATCATGGCGAACCGATCTCAGGCCCACGTAGCCTCCACACGCTATCGCCGGAGAGGCAAGCAGAGGCAACCACAAGTATGGAAGTCGAAACCCACCGGATGGGTCGAGCAATGCCAGAAGCTTCTCTGGCCATCGACGGAGATTGTGAAGATGATGCCGAAGAGGGCAAAAACCTTCCGAAACTGCGTTCCCAATCTTTTACCCTCCCCTCAGTTGACTAACGTCGCAATGCTACCAAACTAAGTCAGGATTGGCACTTGCCCCTGAGCTATTTATCCGCAAAGGATGCTTCGAGTGTCGTGGCCGGCGGCATTTGACCACGAGTAGCCTTACATAGCGACTGCACCCGGCTGTGTTTACCGGGTCCGAAACAGCCACCCTCCTTCTGGAGAAATAAGGATTCTGGCGGGGAGATATATACGCCTCCGCAGTGGCGTCTCGGACTCTCAGAAAAGGCTTCGGTGAGTATGCATCCTTCAGCCCCCCCAAATCGTTTCTCCTACTCTAACGGCGATGCTAGTGATTTATGCATTCAAGCTTTTGTCCACAGTCATGAGAGGCAGCGGCAGCGCCGGAGATCTCCCATTCGGTGTCAGGGAGATTACTAGCTTCACAGGCCGGGGCACTACTCTTCGAGTAATACTGTTATGTTGACGGGTACGCGGTCCAATGTACCTATGGTATGAAGGAACCACGATTCTAGAAACGATCTGTACCGATTCTGGTATTTGCTTCAAAGAGCCGCAATAACAATGTTAGGGAATTTTGCTGAGGGCCTATCCACAGAGAGCAGGGTCATGATAAGAACATGAAAGGGAATTGTGTCACCAGATCACCCATCGATCCACCCAGTGTGCTACAGGGGCCATTCACGGAGTTTCCTGGTATCATTTCTCGGAGATCCGGCATATCCATGAGGATGATGGGTGGGGATCAATGCAAAATCTACGGGATCAATTCGTCCCATTTTCGTGGGAGTGGGAGTGGGACTGGAAACTCCAACAGTGCTGTTATGTTCGTAGCAACCCAATCGAATTTGCCCTGATTATCCCCATTTTCCGGAATCCAATCTAGGAAAATTGCCATTTATCCCCCTCGTCCCGTCCATTTCCCAATGCGTGCGTGCCGTCCAAGAAGGCGGGTCCCGGGGCAATACGATCCGGATTCCCCCTGCGAGAGGCGGGATCATCACCGTTCAACGCAAATCTCTCGTAAATGAAACATCAATGCAGTGGCCAATCGTATAGACAGTATTACTATTCCTTCATTACCAGGCTTTATATAACGGTATGCCGTAAAGTGCGTTGTTTCGAACAAGCCGACCAGCTTCTCAATTAAATCGATTTTGCGGGGAATCGAGCTCTTTTTTTGTTTTCCACTTCCGAATGAACAGGTATATAAGGGAATCGGCTGCCCGAGCCGCGGTGACCGTGGAATCACAAGAAAGCAAAAAAGACGTACGAACCTTCTTGCTGGTGTCAATTGAGAGCGTTTTGTCTGCCAATCCTCCGCGATGAAGTCTCTTGCGTCGTTGGTTTTGGCCGCTGCGCCGTGTGAGTACAATTCGAGATGTGTCTCTTTTCAATTGGAGTCTCTAGCAACTCTAACTTGAAGAAAGTGGCCAAGTTTGCTCTCGCCCAGGACTCGACTCCCTACACGGACGAAGAGACCGGCATTGCCTTCACGACGTGGAGCGTCCCCGACATTACATACGGCCTCGCCCTTCCCGCCGACGCCCTCGAGAAGGATGCCACCGAATTCATTGGCCTTTTGGTAAGTTTTGCACCACATTATTTTCAGCTCAGACGAGGAAAATAGGTTAGGAGAGAAGGGAGGGAAAGCTAACAGCAACTAGACTTGTACATCGGCCGAGGGCGCAGGAACCGGCTGGTGCGGCGTCTCCTTTGGCGGTGGCATGGTCAACAACCTCCTCCTCCTCGCCTACCCCCACAATGACCAAGTCCTCACCTCCTTCCGCTGGGCCAACGAGTACGGACCTCCCGAGCTCTACACCGGCGAGGCCACCCTCACTCAAATCTCCTCCACCATCAACGACACCGCCTTCTCCCTCATCTTCCGCTGCGAGGGCTGCCTCCAGTGGAAGCAGGGCGATATCGAAGGATCTGCCGCCACTACCTCCGGGCTCGCAGTCACGGGCTGGGCCCACGCGAAAGCCAACGTCAGGAACCCCGACTGCGCCGACACAGCGGGCGTCGGCAGACATGATACCCAGGGTATTCTGCCCGCTCGGTTCGATGCCGAGGCGGCGAGCAGCGATTATGAGGAGTGGGTTGAGTTGGCGACCGAGACTGTGAGCGGCACTTGCGGTGGTGGAGATGCGCCTGCGCCTCCTCCTTCGGAGCCTGCGCAGCCCCCGGCGGGCGGATCCGGGTGTGCTGAGACTTATACCGTGCCGGCAGGATCGTACTGCTACCTTATCGCTACGGACCATGGTCTCACGCTTGAGCAGTTCCTTGAGCTGAACTCGGGGTTGAACTGCGAGGGGTTGCAGCCTGGTCAGGAGGTGTGCGTAAAGGCATCGAGGCGCTGCAAGAAACGAAAGCTATAATTCCGCATAGGATAGGGAGGGTTGATTCCTGGATTGAGACCTTCAGTCTAAAAACTGAGATTTACATCGGCCCAAGGCTTAGTGTATTAGATCCACCATGAAGATATATAAATCTATGAACTCATATTCGGAAAGAGATCTTCCGTTTTCTGTTTCTACCTACCCCAATGCCCCTGTAAATCTTCCCCGGTGACCCTCACTTTGTGAACTCGACGTGGGATGAATGGCGTTTCGCCATGACGGCGAATTACTAAGTACAGATACGAATTACGGTATCTCTCGATAGACTTAGGTGAACATGTCGTTATAACGAGCCTCGCTGGCAAGATGAGAGTCCACACGCGGAACAAGATACATGGAATCCGCCTCCCGATCTTCATCTACGGGGGCTTCGGGATCTTTCGGATTACCTGACAATTATTATTCCTCACTTCGCACGTTAATAGCTTGAGCATCGTAGGGACTCGGTCACGCGAGACTTTACGCTCTTCTATTTGCAATCTGGAGCTGGAAACATATGCTGGAGGACGGGATCCACAAGTAGGTGTTAAATGACCCCAACCACGACCCATGCGGCATCCTATTATTCTTCCTGAGTCTCCAAGGCCTTACGCGCCCAGATTACTCTCTGGCGGTAGTACGAATGTATCTTTAATGACCGGATCTCGTTACGGACGTGGGCTGCGTAAACAGAAACCTCTTCAGGCTTCCAGCCGAGAGCGGTTGCCGGGTATAAGCAGTATCCTTCGATATCGGCCTCGAGGGCGAGCTGGGCGTACTGCCCAACCTCTTTAAGACCAGGGTCTTTTGGCCAGGCTCCGAGGGGAGTCTTGAGATGAGGCAAAATAAGTTAGTCTGGAAAGACATATTTTGGAGTATTATTTGCTTTTTATACTTCCACTTTTCCTCTTTCCTCTTCTATTCTTTCCAACGTCCCCCCCTTGTTCTCACTTTCTTCACTCACCTTAAGGTTTCGCTCGTCGATATCGACAAAGCCCGCCGCCTGCATAGCCTTCCTCTGGAGGTCCTCTGGGATGACTGTAAAGCGCCTCCCAATGCTCTCGCCGAAGTGCACGAATATCTTGCCCCAATTGACCGAGGGCTGAATCTTCTGTGACGGTGCCGTCGTCGCTGTCGATCATGGAGCCGCTCTCGTAGCTCTCGAGCCAGCCGCCCGGTTTGAGAACCTTGTAGGCTTCGGCGAAGGCGGCGTTCCAGTCGCCGATGCTGCCGATCAGCCACCGCATGTGGACGTAGTCGAAGGAATCGGGCTCGTAGGTCCACTCGCGCGTGCAGTCCTCGATTTCGCTGAAGGTTCATGGTAATATTTTAGTTTCGGGATGTTCCACAGTCAGATGTATGTATTTCTTTTCAGTTCTTTTCTTTCTTCGCTCTTGTTTTCTTTTTTCATTCTTTGCATATTCCCTTCGTTTTCATTTCAACGGCGGACCCCCCCTTTTTTTCTTTTTTTTTTTTTTTTTTTTTTTTTAAAAAAAAAAAG